AGGTCCGATTCAATACAGTACACAAAATCCGTAATTTGATCCCATCTGTGAAGGATGTCATTCCTGACATGCAATACCATGGTGACTACAAACTAAGTTGTGTCTGCGGCAGCAGTTACATTGGGGAAACGAAACATGTCCCGGACCGTATTCGCGAACACAAGGCAGATTTGAAACATGGCAGAACCAATACCTCTGTCCGTGGCTGATCACTGTTATAATGCGGTGGGCTCGCACAATATTGTTTTTTTTCCGAGACCAAAGTACTCTGCAAACCTTCGGGCTACCTTTAAAAGATGTGTCCATGAAACCATCCAGATATGTAAACACAGAAACAATTTCAACCAAGAAGATGAGTATAAGCTGAGCAATCATTGTAAGGACGTTATTAACCAGTTAAAGTCATAACTCGCTGTGATGCTTACATCCTTCCTGCCGTTTGGCTGTTATCTCCGACTCTCTGAGTTGCATTGCCCTGTGGGATGCCTTTGCATTAACAGGCTGGGGTCTCACTAACATGGCTACCTCTGCTCCCTTAGCCTCGATGTATCGATGGTTCTTACTGTGTTATGGGCTGTGTGTCTCACTGGCATGGCCACTGTTGTGGTGGTTCTCTTGCGTTGACGCGCTTGCCTTGTGGAGGTCACTCTCCGATCTTACATGAACATGCTAATCTCTCACATTAACATAGCCACGTCCATGCCCTCATCGAGGAGGCCGCTCTCGGGTCTTAGATTTAGATGCTAATTTCTCACATTAACATCACTAGCCCCGCCCACTTCGTTTATGACCCTGGGGCTACACCAATTTTAAACCTTTTTAAACAGTCTACCTCAGCAGCTGTCTCCCCTCTTTTTTATTCCTGATGACGAACGCGTGTGTTGCGATCGAAACGTCGTGATGTATTATTTTAATTTAATTTTCTACCTGAGTGACTTTACCGAAAGAACCAAAGAGTATGGATTTCTGCAGTCATTAAAGCTTCAAATCACTTCTGTAATGATGAGGCCAGGCCCATTTGATGGTTTCTACAAAAATAAAAAGAACACTTTCATCGCAGCCATCTCTGCTTCACGTTGTCAAGCTGGGTACATGCATGTACAGTGGTGATTTAACAATATCAACTGAAATTTTCAGAAATATATCATGAACAGGAATGGGAAGGGTAATTACTTCCCTTCCCTTGTGTTTCCCCCTGGTGCCACAAATATGAAATGAGTGGTCTCCGACGCGGTAATGAGCTAACTTGTTTATTTCATAAAATCTCGGTACAGCCACGTGTCTCCGTCTTCCTCCTTGCGGCTTCCACTCTCTGCGTAGCGACACTGCCCCACGCCACGTGGCGCTCACCCGCTCTCCAGCTGACGGTGCGCTAAGGGGCCTTCCCGAATCCTCCCTGGTGGAACCGCCTCTCAACTTTCACCCAGGTATAAGGCCCACTATGGATAAGTATGGCTGTAGAATGGAATACATGCCCCATGAATAATCCAGGCGATGGTGCTCTCATTACACATACATCCCATGCAGCCTTGTCTTACACACAACAGGCAGTCACTATTCTACTTGCATAACAAAAACCTTGAAGAATATTTCATCATTATGGTGTGGTTCGTGTATATACATGAAACTGAGGGTATTAGTATAAAAACATATATACATTTGCTATGCACGAACATTTTGCATGCAAACATATTAACGTCCAGAATACCGTTTCAACGTTACTCTCCTGCGACTCTGATCAGCAGGAGGTTTCCAAGCAGTGCGTGTGGTGAAACTCACCAGTAGCACAATCACAGGCACGAGTATCGGCCCCTGTCTGAATGCCCTGCATCATGGAACGATTCACGCTGAAAGACAGGCAGGGGGTAGAAAGGTCAATAACTTGTCTTGCAAACATTCCAGTTTGGAAATTATTGTACGGTATATATGGCTTTTTAAGGGATAGCATAATGCAAAGCGACTTGTTAGCAGTATCAAACAATAATTCTGTAGCTAAAAAGTACAAAACACTCAAATTGAAATATTGAAAGTTTGATTAATTTGCATTTTCCTCATCAACTTCACTTGGCCAGGCAAGAACCGGCTGACACATCAAGTTTCCATTAGAAGCGTCACCTGGGCCAAACAGGTTTCAGGGCAGCAGTGCAATCCAGCCCAGATGTACAAAGACAAATAATGGCACAGATGGCAACCACGGATATACTGTAATGCCTATTCTACTCTACAATTACATCCCATGTTTGACGAGTTACATAATTAAATCGGTAGGAAACAATCTGAAATTAGTAACTTGAGGACAATTAGAATACGCGGATTTGTACACTGTAATATCAATCACATTGATAAAATGTTTAACTGAAAGAAGCTGTTCCCAACATTTTTTCTCTTTTCAATCTCCAAAGCATTTCGCAGACCACCACATGCCACGAGTTATTTGAATTTTTCTCGGTGAGGATGCTGTTGTTTTTATTTTCCGCGAACCTCCTGCAGCAGCCTCACCGACCACCGCTGATAGAATGCATTTTATTTACCCTTTATTATTTTTGTAAGGACAAGGCAGGTGCAAATTGTCATCACATTGCATTCTGTGCAGTGATTGGCTCTACATGTCAGAAAATCGCGATGGGGCGGTTGACCACCAGTGTTGCCAACTCAGCGATTTTGTAAGATCAGGTTTATTTTAATTAACCTGGTGAGAACTCAAGTGGCAAGTCGCATCTCGTTTACAAGAGTGTTGGGGCATTAATCTGCTTGTAGGGGGCGATGATAAATACGTACAATATTAAAAGAAGTTGAATATTAATCGAGTTATTTGTTGAGTATTTTTTGTAATTTGGAGTTTTGATCCTGAAATCTGTTACGTAATTGCCTACTCCAGCGAATGTCAAGGAATCTTTGACGGCCAATGTGAATCACTCACAGTTATAATCAGGGCAGCCAGTGGCGAAGCACTGCTCTAAAACGGTGAATGTCCTACGAGTTTCCCTGGGTGAAATGTTTTACCAAAGTGACATGTGACTATCTGGGATGACGGCATTAGACAGGTTTAAGAGCAATTCCAGCAATGCATCAACGATTTCTGTATCAGTTGTCTACCTTTAATACTTGGCAAATTGTCTCGTGATGTAGTCAATGACTTTAGGACATTTAGCGGCCGGTGTGAGGTTCGTTGGGCGACTTTCCGCTTCAAGGAGTTGGAATTACTGCTGACCACGTCATCCTGTGCTCACGTGTGGGGTAGCAGCAGCAGCTGCTGTCAGAGAAGTGGCTGCACGGATTGTCTATGGCCTACACGGACACAGGATACACCTGCACTGGCACTGCCGACACAAAAAATGTAATATTTTTATTCAGTAAAAATGTTTATTTTACCAGGTAAGGCCCACTGTGCTAGATAGTTATTTTTCATAGGCAACCTGACCACAAATTATTGCTCAACCAAGAGGCTTATCATGTTTCTAAATATGGAGGTGAACCCCAAGACACAAATCCACACTACTTGGGAGAGAGATACGCAAACTCCAAATAACAGGCTTCAGGGTCGGGATCGAAACCCACGACCTCCCGCATACCAGGCGAGGCAGTTAACATCTCGCCACCGCGGCGCCCCGCAGACACAGGGAGACGTGAGCAGGCACAGATGTGTCAAGATGAAGGAGGCAACCTTGTAGGGTGGACAATTTTGATGTAAGAAACCAGGGCCATTTGAAGTGCAAATGCATCTAGAACAGCAAGTTAAATAAGTATAACCCGTAAAAACAAAGTTTTGCACTCTAAATCCTTTATCTGCGTGGCGGCTAGAGTCCTCTCGTCCTCTGGCTTGAGATGGCTGCCACCTATGGGTCAGATGATTGCATTGCACCATTAAACAATTGGTAATTAAATATTTAATGTTTTCCATAAACAGTGTAAAATTTTGGAAAAACATTTTCACGAACATTAATTGTCTCGCACAACGAGTCTGTGTGCAAAATGTCAGCTCGATTGGATCACGGGAAGTGGGTTAAAAAACGACCGAAAGATTTGCACGGTCGTAAGCAAGCAAGCACGCAAGCACGCAAGCAAGCAAGCAAGCGAACTTAATATAAAGGATTTAAAAATGCATTCTGGCCTTGTGGCAAACATTCCTTTCGATGTTCCTACGTGGCCCTGATGTAGATGTTGCCTTTGGCAGAAACACCATCGCGGCTGATGCTGCACCTGCACGCGTCACCTGTAAGTGGGTTGACACAATCCATTGCAATTTAGTAACTACATAACTACATTAACCCCCATGGGCTCGCAGTGATGACAACCACTGCTCTGATTTAAAGCTTTCGTGACTGCAGGGATTCATATTATTGGTTATTTCGGTAAAGTCACAATAAAATTGTTTTATAATTATATTATTTGGTTGTTTCCCTTCTACGTGACTTTACCGAAAGAACCAAGAATATGAACCACTGCTCTATTGAAGACCGAAACAGGAGGATTTCTCCACAACTCTGGCTAATCGCCTGATGATGCTCGTTGTAATTGTCAGCGAAACGTCGGACTTGAATTGTAAATGTTGCGGGTTTACTCTCCAACACGCCGGTGTGCTGTACTAATAACTAATTGCATGGTCTGTTTACGAAAGACGTCTGCTTCTTTTTCATCTTCCGCAAAACTTATCTTCTATCTTCCGGAAGACGTCTTCCGCATCTTCCAGAAGAAGTCTGCTTCTTTCTCATCTTCCACAAAACTTATCTTCTATCTTCCGGAAGACGTCTTCCCCATCTTCCGGAAGACGTCTGCTTCTTTCTCATCTTCCGCAAAACTTATCTTCTATCTTCCGGAAGACGTCTTCGCCTTCCCCATCTTCCGGAAGACATCTTCCTCTTTCTCATCTTCCACCAAACTTCTTTTTTATCTTCCGGAAGAAGTCTTCCCCATCTTCCGGAAGACGTCTTCTCTCTTCCGGAAGATCTCTTCTTCTTCCGGAAGACGTCTTTTGTCCGCATCCCAATAAAACGCGCGCGCCGCTTCGCTTGCCCCTCGGGCGTCATGGCGGCGGCGGCGTCTTTCGAGGGCGTGCGGCTCACGGCCGTGGGCGAGCAGAACGGCGGCGGCGTGCAGCGCAACCCCGAGGCCAACCTGCGCCTCGAGGCCAAGGCGACCGGCGGCGGAGGAGGAGGCGGCGGCGGCGACTCGCTCGGGGTGGCGCTCTACAACGGTGCGTGACGGCGCGGTACGGCAATTGCCGGGCCCGCGTGCGCCCATTGACCGCGGCGAAGCCTGAACCAGGCCTCCCCTCCCCGGAGCCGGCACGCAAATTAGCTCGCACTCACCTCTGAGGCGCTCGGTACATTTATTAACGAGTCGCTAGTTAGTTAAACTACCCGCTTTGTTGATTAGGGCGACACATTTCACGTCGTTTTTGTTTTACTACCTGGCCCTCGGCGAGTAAATGCCCCGGCGAGTCTTGTATCGGAAACAATAGGCGGTCGCACGTGACGACGATGGGGTAGCGCTTTAATAATGTTAATGAGTTCTATACTGCCGGTACCAATGGTGATGATGATGGGTGCGATGTATTCAGACGAGCGGGAATGATTTGTGAACCGTCTGTTGATGCGGCCGTTATTGGTGGTGCAATGTAGGCGGGCGGTCACAGTCCCTTGCCTACGATTCACAATGCCCAAGGGTTGTGCGGATTTTATGAAACTTACGGCACGGAGGGTTTGCATACCATGCCAGTCGTTCTCTTATCGCTAAAAAGATTTGGGCAATTTTGCTGTGATAAACTTGCGAATTTGTCTATGGACTGCCATTGCCTAGAACATCAGGCAACCCAGCAGTATATTTAACAGACCCCATACTCTGCTAATGACTCTAATAAGTCGATGCCTGTCCGGAGTTTAATTCTGACACATGCTGCTGGAAAATAATAGTCTGGATTGAAGACGTATTTGCTGATTTGGCCGCAATAGTACCGTTACGTGCCGAAACGGAACCAGTGCCTATTGTGTTACCGTACCTTAGTGCCATGGTTGCGAGACTTTAGGTGGTCAGTAGAGGGCAGTGCAGCAAAAGCCATCACAGTATTTTAATGTGCTTATATTTTCCTTCGTCTCAATGCTCCCCCGTCTGTCTTCACCACCCCGCGTTGACCCACCTGTTGTAATTGTCGTCAATTGCCCTCCCCACGACGCGGACGGCGGCCTGGTTAAGGCCACATCCAGCAGTGGCTTTGACAAGCGGTCGTTGCACTTTATCGGACTGATGGTGATATTGTCAATTATACTTTCCCGTTTCAACCGCATTTCACGGACAGTGTGTTAGTACTTGTGCAGTGCACCAATCTATCGTCGAGCAAGTGCTCGATGCCATTTGTGATTAACGTTTCAGGCACTGTTAGTTACTACTTGAGTTTAATTTTATCAAAAAGAAATATTCAAGCGCTGCAATTGGGACTGAGTGTGGGTACATTTGTTTGTATTGAACGTTGGAAAATTAATCGCAAGGTCAAATGTATGTGTTGCACATTTCTCACATTTGGCTGTCCTATCAGCGGCTAATACATTGTTCTGGTGACATGAGTTTTATTCCCAGCCATGGCTATTATCAATGGCGAAAAATATCGTCATTGGTCCTGGATTTATCCCCTTCACCAACCGACACTGACCAAATTGTTAACATGTGGTCGGCAACCCCCCTTTGACTGATACAGCATAGGGGGGTGGTGGTGCTTTAATCCAACATGAAGTCATCTGTGCTTCCGGAGAAATAAAAGTTTTAATTCTACAAGAGGGCATGTTTGTCTTGTTGCAGGTGGTGGTGTTTGTGTCTTCAAATGCATGATCGGCAGAGACACAGAGTGTTGCCGAGTGAGCAAGCAGGCGTTCCTCATCACCCTCGGGCAGAACAGTGTGCTTGTACACTTCGCCTCGCAGCCCGGTATGCTTCTGAATACATTTGTGTCCTTAAATTCCATTTGCATCTCTTGGCAATATCTGATTTGTGGATAATATTATGCAGCACTTTGCTAAATATTTTTTTCAATCTTATTCTTGGAGAGAATGGCTGTGATGTTTCAGCCTTTTTAGAATCCTTTGAGAAACTCTAGCAATGAACCTCGTATTTCTTGTGGTACAGTTCCTTTTACGAACATGTATCCCAACTTGCCCTGCCTCCTTAGATTTCAACTCCTTCATGAACCTACTCAAGTCATGTCAGGGACGAAGTGTGGAGAGGTCTGTGTTTAGTGAAAGAACAGAGGAGTCTTCTGCTGTGCAGTATTTCCAGGTGAATTCCACTGAACAAATTTACTACATGCATGTGTAGCTCATGTTTTTTGCAAACATTAACTTATTGGATTCGTGGAAGTGTTCAATTACATTTTAATTGATTTATACTTTGCATTTGATCGTTCTAGCTGACACATACAAATGGCCCCTTTAGTAACCAGCGATAAACATAAGCATCATTGTGCTTCGGAAAAACACTTGTCAATGTTTAAAGTCTTTATGCATCCATTTGCAAGATATAATGGTCATTGTTGTTTCTCTATTTGTTATCTCACCTCGTCTCGTCAGTTCTACGGGTACCTCTCGCAGCAGCAAAACATGATGCAAGACTATATCCGCACAGGGACATACCAGAGGGCCATCCTTCAGAATCATGCCGACTTCCGAGATAAGGTATTGTCACCTGCACCACACTGCTGTTCATCCAACATTTTCCCTTCTCGTACTAAAAAAACAAGAGTTGTGCTCGTAGGTCGGGTGTAAACTGCTTTACCACAAGGCTGTTGGCCATTTACTATATTCATACTGTTTACATTTTGTTGCTGCATTATGAATGAAGTTTGCAATGCTTTATTAAGTATGGCCGAGTAGGCATTTGTAGCTGACTGTTTATGTTGGGACAGATTGTTCTGGACGTGGGCTGTGGCTCGGGAATCCTCTCCTTCTTCGCCGTTCAGGCCGGCGCCAGGAAGGTGTATGCAGTGGAGGCGAGCAGCATGGCACAGCATGCTGAGGTGCGGTACTACTTTCCCAATGCCACAAGACTGCAAAATTGCATCATCGCAACACAAACGTTTTCGGCAGGGAATTATACGGTGTCCATTCAAATGTTGTTTTAAATGGAACAGTCTGGCTTAGGGTTTTTTTTGTAGGGTAGGGATTGTGGGGGCTGGGCAAGTTGGAGATGACGTTTCTGTTGGGGTGGTTCTTTTGTAAAGCCAATGCACTGAAACAGCTGCTCAATGAAAGGCGGTCCAATTCAATGGTGCAAGAACACAATGAACTCATGCCTTCTCTGGTGTACTCTTGGCATTTAAGGGCCCACACAATTGACTTTAACAGCAGGCTAAAAACTTGTTCAGACTCTTTTTAAAAACGTTTAAAAAACACATACCCATCTAATGTTTAAAATGTATGGTGATTTAATGATGTTGCTCCAGGTACTGGTGAGGAGCAACAACTTGCAGGATCGGATTGTAGTGATCCCTGGGAAGGTGGAGGATGTGTCCATCCCAGACAAGGTGGACGTTATCATCTCGGAGCCCATGGGGTACATGCTATTCAACGAGCGCATGCTGGAGAGCTACCTGCATGCCAAGAAGTGGCTCAAGCCAAATGGTACGGCTGAACCGAAGCAGGTGCCTTTGTATGTACATTGCCCCTGATCTGTGTTTACAAAGGGAAAGACCAAAGTCATTAAATGGCAGAAGATAGATAGCAAATTCCCCTTTGACAATGTCTACTAGCAGAAATTATGTAGCATTAAATGGCTAAATCGATAATACTGATTAGAAGCATGCCATGCACACATCTAATTCTGCCTAATATGTTTTGTTTTTTATTCAGTTGTCAAAATATTTCCTTATGTTAAGTGAACTTGTTCTGCATATTTGTTTTGCTCATTTATCCATCGTCCAAATTTTTTGGTAATTCATTACTATTGTTATGACTGTCATCAGTAAATCTCATGTTGTTTATGCTTTCACTACTTATATCTATACCTCCATTTCTCCAATCTAGTTTTTGGACTATGTCTTCAAATGCCACTGTGTATAGCCTTGGTAAGAGAATATCACCTTGCTTGACTCCTGAGGTCAACTTTTCCACCGTACGTAAAATTAATTTGCACCCCAGGACCATGATGGATAGTCGCAAGATGTGTGGAAGCCTTCTTCCAAGAGTGGATAAAATGTGGGTGATTTATAATGATTCAAACGTAAACTCGCATTGGGTAAAGATCCGTGGCATAATCCCACGTGTCACTCTTGCACATGAGACAATCCGATTGAGTTCTCACTTAGTTAGGCAAATGTATTTGAACTTGAAAATGGAGTTATATATTTTTATATAATGGATCCATATCCTTGCAGCTGCTAGGTATGCTATTGTTCACCGGTGTTATAAAACAGGGATTATTGAATTAAATAGTGAGACTTAATCAAATTGCCAGGTGGGTGAATCATTATGCCCCTAACTGACAGGCATGTACATCATGGTAGTTTACTTTAATTTACATAATAATGGGATGTTCGATATTTGATGAGGATTTTATAATGGAATCGTGCACTTTTGGTTTGTTTCTCTGCTGTCTAGGTAATATGTTTCCAACGCTCGGCGATGTCCACTTGGCACCATTTACAGATGAGCAACTCTACATGGAGCAATTCTCAAAGGCCAACTTCTGGTGAGATTGAATCCTAAATGATTGTCTTTAGGTGCAAGGTGAAACGTTATCTTTCTGTTTTGTTTACATGTTATTTCAATGCTTCGATATTAGGGGAGCTGCTGTAATATTGCAATTCATAGGCAGTTTTTTGCATTTGTTTTATTGGCGGAAACAACTTAAAAGGTGCATCCATTCGTCCATGTTGTACGTTATTTGGCGAGTTAAAAAATAAGGATGTGTTAGTGTGGTATTGCATTTTGGTAAGGAGAATTACACTGCAAATATTACATGTAGTTCCTTAATTTCAATTTGACCAAATACATTCAAGCATGATGGGGAGCAGTGGTTGGTGCACTCCGCTACTCCGAAAGCAAACCTTGGTTTTATACCCAGGCACGACTAACATCATTGGCAAGTAATATCTGAACCAGTACCAATCTTGCCTGCCCCCCCCCCCTCCACTAGCCCACACTGATCAGCATGGTGAAATGTGGTTGATCAACCATGATGACTGATGCAGCATAGGCAAGCCTTCAGCAGTGGATTAACAGAGCCATGAATTTGAATTCGGACATCTTCATTCAACAAACTCGCCTAACATGGAATTAATGTGTTAAGCTGCATGTAGTGCCTCACATTCGCCATGAAATGGTACCTTTTAAGTTATCCATAAAGGCGTGATCCATTAACAATAAACTATACATTAGTCCTCTGTTCGAACACCATGGGTTAATGTTGAGGTTATGTGAAAGGTAAAGCGTATGCCACAGAAACCGAAAAACCAAGCCATTCCAAATGATCGCAGCCGATATTTTGGCAAACACCTGGGACTCAAATCTTGATGTGGTATATGTGGCATATAGACATGAAATGCTTTCGATTAAATATTACAATACCAACTGGGTGTGTGTATTTTTGTTGACCCATTTCAAACCGTTGTTGAATTGTGTTTGTTTCTTTACGGACACCGTGTAGAGCTTGGAATAATATTTCCCCCTGTGAACGTGATGGTTGTCCTTTATAGGTACCAGCAGTCATTCCATGGTGTCGATCTGTCCAGCCTACGTGGGGCTGCCCTTGAAGAGTACTTTCGGCAGCCAATCGTGGTGAGTGGAGAGCCTGAGGTGCATCTATGATGAAATGTAGGACCTATTAAAGCAACATGGGATTTTGGAAGGGAAAGCTGACTTAAAGCATCGAGGGCAACCGACGATGGGATGGTTTAGAGGACAAACTTAAGTAGTAATGGATTGTTGTGGTATCAGACATGGACTTGGTAATTATGTTTAAAAAGCAAATGTAATCTTTAGTTATTTTTGTATATTAATGATGTGTTCCATGTATATCTGTCTCTTTTTTTTTAAGGATACATTTGACATTCGGATACTGATGGCCAGGTCCATCAAGTACACGGTGAACTTTCAGCAGGCCAGGGAGGAGGACCTACACAGGTGAGTGTCTCAATCTACACCTTGTCACTACAATTGAAGACATTCGCTGCTGTTCTGGTAGGCTTGGAATGATTCACTCCCCGAGATGTTTCCATTAGTTGTTACGATTTGTGGCCGTGATTTTCATTTTAATCAACTAAGTGATGGATCATTTTGAGTCTAGTTTCCAGTTTTATGTACATATGTTGAACTTGTTTCACACCAAACGTAGCTACCCGTGCAGTTATTAGGAGTGCACATGCAAATGATATCAATATTCCTACATAGCACTTTCCAACCTAAACTTATTTGAAAAGCAGTCATATTTTTTTAAGGGTCTTGATGCTCTTGTCGTAGTCGCACCTTTGCGTCACTCATTCTTTGTAAGTGGCTGTGTTGCTGTGAGCCCCTAATGGGTTAAACTTTGTTTTTCCAGGATAGAGATCCCTTTCAAGTTCCAGATGCTTCAGTCTGGGCTGGTGCACGGCCTGGCCTTCTGGTTCGACGTGGCGTTTGTGGGCTCTATGTGAGTACTATCATTGACGCCGTTTCAAGTGGCCTACTTGCTATTTGCTGTCACGTGCCTAATACGATGAAAACAATGCTGTAGCCAGTATTTAAAGCGCTGTATTATGGTATGTGTGCATGCTGTTGCAGGCTGACAGTCTGGCTGTCCACGGCTCCCACGGAGCCATTAACGCACTGGTACCAAGTGCGCTGCCTGCTGCAGTCGCCGCTCTTCACGAAGGCCGGAGATACGCTCTCTGGCACTGTTGTAATGATCGCAAACAAAAGGTTTGTGCTCACGAACGGACCTACAACAAAAAAACCTTTGCGTGGTCATTGCATTGTGGTGTATTTTTGCTCATTCACTTTACGCCATGTTTATTAGTTTACATTGTTTTTCGTCATAAGTTTCAATTGCATGCTTACAGCTGAATTGTCAACTGCACCAATAAATGAAGTCTCGTGTATTTGTTTTACAAGTTAATGCTTAACACGATTTTAATTGAAGTTCTACTTGCGGTATGAAAAACAATGAAACGGCTGAGGTTTATTCGGTAACTAATTTTTCTTATTATTTTATATTTTTTTTCCATGTCCTGCAGACAGAGCTATGATATCAACCTCGTGGCTGTAGTCGACCAAACGGGGTCAAAGTCGAGCAACTTGTTGGACCTCAAAAATCCATTCTTCAGGTAAGACCGTGAATGTCACATTTGTTGTATATCCCGAGCTGACAAACACGTCTTTTTAAGCTTCATTCAAGATAAATCATGGTCGCACATTCTATGATGGTGCACGGATAATGATGATAATGTTTTGACATTTAATTAAATCCTATGGGGAAAAATGCAGTGACATCACTCCCATAGGATTTAACAAAAATCAATTTTTTTTACTGATGTACTACCATATTTAAGCTCCCTGCCATCAACCCGCATGCCACCCCCTGGGGACACAGCCTACGGTGACGAGATGGTAACACCCTCGCCTGGTATCCAGTAGGTTGTGGGTTCAATCCTGACCCTTAATGCCTGGTATATTTGGAGTTTGCATTTTCTCCCCGTGGTCCCGTGGATTTTTCTCCGGGTCCTTCAGTTTTTCCCTCCACATTTTTAAAACATGCGTTTTAGAGTAATTGGTTGCTATAAATTTCCACACTTGGTTGAGCTATCATTTGTGGCCAGGTAACTGAAAAAAAATAGCTATATAGCTCAGTGGGCCTTACCTGATAAAATAAAATTAGTTAAAATGTATGCAACTATTTGTTATCAATTAGAGCAGTTTGGCTGATTTGTGTCCCGTACTGGTCACATTACGCCTCGGAACTGGACGTTGAAGCGCTGCACGCCGGTTGTTGTTTGCAGGTACTCGGGGACGACGCCGTCGCCGCCTGCCGGCTCCCACTACACGTCTCCGTCTGAAGGCATGTGGGGCCCGTCGGCGTACAGCACCGTGGGCTCGACACAACTCACAAACCACAGTATGCGCGCCCTCTGTCATTGGCACTCGGCATGTTCACCTTTGTGTTCTTATAGTCGACTTGCGCTTACGGAAATTATAGTAAATGCCACGAATTGAAATAACTGGATGTAATGGGAAAAAATATTTCCCCCCCCCCCCACCCCCATACATACCATTATTTTTGTATGGCACTATCCAGGACCGCAATATGATTGCACAATTAAGTCAGTCATTTTTGTCGTTTTAACCATCTTATTTGTCATGCTTACATTTCCCCCCCCCCCCCGACGTGTTTATACGCTTGTTTGCTCAATTTGCCTAAGCGTAACATCGGAATCTTATTTGCATACATTCTAAATAATAAATTCTCACACGTGGTTTGATGCATGCATCTTTAAAAACTGCGGTCTTTCAATTTTACTTTTCTAGCTGCTGTGCCGTCTGCGTTTGACTTGAGTTCGGTGCTAAATTCGGTGGCTTCGCCAACGCCAACCAACCACATCCCCATGGGTGAGTAACACTGACGGTGGTGCAGGTATGATCACCACTTTGAAGAGGCAATCTTCAACCTCCATTAGATGTAAACCTAAGTGATTGGTCACACAAACGTGTAAAAAGAGCAGGGTTCTTCAGCTGTATTTCAGTGGGCCAGAATGAAATTATGATGGGCTTGCGGAACATGAGATGAATTATTAGCGTCGTAATGTTTTAACGTCTACATGTGACCGCTAAAGTGGTACCGCTCATTGGCAGGTCCGACATCTGTCTCTTTCGACTGTCAAATGTTTATTGTTTACACCTCTCCATTCTGTCTTATCTCTCGCATATCTGGCTAATCTTTTTTTACGTGAAAGCAGGCCATATTTCATAGCTCGGTGAGCCATCCGAGAGCCCTTGCAGATAATATTTGGCCCGTGGGCCGCAAGTTGAAAAACCCTGTTCTACAAGATTGTGTGGGCACCCTGCTGTGCATGTTGCTTATAGTTACTAAGTGGACACTTGCATAAAGGACCCTCATGGCCACTATAAAAATTTCGTTCATTCCTATTTGCTTGTTTTGCTTGCAAAATATTGACGTCAATACATCACTTGGCAGGGCAGTTTCGATTTGGTGCTCATTATGATCGGCTGGTGTGCGTTCTGTCTGTAATACGCGAGGCTTTTGTGTAAAGGTGGCGGTGTACGTGGTGACCATGCCGTTCTGTCGTTCCTTAACCGTGCTACCGCTTGGTGCCATTTCACGTAGAGGGAAGTGCTGTTGCCTGCTTTTATGTTAACATTGGAAACGTTTTAAAGTGGTTCTGCTTAATTCTTTAAACTTGCATTTTACATGAAAGTAAAGTGACCTCTTTACTTTTCCTTAATATACCCAAAATTCAGATTTTTAACCTTGGAACAGTCTTTCTAGAAATCATGAAAAATTGGCAAACAACGTTGGTGGTCATAAAAATCTAATTTGTTTATAGGATTTGTCAATACTGGAAGAACTCTTTTAAACCGTAACCATCTTATCTATCGTGATATTGGTGTTTCATATTATGCTTTATTTAGATGGCTCTGATAATTGCGCCAACAGTACGAGCTGACTTGGCAATCTGCAGACGTACGAATGGTCTGGAAACCTATCTGGAAGGAACTCGTTAAACAACTGGAAAGTGCTTATTACAGTTTCTTAATTAATTCGCAATTTGTATTAGTTTAAACCATCGCTGCGTCTACTGATTGACTTGGGTGTGTAGTGCATAATTTGTACCGCTCTATTTAGTTATCTCGATGTGCTTTGTTCGTGTTTTGGTGTACGCAGGTGCATGAGCTTTGTCTGCCTCGCTGTGTCTCTATCTCTTTGCAGCCGACACTGGGCCTGTGAATCACAGTTTCTCCAGGCTGGGCTCCATTATGAGCACGGGATTTGTGCCGGGTAACGCTCTAGCCAAAACCGCTACTGCATGACTTTATTTCCTTGTTTATTTAGTCACTTGAGCTTATCTGATGGACCTTTGCCCCCCGGGGAGAAATTGGCCGTTAACATGAATGTAACTGGACATTCAAATTTGTCTCGAATCCACTGCAGTTAACTTTTATTTTAAAAAATGTATGGATCCACCTTGTATAATTAACCAGGTATAGCAACTAAGTGGCATGCTCTGTCATGAGGAGTGTAGTAGCTTTGCCCATATTGCTCCGAGTGTAATGGATGTGCGGTCTTGACATGGGTTTTGCTAATGCATGCTCTGGGATGGGTCTCTGTTGGAAATGGGAGATGATGAAATTACATTTTGAACCAGGAAACTTACTTGAATAATTTACCTGAGAATGTCCCATAAAGAAATCAACCCTCCTTTTCAACAGCATGCTTCTTTTTGTAAAATAAACATTTCTTTAAAAAGAGATTGTGAACTTGTAAGACAATTGAGAAACCTGACAATTGAACGGATGTCCATTTGTGGCAAGGGGGTTCATTTTTATTGCTGATCACTTAAATGCAATTCCACGCTCACATTCTCAGGATGATGGGCAGTCACGCAAACTGACCTGAATACTGGGTAGCATGAAAGCAATGTGTGTGCCTTGTTGTGCCTGTGTGCCACAGGAAGTGGCAACACGGGCCACTCCACAGTACCCGGATACCCGATGTCTGGCCAGATGGCTTCTGCGGCGGCGGCGGCAGCGATGGGCGGCATGTTGGGCATGACGACGTCGCCGGTACCACTCGTCAACAGCAACATGCCCTTCAACAGCTGAGAGGAAGCACAAGATGCGAAGGGATGAGGCTGAGCAACCGTCCGTAATTAATTCAACCTCAATTCACGTGAACTTTTTAAAAAGCTGTAACTTTACCATTTGGCTATCTGAGGTGAGCGCACGTGTGCACGTGCGTCACAGCACCAGCCGGCGTTTGCAGTTGCGTGCAAGTATATGCAGTTTGTTATACATGTTTTTATATATATTAAGTTCAACACATACCCAAAATTGTTCTGCTCATGGTATAGTAATTTTTTTAAGTTCTATTTGGGATATATCTGGACCAAGTTCCCAGAAAGATATATTGTTTTGATGCAGATAAGGGGAGCAATAATGTCAAGCTGATGACATTGTTGCTGCTAATCCTGACATCGTTATTAGAACACATGACATTTATCTTGCCATTTCAAGACTGCACACTACATTAAGTTTACAGCGACTTTCTTTTTGTTTACGACAGTAATTTGTTGAAGTGCTTTTCAAGTTTGGCAAAAAAAAACCTCAGTTACTGCCCGCTTTACTGATGTTATAAACCATGACCCAGAGCACTAGTGGAGCCAGTGGGGGGGGGGGGTTGGCACGTGTCCCCCCAATAATCCGATCGAAATCCCTAATTTCGATCGGATCATTGGGGTTTATTAGTAATAAATCGGCATTTTGCGACCCCCACTGCCAATGTGTAGCATATTATTATGTGCCAGGGACTCTGTGAGATGATAGGACAATAGTCTGAGTCCATAGTTGGCAATAAGTAACGGCAAAGCAGTTATAAGTGTCTCACAGAATTGTGCGCAGTTGCATCTACAGGACACGACTTCCCTGAAGGCAAACACCTTCAGCGAGCGCGATGCCGATCACGCACGGTTCGAATTCGACCCTCCATCGATGGCTGTGCCATCGCCGTGCACGCGTCGAATAAAAAGCAAGGGACAAGTCCTTACTTACTAACAACTCCATATAATTTTTCATTGCTGGAGGGGTTGCCCCCCCCTACCTGAAAATCCTGGCTCCGCCATTGACCCAGAGTAATTGAAATCTGCCTCCTTTATGATCATTGTGAATTTACCATTGTGGGAGCTTTTAGTTTTTAAGTGTAAAACTGCCTCCTGATTTTTTATAAAATGTGGATGCAATTAACTTTACTTTATCTGCAGATGTAGACACGCATAAAACCATAGAAACATTAACTTTACCTGTCGCATTGCAACATTTCACAATGGTAAAGTGTTAGCACAAAGTGATTTTCTGAATATAAATGATATTTTCAAGGCTCAATAGCTGCTCCAAAAAAACTTTCGCAATGATATTTGCACCCGTTTTTATTCACACGAACAAGCGGAAGCTTCTAAAGTTTGGTCCTAAACTGTGCATTTGTGTTTTAATGATACACTTCCAATTTTTTTGACTTTAGACATGTAGTGTTCGCGAAAACGCAACGGGCAATTTGTTCATTTTTAAGAGTGGCTATGTTGAAAAGTCACGATTGAACAATGTGCTTATTACACTGGAGTGAGACATTTGATGAGAAAAGGACAGACGTAGCTAGATTTATTTTCAAAGTAGCAAATTAACAGTTAATGGAAAATAGTTTTGCCTACACTTCTGAGTAAATCGGCTGCTCAGTGACTGGCAGTTTCGTGTTCAATGGTGTGATCTCGCTCCAACGTGTACATTGGCGAAAGGTGCTACTATTGCAGTTTTGAAAACATTTCCAGAGGGGTTAAACCTTGTAGAGTTTTTTTTGTATTGGCCACCTGGCTTGCACGGGTGGCTTGCAAATGCACCTTGGCATTGTATCTGCACAGCTCTGTAGAAGTGTGGCCACTTTCCAAAAACAATACTTTCTTGCAGTACGTGACATGTAAAATGTATGATAACATAAGTATGACAGATCCAGGATTTAATCGGTGGGATAAAATTACGATACATAAATTTAGCACGGGCGCAAACTTTTCTGCAGCCAAATGTGCTCAATGTGGTCGTTTGGCTTCTACAAACAGGCTGGGGCTCATGTCTCTCCCCAAGGTTCATATTTCTGCCAAGATTAGTAATCTAAATAGTGGTCTTCACAAGTTTAAAGATGTTAAATCCTCAAACATTCCAGTAAGGATGTTCTTATTTCAAACATGACCTGCAAGTATTAAGGTATAACTTATGACATTTAAATTACAATACAGTGAATAAAATATTGTAAATGTTGGTTCAAGCTTTACCAGGTCAATGGTGAAGAATTGCAGAACAATGTTTTACACCACTTTGTGAAATGTTCGTATGTTTAGTTATTAATGTATATCTTAAGCCATGTTTAGTTTTTTTTATACAGAACCTTTTTATGGTTTTATTCACTTTTTGTCAACCGTCTTGAAGGTGGTGCGGTGCACACCGTCGGATGGTATTTTTACATCTGAACAACTTTTTCCGTGAGGTTATAGAATACGAAAAGACGAGTTCATTTTTGGTCCGTAAAATAACCTTAAGAAATTCGTCTGTAGCGTTAATGTCTAGGAGTTGATGTTTAGAATTGACGTGGCAACCCAGTTATGCTGTGAAAATTCACTTCAAATGTTAGCAGATTAAGATGCTTATTTTGGGAGGGTTCGGACAAGATCTGCGTTTATCAATGCCCTAAAGCGGATGTAGCCGTTCCCAAGTTGGCTAAGAGGCAACGCGCTTTGCTCACTGTACAATTGTCTCCGTAAAAACGTTTAGCTGTGATGACCACCACTCACATTGGCACCTGTCATCATGCGAGTGCCATCTTTAAACTTGCCAGCTCTATATTTAAGTCTGTTTCCTTTTAAAATAAACATCATACTCATGAATTGTGTTGCTTTTATCTCGAACAGTGCTTAAATTATTTTTAAAAAAATAAGTTTATTTCTAGAATGAGAATTGTGCATTCTTGACTTGCAAGAATTTCCCTTGCTTAAAGTATGTGAAATTATGGTGTGCTGCATGAAAATACCTCGAATTGAACTCTTCCCAATTCACTGCTGGAGGAAGGCCTCCCCACAGCATCAGTCATCAGTTTTTTTTTACCACACTTCATGCTTGTCGGTATAGGTTTGCAGGCAGGTCTGTGGCTGCATCACTCACCAATGATATCCATGGCCAGGAATTGAAACTAGTTTATGGGTTCCTTGTGCAGTGCACTAACCACTATGCCACTCCACCCAATAGTTAAACCTTATGTATAGAATGTGACTTGTATGGAGCCTTGAAACTTCAAGTATTTAAGTCAAATACTTTTTTAGTATTCAAAATACATGGCTTTAACATCAGCTGCCACTTGACTTTTCACAAAATGATGCTCAACAGTGAGTCGTCGTTTAACCAGATGGATATTCGAGTGAATGTATTGGATATTGAGCAATCTAAAAACACAATTGTTTTCTAACATTCACATGTGAACGAACAAAAGACAAACAAAACCACCTAAAGAAATCCCATCAAACGCACGTTTTATTGTTCCAAGAGCATAAAAATACCCAATGTATAATATACATGAACTCCCGTTGTCACTTGCTGGATGGTCATGGGGGTTATCTGACCATACTTTACTATGCTGGTCAGTGCAGGTTGGAAGTTGGGTGAATAGAAAAACTCACGATTTTAGCGCCACTGCTTCCCACCAAGTAGCTCTGCAACAGCCATCAACCTGATGTGCGTGGTTACACATTCAAATAATACTCCAGGCCTAACCCTCAATTTCGATTTAATGAGATGGGACACTTTCCAGATGATTGTGATAGGATATAACATTTAACAGGAACGTTAATTTTAAACGCAGTGGATAGTGGTGCACTGAACTGTCAAGTTTGTTTAACATGTGTTAAGCTCATTTGGCACAATACTTAAGGCCAACCGTGCCAATTGGAAGTGCAAAAAATGGATGAAACAGGGGAGAACTAAGACACCAGGATATAGCCTCATTTGCAAGTATCCCTGGCGATCGGGTTTCAATTCCCACCTGCCATTCCCAGCCTTTAATCTGTGCTGACAAGTGTGACACGAAGTCAGAATGTGCATCTTTTGATTAAGAATGCAGGAATCCCAATGAGCTATGAAGCTTTTTTTTACCACAGATGTCCCGTATGGGTGGGTCCGCAAGTGTGGTGCGAAATATGGTCAACCCCCAGGACAATTAATACAAAGGGAAGCCTTTGTTCAGCAGTGGATTCTTAAAAGGAATTTTTGAAAATTCATGTGGACCGTCCCTATTGAAAATGTTTGCTTTGCAAATATACACCTTCAGCAGGTACTCTCATTGACAATACTGTTTGCTAACATGTGGACAGTGTTTTAAGTTTCCAAATGCATCGCTTATTCTTTCATTCCATAGCATCGACTTAATTTTTTTGTAGTCCGGTAAATGCGTGCCTCTAAACCGGGTTGCTGAATGAAAGACGGCCCCATATAGAATCAAGCTTTCCCCCAATGACCAAAAAACATTACTGCAGATATTTATTTTAAATGTCAAAGGTAGTTGGGTTTTTTTCATAACATTTAAATTCATAACTTTAGCTTGAATATGAATTCTGCATACATTTAGCAGTGTGACAACTTTGGAAAATAAAATGCATGCAAACAAAATGCGTATATGCCATTGACGAACATTGCTGTCAATTAGACATTTGGATGTGCTAAATTCCACTCCATGCTTTTGTGGTCTTCAAGATTTTTAACATGGGAGCCAAAGTGGAGCAGCAGAAAGACTTGCCATTCTCAAACTTGAAGACCCGAGTCGAGTGCATGCTCTGGACAACAGGCATTTGTCATCTTTTGAAAAATCCCAAATGTATGAGCTTTTGCACCATGTAGCTAATCGGACGTGCAGGGAAGGACAACTAAACAAAAAGCAGCAAATCATTCCTCTGCCAAACAAATACAACTTCGGTTTATGATTACTCAACTGAATGAGACTGTACAAACTACAATTTCCTGCATTGTATATATATACTCTGTACACAGTATATACATAGCATCTTTTATATGGGGCTGGATATCTGCTAAGCAGCCTGGAACCAAACTTAACCACTCTTTTTTCATGGCACTATTCACCTCACATGTATACACTTAAAATATACAATACATAGTCAAGAAAGGTGACCTAACATGCATTTGAAATTTAATGTTTTCTCTGCAAGTGCCTGGCAAAGTGTACATAAATAACACTTAAGTTCACCTTATTCCCAATTAACAATCTCAAATCTGTTACATCAAGATTAAAAACATGTTCTTGTTTGATGTGCAGTTGTCCTCGGAGAGCTCAGTGTGCCGTGCCGTTGGCCCTGTGTGCCATCGTCACATGCGGGCTCAGAGTCGTTACAGCAGCGATGTGCGCTTGACGTGTGGAGAAAAAGTACAACTGCACACACAACGCGAGATGTTAGTACCACCCGAGGCCAGCCAGAGGCTCCTGCCAAGTCACAATTAAAAGTGATTACTTAAATTGTGATAGAATGAAAAATACCATACAAGCGATAGATCAGCTTTTAGATATAAGGTGCTCAAAGATTCTATACTGGTACACCTTGACTTGACCTGTGTCTGACCAGACCACAGTGTCCTTTGCTAAAGACAATTTCTTACACGTCATTCAACAAATACAATGCATGTGCTTGTAAAGGAGCAGTATTATATTCGCATTTGGGCACACGGATGTTAACTTGCCTCATTTAGCAGCGAGAACAAAATGCCCACTCGGGTTTCTGATGACAAACGTTAACTGCGTCATTACCAAACATTAAGTGTGAAAACAGTTGACCAATTAACGTGTCACAAAGCTCACCTTGCAGCCGACAGCCAGCAATGTGTTCAATAAGAAGATGACCACTGTGGTGGCCACCGCAATTCGTTTGTCGTCATCGCGGAATGCAGGCCAGAAAGTTAGCGCCAGCACCGAGCCAGAGAGCGCCATCGCCACAACTATCAGTATCCATTGCAAAACACCCGACGGTATTGTCCACAGCACCTGCGATGTGTGGGATGGGCATTGGTGGTGGGGGGGGGGGGAGCAGAAATCAAGGGATAAAGTTAAAAGTGCGCTCAGCAGGAGACGCTAGCTTGTTCCTGCACTGCAGAAACCAACTGGGGTGATACGGCGGGAATTGGCCAAAACTCACCGCAGTGGGGATGTAGATGAAGAGCGAGTACCCATAAGCGCACACGATCTCCAGGAAGGAGAAAGACATCACTCCCATTGTCCTGTTGCTCCTCCACAGCAGAAAGCCCCACATCGCCAGTGGCACTAGCCATGCATATGAGTAAATAGCTGTGGCAGCAATGGACACTGCATTCCAGAAACAAGAACAGCGGTGTGTTTATTGTTATCCAATACAAAGTGTGTACATTCATTAAAAAAAACGTACATCAAGGTGTACAGTTGTACGACAAGACATGCACGCACCCTTTCGAAAATCAGCGACGTAGTGGTACTCGGAACCACTGGCTTGCGTGAACAAATTGGAGAGGTTCCCACTGATGGAAATTGCGAACACCAGTGTGGCACAGATCCAGAACGGACCTAGATGTGTGACATGGTACAGAGCATCAGCAAGACATCAACAGTGCCTTTCACAAGTAACTAACAAAACGTCAAGTAACAATAGATAAGATACTACATGCTAACATGAGGGTCAGTAGCTGAATATGATGGGGCTTGATGAACACGGTGTTGTTTGATTTTACAGCTTCTAAAGTTTGTATCTCCACTAAAATTGGTGAAATTTCGATTTAAAGCTTTCGTGACTGCAGGGATTCATCGTCTGTCGGAAAGACAGCGTTTGTCGGAAAGACAGACCTGTTCTTCACCTGAGGACGGCTGCTTGCGTTGTATCCGAAACGTCGTGAGAATTGTATTTTATTATGTTTTATTTTTATTATTTTATTATTTCCCTTCTACGTGACTTTACTGAAAGAACCAAGAAGATAAAATTGGTGAGTTTAAAGTAACACGTAACATTCTCATTAAAATAATGCAACGTCTGCTTAAAGTACGAATGACAATAAGGGCAGTGCCTTGCTCTTAATTGAGCAAACATTGCAAGTGATGCACCTCATAGACTGATGAGTGCAGTGTAAAAACGTGGGCGACTTTACCGTAAAGATCGGGGTTGCCCCGAATGTGCTTGCGCACAAAGCTCCTTCCAGGAAACGGTATCATTGAGCCCTTGATTCTGTCCAAAACCTTCACAAACCAATATACACAAGCTGAAGGTCACTGTTGATATGTAATACACGTTTAAAAAAACACATCTTTAGTAATTACGTTCCAAAAACAATTCTGATCAACTTACATCAAATTAGTCGACCAATTTGTGTGCAGTTCCAGCAGCTTACCTGGTGTGTATCAACGTCAAAAAATGTTTTGTAATAATCAAATGTCCAGAAGGGGGCGCTCTTTTTCTCTTCAGATAGCAACTGCCAGACAAAAAAAAAACAAAGTTCAATCAAAAATGATGTCCCATTCAGTACAAACAAATTGGGAAGAAAGAATATCTGAATTGTATTTAAAATTAACTCAACGTAACATTGAATGCGGAAGCCAATGACGTATTACGCCAGGTGATACTGTACCCACCTCTGTCTTATCACCAAGTCTTCCCAGCATGTCTACCTCTTCATCGTCATCATCGGACTCGCCGCCACCTCGCTCTGCCACTCTCGTCGGCTGCTGCTGTGGCCGCTGATTCCTCGGTGGCGGGCCGACATCATCCTCGATGCTGACCGTGGTGGCTCCAGGTGAAGATGCCAACAGACTCGTAGCATCCTCAAATTCTGCAAGGAGTGTGTTTGTGTGTGCGTGAGCAGCAGCAGTCACAGGTGAAGTGCCTTCATTTATTATGATCAGCCACGATCAATAAACAGCTGGATGAAGGCCTCCTCATGCTGTCACTATCCCTCACAGTATTGCAGTGCAACAATTCACCCAGCAGCTGCACAAGAGCTGATGTCATAAATTTAGCTCCACGGTTGATACCCACCCACTCACACATCCACTTACCTACCAACCCACCCACTCACTGAGTGACCCATTCATTCGCCAACTTAGCAACTCACCCATTCGCTTACACTTTCCCAGTGGCTGACCGATCTACATGGAAATCACCGCAGGTCACTCTGTGTCACTTTTGCAGTAGACTCAAAGCAGATATGTCCTACTCTTTGATATGTCCTGCAAAGCATACACAGTATAAACATGGCCTGCTCATGTATTTATTAGTTAAAGCCATACCCTGGAACTGCAGATCATCCCTTGCCGTCATGTTTCCCACCGAATCTGGGTACCTTGACGGCTGCCCCTGCTGAAAGACAAATCCAGTCAAGCATCTGCCGTCGCAAACGCATTATATCTTTTAAATCACACGCTCCCTTACGCATTTTTGTTGTTGTTAGTATGATCTCAGGTGAGTCTTGGCCACAACGTACGCGTCGTGGGGGTAACTTTGACAATACTTCACCACGCTGGTCGGCTAAAGACGGGGAACATATACCCCGGGAGCATAGAAATACAGTACAACAGATGTTTCCGCACTGCTCACATGAAGTTCTGCAGCAGTCGCCTGCAAAGCGCGAGACTTGCATACACGTATAGTACGTCGTTTGTTGAACTTCTTTCGCACCGTACGTAACCAACCGTGCTAATGTGGCCGTTTAAAGGCATACCAAGATATATCTTACGAGATATCTCTTACAAGATATCTCTTACACATTCGTGAAGGCTCACGACAACAAGTTGGGTCACAGCAGCCCATAGTGTACAGCGTTATAAATTAAGACGTTTCGACTAGTCTCACTTGTCTTTACACAAACTGTTCATCCCCAGGTTGTCCAGCACTTCTAAGCTTTGTAAAATAACATTACCGTCGATACATATATGCAGGATAAAGAGCTAAACACATTAGTTTTAATGACGTCGCATTCACAAGAGGCCGGAACAGTGGGGCCTAGCAACGGTGGAGAAGCCTCGGGGAGCACCGGTCTCGCCTAGATTACTCTACCGAGCACCGCCACCTGCATCCCCGCCACTCCACAACCAGGATACGACCCCCGTGTGTCGGGGTCCTGGGCCACGGGATGGCTCGTGAAACTCCACGATCGTGAAACCCCACGGTCGTGAAACTCCACGCTCGTTCACCTCGCTTTGGGCTGACGGAGATGTTCAGAGAGACGGGGAAACACAGAGAACGCGAGAGGCCGCCACGTCCACCCAGAGACGAACACGAGCCGGACTGTACCACTCGACCCGGGAAACTCACAATTCACGTCCAGACAATTCAAATCATTAACTAAAATTGAACGTGACATTTACTCCGAATTTCATTGACTACTTTATTTAAAAGTAAGAACCAACGACGACAAAAAAATTCGTTATTCTTTGCATATTTAACTGTTAAAGTTTAAAGAATGATTAGGAACCCCCCTGGCGATTGAATGGTAGCACCCGGTTTCTCAACAAGCTGCGATCCGATTCTTCGCGCAACAATCCATACCCCGGATCAAATCGAATCATCGCCATTGATTTAACACTGCAACGAATCGCCTTCACCCATCCCCCACACCCCACAACCGTGTACCAATAATCAACAAACAACGCCATCAATTCGTTTAATCACGGTGGCGATGGAGGTCGGAGAAAGAGAGGCGGGCGGGTGTGGGTTGATACCTTCGATTCCCATCACGCCTAACGCCGAATCGATTCCTCTACGCTCCGCCCCAGTGTAGGCGGAGGCGTTGAATCAGCAGCAGCAGCAGCGGGCGGGGGGCGATGATATCATGATGCCGTGATGCCTCGGGGCAGATTCTCAAAGCCCGAGGCAGCTCCGTCTCCATCGTCGTCCGAACGTCGGTCCCCATCATCATCAGCAGCAGCAGCGGCAGCAGCAGCAGCAGGCACGGGAGGGCGCCCACGGGACCATGCGGCCGAGGCGGCGAGCAGGACGGGCCCAGCGATGCTCGCCCGGCTCCTGTCGGCCGCGCTCTACGGCATCAGCTCCTTCCTCATCGTGGTGATCAACAAGAGCGTGCTCACGGCATACAGGTCAGCACCGACACACGGGGGGCTGTGGGGGTCTACAGGGCAGCCTGGGGGGGTGGTAGTGGTGGTGTGGAGGATGCACGGAGGCTTTGTGGTATTATTGTTGTAATCGCTCTTGCTTGGTTTAATCTAAGTTGTCTTGTGGTTGTTGTTGTTTGACTTGCATCCCACTGGGATGTTTGCACACAGCGTTGGTGTACGGTGCTTTTTCTGCAATATTTTGCTGTCTTTTCTTGGATTTTCTGTTTGCACTTAGTCACATATTCACTTTAAGATATTTTTGTTCATGTTTTTGTTTTTTGTTTGTTGCGGTTGCACCCGATTCAAGAGCCGAATGGATCACAGGGCTATACATCTTCTTGGTACTTTCGGTAAAGTCACGTAGAAGGGAAATAATAAACTAATAAAATATTACATAATAAAATAAAATTATTTCCCTTCTACGTGACTTTACCGAAAGAACCAAGAAGATGAATCCCTGCAGTCACTGAACGCTTTAAATCGAAATTTAGGGCTTAACGCCTATTCCTAATAAATCAACTGAAACTTGAACTTGGTTGGTCACCGGTCTGCTTATTTCAGGGAGGATAAACTTTGGGGTAGTGTGTGCATCATTAGGGGGTCTTTAGGGGTGGACATTGGGACACGGGCTCCCTTGTGTTGGATCATCATCATCATCGTAGGGTCTTGGTGGAGGACGTTATTAACCTGGAGAACATGAGTTTCTCGGATTATCAACCATCACTTTCTCGTTCTCCTTGAAGCAGTACAAAAGGTTATTTGTACATCATTAACTCCGAGGTGATGGTCACTGCTAGAAGAACTAAATAATAACAGCAGCTTTCATACTCTTTGGTTTTTTTCTCCAGTAAAGTCACGTAGGTGAAACAATAAAATAATTGAAAACAACTAAATTAAATCACGACGTTTCGGAGGCAACACAAGCCTCCCTCATCAGGTGTAAAAAGGGCACAGCAAAATAACTATAAAAATGTCTCACCACAAATAACTCGCTACAGTTATTTTGTTGTGCCTTTTTAAACCTGATGAGGGAGGCTTGTGTTGCCTCTGAAACATCGTGATTTAATTTAGTTGTTTTCATTTATTTTATTGTTTTACCTACGTGACTTTACCGGGGAAAAAACCCAAAGAGTTATGAATCCTTGCAGTCACGAAAGCTTCAAATCTAGAAATAACAGCAGCTGCTTGCGGGCACTATGGCAGGAGGGGGTAACCATGAAGTGAATACAGTCCAGACGTTATTAACACACATTTGTTAATGTTTGTTGAACCGTAACGTAGCCAACCTCGCAGATCTCCCAACAGTATTAGTCATGAGGTTTTTTTTATTATCATACATCATCACACTTGCCATTGCAGGTTGGTGAATGAGGGGGTGGGGTGGAGTTGTTAGGACCGGTTCAAATATCACCTGCTACTAATCTTAGCCGTGGCCAGGATTCGAACTCTAATGTCCAGCTTCATAGTGCAGTACACTCGTATCTGAGGGACACCACCAACAATAATTATTGCTCTTAAAGACCATCGTGTGTTGTGTAGAGAGCTTTGATGTCATTGTTCGGTTCATCGTGAGCCTTTGAATATCCCTTGGGTCTCTACTGCGCTCTGCAGCACCAGGCGATATGTGGTGCCACGAATATTCATTCAGTAAAAGCTTCGACAAAAAATGCAGTGGCGTATGATTACAGTCCACAGGCTGGCGTTGTTCATGGAATGCCATTTAAGGGGATGCAAGCCGAGTCGTTTGCGTTGAGAGCGGTGCCTATGCACGTCTTTGGGCGGCGATGATGATGATGCTGTTGTCTGTGCATGTCGCATTATGTGCACTGCCATGCTACTCCCACCTTGACGCGTTGCTGCACCGACGTGGGTGGCCGCTCTTTCGGTTGTGCTTGGGTTGGCACGTTTACGACGCTTGCGGTACTAACGGGGTTTATGGGTTTTCAACTTTGTCCAGCCATGCGTAACGGGAGTGGGGGGGTGGCGATGTCAGCTCTCATAACTCTCTCATACTGCAAGTACAATAATTCCAAAGTCAAGTGCATGATGGAAAGCATGACAATCCATGCTTATGCATGATTGTTATTAACGTGTTATTCGTTGTGTAGGGCATTTGGTGTTGGGGAGGTAGAACCAGCAATGCACCTATGAGAGTGTCAGTGCTGTGTTTGTGACACAATTGTGTACACGTAGATCCCTTTTTCAGTTAATCCACTGCTGGATGAGGAACTTTCCATGCCATGTGATTCATGGGGGTTATTTTACCATATTTCACCGTGCTGATCATTGTGGGTTGGTGGAGGCAGGGGTTGGTGGCAAGATGTTAACTACCTCTCCTGGTATACAGGAGGTCGTGGGTCGCATGTTTTCACCGAGGTCGCGTGAAAATATCTCTGGGTCCCTCAGCACTTAGAAACATGTGTTTAAGAATATTTGGCTGCTACAAATTTCCAGGCGATAAGCCACTTCGTTGAGCTGTCATTTGTGGCCAGGTCGCTTCTGAAAATGAGCTACATAGCTCAGTGGGCCATACCTGGCAAAATATTGTATATATATTTGGGAGCATAGTACAATGTGGCACCAATGTGACGGTGACATTGACATGGTGGTCTTCATTCGCTGTGCATTCGCGAATGTGATCGGCAGCACATTATGATATTGACAACGATCAGATGATGTGCGGTAAATGCAATACCTGGCCCACACTGGTGACGAGTTATATCTGAAGCGGTCCTGGACGCACCCCACTTCACCAGCTTACTCTGGCCAGCGTGGTGAAGTATGATCAAAAACGGCCATACCGAAAGGTGCGGGGAAGCCTTCATCCAGCAGTGGATTGGTCAAGGGGCTGTACCTTATACATTACACTTTAGAACGTGTTACCCAGCGAGTGGATGGAAGTCCTGGAGCTACACTCCTCATGGCTCTTCACGTCCCGAAAATATAAATACTGCGCCCTACAACATGCCCTTATAAATAGAGCTAAGATCCTTAGCACTACAAATAACTCTGTGTCAATGTCGCAGCTAAAAACTGCTTTACCCCTGGACTGTGATTATCTGCCACATCTATGGATAGAATTTTACTGTGTAGCACTGGTCCACACTTGGTGGTTATTGGGAGCATGTGTCTCAAGCAAGACCCTGGTACAGGTTGCCTCTCCAAGTCTGACTGTAACGTGGCATTACTGCCACGTAATGCCGCGTTACATGCCACGTTCGTCATCTCACTGCTCAAGTGGGTGATCCGATTGACATTGGGCCATGAGTCTGCCCCGCACAAACGTTTTTCTCCAGTCTTGATAGCTGATTATTCACAAATGTGGTTTGCAGGATCCAAAGGTCTGTTGTAGAGTGACTTATGTTTATTCGTGTGTTTTCAAGATAGCGTTACTGTTAAACCCATTTTCATCATCATTATCAGCACTGCTGGATGAAGGCCTCCCCAAGCTATCAGAATCTCACATGAACCTCTGATGTAATTAATAATTAACTTATCATTTTTTCTCTACATATTTAATGTTTAAAAAGACATCTGCTTCATTACCCTGTAGTGTCATTGCATTTTCAAAAGTAAGGCAGATGCTTCTTTTTGGCTTGCTGACTGCACTGAGTGCAACGGTATTTATGGGCAAAGTGAGATGTTTTGCACTGTAAATATGCTTTTCCCTTGGCAAATTTGCCACATTAGTCACAGTTTGCAGTGCCAAGACCTGCAAGGGCTATCGGAAATGTGGGGGTAGGGGTTTTACTCTCCACCAGTATGTTTCAGCCTTGGAATGTCCATTGACATGCGTTTGAAGCTGAAATATAACAGCAGCATTCCATTGTTTTGTTCAATTTGTGATTTTATTTGTGGACTTTTATGTTCTGGGATAAAAAATGTTATCATTTTTTGTTCAGCCATGATTCCATGAGGGCATTTTCATGCCCTGTCAGTTATAAGGGCTGTTTGATCATACTTCTCCGCACTGGTCATTGCAGTTGAGTGAAGGAGGCACCCCAGGACTGGGACAGATATCGCATGGCACTGATGTTTTTTTTTGCTAACCACCAGAGCATCGTGCCAGAGTCTGTACCCATTATTTATTTCATAATATGAAAGATAAAGTTTTTTTTTTATATCTAGAAACAAAATGCTAAACATATGTGTTTTACACCATTACTATATTTCAGATTTCCATCTTCTATATCCCTGGGCATCGGACAAGTAAGCATTTGTCACCCCAAATACACCCATCCTCCCGTGGCAAATTTGCACTTGCATTCAATTCTTCACTGACAAAAAGTTGTTTAAGACAATGGTGGTGGTTCAAAAGAATGGCTTCTTCAGCGGCACCAGTGTGAGAGTAAACAACTGCTGATGTGTTTCTGCACAGATGGTGGCCACGCTCGTGGTGCTGTACGCTGGCAAGCAGTGCGATGTGGTCTCCTTCGCTGATCTGGACCGGAGTGTCCTTCGCAAGGCGAGTTAACCCGCATTTAGCGTGATCCCAGCAGATGCAGGACACCTGTCACGGGGGGCATTGTTTAATAAAATCTCAGTGGCGAGGCATTCGCTGTGACCTGTTGCAACTACCTCCTACTGTGACACTTTGTCAATCCGTTGCCGATTGAAGGCCTCCACACACTGCGTCAGTTGTGGTGGTTGTTTGACCATACTTCAGCAAGGGGTAGGGGGTCCCAGGACAAGTTAAAATATCACCCGCCACTAATGTTAGCCATGGCTGGGAATCAAACTGAGGTCGCCGGATTCATACAGCAGTGTGCTAACCCACTGCACCAGTGCCTCCAGGTGGTCCGCGGGCTAATGGAAATGCAGGATGATCCAGAAATAATGACAACGTTCATATGTTTTTGTTATGGACATTAATTAATATTTTACTGGTAGGAACCTCCTGGTTACACCAGCCCACAGGGGATTATTGTGTCCGTCCGTCGTGCAGGGAGGGGCTGGGTGGGGAGAGAGGGGCTAGGTGGGAAGGGTGGGGCTCGGTGGGGAGGGGGGTGGGGAGGGGCTGGGTGGGGAGGGGCTGGTCACCCCGTGGTGCCCTTGTAAAACTCAACGTTCAATCTACTCACGCCGGCTTGTGCCCGCCCTCACAGTCGGGCATATTTGCGGAATACACCACGCCGCCGTTAACCCTGGCCATTGACCGAGCAACCTAACGTTCCTACCAGCTCCCTCCGCAGGAATGTGTTAATCGTGATATTTAATAAAAATTAACTTAGGTAAACTACCCTGATTCTAAACTACCCTAAGATCTAAATGCCCCTTAGCTGTGCAAATTTTTGTGTGTTCCGGTAACATGAATAATTTCGTATTAATGGTATTTAGAGAGCGAAGTGAATGCGATTTGTCACTAGGGTTGGAGGCGGGGAGGGCTGGGTAGTCCACGGAAATGTTCATATCGGCTGCGTGGTCCGTGAGCCAAAACAGAAAAAACACCGTTCTACATTGATGTAACATGAATAAAAGCTAACAGTGTAATTGCGGTCATCGGTCGCAAACCACATAGTAATGCCGCTTGCTCGCTTTCATCATTTGCTGGCGGCAATTATTTTATTCACCAGGCTACCCTGAAGCCTTCCCCTGTCTCTGCAACCTTGACATGAGCGTATAAATGTTGTTGATCAACACCCACTGTCTATGAAATAAGAAAAAATTCAAAAGCTATGACCTTTGCACTTGCCAGTGTCTGCAATTATGCAAGCAGATTTACACTTGCCTAACAGTATTTAATGTGCAGCATATTTGTTAGGCATGTAACAATGCACCGATTGATAAATAATTGATTCTTTAAGCTCACCATACAAACATTGAATCCCATGTGTAAGAATATGTTTTCCTATTCATTAATGTGGTTTATGTAATTGGTTCACGTCACTGCTGCCAGTCATTGCTGTCAGTCACTGGAGGTGCTACAATTCACTAAAATGTTAAGGGGAGGGGAGGGAAATCGATTTTTCCATCAAATTACGATCCTACATTGCAACCCTTGAATTACTGTATGTGGCAGAGTTGTTGAATCGATTCACCCCTATTTAATAGGAATGTAATAGCATCAATTCATAATTTAATATCTATTCTTACAGAACAAGCTTCGAATTGTGTGTCTATGTATTGATTTGCCTTCATATCACCCGAATGCATGCCGTGCGTAATTCTTTCATGTAAATGCTGTAGCCACTTAAAGGCCCTATACGTACACCACCATGGCAAAAAAAGTCATTTGTTCTTGAGTTAAATCACGGCCCCAAGTTTGTGACAATTTATCAAATAGTGAGTGGGTAAATCACAGCAGCCAATTATTAGTATTTATCATGCAGCGTAATCAATCGGTACTACCACGACCTTTGGGAAGCGTTCAGCCGTCTTATCGATAAAGGCTGTAAAATATGATTTTTGAATATATACAGCTGTATACAGAAGGATATTTCTTCATAAAGACTAGGTGTTTTGTAGACATTGCGCTGTAGACAAGACGTGGTGCTTTTTAAATCCTTTATATTAAGTTCACTTGCTTGCTTGCTTGCGCGCTTACAACCGTGCAAATCTTTCGGTCGTTTTTTAACCCACTTCCCGTGATCCAATCGAGTTGACATTTTGCACACAGACTCGTTGTGCGTGACAATTTATTTTCGTGAAAAATTTTTTCCAAAATTTTCCACTTTTTAGGAAATTTTTTTTTTCATATTTCATTTAAAATACCAATGTGATAAAAATGAAACTCTTACTCAAAAAAAACAGAAATGAATAATAAAATAAAACCGATGCCACGCATATAAAGGATTTATAGTGAAAAACTTAGTTTTTACGGGTTAATTTTTTATTTCATAAAAAGTGAAGATCCGTATTTTACGTACTCGGCCACAACTTCCTGAGACACGCGTGGATTTCATTTGGGCTTGGAGATGATTGTTGTGGCTTGTTTAATATCTACAAGGTCTCCTGCAAGCGTGTGACTCATTCTATTTCCCCATCTGTTTGTTTTTCAGATTTTCCCCTTGCCTCTGATCTACTTGGGAAACTTGCTGACAGGGTTGCTGAGCACAAAGCGGCTAAAGTAAGTTGCAATTGGCAAATATGCAAGCGTAACTTTTGTTCTGTATACACAAACAAATAAACATTGCTTGGTGCATCAGGCTGCATTGGCTGTCCAGACTATTATTACACAGCAGCATGTGCTTATGTAAGTAAACTCTGGACCGGTTATGACCTTCTGCGTCTCATCAGAAGAGTTAGGATTGTTAAACATATGCTGCTGGGTTATGCTATGTTTTATTGGAAGAGCACCCGCATCTAAACAGTGTTCAAAATTAAATTCAGTATCTTGCACCAACTCATTCCGCATTGTATAGAGCACTGGCCTTCTCACGCAGTGCAGGGTGCGCTCTCCGATAAAGCTAGTCGTACTGCTGGTGCCCGTGCATTTGCCAAACATGCCTGGAATTGCAATGCACTTGGGCCGCTACCAAAGCATTACGTGCACCGTGTGTTGCTTTATGTTTTCGCTGTCTAATTTGAAGTTTGATTTGTGTCCCCCGTGCCGGGTTTTTTTTCCACAACTTGGTAAATGACCTCCTTTTTCCAGTAAATGTACGACCAGAACATATGCTACCAGTTATGCTTTGTCTCGTGAGCATTTGATCATGCGAGATTGGTGCTGTGTGCGTCGTCGCCTTCTGTGTTGTCTTCTCCAGCCTTCCCATGTTTACTGTGCTGAGAAGATTCTCGATTCTCTTCACAATGATCGCGGAGGTTATCGTGCTCAAGTAGGTTATACCTCGTACACACATCATAGCTTCATCCTGTTTGCCTCGTTGCTGTACTTTATTTCAGTTGTTTTGCTTTCGTCAATTTGTTGACCCACATCACTCTTCCAAAATCGACATATCCTGGTGTCAAGTTCTCGCATGATCACACGAATAAAAATGTATTACATGCAAGTATTTCGATTTAAAGCTTTCGTGACTGCAGGGATTCATCTTCTTGGTTCTTTCGGTAAAGTCACGTGACTTTACCGAAAGAACCAAGAAGATACATGCAAGTATTTAAATATAATTCATCATGCCCGTTCCCCTTCTTTCTATCCCCTGCTTTTCATAACCGGTTTGGGTTTTGTTGACGGTATGTACGTGCATCACATTGTGATGTAACGGTCTGGCTCATTGCCTCCATTAAAAAAAGCTATATTTATAATTCATCATTAACCATACATCACCTCAAGTCGCACAAGCATTCTTTGCAAAGGCTACAGTGAATTTTAATGGCCGGTCACCTGGTGAAAATACACACTTAATGATCATTCATTAACTGAAAGTAAATATTTACAAAATGAACCTTTTTTTCCCACTTGTCTTTAACAGGAAGAAAGTGTCAACCTCCGTGCAGCTGACAGTGATGACCATGATCCTGGGTGCCTTCGTTGCAGCTAGGTTTGTCAACGCTGGCTCTGTGACATTCGTTATCAAGTCGCACTCATTACACACAAAGTGCTTGCCACAAATGATACACAAAACGTTGCTGATCCCGTCAAGGAACATAAAACCATCATGCGAACTCCGGCCATCCTCGCGGCGGCTTTTGGCTAGCCATCGACTAAAGAGGGTCACTGCATCGCACGCTCTCAGATGTGCTTATGTGGCCGGCTGGAACGCTCTGCTTTCTGATATTAGGAAGCCACTGGAGCTATGCACTTTTACATATAGATTGAAAACTCATTTCTCTAGAACTGCTTTTTATGTTTAGTTTGTTGTCCTTCCCCCAGACCTCCGATTAGCATGGTTGGCAATGTATGGTGCGAAAGAAGTTCTCATACATAAAAATAGTCATTTCATTTACATGACACTTCCTTTAATGCCTCAGCATCTCTAAGCACCTTGTATCACATCTCATCTCAAGCATTGTAGGAGAATCCCAGTGGCAGCTGTCCCTGTGCGGCACAAGGTGACTTAGCACTGGCCTGCAAGTGGGAATTAGTCTGCCAGTAGGTGGCGATAATTGCCACATTTAAAATTGTCCAATTTGGACCACGTATATATTAGACTTTTTTATTTTACCATTTAAGGCCCACTGAGCTATACAGCTCTTTTTCGGAAGCAACGAAGTGACTTATCATGTGGAAATGTTTAGCATGTTTCTAGATATGGAGGGGGAAATCCAGAGGACCCAGAGACCATGCAAACTCCAAATATGCAGTCGGGATCGAACCCGTGACCTCCTGTATACCAGGCGAGGCAGCTACCATCTCGCCACTGTGGCACCCACAGACCAAGACATTGGAACACAATGGCAGACACTTATTGAATGATGTCACTGGATCTTGAACGTCCACTGTGAAGGAGATGGAGCATATTTAATATTTAATACGTGCCCTCATTCGTTACTTTTTGCATTGCCCTCTGCCTTCCAAGTATCGGTGGCATCAATAATGGCCCTCAGATATAAGGTTACTTGTGTGTGAATGTATTTAGCAAATGGTTAGCATGGTTGATATTTCTCCCAGGTCTTTAGAACTACCATGGCTAATGTTGGCAATTTAAATATTCATGTTGTTCAACTAATTTAAACGTTGCCTTATTTGCAACTGATTTGTGGAATAGAACAGAAAACTAACATTTATTTACGTTTATGCAATGAATGCCATCACATTAGCAAATAAGTTAGTACTTTGAAAATAATATTGGCAATCATGAATTTAAAACAATTGTCGAATACCTTTAACTTTGGACAGGACTTATTTTCTTTTCACCGAGTATGTTTTAGTACCTGGCTCAAACACCCCCTCCACCCTGTCCGATCTTGAGCTTTCTTGAGCTTTCTCCTTCATATCACTCTACGCCCCCTCCCCTCCCAATCCCCCCCCCCCCTCCCCTGAAATTAATCAAGTGGCATCTTTCTTTCTCTAACTCTTTCCCAACCTGATATAGGGGTGATCATGATTGTGGTTTGTTTGTCCCATGCAGTTATTTTAATAATTCTGAGTGGCCAGCAGAGGGCCCCTTTGGCATCTGATCACCTGAAAGCCAGGTGTGCCCTGAATTCCTTCCTAATTGTCCCTTCTTGGTATCTTGCTTACACGATGTTGTAATGACCCACAACACTATCCGGGGCTGAGTTGTTTTAAATTAGGGTAACTTTAATGGTGATATATGAGTGTAACAACCCCCCCTGTAATTACTGGGCAACTGATATTAGCGTAATGTTGACATAACTTCTCCTTCAGCACACAAGGCAGGTCCCATTCATCCAGTGTAATTTGTATATACGCGCCTGTGTAGTTAAACTATTAGTCTTAGCTTCCAAGCCAGTCATTATCACGCAACTCTCACGTCACTCATCCCCTTGTGCTGTGCCATGGGCTGACCAGTGGCCTTTGCCCTCCTCCTTCCCTAGCTCTGACCTGGCCTTTGACCTCCAGGGCTATGTCTTCATCCTGCTCAACGACATCTTAACAGCTGCCAATGGAGTCTACATAAAGCAGAAGCTTGATACGAAGGTACACGGCCAGGGTACACAGATATCGGAGCTACTGCGGGCACGCAATCCGTTAGTGAATGCAAATTATACGTGAAAGCAAAGGACGATCTTTTGCAATGCGTGCGTTTGGAAAAGTTAAATATTTGTTTTCAGGCCACGTGTGCAAGCAACGAGCGGGCGTCATTTCATCGTTTTTGTATTTATTGGCCTCGTGGCGTCCTGGCATCCATAACCAGCGAGCGAATGCCCACCACTTTGACCCGTGGAGGCGGCCGCAATCTGCGCGCCTCATCGTTCGGGTGCTCGACTCCCCCACTAAAGTGAAGGTCTTCCCTTCAGGAGCTGGGCAAGTATGGGCTGCTGTTCTACAACGCGCTCTTCATGATCGTGCCCACGATGCTGATAGCGCACGTCACTGGCGACGTGGACAAGGTGAGTGCGCAGGCCACGGCGTCCTGCACTCGCCGCACTCCAGCACGGGAGAACATGACGTCCGATGCAATCCACCACACAAGACGGTTATACTCCTTCGCCTGGCCCCCATCCCAACTAGCGCCGCAGCTTGCGCGGTTAAACCCTGGGTGCTGTTGTGCCAACTGTTTTTGGCCAGCGCTCAGTTTTAAGGAGCCTCGGACAAAGAGGGGCTCAGAGAGCCGCCGCAGGAGGGAGCGGAGAAAAGTGACGGGAGCTGGGACGGGAGTATGGGGGGCAGCGTCAATTTCTCATTGTGGGCGGTGTCACACCATTGGCCCGCTTAAAGCTGGTGAGGTTGTGGGTGGGGGTAAAAGGGTTTGGGATGCAGCCAGTGGGGGTGAAGGAGGAGGAGGGGAGCAAGCAGGGGTGGGGGCAGGGGGGGGAGATCTGCATGGGAGAGTTCACAGGAATGCAAGCACCCAGGGACGCTGCACAAGACTGCTCATTCAAAGATTGCGAAAGTTGTGAACTGGTGTGACCTGGGAATACCACGCTCTTTGTTTAAGATTCATCAATAGGTCATTTGGTAGGGGGGGGGGGGTATTTTAAACTTGGTGGAGCGGTGGCGCAGAGGTTTAATGCACTGCGCTGTGAGCACTGTGACCTCAGTCCGATTTGCGACCACGACTGACATTGGTGTTGTGAGTGATAGTCGAACCAGTCGTAACCTGCCCCCACGCCCCTCACATATCTGCACTGATTAGCATAGTGAAGTATGGTCAGTAAAAACAACCCCCACGACTGACAAGAGCATGGGGAGGCTTTCATCCAGCAGTTGATTGGCAAAGCTCTGTAAATATATATTACTTCTACGCAGTTTTGTTAAGTTGCATAATAAACGTGTTTATGTTTCCGGCACCGCAGGCTTTGGAGTTTTCTGGCTGGGCTGACCCTCTCTTTGTCGTACAGTTTCTCCTCTCCTGCATTATGGGGTAGGTAACCCTGGACATTCCCTGACGTGTAATGGCTTGTTCAACAAAGAGAACAATGTGGAGCGCGCATTCTCCGTGCGGTTTTTATATTTTTGCCCCTGGGAAAGGAAGATTACAGCCCGTGTTATTTTAAACAAGACAGGCAGATGTGAGTGGTCAACTGGGAGTGAGTGTAAATATGCACCGTAAAAACAAATATAAAAACACTTAAAAGTGGTTTCCTCTTGAAATGCGCTTTGGCGAGGCACTGGAGTGCTGTTTGCAGCCCTGAGACAGTGGTAGAAATTCCACGCTGCTATGGTGGAGCAAGAGCCACCCCACAAGACGACCACCGTTAACTTCCCGAAAAGTGGCACGCGTTTTATCCAGCGTTAGTTCTCGTGCGATTTGATGCGTGTCGCTTGAACTCAAGAAGCGCCATTTAACCGATGACTCCATGCACAATTACTCTCCTACGCGTTACGTATGCGCCCGACTTGTGCGTATTTGTGCGTGGTTTATACGCTACGGGTGAGGGCCCACGTTCGCTGATAGTAACTGGGATAGTGGAATACAGAGGCCGATTAGAAAATCACCTGGAACTCGTCAGATCCCTGAGGATAAGCGCCTTTGAGCATGAAAAGTGCTTGGATGGGTGACCCCCATGCATAAAACAGGTGCGGTAGGCTACTGCTGGGCTACGTGATGAGCAGCAGAGGGCAGTGTAGAAAAATCTATTTTACTTGTATACTATCCTTCCATGTCTGTGTTCCGTGCTTGCACCAACCCACACTGACCAGCTCGGTGAACTGTGGTCCAGTCACCTCCACGATCGTGCACGTGCACTGGTCGACAGAATATCGAGCGTGCTCAATTACGATACGTGGAAAATTCGGCGAGAGTAACGTCGATTTTTTTGCAATGCAAAGTAGCACGAGCAACCGGCTTCGTGATCAGTCGACCGAGAGCGGTCTCCGCTTTCAACGACCCGTGTCCACCCTTTTCCCACATTGTCGGGGTCACACCAACCCTTTAAGACATCAGCGCCTGCGTTCTTGTCACTGGAGCACAGAGCAGAGATGAGTCGGGGATTAGTGCAACAATGCCGTTACTCAATACGCAGGAATGCGCTGTGCCGTGGGAAACCTCAGGGCGGATGTCACTTGTAAATTGTTGCTTTAAAAGGCACGGTTTTTGGTTAAAAAAAATAATCAAACATAACTTTCAAATCAATCCGCCGATAGATGAAGGCCTCCCCATGCCATGTGAGTCATGTGGATCTGTTTGACCATACTTCACCACGCTGGTCAGTGCAGAGTGGTGACGTGGGGCCCAGGACCGGTTCAAAAGTCATTCACATCTGATTTTGTCAGGAATCAAACTCGGGTCGCTAGGTTCATAACTGAGTGCGCTCACCGCTGTTCCACTGCCCCACCCATAGTAACAATAAAAGTATGAATGTATATATGCGATGATCACTTAATAAGAAGGTCAAAGTGGGCCCCGTCTAACAAATGCTCGGCAGTGTTTCGCGCTGTTGTTGGTCCTGAGGTGAGAATTGATTAATTATAATTGATGCACCGTATATGTCAAATATAAGCGAACCTTAAATTGAGGATATCAGACTGAACACAACTTTACAAATTAAACCAGATAAACAATAACAACAAGGTCGTATAAACGAGACCAAGAAAAATAGCTTCATCAACGGAATCACAACTCAGAAATTGTGACAACCAGATCGCCGGTGGCTTTTTAAAACATTATGCGACTCGTAATTCGTGAACGTTGGGAGTTCACGGCACGACCGGCTTGTGTTTGCGTTCCAGGTTTGTTCTCATGTATTCCACTGTGCTGTGCACTCAGTGGAACTCTGCCCTCACCACAACCATCGTGGGCTGCATTAAGGTGAGGAGGCAATCGTGACCCGCACACCCTCGCAACTCTCCTCTCGCCTACGGGGGTCTGAAGGATTGAACCGTGGTGCGGCACATTCCATGCTTGATTGTGCATGCCTGCAATCCAGTATGTTATAGGAAAGGATTGGTGGATGACAGATTTGTTTTACGCCAAAACCCAACTGAGCTGTGAGATGGGCCTGCATAAAATAGGTTGTGTACCCATTTACGTGTGTGTGGGATTTCCCTCGGTGCTTCAGTTTCTTAACACGTATAAAAATGATTGCTTTTTCATTGCTTTCATAGCTTTATTTTGGTGATTTCGAAAAGTGTATTGGTTTAGCCATGTTTGTTTGTTGTAGCACAGAGTTAGACTGATGGCCTTAATCTAAGTTGTCTTGTGGTTGTTGTTTGACTTGCATCCCACTGGGATTTTTGCACACAGCGTTGGTGTACGGTGTTTTTTCTGCAATATTTTGCTGTCTTTTCTTGGATTTTCTGTTTGAACTTAGTCACTTTAAGATGTTTTCTTGTTCATGTTTTTGTTTGTTTGTTGCGGTTGCACCCGATTCAAGAGCCGAATGGCTCACAGGGCTATACCTAATGCATGAACTTGAACACTCGTGAATACAATTTGCCAAACATCCCAAATCTGGAGCATCTGGGAGAAAAAAATCTTGACTCAGAAATACTTTTCTGTACAACGTATTGATCTGACTCTTTTTATGATGATGATTATTATTATTATCATTATCGTCACGTGTGAATGTCCTTTTATTTTCCCACCAAACAGAATGTCTTGATCACCTATATTGGGATGGTCTTTGGAGGGGACTACATCTTTTCGTGGACTAATTTTATTGGTCTGAACATCAGGTGAGTGTGAAGCAGCATGTGTGTATGTGTGTGTTTGAATAAGCGATTTTACATATTTAGGTGTTTTTCCGTTACCTAGTTGCTCCACTAAAACGTAGGCACATGAGGAAAACGGTTGAAGTGTAAAACCAGCAACGTTGATGTTTCTAATGCATCACAACAACGTCTACACTACAATGTGGCTTTATATAAAGTCTTAAATGCAAGCACACCTCAAGATACATAACAGGAGGTATATTACGTTGGCCAGAGAAAGAGACGGTTAAAGAGAGGGAAAGAGGGGGAGGTCCTAAGTCTGGACTTGAACGGGGACAGAGGATTAGCACCACAGATGACTGAGGGAAGGGAGTTCCAGAACTATCTGGGCAATAGAGAAAATCAATCGACCTCCCACTGAGCGAAGGTTCACTGGGGGCTTGGACAGAAAGCTTGGTTTCTGGAGCGGAGATAGCTTGGAAGATAATCGAGTGAGATGAGCGATTTAGCAAGGAGTGAATCCATCGAGGATCTTGAATATGGTGTATGCAGTCTTGAAATCGATTCAGAACCAGATTTGGATCAAGTGGAAGGGATTGGAGTTTCGGTAGCGATGTGGTGATGTTTACGGGTACGGGCGTTGAACGGAGCAGCAGAATCTTAGGGTCGTCTGGAGTTTGTAGATGAGGCAAGTGGTGAGGTCATAGAAAAGCGAATTAGAGAAGTCGAGTGGGGGAGTGGTGTGGGCACGAAGGAGGGTCTCAGCAGCAGGAGCTGTAGTAAGGAAAGGGAGGATGCAGAAGATGTTATCCAGGTTGAGGTGTAAGGTCCAACAGAGTTTTAAGGTATGTCGGGGAGACCACAAGAGCTCGGGATCAAGGACAAGTCTGATGAGCACGGTTAGCTACGTACAGTGCGAAAGAAGTTCAACATTCGTATGTAATATCAGAGTTTAGGAGGTGCACGTAAGCTGGGGTGTTTACTGGAGACTATTTTCCGTGAGGAATATGTGTGCCTCTATCCTGAGAGTTCAAGCCTCACTCAAAACTCATGAACTTGGAAATAGCGTACTCTTAGGTTTTTTCGGTAAAGTCACGTAGATAAAAAAATAATAATAAAATAAAATAAAGATAAATGAAAATAACTCAATTCAATCATGTATTATTATTTTACTTTATTATTATTTTACCTACGTGACTTTACCGAAAAAACCTAAGAGGATGAATCCTTGCAGTCACGAAAGCTTCAAATCTAGAATTTGAAATAGCGCTTTGTCATGTTTATGTCACAGGCTTTCTTGCGGGAGTTTTACTCATTGGCAAAAGGGCTATGCAACAGAACAAACAAAAAAAACATCCTGAAACTAAATTTTGATTTAAAGCTTTCGTGACTGCAGGGATTCATATTCTTGGTTCATTCTGTAAAGTCACGTAGAAGGGAAATAATAAAATAATAAAAATATTAAACGATACAAATTCTCACGGCGTTTCAAATTTTCTTGCTGTGGATTTCACATCTGATGATGATTGCTTGTGTTGCAGTCGAAACGTCGTGAGAATTTTTATTGTTTTATATTTTTTATTATTTCCCTTCTACGTAACTTTACCGAAAGAACTAATAATATGAATCCTGACACTAATTACAATGTGATGTTGCTTTTGGGAACAGTAACATGCTAACAAGCCTTGGATTACACTACGGAATGTGGTTTACTGGTGGTTTTGGCAGTGTTGTCACCAAAGTTTACGCAACAAAGTGTGTGATTTGCAGTGCTTTTCTTCGTGAATGGCGCTTGTGTTGTGTTAGAACACCTCCCTGTCTGTGTCATTGGCAGTCCCATTCATCACAGCTGTTGCTTTTCTCTCTGGCTCGTATGAAAACTCATCTTTCAATTCACTTTGATTCTTTAATAGCCGAACACATGGCTCTCTTTCAAAGTTCCTGACCTCGGCAACCCTTACATGCTTGTTAAAGGCACCCTCTAACAGCACTTGCCCTGACACTTTAGCCGGGGTAAGAAAGCAGAGCCTTCTCCTTGGAGCCTGTGCATGTGTGCGTGCGTATATGTGCGTGCACATGTTATCATGTTAACATCGCCACTAGGGAGACAAAGGCGGCCAGACCTGGTGCTGGCCACCCATCCCCTCGTGTGCTGTGCCAGCCTTCATAGGTGCTCACTAACAGCACTTGTCCTAACAGTCTGATAAGGCTATACGAGGGATCTTTGTGTTTTGCACGTTAGCACACACATATAGGTACCATAGTGGGGGGAACGCAGGGGTTGCATTTGCCATTCATCATCTCTTTCAGTCAACCCATAACACCTGCCTGCCCTATGATCTCCTACCAGTAGCCTTTGACACTTTATATGGCCTCAACGTGAACCTAGACTGTGACAGCACCGTGCTTGATGTCACCCCCACGTGGCAAATGGCAGTTTCTGTTGTTATTGTTATAGAGTGCACCCCATCAGTGGATTGGCGACAGGGCTCTTACGCTTGTAGTCTCAGTGTGTGCCGGTTGTGTGTGTGCATGTATGTGCGTGCGTGCGAGCAGCATTGCGGGCAGTCTGGTGTACTCCGTCATCACGCTGCGTGGCGAGCGGGCGCAGGCCAAGCATGCGTCTAACGGCCTTGGAGATGCGCGCCTGCGCACCACGGTTTGATCCGCGACGGACTGCACATCCCCCCCACGCGACCCCCACCCCCCGCTCCCTCACCAGCCCCAGTGCTGGCACAGAATGGCGCACGCTTACCCAGCTCATTATCGAAGCGGGGCAGTGTGGGTAATCGGTGGTGTGCATCAGGTGCAGGCTCAGAGAGTCGATGAGAATACTGTGGGTTTTCGTTGAGAACGTGTTCGTTACAGATTGGCTCAAGGAGAGGAATATTTCTGGCGAGTCGGTGTTCATAGACTTGCTTTAGCTCTGGTTCTTAACCTGGGTTCGATCGAACCCCAGGGGTTCGGTGAGTCAGTCTCAGGGGTTCGGCGGAGGTTAAGACACACACCCGACTCATATGATTGTGCACCAGTAAAACATATTTTGAATTTGAAAAAATCATATTTTATTTTTCCAATTAATAAGGGTTCGGTGAATGTGCATATGAAACTGGTGGGGTTCGGTACCTCCAAAAAGGTTAAGAACCACTGCTTTAGCTGAACACCAAACGATGAAAGTTAATTATCGTTCCATTGCTCTGGCCTCGCCTGACTGGGCACCGTTGCACCGCCTGGGCTGGTCCATTCAACCAATCCAGGCGATGTTTGATTGACCATCTTGTGGAGGTGCGCACACTTGTTCCCAGCGCTCGGCAGCCTACGCAGTAACAGCATTATTGCTATGATTGTTGTTGCACAAAGGAACAAAGAGTACCTATTGTCAGGAACAGATACATGAACCGAGAAACGATGCACCTGTGCATTCCTGCTTGCTGCTCATGTTTTGAGAAGGTCGAAACCAAACCGGCGCCTCCCACTTAAAGTTTTGGCGGCCGTGAAAAGTTAATTCCATGATGCAGGAGACTGTTAAGCGCTGGAGCTCTTCTCTGGGTCAAGCACTGCCCTCCCTTCACTTCCGACGATTGTGAATTCCATCACTGCTGTTTCTGTCCCCTCGAGGCAGAACTTGTCGCTGAAGAAACCAATCAAAGTTATGGTTTCATTGCTGTGTTGGTGAATCTTTCGCTGCGATATTTTCCAATCGGCAATTTTTTTTTTTTACAAATCACACTTGCCCCGTGCTAAGCGGGAACGCTGCAGAGTGGATGTGGTAGCGCTCGCCTAGCATGCCTGCCCAGCTGTGAAGTGTCGAGTTTGGCTGTGTGGGTGACGCAGATGTTTGAAGTATGTCAAGTTTTACGAGCGTGGGATATGCACGCAGGCGGACTGAGACCTTGTACAATGCGGTTTCAGTTGGGTGAGCATTGTTTATGTGGTTATGCCCGCAGGCGTTTTTTAATGTCATAATCGCACACTCACCCGCCACTATTTCCCAACAGCGAGAATAACAATGTAAATAGCGGTCCATGGGTCAAAAGGTGAATGGTGATGAGAATGTTATAAGCTAATACTGATGTTCACTGTTGTGTGCAGAATTTGTTTTATATGCTGTAACTTAAATTTGTTTTAAATGTTTTGCTTTGTTATGTCAGTATTTCATTTGTAGTAATCATTCAAGGTATGAACGTAGCAATTATTGGCTTTGTACGAAAAAACACATCAAAGAATGCCATCCTGAAATTATATGCGCCACATTCCATCGCACCTTTAAATTATGTACTTTATTTAAGTTTGCGTGGCATTTGCCTGAGCTCTCTCTCTCGCAATACTGGTGGTGAAGTGCTCATAAGCTGTAGGTGGTAAACCTTCCCCAGGGCTCACATGACGTGCTAGCCCAGTCACATCCACGCGGTCTCCCCCCTCGAACCCTGAGCTCACATCGCTCTGCGTGACCCCTCCGGGATCACCACACGTAGCCGTGGAAACTGTTACCGAGCCGAGGCCGATGTTTGCCGACGTGTGCGCGACCACCGCCATAGGCCCATGGTGCTCGTTAAAGTAACCCTCCCTAAGGTCACATTGGGTCGTTTAGGAAGCATCGGCAAGAAAAAAAACCCAACATATTGGTTTGATTATACAAGTTTTTTTTTTAATATGGCATGCCCTCCCACTGTCTTGTTTATTGAGTTCTGCTTTTAAAAAAAAATCCGCTTACACAACAGACTGCCTGGGTGGCGTGGACTTGTCGCGGCTGTGAAATCGCCGTTTGCCCGCATCCATTTGAAACGGAAATCGTATTGCTTCCATGGAAAAGTTTTTTTTTTTCGCAAACCGCTAGGAAGTGAGGACGGACGGACAGACTGCAGCAGTTCTGCTCCATGAGCATCCTGCACATTCTCTTGCCCGTGCTTTGTTTAACTCAGGGAGTTGGTGCATCGACCCAAGCTGTCAAATTCTAGAGGATTTGCTTTCGGTCAGGTCTGCGGATCATGTTGAGGTCAAATGTAAAGGCTTGTCACAGTGAAGTTTTTAACCCTTGGGATTAGTAATATCTGTTACAATATTTAATCTTGCATTTCTGTGAAATAAGAGCTAGTTGATGTTCGGCAAACTGCACAGACTAGTTTTGGCAGAGTTCTGCTCTGCCTACAAACAAGATAAGGATAACGTCGGTGTGTCGATGTTATTTCCGCACAGTGTACAGATCCGTGAGTCGTTGGTGTACGTGTATGAGAAGTAATGCAAGAAGGTACACTGTCAATCTGAACCAACGAGTGGCTTATAGCCCATTACTCAGACAACGATGCTTGAAATGGCAGTGATAATTATTTTTAAAGAGGACCTGAGATCACGTCATTTGAATATGGGGTATGATTTGTGTTGAGAAAGAGGCTTCACTGCAAAATGTCAAAGTGATCGTTTTAACCTGGCATGGCCGCCCACTTTTGTCGGGATCATTTAAGTTTGCGAGGCTTCGCGAAGGCCATTGTCATTGGTTATCGTCCTGAATGTCTCTTGGGGTCCGTGATGACATGGAAACCCGTGCGATGGATCATTTGCCCACTCTTTTTTAAGTTCAGCAGAGTCGGCAGGACTCTCACCGTGCAGGTGCCGTGAATCCGTTTGCGCTTGTAGATTTTTCTAGCTCTCGTATTTTTGTCAAGAGGAAATGTTTCGTGTTTGTAAAACGGAAATGTTTCGTGAAGCGTGTGCAAGATGTGTTGTTGCAACTGCTTTTTAAACTCTTTTGTTGCTTAACTTGATTTTTCCATTTCTGAATCCAAAAACTTAGGCCCACTTTTCACGAGAAAATATTTTTATTTCGTACTTGAGGAAAGTTGGATTTTTTTTAGGCTTCGGCAAGCGGCCGCAGCCATTAACATCGGGCACCCCCCCCCCCCGCCCCACCTGGATGTCGTAGGCCTTGCAGTTAAATGTGCATCTCTGAAAGGCCGCACCTATACAACAGGGCAGGGTTCCACCTTACATTACTTTATGCAGTCATTTGTCACGTCCTATGCTGCAATAATGCATGGTAACGCATAGGTGACCCTCTTGATATTATTACTGCGCTGCCGAGATGGAGCACTGTAGTTATTAACAGTGCCTCTACATAGGTACACCTTTACATAGATAGCAAATCTTAAAATACTAATTTCTGTACGGCCTGGCAGCACCCTCCGAGCAATTTCAATGGCTGACTGGAGGAGAGCCACCGTCTTGCCAAAGCTACTTCGGCAGGGGCCAGGACTTCAGAATCAGTGCCGAGCAAAAGGTGTGCGGCGTGGCCCATATTGTTGCCCTACAAATTTAAATCAAATGAAATGTCGGTGTTTGTAGACTCCAGCCTCTGCCGTGGCTAAGCGCAGATATAACAATGGTAATGGAAGTTGGAGCCTCGTTGTATTTTATGGTTACAGGTGGAGGAGGTCTTACGATCGATCTTCTTGGGGGATATACCCAACATTAATGGTTGCAGGTGCTGACTGTCCAAACAAAGCTAATTTTGAGAAATTATCGAAACACAGAATCTCACGGAAATATGTTCAGAATCAACCAGTGACGTGATTGTGTTATACACCAACTCAGGAGTTACACACCCATTAAACTGGTTTTTATCAGTTAACAATTCGGATGCCCTGCAAACTGGTGTGCTGTTCCACACGCTACTCTTCTTCGTTTAATGAGTTTTTCATTTGCCTTTTAAACAACGCATTTGTAGGATGCGCAATGGGTTTGTAACTTTAGAGTCAGCTATTGATTTTACTCGGCAACTCTTGTCTTGCGAATGAGAGCAAAACCTTGATTTAGCAGCTTCTGTGAATCGTGTTTGGATGATTTAAAACCCTTTGTAAAGCGAAACAACAAATAAAAGGTCGAATCAAAACAAATCTCTTTTCTGCTCATACGGTCCGCGGTGTGAATCGAATGAAGGGATCGTGCTTCCTGATCTCTCACGCAGATATGACCCTTCAGCCATGCGCGTGGAATGTGTTTACATTACAGGTAAAGAAGAAAAAGTGAAGACGGGGAAGGGTGGGGGACCAAGCGGAGGGTTACAACTCCTAAAATTCCACACTTCAAGAAAGTTTCCTTACAGCGGTGGCTTTCGTCGATTGGGTAATTTCATCTGGAACGACTTATGGTAGTTTTACTTTTGATCTCTGCATGTCAAGTTTTGCATTGCCAATAGCCGAGCGTACTACTGATGGTTTTGTGAAGCTACTGGCAGTTAAAATCCTTCCCTATATTTTTATGCACATTTCAAAGAATTTAGGAGTGAATCTGGATGATTATAACTTTGAGAACAAAATTGTTTGTACAATGGGAAATGCGTTGCTTACATTTTGACTGAAGGAATTTTGGTTTTGTCGATCAAATAAAATCGGCAACAAATCAAACAATGAGCCTCGGAGTTTCCATCGTGAGGTCACCTGATGTATAATCCTTGATGCACATCCCCCACAATAACCCTCACAGCTTTCTTCAACAAAGTGCTCCGAAGACTGTAGCCAAGAAGCAGTGTTTAAGTACTTGTATATATTTTTTTTATTTAAGATAAAAACTATACATTCATACAATGACACATTCAGGAGGGCTTTCTGGCTGGTGATGCCAATGATGTTTTAAAACACCTCTTTGTGGCAATGATCAGACCCATGCCTTCAAAACAATTCTGCTGCCAGAGCCTAAACGTCTTAACGAATCAATCATATCCACAATTACCTCCGTGTTCACACTCCCAGCCTGCAATGGCAGGCTCATTTATATCAAAACGCCCTGCTATAAACTCCCCTTCTGTAAAACAGATTATTTTTTTAAAAATCACACTTCAACTCCAGAAGCTGTAAAGCCTCGTGACTGCAACGTCTGTGCAGGGCAGTGCTTTAAGTTGGCTCTATACGTTAAGAATACAATCACTATTCCTTTCTCTACAGTTAAGTTAGAATACACAAGCGCTTAACCTTATCAGTCGAATATCAACGCACGCGGAAGGGTGTGAATAAACGTCAAAGTGCACTATGTAACTGGTCGGTCTTGTTAATGAAAACGCAATTACTTTAAACATACTATTGTACTTTTTAAAATGTAGTTATCTGTATGCAAACCAACAGAGAGAATGAATGCAATTAGTGTCACTGATAGCCAGAAGCCCGAAGCAGAATATACAAACATTGGCAAAAGGTCTAAATTTACAATGCGTATCAAACAGACAAGCAGATTTACCCCCTCCCACCCTCTATGTACAGGGCCAAAACCCAAGAAGGCCTCCAAAGAACAAAAGTGCAAAAGGTTTTGGTTTAGATTTGGAAACTTAGGATTTACACTTCTTTCTAATAAAAGCCTGTGGATAAAACGAAGCATTTCCCACAAGGCGTGACTTGTTTTCGAGTTAAACGATGGCTGCTGCATCGGTTTGTAGGAGTTGTAAGTAAATTTGGGATTGGGTGCCTTGGTGAAATGGGATTTATCATAATTATTACCATTGCGGGAGAGGAATGTCGATGGGTGTTATAGGGCTCTGTACAAATATTTTTTTGTTATGGTAAACTATTAGTGCCAATAGTAGCGTGCTTGTTATTGTCACAGCCGCGCTATGAGGAGCAGAAGCCAATAAGAGACTGAAGAGGTGGAGACTGCTGAGAGCGTCAACAGGGGTCGTCAGGCCGTGCGAGGATTTCAAGACGGCTTCCCCTATTTTCAGGAAGATGGGCCCATAACTCTTCCTGCTCATCTTTGGGATGCCCAAAGACTCGTACTACTCCTGCAAATTCGACTGTCGTAGCAACTACGTTCTCGTCGTCAGAGCGAGCGTTCCAAGAATTGAAGCTCCAAGGATATCGCCACTGGCGTTGCGTGGACTCGCTTTACGTTAAATTGTCGTCTCGCCATGTTCTTAACATAAATACATACGGCACACTTGTCTAGCATAGCAGACTGCAGCGTTATCCATTATAGGCTAATATAACATCCAAAGGAACGAACAGGGCCACTGATGTTAACGTCAAACATTCAGAAACAATTTGAGTGCTGTGCGCCATGACGAACAATTGTGACTCAGCCACTTGCGCTTGGCACTTTCAATTGGCTTTTCTTCTCCCGTTACCCAAAAACCAGTAAGGTGTCTCACATTGCTGTGAATGAATGCAAATGTGAGCTGGAAGCTCGCAGGAAATGGACGTGGGTGGGTGGGGTGGGAGGTAAATAACGTACGTCTAATTACAGGGAGGGCATTTCTGCGGCCAGCTCTGCCAGCTGGGCAAGAGCTGAGACGCCATGCCACTGCTCGGCGGGTGACAAAGGCGGAGAGAGCGGCAGTTGCTGCTCCGCCCCCTGCCAGTGCCTCTGGGTCACGTCATCGGGGTTCAGGTCGCAAGTGGGGTTCAGGTCGCGAGTGGGGTTCAGGTCGCGAGCGGGGCTGACTCCAAGATCCCAGTCGTTTCCTCTCTCCTTCAGAAGCAGGGCTGTTCCACTCTCCTTGGGTTTCCAGCAATTGGAACTGTAGTCAACAAAACGTACAAAAAAAGGTTTTTAAACATATCCCATGTGTACTGGTGCTGTACACTTTGCCGAACTTTATAGAGGGCTGGCTTAAAATGCTACCAGTGTCGGTAAAAACGTGCGTGGTGCAGTATCGAATTAAATTGTGTCGTGGCCAAATGACACGAGGCTGAAATTCATGTTCCTAAAACGGCAGCAACGGTCGCTCATGGAGCTTTACCAAAATCAACGTGCGAGGTGCCAGTGGACCTCTCACCATCATGACATCACTCTTTCCAAAAAACTACGGTGACTGGCAGCGGTTAGTAGCAAGGAAAAATCGTCTCACTTGTCCGCCCAATTGTGCTCGTCCAAGTTTTCCTGGTTGTCTCGCCGGCTGTGCGACGACTTTTCCTCCATTCCGGAGCAGGCCGGGTCGCCCTCCTCGCGTCTCAAGCGAGCGTACGGGTGGGCGGCGCAGTGTCTGTTCGCGTGAGTGAATCTGCTCTCGCAGCCTGAGTGTACACGTCGGATGTGTACGCACACACACACACAAAATACACGGCATTTAAAACAACAACACAAGTACTTCTTCCCTCCTTACCAACAAGGCTCACCCAAAGCATGCAACGGTTCTGTGGTATTGTCAAGTTAAAGACACAGTGCGCTATTACCTGGCTCTGAGCAGATGAACGGCTTCTCGCCTGTGTGCAGACGCTGGTGCGTCTTGAGTTGGCCGCTCTGTGCAAATGCTCGGCCGCAGTTCGGGAATTCGCACCGGTATGGGCGCTCGCCTGCTCGCAGACAAGAAGGGGAAGGAACATTTATTTAGCCTTGCTCGCTCAAGAAAAACTTCATGTGCTTTCACCCAAAATTATTCTTTAGTTCTAAGTAGTGTTTTACATTGTGCTGGAAATGCCATGTTAATTTCGCTACAACCTTAGACACTATGAGACTCCCAAGACAAGCTGTCATCCAACGCAGTTTTAGTTAAATCAAAGTCCGTTCATTTTATGAATCACGAATAATGTATTTCCAAAAAAACAGAATTATATACAAAAAGTTAGAGTATCCATTACACGCTACATTTTTTACATCTTTGAAAATAAAGTGCTGCTTAGTACCCTGTGGAAAAAAAACGACCAATGAAAAAAAGCCACTTCGGGTAAGCCACCCCGGCCAATGGTAATTACGTGTTCCTGCCATGACTGCACCACTGTCCGTCATGTGACCCAACCGCCCATGAACCGTTTATTCGGTTTAAAGCAAGAGGGGGGGAAAAAAAGTAACTCAAGAGCATGCATTTGAGCTCGAGTTATTGAATAAGAGTTGCCTGGCTCAGCTGCAGCACACGCTTTAACGGGCTCGGCTGTCATTGCAATACAATGTCACACGCGGCGAGGGCATGAGAGGGGGGGGGGAGGAAACGAGAAACCTAAACTTCAAACGCCTAGAGGGCTTGCACGGGGACAGATGGTGGGGAAGTGGGCTGACCGGTGTGGGTGCGGAGGTGGGCCTGGAGCGACTTCTCCCGCGGGAACACGCGGCTGCACACACGGCAGCGGATGTGGCTCGGGGAGAGGGTGCCGGCGTTGATGAGTTCCCGGATCACCTCGGCCCTGGGTCGCCCACGCTTGCCGCTGTCCTGTGTTTAGCACAGAGTGGAACACAGGCGGGGGGGGGTCATTTAGTGATTGAACGAGTTGATGATGGGCGAGTGAACCCGTGTGTTGATATTTGCATGGGCGATTGAGTGATTGGATGGCTAATTGAATCTGTTTATGGGGGACTCGGTGTATTCACGAAGCAATGGATTGGGTGAGTGAATCTTTGAGAGCGATTGGGTGTTTGAATGGATCAGAGAACGAGTGTATCGGGTGAGACAAACAAGTGAGAGTACAGTACTTGGGTCGGTGACTGAATGGGTAGGTAAACGAGAAGGATGTGCACGTAAACAATTGTGTGGATAGCCGCAGAGTTAACCGAGTGGAATTGTTAATGAAAAATTTGGCGTGTTGGACATTCGTGTATAATCGTATTGGTGAATGAATGAATCAATCATTTCGGACAGGCAAGTAAAACTCCTGCCGCGATGGCTGTATGTGTGCAGCAGTGTTCGCCACTCTCTTAACAGCCTTCTACACACAGTGCCAATTAGACACCACCCCCGACCACCACCCAGACAACACAAACGGGGCTCTTTGTCCACACTGCCGCCACCTTTCATTCATTGGACACGGACACCACCGCACACGCTCCCGCCAAGTGGCGCGCTCATCGACTGCTGCGGGCAACGTTTCATCCTCAATCCTTCAGCAGTCCGTTTCGTTTCTAAACACGGCCGTGACTCGTGCGCGATTCACATCCTCGCAGGCGATCCTCGGCCACTGGACGCAGCTGCTTGGGATGATCGGAAAGCCGTGGACAGGCTCGGTGGCTCCTTGCGAGCGATATTCACGGGCTCCGCGTGTAGCGGGAGAACCCGGGTTCAAGAAGCAGCAGGAAGGCGGTGCAGTGCCCAGCTGCCAACTTTTTTTTGTTATTTTCTTTGTAGTGTCTATCGTAAAAAATATATATCGGTTCCTTCACATAACCAAGGAGCGTGATGGGAACGCAGATACATATCTTTAAAGCGTTAGGGCGCGGTTGTTGTTTAAAACGCGAAGTGAAAGCGCCCGAGCTGCACTTTTCCCGCTTTTTTTATTTTTATTATTTTAACGACCACGCGGACGCGGCGCACATGGCCCCCTTTCATTCACCACTGCGCTCGCTAGAAATTCACTTTTAACGAATTAAAACATCCAACACGACACTGAACTGGTAGTGTGCGCGTATGTTCACGACAACGATCATTATAATCACAACAACAAAAAATGCGCTCGTAATGCTTGACGGACGTAACAAATGGAGACAACAAAAAAGAGAGTGAGAGATGCGTACGCGCGGGGTGGGTTGTACACGGACCTTGCAGGGGGTGTCGGGGCTGGACGCGAAGTTCGGGGACGCTGCTCGCCGTGGCCCGGGGCTCAGCTCGGCGCGCCCGGCGCTCTCTCCCCACTTCCACGGGTAGACCATGCAGTCGCCCAGACCCGGGCTCGTCGGGGTACCCTCGGGCGGCCGGGGCACGGGCCGGATGACGGACACGGCCGCCCCCTTGGTGGGCGTCCGAAACACGAGGCTGTCCGACATGGGTATTGTTGCAGATTCTTCTGCTGCTGTTGATATTAGAGTACTGCTGCTGCTACAGCCCTGCTGCCACAACTGTCGTTGATGGTACGGTGCTGCAGTTCTTCCGCAGATGGTACCACACACACACTAACTGTATTATTACTGCCGATACTACTCCAGATACTATTGCTGCCGATGATACTGTTGCTACAGTGACGATTGCAATACTGCTGCAATTGTCAGTACTTACTGCTGCTACGAAACGGAACGGCGGCTGCGGCCGCTGCTGCTTTGCTGGTTGAGTTTTTTTTCCCGCTTAAAATTCTCCCGCCTTTTTGCAGAACTTCCGGGTCGCGCGCTCGCATTTGGTAGCGCACATGCGCGGCGCCGCTCGCCATGGCTGCACGCGATTGGTCAACGCCTCGAAGGGCGGTGCTCACCGAGGCGCCCTCGGCCAATGGGGCGCGCGGAAATTTAAAGGTCCGCGCATGCGCTCTACGTATTATAAAGTGGGCCGTCTCTCTGAAACAGTCATTTAAAGAAAGTTGTGTTGCTTTTTAAAAAAATCTGTAATCATTAAAATAATGGGAGGGGAAGTCAATGAAGAGCAACATAGTTAGTTGACCGTCAAACGAGATGTCCGGCCGTCCTCGCCCTTTGTTTTTTAAATTAAACACGCGAAATATTAAACATTTTTGGCGCCATTCGGTGGTAATTGTCGGGGTTTTGCGCTTCCAGGTCACGGGGTGACCGGCCGTCCGCGCGTTTACCGCCAAATTGCAGTGCCGCCCATAGACACCGAGTCACTCCACTGCTGGATGAAGGCCTCGAGCGATGTGCAATGTAAACATCCACCCAGAAAAGACAAACATCAACCCGAAGAGCCTTGACACTGTTGGGGCAAGTGGTGTTAGCGAGGCCGGCACAGTGGCACACGAGGGGTGTGATTGGCCAGCACCACGCCCGGCCGCCTTTGTCTCCCCAGTGGCGATGTTTACACACCGCACCGGGTAACTAATTTGAGGCTGAGTCGAACTAGGGGAGGCCCAGAACCGGTTGGGATAATCGTCACGGCTGGTGTTGACCGGTTCGTAAGTGCAGCGGCACTCACCGTGAAATGCATAGGAGCTGCAACGTCTCTTCATCATCTTGCATAGGAGCTACAACGTCTCTTCATCATCTTGCATAGGAGCTACAACGTCTCTTCATCATCTTGCATTAGGAGCTGCAACGTCTCTTCATCATCTTGCATAGGAGCTGCAACGTCTCTTCATCATCTTGCATAGGAGCTGCAACGTCTCTTCATCATCTTGCATAGGAGCTACAACGTCTCTTCATCATCTTGCATAGGAGCTGCAACGTCTCTTCATCATCTTGCATAGGAGCTGCAACGTCTCTTCATCATCTTGCATAGGAGCTGCAACGTCTCTTCATCATCTTGCATAGGAGCTGCAACATCCCTTCATCATCTTGCATAGGAGCTGCAACGTCTCTTCATCATCTTGCATAGGAGCTGCAACGTCTCTTCATCATCTTGCATAGGAGCTGCAACATCTCTACATCATCTTGCATAGGAGCTGCAACGTCTCTTCATCATCTTGCATAGGAGCTGCAACGTCTCTTCATCATCTTGCATAGGAGCTGCTAAGTCTCTTCATCATCTTGCATAGGAGCTGCAACGTCTCTTCATCATCTTGCATAGGAGCTGCAACGTCTCTTCATCATCTTGCATAGGAGCTGCAACGTCTCTTCATCATCTTGCATAGGAGCTGCAACATCCCTTCATCATCTTGCATAGGAGCTGCAACGTCTCTTCATCATCTTGCATAGGAGCTGCAACGTCTCTTCATCATCTTGCATAGGAGCTGCAACGTCTCTTCATCATCTTGCATAGGAGCTGCAACATCCCTTCATCATCTTGCATAGGAGCTGCAACGTCTCTTCATCATCTTGCATAGGAGCTGCAACGTCTCTTCATCATCTTGCATAGGAGCTGCTAAGTCTCTTCATCATCTTGCATAGGAGCTGCAACGTCTCTTCATCATCTTGCATAGGAGCTGCAACGTCTCTTCATCATCTTGCATAGGAGCTGCAACGTCTCTTCATCATCTTGCATAGGAGCTGCAACGTCTCTTCATCATCTTGCATAGGAGCTGCAACATCTCTTCATCATCTTGCATAGGAGCTGCAACGTCTCTTCATCATCTTGCATAGGAGCTGCAACATCCCTTCATCATCTTGCATAGGAGCTGCAACGTCTCTTCATCATCTTGCATAGGAGCTGCAACGTCTCTTCATCATCTTGCATAGGAGCTGCAACGTCTCTTCATCATCTTGCATAGGAGCTGCAACGTCTCTTCATCATCTTGCATAGGAGCTGCAACGTCTCTTCATCATCTTGCATAGGAGCTGCAACGTCTCTTCATCATCTTGCATAGGAGCTGCAACGTCTCTTCATCATCTTGCATAGGAGCTGCTAAGTCTCTTCATCATCTTGCATAGGAGCTGCAACGTCTCTTCATCATCTTGCATAGGAGCTGCAACGTCTCTTCATCATCTTGCATAGGAGCTGCAACGTCTCTTCATCATATTGCATAGGAGCTGCAACGTCTCTTCATCATCTTGCATAGGAGCTGCAACATCCCTTCATCATCTTGCATAGGAGCTACAACGTCTCTTCATCATCTTGCATAGGAGCTGCAACGTCTCTTCATCATCTTGCATAGGAGCTGCAACGTCTCTTCATCATCTTGCATAGGAGCTGCAACGTCTCTTCATCATCTTGCATAGGAGCTGCAAAGTCCCTTCATCATCTTGCATAGGAGCTGCAACGTCTCTTCATCATCTTGCATAGGAGCTGCAACGTCTCTTCATCATCTTGCATAGGAGCTGCAACGTCTCTTCATCATCTTGCATAGGAGCTGCTAAGCCTCTTCACCATCGCTCAGCCCACGACGTGTCCTGCCCAAGCCCCAAATGAACTCTTCTCAGCAGCAGCTACAAATCAAGCCTCCATCCAACCTGTGCTCTGCAAACCCACGTGCTTACACTCCAACACGTGTCTTTGTTGATGGGTATAGCCAAGCGTGGAGTGCGTGGCGTGTAACCAACCCCAAAGCCTTCATCCAGCAGTAGATTGGCCACGGCCGATGTTTATATGAGTGGTTCATCTTTGATTAATTCCTGCAGTCACGAAAGCTCTAAAATTAAGATTATATGAGTGGTCTTCATAGGATCAGTAAATGCAGAGTGGGTGACACGTGCGAGGTGGCTACACGTGTGTGCTGTGCACCATTCGCCTGAGTCTCCAGTTGTCTATACAGAAAGCTCTTGTATAATAATATTTATTTTATATCGTATGTTTTGTGATGGAGCATTGTTCCATTAAAAAACAATAATCATCGTGGTCAGTCCGCTGCTGAATGACCACCCTCATTCAGCTGTCAACCCACACGGCTTACCCCGTATTCTTGTGCAGGGAAATTGTTTTCAGGTCTGTACGGTGTACATTCGTTTCAATGCGGGCAAAACATTATATCTGTCTATTTTGATTTAAAGCTTTCGTGACTGCAGGATTCATATTCTTGGTTATTTCGGTAAAGTCACGTAGAAGGGAAATAAATTTGAGAAAAAAAATTGCTGTTGATTTCACACCTGATGATAATTGCTTGTGTTGCAGTCGAAACGTCGTGAGAATTTTTTATTGTTTTATATTATTTTATTATTTCCCTTCTACGTGACTTTACCGAAAGAACCAAGAATATGAATATCTGTCTATTTGTTTGTGTTTCTCCCTTTATGATGGGACTTTGTCGGATGAACGTTGATATTTAGAAGGGTACTGGGTACCCAATAAGGTCTGAATTGGTCTCTAATAAGATAGGGCACTGATAATGGGAATAAAATAATAATGATTCATTATTTTATTTCTATTAATTTTATTTCTATTACTTTTTTTACCTACCTGACTTTACCAAAAAAAACCTAAGAGTATGAATCCTTGCAGTTACGAAAGCTTCAAATCTAGAACTGATAATGGGATTGACAGCTCAGGAGTGAACTAATCAGACATTTAAATTGTACCTTGAGTCACTTAGAGCTCGCTACATTCACCACCATGTCCACTGCAGCATCGTAGTGTAATCCCCCCCAGCTGGGTATTATAATGCATTGCATTATCGAGATTCTGGATCGCGAATATAATAACATGCTTGGGTCGCTGATGAGAACCGCGAGATCGAAATCATTCCAGAGTTTGATTGCTTGGACACATGCCGCTTGACAATTAATTATACTCTTAGGTTTTTTCGGTAAAGTCACGTAGGTAAAAATAATTTATTTATTGTGATTATTTTATTTCTATTATTATTTATATTATATTTTTTATTTATTTTTACCTTGCAGTCACGAAAGCTTCAAATCGGAGCAATTAATTAGGTTGATGGGTTAACACGTTTGTATTTTTTGCGCTTATGTGGATACACGTGACGGAGTTATGCTTATAGTACACGCTGCAGTACAAGTCCATGGCTTTACCCACCGATGTTCTCTTTACATTGCGAATGTGGCGGCATCTATCGGCTGCCAGGGTAACGTGCACCCTCCAAGACCCAACATGAACACGCTGCTACAGCTGATAACCTTAATAATGTGAATGTGTCGTTAAACCCGCCACCACCGACACAGCCAAATTGGTAAGGTTTTATCACCTAAACAAAACGTGCCAATTCCTTACGGGTGGTGGCGGATTCGACGACACATTTATGCGATCGAACCCAAAAAAAGTAACCCGTAAAGACAAAGTTTTTCACTATAAATCCTTTATATGCCCCACTAGGGGGCGCTCTAGCGGGGTACGCCCCCCCACCACGAGGGGGCGCTCTAGCGGGGTACGTGCCCCCCCCCCTCACCACGAGGGGGCGCTCTAGCGGAGTACGCGCCCCCCCCCACCAGGGGGCGCTCTAGCGGGGTACGCCCCCCCCCCCCCACTAGGGGGCGCTCTAGCGGAGTACGCCCCCCCCCCACTAGGGGGCGCTCTAGCGGGGTACGCCCCCCCCCCCACTAGGGGGCGCTCTAGCGGGGTACGCCCCCCCCCCACTAGGGGGCGCTCTAGCGGGGTACGCCCCCCCCCCCACCAGGGGGCGCTCTAGCGGGGTACGCCCCCCCCCCCACTAGGGGGCGCTCTAGCGGGGTACGCCCCCCCACCACGAGGGGGCGCTCTAGCGGGGTACGCCCCCCCCCCCCCACTAGGGGGCGCTCTAGCGGGGTACGCCCCCCCACCACGAGGGGGCGCTCTAGCGGGGTACGCCCCCCCCCCCACTAGGGGGCGCTCTAGCGGGGTACGCCCCCCCACCACGAGGGGACGCTCTAGCGGGGTACGCGGCCCCCCCCCCACGCCCCACGCTGACCAAGGCGCCTTCGAACAAAACAACAAAAGATCATCGATTATTCCGCAGCATCGGAATGGAGGGGGGGGGGGGTAAAAACGCTGGATAATCACTAAATCATGATTTAAAATAAATAATTTTGCACATTCTTGGCTGACGTTATTTTTGAGGTGTTGAATGTTTTTTTGTGTTTTTAATTTCTTTACCGTATGAAATTGGTAAAAATAAACATACAAATAGACACAAAATCCTGCTTATAAAAGTTACTCTCTATACTATACCGTTAATTACCACTCTGCGTGGGGTGAGGTATTTACGTGTTTAAGTTGTATGGACTGTTTATAATATTTGACACTGATATCGAGCGCAGTTTCTTGTTTTGTCACACATCGTGGTGCCGATCACCAAACTGGAGCGAGCGGTTTTGTCGGATCGGCCATGGACTGCCGGATAATGTTGGTAGCAGCCGGATAATTAATCGATGATCAACTCTATAAACAAATTTTGATTTAACCAGGTAAGGCCCACCGAGATTTAGAGCTCTTTTTCAGAAGCGACCTGTCCACAACAGTGGACATTTATAGCAACCAAACGTTCTAAACGAGTGATGTTGATTCTAAATGAGGGAAAAAACCGGAGGACCCAGATAAAAATCCACGCGACCACGGGGAGAGAGAGAGACACGCAAACTCCAAATATACAGCAGCAGGCGTCAGGATCGGGATCGAACCCAAGATCTCCTGCATACCAAGCGAGGTAGTTAACATCTCATAGCCACCGTGGCACCCCACAATATTGTTTCAACTGGGCAGCTCCCTTCGTTTAAAAGGCAAAATTGGACCGGGTTCAATTCATACGCAGAGATATCGTTTCGTTGTAAACAATGATCTCTACTTTTTGATTTAAAGCTTTCGTGACTGCAGGGATTCATCTTCTTGGTTCTTTCGGTAAAGTCACGTTGAAGGGAAATAATAAAAATAAAACATAAAATAAATGTATAAAATAATAAAAAATAAAACATAATAAAATAAATGTATTTTATTTTATTTTTCCCTTCAATGTGCCTTTACCGAAAGAACCAAGAAAATGATCTCTACATGAATCGATACATCGTTTGAACCCTGGTATCATGGGCGTCAGACGTGTATCGATTCATATACTGACAATGCCATGCAATGCCACCATGCCATCGTTAGAATACATTTCTGGAGGTGAACTAAAACCCAGTAGCAGAGGTTCAGTTGAACCAAACAGCACGTGGTACCGTAGGCACCAAAGACAAAGATCCCCCATATAACCCTCATTAGACTATTGGGGCAAGTGCTGTTCGCGAGTAGCACCTATGAAGGCCAGGTACGGCACAAGAGGGGGGTGTGATTGGCCAGCATCACGCCCGGCCGCCTTTGTCTCCCCCAGTGGCGATGTTTACACACCGCATCAGGTACTCAATTGAGGCTGAGTCGACCTAGGGGAGGCCCAGGACCGGTTCAGATAATCGTCACCGGTGTTTGCCGTGAGCAGGAATCAAACCCGGGTCACCGCTCCACCACCGCTCCCCACCGGATGCAACGAACATCAACTTAAACTCAACAAATCGATCCAGCATAATAATAATAATAAGAAGAATCGATTGCTCAACGTGCGGTTCCACCAATCGCCGTGTCCTATAATGAACCCGCCCACGCGATTCTTCGGATCGATACGTGTCAAGAATCGTGATTCGTGTATCGAAGCCAATTGTGTCAGACGTTTCGGGACTGCCTCGTCAATTCGATTTGTTCTTGCGACGCTTTGGACGTTCTCGTTCTGCAGTTCTACTCGGCAGCGTGGTCCAGATGTCTTTGTCCTTAATACTATCCAGGACGTCTGTTAAAAAGAGCTTAATAGCTTATCGGATTCCTCCAGTCGAAATAAGGATTCTGATTGTGACCCCAAATTAATTGAACTCTACATTTGTTTTATTTCATTAGAATGTTCATTCCTGTTTTAAATTAACCTTACTTAATTTTTTTTAGATAAAGTTTTAGAGAATTAAATGGAGGTCACAATAAATATGGACCACCCTGTACCTTTAATTCCTTGCATATACATTCCTATCGCTACCATAAAGCCAGAAAAAAAACATTTACTCTTCAACGCCGGATCCAATGAGCCACCTGTGAATACAATCATATTTGTTTATACATTAAAATGTATTTCAAGTCGAATTATAACATTTAAAGTGACGCATAAGAGGGAATTGAAGAGCCATCTCCGTACTCTTAGTTTTTTTTCGGTAAAGTCACGTAGGTAAAAAAAATATAAATGGAAATAACTCAATTAAATCACGACGTTTCGTTGGCAACACAAGTCTCCGTCTTCAGGTGGGACCGTCACATTTAAATTTACTGTAAATTTACTGTAAATTTAGCTGTGACGGTCCCACCTGAAGACGGAGAAACGCCGTGATTTAATTGAATTCTTTTCATTTATTATTATTATTTTACCTACGTGACTTTACCGAAAAAACCTAAGAGTATGAATCCTTGCAGTCACGAAAGCTTCAAATCTAGAATTAAAGCCATCTCCGTCGCAAATCCCCCTCGGGTCCCCCACCCCCCCCAACCCCCCCCCCAACCGCCCCCACCGCCATCCCCCCAACCGCCCCCACCGCCATCCCCCCAACGCCCGCCCCCAACGCCCGCCCCGCCTCTTGGCGCGGGCTCTACCCAGAATGCTGCGCGCGGCTGTCTCCCCCGCTCCCGCCATCTTGGCCGCACACGGCAGCGACGCCCAGGCGCCCGCACGGAGGATCGGCGAATCCGTCGGCATCCGCGCCCTTGTGAGCGCCATCATGCCCGGAAACCTGCAGGAGGGCTTCGGCTGCGTTATAAACAATAGATTCGAGCAGTTGCTCGATGACGAGACCGACCCGTTCGAGCTGCTGAAGGAGGCGCAGCTTAAGAAGGAGCTCGCGGGGGGCGGCTCGGCTAAGGCTGCGTCCAAGGCGGGACCCCCCGGCACCAAACCCCCCCCGAAGAAGGAGTCGCAACGCGACAGGAGGGCGCCCACCACGGGCCAGGTCACCGACGCAAAACCGGCCGAGCAGCCGGCGACAACGGCCGTCAAGAGAGCCGAAGGTGAGGGTTTGTTTATGTGCGTACGGGGGCCATGATGCTGGGTGGGGGGGAGGGAGGAGGCGGGTGGGGATGGTAGCGAAGTGCAGCGCTGCGGCCATTTAGAATTGGCACTCGGCTTACATCGACATCGTGTCCCATTGGTCCCGACGCCCCCCCTTGGTCTTGACGCACGTGCGTGGGGACGGTGCTCGGCTAATGGAACGCGAGAGAGCCCCCCCCCCCCCCCCCTAATTGGCTACGCTGCGATAATGTCACCACGGCCTAGGCTGGGCCCTCTCGGGCCACGCACATGCCGCCGCCGACGACGACGACCTCTTGTTGTGTGGAGCAGAGGGGACGCGGCCCCGTGCGACTACACGAGCGCGGCTTTGTTGTCGTGACTGCCCCCCCCCCCTTCTCTCACACAATCGCCCAAGGCCCCCCACTGTGCAAAACTGTTGGGCCTTTGAGAGTCGGCGCGTGTGCGTGCCCCCCACCTCCCCCGCGTGCTTCTGCAGCTGCTTGTAGCTGTTAATTGCGTTTGAACGCTGCTCGACGATTAATTTAGGATTCTATCACAATTTGTATAGTTTTAAGTTTTTCGGTGGTTACCGGTGCTGTGCATGCCTTTGGTGAGGTCAAAGTGAACGTTTATTTTTTTTTCGGGTAATAAGAGCCACCAAGTTTCCGGAAGTTCTCTTATCCGCTACTCCTTCCGTATAGAATTGCTGATAAATAGCAGCTAAAGCCATTAAGTGGCCCTTCATTCACTACTTTCAAAAGTTGAGCGACTTTACTTTACATCGTGCCTGTAATTGCACGAACCGAAATTTGTAACATGTGCACATAGGCGCGTATACATTGATAAAGTAAAGTCAAATTTGGTGGGGGGGGGGGGCGAGGAGGGCCCCCCACGTGAGCGCTTAAAGACGACGGCCTAGGGCCTATGGCCGCCTTATCGCAGCCGTGCAGCCGCACCTCGTGTCGCAACGAGGCGCGGTGGGGGTGGGGCCGTCTGGTGCGATCTAATCCCGCACTCTGCCCCCACCACCCAGAGATAAAATCGATTCAATGCCCTACTCCCATCCTTTTTATCAAACTCCACCGTATAGGTGATTTTTTTTGGACCAGGCCAGGTGACCCCCCCCCCCCCAATCCCGTCTTGCACCACATTCCGTCGTGGGCACTCGTCGGCCACGTGGTTCCGCGTCTCCATTGCCCCAGCCCTAGTTGGTCTAGGCCCTGCGCATGTCCAGGCCCCATCGCGTGCACTGCCGCGCATTGCCGCGCGCGCTTTGCAGCGTGCTTCCTTGAATGCCCATTGTTGTGTGGCCCTTTTTATAATGTTGAGAAATGTGGTATTGGCGAGCAAATTGTAAATGCCCGAACGGCGTGCGAAGGGGTAGGGTGGTCGGGACCTCTACCGGCCGCCTTTGTTTCTCAAGTTTACTACACCGCTTAGATTTTTTTTCGTTGAGGGCTGTCCACGGTAAATGCGGATTCGACCTAGGGGAATTCCGCGGCTGGTGCATATACATTCCTCCCATAATATAATCCTTGGAATCGTAATCTAATTCTGTAAGCCGGGTGTTGTATGTGCAGTATAAACAATGTTATGTAAGACATGTGCGTTGTGTGTAGTGAGGTCACCGGCCGTACGCGCGCAGCCATGTCGCGCAGAGGGCAACATCGTATTTTGCAGTGCAAAATCAAACTAGAAACCTTAGGTTTTTTTAATATCTTGTAGGCAAAATGATTGCCCTTCCACTTATCCCAATGCTCAACATTTACATAAACGTATGACCAGCTTGCTGGAACGCCAGAAGTTGTTGTTTTACTACAACACGAACCACAAAAGCAAATGATTACTGTTAGTTTTTTAAGCATACCCTGCGCACTAGAGAGTTCATTGTTTTGCATTAAACTGCACAGTATTGAACCCTAGCATTTGGAATTGTGACCAATGCATTTGTTTTACATTTCAGTGAAGCGTGCTAGACCGTGTAACAAGTCACGGTAATTTTTTTGTTTTTTTAATATGTATTTGAAGGCATGAATATATTTGTACTGTCAGTCTAACGTAGGGGAACGATTCCTCATGGTTTTGTCCAATATAACCAAGGTTTAGTATTAAATTATGTTGCTGTTATGGACTTGTGCTTCAGAAAATCAATCAAAGGGTGTCCATAACTTAGATAATTCATTAATTCGGCACTGAAAGCTTTCACAAACAACACTTAGAGTGATTGCGCTCCTTCCCTCAAAGTAAATTACCTATGACCTAATCGCGTGCCGTTATCAACATTATGACTGACCCATTGAACACTGCCGAAAACAAACGCATATTAGACAGCTTTACAGAATGTTTTTGTATTAACAATTTTTCTCGTTTTTCTTTGAATTTCAGGTTCAGGCCCGAGAAGGATAGGCCGTCGTCCTGACCAACAGGGACCGTTCCAGGGGCCGTTCCAGGGCCAGGGAGGCCAGGGACAAGGAGGTCCGGGACAGGGAGGCCCGGGACAGGGTGGAGAAGGACGACCGGAAAGGCGCGGTGGCGGTGTAGGATTCACCGGAGAGGGGCGGCCCGAGAGGCGTGGGGGTGGCCCCCGGCCTGAGCGTCGCTTTGCGGAGCGGCTCAACGAAGAGCGGCCCGATGGATCAACCGAGATGTCTTCCGAGAAGTATGGCGCTCTCATTTAACGGCCATGATATGGATAGTCAGTAGCGTTACGTTGCGTAATGGAGGTTGTTGGGCCAGCTGTGGTGGATGTGGGGGTGAAGCAGTTGTTTGACGGTTAATTACATATTTAGCTGAACACGTACACAAAGGATGTGTTCTTATCCAGAGCACATCAACCGAATGAGCGTGACGTTCACCAAGCCTCTAAGTGTGGTGCACAGTAATCGCAGGGTGTGCACGTAATTATATTCTCTGGGTTTAGCAGATTTGCGTTTGAACCTTGTTTAGCACTCGCATTCTCAATTATATGATACCTTTAATGATGTAAATCAAGCGGGCGGGTGAGTTTTACGTGACGGGATCTAAAGGGGATCAAGAGTGATAAGGATCAGTGGGGGGGGTGCAGATCTATGAATCCTAACGTCCATTTGGGCTGTGAGAATTTCAAAAGACTGCCTTGCCAAACACTACAACAATGTCGATTCCTGTAAGATACATTTTATACAAATGAGTATTAAGATGACGGTGTTGTAATGTGCAATGCCTCTGCCGTTTAATGTTTTGTTGTACAGAAATTTGTTGGTCTTTTTTTATTGATTATAGTTGTGATTATAGCAGTATTGTAATCTGCTTGCGTCTCTACACATTTTACAGTTTTAAACTGCTGTTGATATAAAAAACAAGACAGTCTGGATGAAAAAGACGCTTACTCTGGGGGTTGGAGATATATACTTAAAATGTATTGTGGACTCTTGTAGGGGATTTTAAATTATTAAAACATTAATATTTGTGTTTGTGTGTGGTAAGGTTACTTTTACAATGCATGGTGTTGCAGGCAGGTGAGCTTGATCTTCTGATTTAGTTTTTTTTATCCACTGCTGCTGTCCCGTTGTGTCTCACAATGCAGCAGGTCGATGGATCGGCCTCAGAGGGGCCGAGGCAACTTCCGAGGCTTCCGGGGACGTGGCCGAGGCATCGGACGCAACCCTGATGGATTTGACGGACGCGGAAAACGCGAGTTTGAGCGGCACAGCGGCAGTGACAAGACGTGAGCCCGCGCGCCTCTAACATGCAGCGCGCACAGATTGTTGAATGCATAACGACTTGCTGTGAAAGATGTCTTGTTTGTTCATGAGCCCTAACCAGACATTGCACTTGCTGATTACCAGTCCGGATGAAAACGATTACCACCTGAGGCAGTAATCAGCCGTTTAAATTTCTTTGTGGTCGACAAAAGTTAATGTGAAAAATGAAAGTTACTTACATTTTCTTGCTTAAATTTTGAACGTGTAATACCATTTGAATGTGTCAGTTATCAACTTATTTACTCATCAGCCAAATATACACTACAATTTTGATATGTAATACCAGTTTATGTTCTGGCCGATGTATGTGTGACTGGCTAAATGTTTAAAACAATTGCCTGGTTATGGCTGGTACGAATTACCTCTGTAATAACACTAGGAAAGGGGAAAACAAATTATAACACTGGTTTTCATTGTTTGATTTGAATTGCATGGTTGGTATTTGTTGTGTGATGAATTGTTCAGATATGTGCCTTAAGTGATTAAGTTTCTGTACAGTAAGGCACCAAGCTTGCCAGTTGGTGCTGCTTGTGGTGCTTCTCATCACTCAACGTTGCTAAACTCTTGATGCTGAAACTTGGCCTTTGGATTGCATGCAGGGGGGTTTTTTACCCTTGTACTCAGCCCAGTTGGTCTTGGTGCACGTATTCTCATAAAAAAATAACCACACCTAAACGTTATTTCCCTTCACTTCATTGTGGTAGGGGCTGTTTTTGTCCCTGGTGTAACCATGTTCATTTACTATTTACTTGGCGACGGTACTAGTTGAGTGAAAGTAACTGAGCGCTGCTCTGAGTTGCATGTTTGACCCTGATGATATAGCTTTTGGTGGCAATCGTGGCTGAAGTTGGTGGCCGAATGTTTGGAGAGATTAGGTCATTGGTAGGCTTGAGTTACAAACGTTTCCACGATGTAAGTATCCCCTGGCTAAAAATAGTACGGTGAGGGTGCATGTGTATGCAACTCGCAAATGGCGCACTGTACTAGAGAGGAGGAGCCAGAGGTGTCACAGCAGTGATGGGACGCGGGGGCTGCACAAGCTCGAGAGAGAGATGTGAGGCAGGGCCGGCACTCGGCTGCAGGATTGATGCAGCACAGCTGTCAGTGGCTATAGAGTTCCGATCGACGCCTTAAGGTTAAGGGTTTCAATGGCCTCGTTCTGAGAATTTCAAACAGGTGCCATGTTGAGCCATTTATGGCAATCCTAAATAAATTCCAATGCAGACCAAAATATAAAAAACACCCTAGAGTTGAAATGCTTTGCTGTAAAACCTTACTTGGCACCAAGCTGTCTGCTGTTTAGACTCAAACCAAAGAAGATATGTTGCCACTACATTTTAATACAAATTTTATTTCAATAAAATCGGCACATCCGGTTAAACGCGAGTGACATTCCGATTGGACGTAGTTTCTGCTTTGACGAGGGAGTTGCGAAAACAGCTTTTGATGGAGCCGCGGTCACTGTTGAACGCGTGCTGACTTGTGCCGGCCTAGTGGTCTGAAGCCGGAGGACAAGCGTGGAGGAAGTGGCTCGCACAACTGGGGCAACGCCAAGGACGATGCCAGGTGAGGGGCGCAGCCCGGCTCCGCTTGGGCAGAGGGGGTCTACCTTTGTCCCTCCTGCTGCAGGGTGTCACTAGTGGAGTTGATCAGACAGCACTTGTACAGCCCTATCGCATCTACCACTATTTTAGATTATATCACAGTTAAATTATGCTCATGGGTGACGCAATTGACTTGTGCACTGTAGTTGGAAAATAACTTGCAGTTGCTTTAAGATTGGAAAATTTTTGAAAGTTAATGTTTAACAAAAAAAAACTTAACCTTGGTAGGGTGGATGATGTACCAGAGCTGTCAATATTAAGTCTGGTGGCCACACCTGCAGCGTGGGACTTGGGAAAGCCGTTGATTTGCCTCCCCCTTTTACAAAACGGAGCACGACGCTGCCACTCGCTCTTGGCACGGCCCACACTGAATGCCACCCACTTCTCCCACTCCCGTCCTCGAGTGACCTAGGTAGGCCCACTCAACAGATCGTGGCCACACAGCTTCTGACCAGGTCTCTGTAGTGCCCTTGTGTCCGATGTTGTGGATGGGTGAGAAGGCTTCCTGTTGGGTCTGCTGTGTTACTTCCGAACATACTCAAATAGAAGACCCCTCGTATTTCAGGGATGTTAGATGTGAACATTTTCCAGGGAGGCTGTTGCCTTGTGGTCGTTAAAGTGCATCACGTCATGTTTTGGGGTGTGACGCTTCAGGTTTGTTGAAAATGGAGGGTTTACCTATTTGTTTTCTGTGGCAAAGTATACATTGTGATATGTTCATGCTGTTCAGCTTTTTTCATCAACAGAACATCACAAAATACTAAATGAAAGCAAAAATGCAGCCAATGGCATGTTGAAAACCAAACACCGGTTACCTTCCCAAGCAAAAAGCAGCAACGAGTCGCAAGAAAAAAAACCTGCGTTGCTTCAGCACCAGCACGTGTATCCAGTAATGGATGCCTAATGCATATTGTTGATTTTAAGTGAGTGCAGCAAAACTGACTCAAGTGCAATAGTTGGAGCAACCGAATTCTTGTTGGTATGCAGTTGGGTACAATGTTGAATAGTGTTTGTGGTGGTGTGTTATTTGCAGTGGTGGTGGGCCGGTTCTGCAGATTTGTGTGAGTGGTGGTTGTGACATGGTGGCCGTGTGCCTGTGTGCAGTGAGATTGACCAACCGCCAGCCACTGAGGAGCATGTGGAGCACGAGGAAGTACAGACCACTGAAACCGAGAACAAGTACGTGGATCTCCCAGAGCAGTGTGGGCATTGTGTACTTGTTGAAGGTGGTTTTATTATAAAATGCGACACCTGTTTATGGGTAAATGTGTTTTGTTGATTTTGCAGCACAAGCTTTCGCCTCGGTGTGTATGTGAAATGGTAGCATTGAATCATGGTTTATATTGAATGTTTGCTGCAGTCTTACCATGGTCCACAAGGTTTTATTTCTCAACGTGTCCCCACGTGCCTGACCTAAACATTTGCGCTGTCTCAGGGAAAACGAAACCGACGAAACAAAGGATGAGGAGGAGGGATCCAAGGAGATGACGCTTGACGAGTGGAAGGCTGTGCAGGAGAAGGCACGTGCTAAGGCCCAGTTCAACATCCGCAAGCCTGGCGAGGGGTGCGACTCTGCTCAGTGGGGCAAGAGCTACGTCATGCGCAAGACCAAGCCCGTGGAGGGAGAGGTGAGGACCAAGCTGCTGCTACCACTTGTTAATGTCATATTGGGAGATGAGGTGCCATTGGCTGTCATTTAATATTTACGATGGATATCAAAGTTTACTGTAATTGCGTCGGGGTGGCGTTAGTGGGATGCTTTCACTGTCCAGTCTATAGCAATGTACCTCGCTGGTATGCCCTTTCATAGGTCCAGCTGGAGTCTACTGCCGACCATCATTTCCGCCGTTCGTCCAATGACATAACCTCCAAGCTTGAGATCAACTTCGGGGACCACTCTCGGCGTGGACGTGGCGGTCGAGGGGGCGGTGCACCGCGTGGAGGTCGTGGTGGAGGTCCCATGGCCGGCGGACCCCCAGGCGCTGTTGTCGGAGGTCCAGGTGTTGTCGTCGGGGCTCCAGGCACTGCTCCTGCTGGTCCCAGTGCCAGTGCCATTGTCGCCGGTGCCCCAGGGCCGTCTGGCATGCCACCACCTCGCGGTGGAGGCAGGGGCATGGGCCGTGGTGCTCCCAGAGGAGAGAGGCCGGTGAGTCCCAGCTCTTTGTGGACGAATAGCACTACTACCATCCTGCATACAGGAGAATTTAATTTAGCAATTTTAAAGGAATATGCTCGTTCAATCAATCTTCAATACTAACTGTATTCGTACAGCAATTTCTCTTATCACAAGATCTGCCAAATTGTTGTTGTGCAAAGGTCTTTAGCAAAAATATACGAGAGTCAGTTTGGATGTAAATAATGAAAACATCCGTTTAAAATGCTTTCTGGATTAAGCACAATTTTGTCAAGTGACAACATTTTGCGGATTAGTGGTTTGGCCCAGCAGACAAAACGACTGAGGCCAAACCCGATGTTTTTTGATGCAGCACTAAAAGGATAATTCAGCATGTGCTTGTTGACAAGCGGATGAAGGCTTAACCTAGCTACCCTGGAAATAGTTGATACATAAATTGGCTGAATTTAACACGTGGGCAAATTATGCATCGTGGTTAATGTTACATTCTGTATGGGCAAAAGTCACGCAACTATTACAAAGAATGACTACTTTTTGGATTTGATGTCCTTTGTTCATGAAAAGTCTGATGTCCTTTGTTGCAGTCGGCTGTGATCGTCCCGAACGTGGATGACCCAGAGGCTTTTCCCGCTTTGGCCTAGAAGCCAGAAAGGATGGAGTCGTCACGCCTGCTTTAATGCTCCTCCCAGAAAACCACATGACAGCACAGGAGTTCAACTATTATTAACGTTATTATATGTGATTTACATTAAACTCTTGGCTTTCAGTTTTGTTTCAATGCAAACCCCTTCACTGGCAACACTGTCAGCCGGCATGTAACTTGTCAAACCCGATGGCAGTTGGAGAAACAATTACGTGTGCTAAAATGGGGTTCCCCTGGTTCACATGGAGGCAAACGTCGCAATTTTCTTCCCGCTCATTAAATAAAATGCACCATCGGTGGGGCACGCTACACTAGCGCCATTCCTGCCACCAACTTGGAGACATAGGGGTCAAATGATGAATTATGCTCCCATATACCCATGCGTGACTGAAGTGAGCGACTATCCAACCCCAATGTCTCTGATTGTTGGCCGTGCTTTTCAAGAGCATGTTACCATTGGGTTCTCCACCTAGCCGCCATCACTGATTTGGTACAGTATTTAATGCTACCAGTGTTTGAAATTTGTGTTAAATGACCTTTAAAAAATGAAAAACACTACTACTGATCATTTAGTTTTTACAAGTTCACTTAAAGTTTCAGTGGCTTGTTTTTTTATTTTGCCAGTGAAGGGGTTAATCAGTTTTGCTTACAGTGACAGTAGTGACTGTTTTTCAACTCAAAGCAGGGGACAAATGGGTGGTGTTTTTTTTGTGTATACGCTTTCGCAGACGACGGGCGTTTTCACACTCACTCTGCGTCATGGCAATGGCATGTTTTTGCTCACTTAAGGGCAACATTGTGCATATTTGCCAGTTTCTCACTTCCTCTACGTTGCAATGGTGATGGGGAGGCAAGTGGTGGTCATGGAGAAGGGGTGAGGGGGGGTGGCGGGTTAAAACACTTAGAACACCGCAGTGTTTAGCTTGTGGAGATTTAGAGCATGGCATGATGACGTTTCCTAGTGTGTGGGGATGTGCGCCCACATTGTGTGTTACCTGTATACCATCCTAGGTGAGTAGCAGCTGCTTTGCGTGTGCCAGCCAATGGCCACGCACCTCCGTCTCGTACATTCAAACCAAGACGAAAAAAAGATGCAGTCGTCTGCTGACAACTTTTTGCGAGAAATTCGTTCACAAAGACGTCTTTACAAATTGCCGTGAGCCACATGCGAAGGGGGCGCGGTGAGCGTGAAAAGGGCCCACTATCAGTTGTGCAACGCTGTTAAGTGTCTCCGCTAGAAATGTGTTCTCCTTGGAAGATGTGCTGCTGCAGGGTCGTTATATTCTGGTGGCGATATTTGAGTGGGTGGTGTTTTCTTGTGAATACATTTGCCCCCCCCCCCTTTCCGTGCAGTATGCAAGTCTGCGGGTGTAACCTTTTCGGACTAAAAGCTTGCAATGTTTGCAGTGCAACTTTTATTTTTCATGATCAAAGTTTTCTTTTTCTTATGTAGGTTTATTAGAAAAAAACTGTTCAACTGACTTGTAGTTTAAAAAAATTGGTGTTCAGTTTTGGGGTTGCAATAGTTACTGCTTTGCTCTGGCCTCTGAACTGATTGATTTGGACAGTTTAACATTTTTTCCTTTATTATTTTGTATGGAGAAACCACCACTTGATCTTGTACAAATGTGCAACCCAAGCGACTCGACAACTCGTGCTGTGCGACCAGAATAAAGACAGGAATGCTGTGGAGAGGAGACTTACGTTAATATGGTTTATTGAGAGTTTTTCACAAAAGAGGACTGCTGTTAAATTAAAAGACTTCTTTTTTTTTGGTGGAGTGATGGTGGGAATGTAAAGACCCTTGGCTTGGCATACCTTTTTGGCAACACTGTTCATTAAACACATCCTGATAAAAAACAAGACGCTTGCATGCACAGTATTTGCACATGTGTAGGTGCTCTACATTGTTTTAGTTTGTGTAGGAGCCTGTCCGTGCTTAAACCTAGTTTTAAAAAGAATGACAATTTTTTTATTAGCTTTCGGAGTTTTGTAAACTATACAAATTCAGTTATATTACAATGGAACATTTTTGATGAGCAAATATTTTTCTAACCCTTGAGCTAATGTAATACATTAAAGGGTGCACAGACTAAATGTAACATGGTAGCCAATGACCTCCATGATAGCCGGAACACTTAAATTAACGGGCCAGCAGTAAAAATAAATCCCATTAAAGCTGCATAAGAGCGGTAAATGTATGCAATATGCTACGGTTTAGTCCAATGCCAGAAATGTGTACTTAAGCCTAAAGATTACGCTTTCAAAAAAAATGTAATTGGTACCGTTTCACTGCAAATTGCATCTCAATCGCCGAGGAACAAAGCTGGAAGGCTGCCAGGCGTTGAGACGGTGCCAATCATTCATCTGTAGCGCTATAAAAGACGTTATGGGGAAAATGTATGTGCATGTGAGGAAATCCACGCAGTCCACAGTCCAAAACCCAATACGTAAGGGACGATATCAGTCCACACTTTCGCTATGCTGCATTCTGCAGGCAAGCTTGGGTGTCGCATTAGCCATATTTTGTTCGTTCCACTAAACCTCGCCTCCACTGCTGAATTACAGGCGTGCGTCACCACTACCCAAGCTGGGAATTTGCGTCCGGCTTTTTCACGAGCAGACGTTTGCATACCAATCAACCCCCTTATCAGTGTATCTTATTGCAGACCAATTCAGACCTTATTGGTCACCCCCGTGCCCTTATACATCTCAACATTCATCCTACGAAGTCCCATCACAAGGGAGAAGCACAAACATTACAATAGTTGCCTGAATTCAAACGTCTATGCCGAATGGACCTAAAAAATATCTTCGTACAAGAATGCGGGTAAACAGCATGGGTTGGCAGGTATTCATTTGGGTGGGAAATCGCTTGTGTGGAATGATTGCCAATGGCAGTCCCCATAATTCTCGACAATTGTGTGGACGTCCACAAGGGAGCCATTTTGTGTGCTCCCCCTGTGATTGTGTGGAAACTGCCGCTGTGTGTAGAGGTTGCCCTGCCACTGGCCGCGTGTGTTGCTTAGGACATTGCATACATCTTAAAGTGCCGACCTTAGATAAATTCAGACCTTGTTGGTCACCTTGTGCCACTAGAAATCTCAACGTTTATCCTACAAAGTCCCATGATAAGGGAGAAACTAACAGACAAACTATTTTTTGCCCGAATTTAAACGGCTGTACTCCGTATGGACCTGAAAACGAAATTTCCCTGTACAGGAATCCACGTAAACCGTATGGGTTGACAGGTATGACATTGCTGGGCCAAGCGTCTAATATTCGTTGCTGACCCGTAAAAATATAGTTTACGGATATTTTTATTGCATCGAGGTTTTTATAGTTCCCAACATTTTAAAAGCGGGCCACAGCTCTATGGATTCCCCCACAACCTCTATGCGATTTTAGTATTTGGAATAGTTCATTTTCATATGTTTCAGCACTTCAGTCAATCCACTGCTGGATGAAGGCCTCGCCACGGCCGTACAAGGTTGTTGATTGGTTGGTCCGATAATTCGCGCTGATATTGCCCGGCACTTGTCTGCCGTGGCTGGGAATAATCGCACGACTGTGCTTAGGGGCCGTCCATAAATGACGTCACGCACCTAGGGGGGGGGGGGGTGAGAAATGTGACGTCACATCAAAATGCGCAAATTTTAATAAAAATAGACAACACGTTCTACTTAATTAAATAGACTTTTTAAACATTCCTGCGGAGGGAACTGGTAGGAACGTTGGGTTTCTCGGTCAATGGCCAGGGTCAACGGCGGCGTGGTGTATTCCGCAAATATGCCCGACTGAGGGCAGGCACAAGCCGGCGTGAGTAGGTTAAACGTTGAGTTTTATAAGGGCACCACGGGGTGACCAGCCCCTCCCCACCCAGCCCCACCCCTCCCACCCCCCACCCAGCCCCTCCTCACCCAGCCCCTCCCCACCCTCCCCTCCACCCAGCCCCACCCCTCCCATTTTTGGATTCACGACGGACGGACACAATAATCCCCTGTGGGCTGGTGGAACCAGGAGGTTCCTACCAGTATTAATGTTTTCTCCTACAATATCAGAGTGGAGCGCCACATTAAATACGCACTACAATGACAATAGTTTAAAGCGATTTGAAGCATGTTTTATTTTGGGGGGGGGGGGGCAGATCTTTGTGACGTCATATTTGAGAGGGGGTCTGGCTTTTAGTGACGCCGTGTAACGAAGGGAGGGGGGTCAAAAATCGTCCAAAATCGCGTGACGTCATTTATGGACGGCCCCTTAGCCACAATATTGAGCCGTTCATGTGAATAGATTCGTTTAACGTCGATAGGGAGGACAGAACATTGCAATCTCCTTTGGAAACGCGTCTCCTAAAGACCACGACTATACAGTAGTATTTATACCGCCACTTTTACTGGTAGGAACCTCCTGGTTACACCAGCCCACAGGGGATTATTGTGTCCGTCCGTCGTGCAGGGAGGGGCTGGGTGGGGATGGGCTGGGTGGGGAGGGGCTGGGTGGGGAGGGGGGTGGCTGGTCACCCCGTGGTGCCCTCATAAAACTCAACGTTTAACCTACTCACGCCGGCTTGTGCCCGCCCTCACAGTCGGGCATATTTGCGGAATACACCACGCCGCCGTTGACCCTGGCCATTGACCGAGCAACCCAACGTTCCTACCAGCTCCCTCCGCAGGACAATGTGTTACAGTATTTGGATGTAACGCACTGCAATGGATTTGTCATTCTACGTGAACAGCAGAGGGCAGTGCATCCCAAATGTGCTTTATTCACAGATGTCCAGTAGGGGCGGATCAGACGGTTCCGACAGCAAACAATACGAAAACATGATGGGAATTCAACGTAAGCAAATCACTAAAACGTGTTTGTTTTACCAGGTAAAACTCACTTAACTTTTAATAAGATATACCCCCACCACACATCACCCACTGACGATTGATCAGTGTTACCCATTTATACTGCTGGGGGGGGCACAAGCGGCTTGGATTTGAGTAACTTCAACGTTGTGTCAAATCAAAGCGGCGTCCTCTGGACTTTTAGTTTCACAGTGGTTGTTCACCAACACATTGTCCTGCGGAGGGAGCTGCTGGTAGGAACGTTGCGTTGCTCGGTCAATGGCCTGCAGGGTCAACGGCGGCGTGGTGTATTCCGCAAATATGCCCGACTGTGAGGGTGGGCACAAGCCGGCGTGAGTAGGTTAAACGTTGAGTTTTATAAGGGCACCACGGGGTGACCAGCCCCTCCCCACCCAGCCCCACCCCTCCCTCCCACCCCCCACCCAGCCCCACCCCTCCCACCCCCCACCCAGCCCCACCCTCCCCAGCCCCACCCTCCCCACCCAGCCCCTCCCCACCCGCCCGTCCCCACCCAGCCCCTCCCCACCCAGCCCCTCCCCACCCTCCCTCCCTGCACGACGGACGGACGGACACAATAATCCCCTGTGGGCTGGTGGAACCAGTGGGTTCCTACCAGTATAACAGGGCGATAGGATATCCAAATGGGAACTTGGTAACTGTTCAACGTATTGGCTGCCCATGGCATCCCCCAGCACAGCTTGTGGTATAGGGAGATGTGAGTGTCGCCTTACTGATGATACCTAATAAGGGCGAACCCCTGCATAGAACCCCGTGATGCATGAGCGAGAAAATTAAATTTTATTTGTACTGCAGGAATCCAATGATATCCAAATCTCTTTTTCACAGATGTCCCAGTAGGGGCGGGTCAGAACGTTACAACAAGAAACAAAACAACAAAAACACGATCGATAGTATAAAGTTTGGGAAAGGTAAACAAATTAATTTAAAAATAAATAAAAAATAAACTTTTTTTGTATGTTATTAAGTAAAGCCCACTGAGATATTAACTTGTTTTTTTTTAGAAGCGACCTGGCCACAAATGATAGCGCAACGTAGTGACTTGTGTAAACATTTATAGCAAAAGGTAAATAATCTTAAATGCATGTTACAATCCGTAGTGTGCACGGGTCCGGTGGTCCCAATTTTGGCGAGGGATTTGAATTCCCAGTCCGCTTTAGACGCGGCCTCGGTCGGTCACCCCACCCACCCACCCACCCTCCCCCTTTCCTATTTCGGCCACATTTCAATTGATAAGCAGTATAGAGCGCCGTGGCCCGCCCCAGAACGCCTTATATGGTAACATTTGAAATGGTACACCGCTTGAGCTCGCTCGCGGTGAGCCCCTCCCACAAACTCCTTATATGGCAACGCGCGATGACGCAACTCGCACGTCGCCCCGCCTCTTCCACCCTCCGAGGCTCGTCTAATTGGTCAATGCGTTCACGCGCGAGCCGGAGGACCAATCGCGAGCGCGCTTCAAAATGTCGCGCGCGTCACGTTGACCAATGAGCGAGCGCAAGGGGTGGGGAGGTGGGGGGGGGTGTGAGGGCGTTGTCGAGGAGACGTCAAAGACGTGAAGGTGGTGGTCGTGGCAGCATAGGAGGTGGTGGTCGTGGCGCTATAGGAGGTGTTGGCCGTGGCTGTCAAGGACGTGGCCGTGGCTATATAGGAGGTGAACGAGGCGGCCGTGACTGTCAAATCGTGCGGAGCTTGCGTCGAGAGAGAGATAGAGGGAGAGCCGTGGAAACGGTGAACGCTGTCAAGAGAAAGCCGCTGTAAAGAGAGAGCCGTGGTGGTGGTGGTGTTGTTGGTGGTGTTGTTGATGGTGGTGTTGGTAGTGTTGTTGTTCATTCAATGTCCGTGTGCTCGTTCACTCGCTCGCCGAATTGTGCGTGAGTGGGGCCACGCGTGTTAGTTCGTCTGTGTGAGTGGGGAGCGGTGGTGGAGCGGTTAGCGCCTAACCGCGCTACGAATCCCGCGTGCCGGTCCTGGGCCTCCCCCTAGGTCGACTCGGCCTCAAATGAGTACCTGCGGCGGTGTGTAAACATCGCCACTGGGGGAGACAAAGGCGGTCGGGCGCGGTGCTGGCCACCCACCCCCCCTCGTGTGCCACGGTGCCGGCTTTCACAGGCGATGCTCCTATCTAACAGCACTTGCCTCTACAGTGTTGAGGCTATACGGGGGATCTTTGTATTTGTCTGTGTGTGAGATCAATTATACGCTCATCAAAAAGGGCCGTGTGGCTGGTTGATGTGGATGTGTAAAAGAAAATATTTGTATCATGTGAATGTTGTCTACTGATGTATATTGTTACTGCGATTCTCCACAACGACGATTTGTTTTGGTGTGAGCGAAAACGCGATAGATTTGACGTCCGTGCACCTAGCCTGGCACAGACGTTGTGGTGACGTCACTTACAGTGGCGAATGCCGCCTTGCTGCTTATTGTTGATTGACATTGCGATTGGTTTGGGTTAAATTGTAAAATAATGGTTTGCCTGTGGGCTACAGCAAATTCTGGACAAATGTCCCTTGTGCATGGGAATATAGCGTTGCCCCCTCGCATGCGTGGGGTTTTCTCCGGGTTGCTCCGCTTTCCTTCCACGTGTATAATTAACACTGTTAACTGGCTGAAAACATCTTAATATGTAGAGAACTGCAGAGCAGTGTTTGGCGCAGGCTCACCACCTATCAGCCTTCCAGCGTGGTCTGTGGTTCCTCAACAATTGCGAGATGAAATTTGCACGAGTGATCGCTTTATAAAATAGATTTGTTTTCTGTTCATGGACAGTGTGGCAGTCGTATGAGAGTGCAGTAGTGTGACAGGACAATTGATGAACAGCGCTAACAAAAGATTCCTACATGGTTTTCATTAGAGGGTAACGCAGCAACATCTGTTAAATTATACTTGGAAATTCAAACCAATGTTCACTGCCTTCATAAAGCCGCGTGGTGAAGTATGGTCACATAACTGCATGGCGTGGGGAAAGCCCTCCAGCAGTGTGTTGGATAGGGCCGTAAAATATCTGCTCGAACGAGTTTATGGCTCAACTCATTTCTATGTATATATGGTTTATTTACGTCGGTCTGTGTCAGTATTTGTTGCCGATTGACAGCACAGTTTTCTAAAGGGACTATTCATTGGCGAGGACAATTGACTGGCGAAGCAATTGATGAGCGGTGCAGTTGATTTAACCATGACGGTTATTGGCCTTCGTGGTTGTGCAGGAGGATGGCGCCACTGGTGTACGTGGGTGCCGCTGTGCTGCTAGCGCTGGTGTGGCTGCGTCTCCGCGGGCTGGAGTACGTGCTGGTGCAGCACCGTTGGCTCTTTGTGTGCCTCTTTCTACTGCCACTGTCTGTGCTCTTTGATGCCTACTACTTCATCAGGTGAGCCTCTGCCTGTTGACAGGTTAAACACATACCTTGATGGAGGGGAGTTAATATCAGAAGCCAATGTCCACAGCAGTGATTGGAGTGCTGAGCTCACTGTTGAAATGTTTCGAGTCGAAATACTGGTCATTATCATCATCGTCATCTCTCCTGGATCCTTAAACATCATTACCATCATCACCATCCCTCGAAGCTCCTTAAAGTTGCTATCACTTTACGGGAAGTTAGCAGTGGAGACTGGCCAATGTTATCGGAATGTGGAATGGCCACCACTGACTCAGGACCAGCAGCAGAGACTGAGACTCAGGACTTTATATCAGCTGTTCAGGCCCATTGTTTTTGAAGGGTGACCACAGATCAAGACCATCAACAGAGCAAAAACAAAATATATGTACACGAATAGTGTAAATAGTGCTTGCATACAAATACAAAATTACGTAAGAAAACCTGTCAGACTTGTATAAATAAAACATAAACAGAGAGTTGAGCAAAGTCACCAGAGACATTTTTGGAAAGATTTACAACTTTAAGAAACAGGACGGAATGTCAACAAGGCAGGTTTGCCTCATATGAAAAATACTTTACAACGTGTCAAATTGACCCTTTCAGTTTGCGTTGGAAGCTCCAACCCCAGACACCTAACAAAGTGATAGGTTAACATGGGTTGGCTGGTTTACTGTATGGATGGGTTGGTAGCTAGGTGGGTGGATGAATGACTGGATGGGTGGATTGGAGGCTGGGTTAACTAGTGGCTGGTTGGGTGAACCGGCTGCTTGTCCCATTTCTCTGTATACTTATGAGCATGTCGTGTGCCTGGTGCCACCCCTTAACCCCCCCCCCCCAGAGCTTGGCTGGTGTTCCGCATGTGCAGCGCACCCAAGCAGCATGACCAGCGTGTTCGCGACATCCAAAAGCAGGTGCGGTTTCAAAGAGAAAACCCCAAAAGACACTTTAGAACTGAGTTTGGTCTCCCAGTGCCGACATAAATGCTCACTCAGCCCAGGGATAGGGGTCCCATGGCCATGTCGAGGTTACGTTTGGCCACCACTCGTGTAACTGTCGGTCGTTGATCAAGAACCTTTTGTGACTTTTTGGAATCGACTTTGTACATTCTTATCCTTCTCCACCATCCCCCCCACCCACCTCCCGATTGCACAACCGTCATTTATTATCAGAGGCAGGGTCCCCTTGGTCAAGTTGTAATAATGTGGAATGTGAGCGCAGGTATAGTTTGGTATGCAGTTATGAGGTATAAACGGCAAATATTGGGCACAGAGACAAATCTCAGGGGAAATGCTGGATGTGATAGAAGTCGGCACGACCTATTATAGCCGTGTCTCATAACTAGATGCATACACTTCACTACCAGTGGGCGCTGGAGGTCGCCATGAATGTGCGGACCTTGAATGGCTGATTATAATCAAGTTTATGTGGCCTGGCAGTGCTTATCTTTCCCGGAGTTGAACTTGAACCAAGGACTTTCACAGATAACTTTGAATGTCATCAACCTTGAAAGCGAAATCAGCACGACTGCAAACACTTTGCATCACTGTAAAAGATTAACATTTTAACAACACAGACATTGAGAGCGCAGTGAGACGTTTATATTAGTGTTGTTCTTTCAAGGAAAGTTGTTGCAGTGCACGTCAAGGTTTAGTGCTGCAGGCCGTCCAGCATGAGTTTTAAACTTCGTTGTTGAGAAAACAAACTAAAAGCTACCCCAAAAAATGTGTACTCACCCTGAGAGCTGGTGTTCGTTTTTCTCTGGCAGGTGCGGCAATGGCGTGCTGAGGGTGGGCAGACGTACATGTGCACGGGCCGTCCAGGTTGGCTCACCGTGTCCCTGCGCGTCGGCAAATACAAGAAGACGCACAAGAACATCATGATCAACCTCATGGACATCCTGGAAGTGGACACCAAGCGGCAGGTGGGACGGCCAATGTGCACGGGCCATTCGCTCGCAATTTATAATAAGTTCTTTATAGAGTGACTCTTTAATTGGATGTCTCATTAACAAGTACTTTTTAGCGATTTATAAAAGGAGCGTGCAGTGCGATTGATTTAAAGGATTTGGTGACATATTAATTACTGATGTGCACCTACCGCCATTTGTTCATCGCGTCGCTTGCTGACGTGAGACCGTGCTGCTCCCCTCCCCCCACTCCGCCTTGTAGATCGTGCGTGTGGAGCCGCTGGTGAACATGGGTCAGGTGACCTCGCTGCTCAGCTCCATTGGTTGGACGCTGCCGGTGGTGCCAGAGTTGGATGACCTCACAGTCGGTCAGTTTATCTCGCAGGTGTTCGTGTCTTTGTGTTCCGCCGTTGCGCTGATGGCCTTCTGGCCAGTTAACCACATCGTGACTTTGATGGGTGTTCACTGTTTCCTATGTAGCCAACCGTGCTAATTGCAGGTGCGGGGGAAGGACAACAAACTAAACACTAGAAGCAGTTTTAAAGAAATGAGTTTTCAATCTAGATTTAAAAAGTGCATAGCTCCAGTGGCTTCCTACTATCCAAAGGAAGAGCATTCCAGACGGCCACAGAAGCACATCCGAAAGCACGCGATGCAGTGACCGTCTTTGTTCGATGGCTGATCGAAAGCCTCTGCGAGGATGACCGGAGTTTGCGTGATGGCTTATGTTCCTTCACGAGAGAAGGGCTCTGCTTTCCAGAGCACTGCAGAAAGGCGCAGCTTAGTCGAGTTTTAAGTTGGTATTTTACCACCTTTATGTATGGCAATAAAGTTAACATTACAATTTATGTAGAACACTGTATATGTAAAATGTTTACGTAATATATTTTTTTATTGGCGAGTAGAGAGTGCAGACCGTATAGCCCATACCAGGTAACAAACACTCCTTTATCAATCTACAAGTTAAAGATATTCCCACACCTTGTCGTCATCAAGGTTGATTGACAATACTTCATGCTAATCAGTCTAGGTTGATAAAGGGGGTGCCAAGGACTAATACAGCTAGTGGTCGCCATTGGTGTTATGTCTGGATGAGAATCAAATTCGAATCACAAGGTTCATTGCATAGCTATGAACTGTTGCACTATCTCTGGCTGTAAATCAAACTCGGGTCGCTGAGTTCTTAGCTTAATGGCCTAACCACTATACCTGTGCTCCAGTACACCAGGTTTTGGATGGCATTACAAAAAAAAAATCTATTTTGCTATCACCCTTGTGTGGTAATCAAACACCTTCTGTAAAATGTATTGCCACAGCATCAGTTGACCGCAACCTCGGACACTCACACTGCCACCGCTGTGTATGCCTTCGTGTGCGACACAGGCGGGCTCATCATGGGCACAGGCATCGAGACGTCTTCGCACATCTACGGCCTCTTCCAGCACATCTGCGTGTCCTTCGAGCTGGTGCTCGCCGACGGCAGCCTCGTGCGCTGCTCCAAGGTGACGAGCGCACGGCTGCGTGAGTGAGCAGATGTGGGGCCGGAGGGCAGGTGTCAGGTGTGCGAGTGGCAGGCGGTGTGGCCTCAAAGCGGGGTGTCTCTGCACCGTACATTGATACCTAAAGGGACCGTTATTCCATGGAGTAATAGTGCTCTCTTGTGTGCGTTTGTGTGTGTGAAAGAGGTCATCACTGTCCATAAAATATATTTACTCGGTGAATTTGTTTTGTATAGAAATGCCGAAACAACAATCGGTATAACCCAAAACCACATCAGAGAGCTTTTCTCACTTTAGTTCTTTCGGCAGTCTTGGTAACGACCGCTGCTCACCACCGCTGCCTTGTTTACTCCCCCAGACGGAGAACTCGGATCTGTTTTACGCAGTGCCGTGGTCGTACGGGACACTGGGCTTCCTGGTGGCGGCGGAGGTGCGCATCGTGCCTGCACGCCACTACGTGAAGCTGCGTTACACGCCCGTGCGCGGCCTCGACGCCATCTGCTCCACGTTCCAGCACGAGTGCACACGGCCAGACCCTGCCACCTTCGTGGAGGGCCTCATGTACGGCCGAAATGAGGCCGTCATCATGACAGGAGAGCTCACCGACACGGCCGAGCCCGACAAGGTTAGGCACTGCCCCACTCGTGTTATTCAACTTGCCCAGAAACTCCACAACACCTTGATATTGTGTGCACCATATTTTTCTCTTTCGTTCCATCTCCCTTACACTATAACTCTCGGACCCTGCCCACACCTTCGCAGATCAACAACATCGGCTACTACTGGAAGCCGTGGTTCTTCAAGCACGTGGAGGGATTCCTGCACAAGAGCGGTCCACCCTGCGTCGAGTACATCCCCCTTCGCCACTACCACCACCGCCACACACGCAGCATCTTCTGGGAGCTGCAGGCAGGCAGTGCATTAGTGGACACGTCCTGGCGTCCATTGGCCACATGAACCTCTTTTATCCGATGACAACTGACCCTCACCCACACAGAGCCAACCGAGCACAGCTCAGAATACACCATAACCACAGCCGCAGCACTGATATCCCACAACGAGCGTGTGTTGTCGGTATCGCTTGTCTGGCATGATTAACCCTGCCCCTTCCACTGTGGTCTCTCGTGAGGCCTCATTTTTACGGATTTGGTTCTGGCTTAGCTCAAGAAATAGCCTGTGGAAAACCACCCATACCTTAATGGTTGCGTGCTGGCACGGCTCAGATGTGTTATTGTAAAAGGGTTATTGGTGTCCAGGCATTAGCCTTGCACATTAAGTGACACGAGATGCAGTTGGAAGCAGGTTCACTAAACGTCAGGCGTTCCTGTGTGCTCCACGCTTATGACTAAATAAGCAACGAGATAGTCACTTTAAGACACTATACTAATATTAATTTTATTATACATACTATATAGCTCTTTAAAAAGTGATCGTTTATCTGTGATAATCGACCAATTGATATTTTAAAGCCATTTGACTTTTTTCCAGCGCAAGTTTTTGGAGACGATATTCTCGCGTGCCTTTTTCTCCAATGATATCTTGCCTGGCATTCCCACAAGAGTCGTTCCCTTTTGCTCCACAGGACATCATTCCATTCGGGAACCACCCCGTGTTCCGCATGCTCCTGGGCTGGATGGTACCGCCCAAGATCGCGCTGCTGAAGCTGACGCAGGGCGAGGTGGTGCGCAAGCTCTACGAGCAGCACCACGTGGTGCAGGACATGTTGGTGCCCATGCATACCCTGCAGAAGTCCCTCACCTGCTTCCACGACGAGATTAACGTCAGTTTGCCTGCACCTCTCCCACAACTTGCGCATTTAAACCCAGAAAATCTTTCATTGTACTGACTTACATAATTTTATTGGCCAAAAGTAAGAGTGCTAGATGTAACCGTATGATCACATTTGGTTAAAATGGGTCAATGAAAGATTGAACACAATAACAATTATTGTTTAATTGTACTGACTTACATAATTTTATTGGCCAAAAATAAGAGTGCTAGATGTAACCGTATGATCACATTTGGTTAAAATGGGTCAATGAAAGATTGAACACAATAACAATTATTGTTTAATTGTACTGACTTACCTATTTTTATTGGTGGACTTATTGGATATAATAAGATTCCTAGGTTAAAAGGGGGTTAAAGAAATATGGAACACAAAAAAAACAATAAACGCCTACCTTGTAGATACATTATCTTGAATATGTTATTATGAAAATTAACTGTTTATTCTACTGGTAATATACAGCAATCATCCGATGTGAATTCTGGGATATCTGACAAGTGTAAATGAGAATAATGTATAGTTATGGTCAAACTTACGATATGTTTAATACACATCACTAGAATGCTATGATTGAGCACCTGACCCCAATTTTTGAGATTTGTTTTCATCAATGAAGCTTCAAACTCATGTTGGATAGCCCGAGACATATAGCATCCAAACATATCTACAATGTTTTTTTCGTGCTGCTTTTTCCCCTCAATGGGTAGTGTGTCTCCCATTATCTCAGGTCTCCTGATAACTTAACGCACACACACACGACTCGTCCCTAACCACCCTCTCTATATGACCCTTCCCCTACCCACCGTGCAGCTGTACCCGCTGTGGCTGTGCCCATTCCGCCTGCCCAGTGTGCCAGGCATGGTGCACCCCAAGTCTGACCAGGAGGAGATGTACGTGGACATTGGTGCGTATGGGGAGCCCAGGATGAAGGGGTACACTGCCGGCACCACGACCCGTCGTCTGGAGCAGTTTGTGCGTGACCAGCATGGGTGAGAGCACATCCCCCCCTGCCTCATGCGAGCATGCGGGAGTTGCGTGCTTTGGTATCATGTGTAATAAATAAATAAAAACTCAGACTTTCAGTGGAATTGAACCATAATTAATGTACGAATCCAACAGATGGCACTCTTAATTCAAGAAAACTTTAATTCACTGTGTTAATGCCATGCTTAATTAACGTAAGCTTTGCATTTATAAATGGGTCCCCTGCAAAACAATGCCACCCAGTTTTCTTTAAAAAAAAGGCTGCTTTCCATGTTTATTAAATGACACCTTCATCCCACACAGGTTCCAGATGCTCTATGCCGATTCCTACATGAGCCGGGAGGAATTCTGGAACATGTTCGACCCAACGCTCTACCAGAAGATGCGCAAGCAGTACGGCTGTGAGGGTGCCTTCCCGGAGGTCTACGATAAGATTTGCAAGGCAGCCAGGCACTAGGAGTGTTGCTAGATGGTGCAGTTGAGTGGTCGGGGTGGACCAGAGACAGGGAGGTGGAAAATATGGCTTGCATTGCAGGAATACTTTGGGGCGTCTTGAGTTTCTATACATTTACTTGTGTTTAAAAGGGATAAGTAATATTTGAACTACTGAAGGACCTTTGTTGATCTAAGATTATTGCTGTGATATTTAAGATGAACTAAGTCACACTGGTTTGGATAGTGTTAATATCGACGTTAGCAATGACTGGGACTTTGCTGGATGTGAAATGCTTCAGCAGGGGCTTCATGATGCATGACGAGTCCAGAAGATAAATAAGTGATGAGGTTTGATGACTCCAGTAAGAACTGGGTCCAAATTGTGTTCGTGTAAATTATTGGTTAATGTTCTGGGGAGAGAATGACCATTGAAATGTTTGTAAAGTGCTCGACCGCCTGTTATTGCTGCTTTAGCAGTTCAACTGCATCTGCGCGTTCATGTTGTGCCGCTCTTAATCTACGTTGACACTTGAATGAGATGTGCAGTTACTGGAGACCATATTCCCCTCGATTGATGCTGTTCTCGTACTTTTTTTCTGAACGTCACCTTCCATACTTAAATGTTTATGCATCAGGGGCTTTACTGCGGGTTTAATGTTACAGGTGGTGTGTAAATAATTGAATTCAGTAAATTGGGTGTGCATTATTAAACAACCTTGTACCAAAGTTATTCCAACCAAACTTTGTTTGAAAAAAATGCCTTCCCCTATATTATTTATAAAGCCATTTGAGGCTTTCATTACAGCCTCTAAAGTTATTAGCAAAGTGCACTCTCATTGTCGGTTTTCACTATGCCTTCATTTGTGTGATGTGAAAATGTAATTGTGGTTTAATAAATGTTTTCAGTGACTTTTCCCTTTGTCATTGTTACTGTAGTAGTGTAAAGGAAAAACATAACTGCATTGTAATATATGCAACCCGTTGCCAACCACGACTGGATGAGGGCCTCCCTACGCCATACGTTTTGAGGGTTGTTTAACCACATTTAACAACATTGTTCATTGCATTGGAAGTGGAGAGTATAGGCATGGGAATATGAATACAGCATAATTGATTTTCTGCACTATCTACAAAATAACTCAGTATTATCAGCCAGAATATATACAAAGACATTCGTTAAAAATTGTTTAAAAGAATGACAACCTATCAACTATGCTGTTTGGTCAACATTGGGCAAAAGTTTACTTATTTTGTATTAAAAACAAATTTCTTAATTGTATTCAGCCAAAAAATATATATATAAATTGTGGAACGTTACTACTTTGATCCAAAAACACGTGATTGAATACACTTTTATCGTCCTTTTTTTCAATCTACTGCAGTGGTTCGTGCATAGCACTGGAACCTGATGACGTGAGTACGATTCCCAACCAAAGCTCTAACATCAGTGGGGTATATTTGGACACCATCCTTTACCAATTCGCACGAGCAGTCAAGAATGGTGAAACGTCAATGACCGATACGGCATGGGGAGGGGCCTTCACCCACAGCAGGGGTCTTGACAAACGGTGTTTATTCAAATACTGTAAACTAATGCATAATTTTATGTTAATTGTGTGACTATCCATTCAGTGAGCATCAGACACCCCAACAGAGCCACGGAGCTGCTTGTGGGCCATGCGGTCTTACGTAGCAGTGGCAGCACTACCCATACTTCACCGCCTCTGCTTTTTGTAAACTCCCACACTCGATTTGACAAACTAATGCGGAAATGACTACTTCATGCATCATCGCCTACATAGAATATTTTAGCCTAAAACGCCACGAAATAACAAGAAATTAAGTGACTGGCAGAGCCCTGAAATTGCAGTTTGGGTTCAACAGCTGCCCCTAAATGTGTTACATTTGAGCACAGCAGCACCGGAGGCCACCGTGTGGCCAATTGTGGTAACACGCCGGTGGGATTGCAGAGAAAAGAGTTACATGTGGTGCTGAGAACACAAACTGATATTTCTTTAAAATGTGGACTCAGGCAGGAAACAAAAGATGAGAGCAGATGGCCAAGACTGGTGACAAACTGGCAGAAAAAGAAAACATCAAATGACTCCTACGTGGTTATATGAATCGCACGCGTACAGGAGCGCGGTGGATTGAGGCATCAGAACTCCACGCAATGAAGTTGGGAGGACTTGACCCAACCGATCATGGCTGACGGATTTCGTTTTTAAGTTGTTTGCTGAGCATAATTCTGTATCCCAGTGAGGTGTTTACTGTGCATGATTTCATCTCGTGAACAGACATTGGATGACGATTCAGTATTTAGTAACCATCATGACCAGTATTTACCCCCTCTCTTCCCCACCAACTGATGGCAACACAATTTTGCACAAAATGAAAAGCAGAATGCATGGTTGAAACTTAAGGTATTTATTTAAACCAGTTATAAAACAGAAATCAATGTATATTGAGTTACATACAGTAAGCAAAATGAGCCTTCGTCACAAAGCGTAAACAGGATAGGGAAGGACTTTCTAACACAAGCTACTTCAAACATAGCAAATCCCCAAGCTGCTTGCAACGTCTCAAATGTTGAGGTACACCCATCAAAATTAGCAAATGTTAAACAAGCACAGTGTGAAACGATCTTCCACATTTGGTAATTAAGTTTAAAATCGTGTTTTTAATAGTTATTGGCTTGCTTTTTTCATCTGGCGAGGCAGTGGGCACAAAATACCAAGATAAAATTCAACTGTTGGTTCATCTCCTACTTTCAATGCATCTCACAACCAGTTAAAATATTGCCGGGGCCATCTTTAACCATCTGATACACTTTTTCAAGGGACCTTATTACCACAGAAAATGCCACACTGGTCGTGACAATTGAAGGGGGATGAGGTAACTGGAATGCATCCCTCTGGTAAAAATGGCATCATTGTAACATCATACAATGGCAAGGTATGGGAGACACCGAAAAGTGATACTTTCATTTCTCAAAAACACCCATTAACATGCAAATCAACTTATGTTGGCAGTGTTTCTTAGAATACTTTAAACTATTACCTCATTAGTTGTACTAAATATAATACACTTCCCAATTTTACATGTAATAAGAATGCAACCCTCATTTGAAAATCTTGCCACCTCAAATGATTTTTTTTACAGCAACAGTGCTGTCGCATAAAAACTAGGTAAAGTTTATTTGACAACTTCCAGAAAGAATTGAAAGTTATCACAACTGGTAGAATGAAAGGCAGTTTGATTGGCAGTATATGTGCTGATGTTTTAATCCATCATAAAATCTTCTCCCCTATAGGCTGAGGTAGCAGATTTCCGTGTTTGTGATACCTACAATATAGAACTTCTTTCGCACCGTATGTAGCCAACCATGCTAATCAGAGGTGCGGGGAAATTGGAAGTGTTGTGGCTAAAAAACTGTTAATAAATTATACCAAAAATCTTTGTTCAATTTTCCAACATGGTATTAAGAGGATATCTATTATATTGAACATTAAGACAACATTAAGCGTAATTTATACTATTCTGTATCCAAGGGAAAAATGGTTTCTCCAATTATTAACTTTAATAAAAGAGCATGTATTCAAGAGTTTGGTAATCAATAGAAAGCACGAGTAGTTTCAACTTTACGAAATGCAATTCACATATTATAGTTACATGACAGTAATCCCCCTAATAATATGCTTTTGATAATTCTGAATGCATTCTTGCCAAAGTAGGAATATATCCAATTGCTTTGTAGGAACACATTCAAATTATTTGCTCAGCCAGCAGTGTAAATGGAATATGAAAATAGCATTCTGGAAAACACTGAAAGTTTTAATAGCAAACGTCAATACCTTTATGGTAGAAAATTCAGCCATGAATAGTTGATACTAAAATGTTATCTACCGTCTTTATACAATGCATTTAAAACGACCAAGTTTGTAGCATATTAACACGGTCTGATCTGCTGAAGAGAAATACAAACATGCTTAAAACAGACATGGCAAAAGAAATAAAAGCCTTATTTAAACATTTCCATCATATATGCACATCGTAAAACATATTTTATCTCTATTGAAATTAGTATAGGCACACTTATTGCATGTTTTCATGGCATTGTGCATCAGAGGTTTATCATCCAAACACACCCCTAAACCTGCAGCAGATAGTAATAAATATGCCATTAAGGACATGGTCACACGATTTTGCTGGTTTGGAATCAGATGCAATTCACTGCTCGAGTGTTGGAAGGAAGCCTACTGAAAAGCTTATAAAAACCAACACACAAGCACCTCCCATAGTGCAACACTGTGCTGGCTTCATGCCTTTCGTTTCAATAGAGTAGGGGAAGGCACATTAAAACGAACAGTCAAAAAGCCAGCAACAGTAGAAGCTGAAGGATATCACTATTGTCTTTTGCAAAGTTTCTCACCCAGACTCCTCACTCACACTAAGTTAAGCTATTTTTCCTTCAATTTTACCTGGTGTCATTTAGGTAAGAAAATATGACCTATTAAGTGGTCCAGCTGGTTTCTTGTTCGCATTTCGCATAGAAAAAGATTAAACTCCGGTAACCTAAGCAGAATTGATCAATTTCTAAAGAGCTGTGTAGCACAGAAATATTTAAAGCTAAACAATTTAAAGGATTCCAGTGTGATTGGGTTTTAAATTAAGAACTGCTTTCACATCTACACAAATGTAAAATCATGGCTTTGGCATCAACTAACCTGGGACACCTAAATTGTGCCGAACGACAAAATTGTAGAAATATATTGAATGATCGGTCCTACAAATTGTTTATCAAATATATACAACCTATTTGAAAAGTTTCGCATATTTAGGTAGATCTGTTAAATTTCATTTCTATATGTATATGCAAAAACCACCATTCAGCGGTGGTAAAGAAATAAAACAATTTTGGGTTACAATTGGGCAAAATGCTTAGTATCTCACAAATGTGGAGAAGAACAAAAGAAACAATGTCTGGTTCTCTCCACCTCTCGCGCAACAATCAAACAGTAACTGGCCGAAAGACGAATGCCGATCCACCTGTGTGTACAATAAGGAATCCAGTAAGCCCGGCATGGTCTGTGTAAGATTATCTGAGAAATCACCGACCACTGCCATAGCCAGGGAAGAGCTGATTGAGAAGGGTTTGCAGCTTCTGGTTGATCGCCATGCTGTTGGACTTGCCCAGCTCGAGACGACAAGCTGGACAGGTGTACACCTGAGCTTTGAACGAGCGCTGCAGGCAGCTCTGTGGATACAAAGAACGGTGGCACAATGAGGCACATCACACTTTGTACATAAATACTATACCATGTCTCAAAATGCCATTTTCATATGAGGGGTTACCTTAGACAGACAGCATGCATTCATTATTTATTCTGAGCCCACAAGTGACATTTTTATGGTTAGACAATTACTGATTTAAAGCTTTCGTGACTGCAGGGATTCATATTCTTGGTTCTTTCGGTAAAGTCACGTAGAAGGGAAATAATAAAATAAAAATATATTATTTAGAAGGAAAACAATAAAATAAAAAGATATATTAATAATTTATAGACAATTACTGTCGACATAATTCTGCTATTTTATATCAAGTTACATATTTTAAATACGAATTCATATTGATTTGGCCTACAGTGCTTGTCACAACGACAACACTCACTTTGCAGACATTATGGTGGCACTCTGTGGTGACTGGCTGCCACACCAATTCTTGGCAGCAAATGCACAGACACAGCTCTTCAAGCTTTGACAGGAACTTCTGCAATGATAAACAGCACAATCCACAGAATGTAAAGCTTACACTTACCATCTACAAATTCATACGCTTCAATATACACCTTCATTTAACACAAACAGGGAAAATAAATCATAACTGTGAACACATTGATCCTCATACCTCAACTTTGTAGACTTTATGAAATACATAATTGCCAAAAGATAATTAAATTGTATTTAGCACCAGCCAATAGATGTGGTGTCGAGAAGGAAAAAAGTTCAAATGGGCAGGACACACTCACTACAGAGTGGATACCGAGGCAAGGCAAAATAAAGAGGAAGACAGCGGAAGAGAAAACAAGTTTAAATGAAAACATATTGGGGAGGTCACTACACTGCACATAACTGAGGATGGAATGGGAAAACTTTGAGGGCAGCCTCAAGAAAGCAATTGGAAGTTACAAACTCACAAATAAACGTACAAGCCTTTTTCTATAATGTCAAAGCTGTCGCTAATAAACCCATCTATGCGCCACTCACCGTGCCCTCTGAAAGAGATTCCATGGCTTCATCCCACAGCTTCTTGTTCTGGGAATCTTCCTTGATTAGTTTCCTCTGCTCACTTGACAGTTTATATGCCTCCACCTTTGCCTTTTTCGGTGTCACTTTGGGGCTTTTGGTTGGAGTCTCAACATCGCCGCCTGGCGCACAGCGGGAGAAACACGTCAAGCGTAAGTATTGCGTACAACTGTAGTCATGCAATTGGCGCGTATGCTATGAAATATGCGTGTATTATTCAGTGGAAAAAAGCAAGACAGCACACGTACTTTTTAGTGATCGCTTGCGCTTGCTGGTGCCACGAGCGGGTACGGGCGTAAGAGGTGGGGATAACTCTTCTTCCTCGTCACTCTCTTCATTATTGGCATGCTCCTTATTGGCCTTGGCTTCCAAATACCCTTCTGGATACTGCTCACAACACAAAAGCATTGTGATCATTAGTCGACATTTGTGCTTGAATTGGTCTATCATTAAGTACAAAGCAGAATATAAAAAAATGCACAGTAATTTTAACAAATTACTTGATGCTATGAAAGTTATACAAGTAAATGTTTAAACAAATATTTGTACAAAAGAGTACACACCTTTTACACAAATTACCAGAAAGAAAATGCCTCACAGCCACTTAATTGATTGTGAATGTAAACGGTAAAGCATTTGAATAAAGAAACGCACCTGCATGGTGAGACCAAGCATCTTGCAGCGTTCCTTGCCATCTTTAGTCCAGGGCGCAGGCTCTTCATCATCCCTCCTCAACAGATAGCGCCAAACCAGGAACCCGGACTTTCCTTTCTCTGGCCAGTACTTCACGACCTGTGTTCAGCAATGCAAACCCAAGCAGACACTGTTACAATCGTACCGCACAACACGCAACGATCATTCATTTCATGTCCATCATATCAAATTAGCCAGATCAATGACGATGCATTTGGCAAGAAAAACAGCGAGATAGAGGTCGTCGATGGCTTTGAAGAAGCTTGCCTTGTATATGCCGTCGTAGCGGTTGCCTTCCTCGGGTGCAAACTTGCTGTGCTTGCGGCCTTTGGCACTGCGCACCACTCGAACCGGCTTACCGGCACGCCAGTCCTTTGCGTCCGCTCCAACTTTGTCATTCAGTGCTGCTTTACAATTAAGTGCTAAAGCCCTGCAATGGAGTTTTTGTATTAATACGATGACAAAATCACTTTTAAACATTTTTGATGGCATGCAAATGGGTTTTCTTCATATGTATGTTGTACTCCACAAACCTGTTCATCTTTGCAAGCTTCTGGTCACACGACTGCTCGGCAGTGCGTTTGTTCCCAGACAGATCACGTCCGCCGCTTCCCGTGTAAGTGAATTCAGTGCCACGGTCCTTGAAACGGAGGAAGAAGTTCAATCGCAGCTCATCACAGATTGCTTCCTTGCAATGTATCCGTTATTGGAATGACAGCACCAAGACAATTCAAGTTCAAGTTCATTTATTAGGTATAGCCCTGTGAGCCATTCGGCTCTTGAATCGGGTGCAACCGCAACAAACAAAAAACATAACAATTACCACGTCATCCTCGTAGCCACCAGCCAGTACTAGAGAGTAGGAGCCATCCGTGCTGCGGCCATGGATTCCGGCCACGTGAGGCCTGTGCACACCCGATTCGCTCACCTGCCAAAACAACAATCTTAGGGTTAGCTATGTACGGTTGCAAAGGAAATTCAACATACATTGGAGGAAGCCAATTTAAACAAATTTGGAAAATTATGATAAAATATTTTTTATTGTATTAAAATAAGTTATTCTGCAAAGATTTAAGCCAGGGGTTCAAGGTTAAATTCTTAAATAACACAGAAAAGTTTACTTATAAATGGCACAAAGTGCAACCATGGGCACGGTCTTCCCACCGAGTCTTGCATGTCACATGACAACTAAAATGTATTACATGCCTACATTCACCTATTCCATCTGCTGATTTATCAATATTTACACAAAATTTTTGAATTGGTTTATGGTTAAATACTGTACCTGCACCCTGAACTTCCACAAGGAGCCCACTGGGACCCCGGGGATCGGGCCGTGGTGGTTAGACGGCACGATGGTACACTCCTTGGTCCGGCCCACACATGCCATGCCCTGGAGATAAAGCAGTCCATTCTTTAACTCCTGGCACTTCATTAATATTACAATTATGTGAAAAAAATAGCCATCAATCGGTTTTTCTTACACGTTAGGTTCACTGATGGATAAAGGGCTGAAAATGTAGAAATATCGCGATTCTTAAATGTTTTGTTCTTATTGTACATTTTACATAATTGAAGCACAATTACAAAGGTTGTTAGAATAGTAAATCAGCTGCTTTTAATGGATATTTAGTACTACATGTTGGCCTCTTTCAATACATTCTATCAGTTATTTCAACAGAGAACCAGATGTGTGCGTAGGTTTCACATTTTGTCCTATATTATCATTTCAATAGGCTTGTATCAGTGTGAAATGTAGAAGATACCTTCCCCCAATCTCGTGCACAGTTGGATGTGGCAGATGGCATCTTGGCCTTTTTCTTGCTCTCTTTAAGCATCTCACCTGCTCGGACAACCTCGCCATCGTCTAGCTTACAACCAGGACAGTACCTGTTGGTATGAAATGGTTCACAAAATATATTAGCCGCTTGCTTATATAGCCTGTGGAGTGAGACTGTAACTAAACTATATTTTTTAAGAGTGCAACATTTTGCGTTGTCAGTACACTGTATGCAAATGTTAATTAATGCAAAAGTAAAACAATTATAGGCCTTGATTTGAAGCTTTCGTGACTGCAGGAATCCACACTCTTTGGTTCTTTACCGAAAGAACCAGAGAGTATAATTATAGACCTGTTCTTGTCGACTTACCAGTCTTCATCATCTTTGGGAATATGACGAAGAGGTGGGTTAAGGCAATATATGTGGAACGCCATGTTGCATTCGTCACACATCAGCTGCTTGTCAGGATCTTGCTTGCCGCCACATATGTGGCAAGCACAGTGCCTGCAATCTTTGTTTGGATCATCCTTGCACACCTTGCATTCTGGACCAGTCTGCCCTGCACCCACAATCGCAAAGTTCAATTGTCAACATTCATGATATGCAACCCAATGAAAGCAGTAACTTTAACTTGAAATGCCTATGCATTAACGTTTAGGTACATTAAACTCACAATTATTTCCAGTGATTTTTCACATTGAATAAGTGTGAAAGCTCCCACTCAAAAAAATAATCATTTTAAACAAATAGCAAGAAACAATTAATATCCAATAGTGATTTATTACGTTTCACGGGGCTGTTGCTGGTGATCTCAGTAGCTTTTCCAGGCTCTTCAATCTTGTACACTTCATCCACAAACCGTATCTTGCAGTCTGTCAGAGCCTCAGCACCATCTCTAAGAATGGCAAAAATACACACGTTTGAATAACAACATTATTTTAATGAAAAAAAAGAGTTCCCACAATTATACCTACACCCAAAACAGAAAATAACACTCAGGTACAAGCAACTACCAAAAGCCTACAGTGAAAATGTTTTCACTACATCAACTTTTACACTAGATGGCAGCATGCTACACTAAAAATAGTATTGGAGCACAAAACAAAATACGGTATATCGGCAATCACTTCCTCGGGCTGTTGATGCACTTGCCAACCTTGTGGAACGATGACAACATAACGGGCAACTAATCACCATGAAAAGCAAACCAAAACTTATGCAGCGCCGCCCAAATTTACATTTTCAACTAAACAATGTTTTCTGTTATTTTTTTGGTCACTTAGACACGAATGCAATACCCAGATGTTCTTCTGTAACGTTGCAATACTCTAACAAACTGCCCAGAAGCAATCATTATGTGTTTGTATTTCAGACTCATTTCCCTCCATAAGGGTTGAAAGTAGTGGTGCGTTTAAGATTACAGGAATTTTAAAAGCAGTGGATAATAATTCATTAAGGTACCGAATAACAAGCTGCACTGCCCGCTTTCCCTGCTCTTGGCAGAATTAAATAGAACATGTATAATTCATTAGGGGACATTTTGTTCCCATAAAAATTGTGGACCAAATTATTAAAAATAAAGTAGTCTTAACAGAACCGCAGTAATGACCTCACTGTGACCCAACTACCACCAGCCATCGGAGCATTGCCCTTAGTATCTCATGAGACTGCAGTGGGTAGTTTCACCGAGTTATGTAGTAAACATTGTAATTGCAGCACACCACATCAAAGGAAACGTTCAAGTTAATTAGATGTTTTTCATGACCGCTGCATTCCAAACCACTGAAACTCCAGTTTTTTTTGTCTGTGAAAAATGGAGCAGTCGTTTTGACCACCCAAGCCAGAGACATGCACCAAACCTTAATGCTAATTAATTGTTTGCAATGTGGGAACAAATGCAGAAATATGTAGCGAGTCTGTTTTTCAGTGTACAACTTGTGAAAATGCACCGACAACCTGTGTGGTCCGAGCACTCATAAAAACACATTCCAAGAGTAGACCCCTATAGCACACTGGCAAAAGGCATTTGGCATTGTATTAATTTTCCATTTTCTGGCAACAGGTAGCTCAAATACTGCCAGGCTTTGTGTGAAAGAAACGATTTGGCTGCCTGCCTGCTCTGCATTATTTTAGCAACATCACAAATTCAGATACTTCAGCAAAATATGTAAATCATCGCGTTTCCCAAGAAAGTAGTTTTAGCATCGTCTTTGAAGTGTTTTGGCTCCGCAATGTTTGACTTAAGTACAGCGAGAATATATCTGGAAATACCTTATTTTAATCATCTTGTTAATAAAGTAGAAATGCACCTATAAGCTTTTCTACAATGTACTGCTATAGTTTGCTTGGAATGTCTAATGGCAATTTTACTTCAGCAAGAGTGCATATCATCATATGCTCCACCGCATTTCAAAACTGATTAAACAGTAAGTAAAAAGGGCACTTGCATTCTCACTCACCCAATAATGACCAGAGCTAAGAGCTCCCGCAGGGTACGGGTTTCACGTTTTCGCTGGATCTGCGCATCATACCAAAAGCCACGCTCAGTAGGCTCATCTGGGTTATAGTTGACCATGACTACGTCTCCGATGGCCAAATCCTGCCAAGGCACTAGCGTGCGTGCCCGTGGCCGAATGTAGGGCCCTTCACACACCCGCACAACGCCATATTCAGGGTAGCTGTGCACACAAACACACGCACACAAACACACTTTAGACATGCATCACTGTCTGCATCTAAGATATTTCCAAACATGGATCCAATTTTCACACAAGTCTCTGGAATACCAACTTGACCATAAGTTTCCAGATGGGTGTTTAGGGACATCATAAGAAGTATGAATAACTTGTCATACTTTGAACTTAATACAGGCATACCTTTTATAAAGCTGTTTCGTTATAACGCTCTTTTGTCCTCGAGGAAAAGTCCCGCGCAGATCAGCCCATATATGGAAGTAGGCGTGGTATTGCCCTAGGGGCACGTCTTTGCCCATGTATTGGAACCTGAATCGAGGTGTCTATTGTAGCGATTCTGCTCATAGTCCATCCAATTAGAGTAGATTAATTGGCGATCCATGGATAGAATCCAATTTTGTATAGCTTCCTGAGGCATGTGTGTGTATGGCAAACCGGTGGTCATTCTTACGGGAGCTCCAACCGAATCCACTGGCGAGTCCATAACTTCTTGTATTTTTTATGTAATTTTTACCAAGTCATTATTTGTATTTATGAAATGCTTTCAAACATTTATCATGTGTACCCTATCATTAAGGCTATTACCGATACCCCAATGAAGCCCTCATATCGCTCATAGGTCAAAAAAGCACTGTCGTAACACATCTCAATTGGAACCATGTTATGACCCTCCTATAGCACTGTTTCGTATCATGCTCCACTTAACAAGAATGCATCCTGAGCGGTATAAGAGGTATGCCTGTACAGCATTAAATAGTTTTGTCTTTGAAAACCAACATTATTGTAACACAGCACAGTGGCCAAATTAACTTCATGGCAAGTTTCTAGAATGAATCATATGTAAAAAGGCTGTCACGTGAAAACAATGGGGGAAAAATAACTTTGGACTTATCAAGTGTACAAGGGCTGCTGCCAAGAAAATATATCAATTTACAAACACTGACCATCATGTTCAAAATGAAATACTGAACAAGTAGCAATTTTTGATATTATCACCATAATTAAAACCAACAGTTTGCATTTATCTGAACGATAAAAAAAACAGTGAGGAGTCATGGCACACAGCAACCCTACGAAACTTACTCATCATATTTTACGCGGTAAAAAATATCGTTGCAGGTTGACGATCTCGCTGAAGCCGAATGGTCCTGAGAAGTGCTCTCATCAGTGCATTGAGGTTTTGTTGACGATGACATTGCCTGATCATCACTCGGCACAGCTCCTTCCCCTGAACCCCGAGTTACATCTACAACCTCTGCCTCAAACCAGGCCCCAGTGTTGGAGTCTCGGACATCCACCATCTCATTAATCTGGATCACACACAATGGGGTAAGATGAAAGAAAATTAGTAGTTAATTTATGTATGTAAGCAATCAAGAATAAAAGTCTAAGGATTTTAAATGCAAGTTAAACATCTGCACGACGCATTACTATGAACAAGTGAAGCAAACCAGCTGCAAATCAAGTCTCACCTTGTATGTGCCAAAGCCAGGGTTGAGGACGGCCTGTGTAGATGTTCCTGGAATGGCAGGCTCGGCATCGAGTGGTGGCTCTCCACCGTTGGAGTTTTTGTCCGAGTCGCCCTGAGAAGAGCCACAACCCGAGTCTGTGTCGGACAGCTCGCCCCCATCGCGTCCGTACTTAGCTGGTTGGTTTGAAGGGGCCACAATGGTAACGGCACTCTCAGTCGCTGCTGTGCTGGAAGTCTGCCGGACCAGGAGTTGTACAATCTCGTTCAGACCCACGCTGTAGTCAAAAAGGCTGTGTCCATTCTCCATCTATAGAAACACACCATATATTCGCAAATTTAGTATAGGGAAAAATGGGATGCTTATTATACTTGAACTCGTTTTACTTTATGCAATGTCCAATCATATTTAACACAATGAAAGACAAATCTCCCTAAAAAAATTCCAGTGAACGTCGATGCACTTAAAACATCCAATAATAATGCAAACAGTGTTTTCTGCTACAAAAGAATGTTTGGTAATGGACATGAAACGGATTCAGTCTTAAAAGAATGCAAAGTAAACAATAAACGTTTGCAAAAATACTGTACTAAAAAATGTGTTGGTTAAACTGTATAACAAGAGCACACCAAATACTGAGAGCAGAGTACATCATTTTCTATTTTTCCTTTGCATTCCCTGTGCATAGACAAACAAGTTCACAGACGTGCATCATATCCTCCTGGACACCCCGAATACTGTTATAGCCAGGACATTCCATGCCTCCAAGTCATTCATCCATTCCAGACCGCCTATACTTCCTGTTGTGTTAAAACACCTACTTCTATGTTTACTTGAAACACACAGGAACATCTGTACTGGAATTAAAAGTTATCGGTAATCAAAATATATTTCCTGAATATCCTGAAGGAAGCCATAAGATGATAGTTTGCAAAATACGACACACCTAAGGCTACATGAGTCAATGGCGGAGCCAGGATTTTCAGGTGGGGGGGGGGGGGGCAACCCTTCCAGCAATGAAAAATGATAGGAGTTGTTAGTAAGGACTTGTCCCTTGCTCTTTATTCGACACGTGTGCGGCGATGGCGCAGCCATCGATCGAGGGTCGAATTCGAACCGTGTGTGATCGGCATCGCCCTCGCTGAAGGAATGCCTTCAGGGAAGTCGTGTACTGTATACGCAACTACGCACAATTCTGTGAGTCACTTACAACTGCTTTTGCCGTTAGTTATTGCCAATTATGGACTCAGACTATTGTCCTATCATCTCAGAGTCCCTGGCACATAATAATATGCTACACAGTGGCAGTGGGGGTCGCAAAATGCCGATTTATTACTAATAAACCCCAATTATCTGATCGAAATTAGGGACTTCGATCGGATCATTGGGAGGGCAACGTGCCACCCCACCCCCCACTGGCTCTGCCAGTGTACATGACCATTCAGTATATATCCACAATTGGGTTATTTTTAGTTGTGGAGTGGAAATGTCAATACTAACCCATCATAGAAAAAATTTCCCACAATGGATTTGTACAGGATAGCGGGTACAAATTCCAGGACTATCCCCACCAACATGAAAATCTACACAGGGGATTTTGTTTTAAATGTGCTTGTCAGTGGTTTCTCAGATCACACAACACAAAAAATTGCACATGTAAGAAAAAATAAGTTCATAAGTACGTAACCAGCAAACATTCAAGCCTGAGAAAAATTGGTACCATGCAATCTTGTAAAATTTGACAAAATTCATCACAAATAACAATTTGTATTTGGCACAAAAAACATCAGCCTAAAAGTTACCTTTAAGATTAATTGGTTTACAACAAAGCCTCATGTGATAATTACATAATCTAAATCGGCAAAAATTTTAATGAACGATGAAAATATTATTTTAAAAATGCATTGTTCACAGTTGCAGAACAAACATAAACAATTATGGCAAAGTGCCTCAGGAGGGTTACGCTCCCAACAAGGGAAAACGATGAAGACCCAGAGCGTATGTATGCCTGATGGTGGGGAGCGGGCCAGCCCTTCAAGTCACGTGTCTGTTCAGAACAACGGCTGCACAACAAGCTCCGCCATATTCACAAGCCGGGCCACGACTTGATAAAATTGCATCTCCAAATGGCCGTCTACACATTCAAATAATCCTGCTTTTCCCCTTAATTCGAATACATTGTTACATTAGTATTTCCAATTCAGGCCTAATTTTCACCTTATTATGTTTACAACTTCGTATTAAATACAATAATTAATTTAAAGTGCCGTGTGACGTAAAGGTCATGTTTACATAAAACAATGTACCAACGTCTCACCGTCAAGCCTGTTGGTAGCTAGCATATGCATGCAGGTCCACTCATGCCTTGTTTGTAGCCTTAGATTTTTTTTTAAAGACTAGGACTATTGTAAATATAGTTTGAAATTGAACTAAATTTTACATTTTAACTAAAATATCTAAATGGTGTTAACTAAAATTTACGAAACTGAAGGCATGTGAATAAAGCAATTCCACATTTTTTCAGGCAATGAATAATACTTCCTTAATATAACAGAAAACTCCATAAACACATTTTCCTTTACCCAGACGCGAGCAGTACAGCCTGCGCTGACCCCATCTAAGTTCCCTCCCAACATTATCTTTACAAAATTGGTTCGTGTTACCAATTTCAGATATTTGAGATATTTAAAGTGTTGGCAGCGCACACCTGTGAATACTCCTCCTTTAACATATAACAGCCTTAGAAAAGCACAATGGGCAATGTCAAGATCGCTTGTTGTACACGGTCGTCTTCTCCACTCCCAGTATAAACGCACGGCCTGAGTGATGAGGGCAATTTTAATAAGAAAACGTGGCCCGAAAAAAAAATCACCGTAGCAATGCTCCATCTGCAATTATTGGATAAGCTCACAGCTCGTCAACGTAAAAAAATACAGTTTTAACGTATAAAGCAGACGTGTTAGGAATTTTTAAATAATTAATTCACAACGCAGCCTTAGTAATGCCCATGTCAGTGTTAATCCGTGCAAAACAAGTGACCAAACTATTGTGATATCAGCAAGTTATTTTACAATGGAGCAATTAGAATGCACCATATAACATACATCAACTGTGCGTCAACAACCCTTTTGAAACAAAATGGCTGTGTGGCCGTTTTCTATTGGGCGGTGCGGAAAGCAGCGTCGTCCCGCGACAGAAAATGGGCGGAGGCACAGGCAGAACGTGGTAGTGCTGTTGTGGGCCTTGAATTGTGCATCCCCTCCTGACAATCTGCCGCCCCCAACAAGGACCAGTCGAGGAACCCAATTCTGGGAAGCTACTACTTTAGCACGATATTACATTTGTTGAATGACAGTTTATATGCGTGGGTATACAGCACGCACGTGCCTGTAAAAATAGGGCATTTTGAAAAATTACCATTTTTGAAAATGCCAACACCGTGTACACATTCCAAAATGCTAACATTTCAAGCCCGTTCCTTGGTGATTTACAGTTTGTAATACATAGCATGTTATTGTGAAATGTCTATGTGTAGCAGATATATCGTGTACTCTTAACATTTGAGTATATATAAATAGCTGGCATTAAAAACGCATTTTCTTTACATATTTTTATTTTAGACAAGTTATAATTGAAAGAATCAATAATTTTAAATGGCTATACAAGGTTAATATAAAACAATAATTTAAAGCCCTCTCTCAATCCAGGAATGGATTGAAATCTATTCCTGGATTGAAGGTCTCTCAAAACCGTATTGGTCTGAGGTTGTATGACCATACTTCACCACGCCAGTCAGTACAGATAAGTCCTTATTAATGCCACGAATTTCAGATAATTTCGCCAAATTTTGGAACGCTAGGCTATATTTAACATAAAACACATACTTTAATATGACTCCGATCTGGTCTGTTATAGGTTACCAACACCTAAAGACGAAATTAAAACGGCTCGCGGTACCACCAGGAAATAAACCCTACGGCTTCACGGTAAATAATGTAACGGAATCTTACATTCTGCTCGTGATCATTTTTGCAAACGACTACGGCCGGCACTGCAGCGGTCGCGTGCAACATTTTTCTACCTCGGCGCTTAAAACACCACCGCCGTCTCCCAATTGTAAAAATAATACATCAAGTCCAACGCTCCCATTGCTTTCATCTCACCCCTGGGGGCAAGGGTGGGGGCGCAAAACGAAATTTGTATGCGCGAATATTACCGTGCCCATTTTTTCGGCCGCGCCGAGCACGTGAGAGGCCGTGGCGCCTTTGTGTTCCGCGAGATTCAGAAGCACCGACGATAACGGGGGGGGTGGTGGTGTTACAACCAGGCAGCTGCCATGGCGCTCGCACGTACACACAGGGACAAGCGTGTCACTGCCGCAGTACACTCGCGTACATGGCGGGTAAGGTGTTATTTATCCGTCGATACGACACGCACGCACACAGGGAGACTTATGTAACCACACACAGGTACACGGAGAGACGGGTGGAAGCGTTGACGGCCTGTCGCCTTGCTTTGGGCCGCCCCTCTCCACGTGACCGCCGCGGTCAGCGTTCCTGATGTTCTCAGTGGGTTAGGGGTGAGGGTGAGAAGGGGCTGGAGTGGTGGGGGTTGGGGCGTGGGGTACAACAGCAAAAGGCGACTTTTCCCCCCCTCCCACCCCCGGTCTCAAGGGGGCCGGCCACACGAGGTCGTGGACCCAGGGTGGAGAAGATGCCAATGCAAAGCGGCCCGCGTTTAACCACGGGTCTCGCCCACCAGGACAAAACACGTGCGCCGCGCAACACAATGCGCGCCAGGGGTCCCCTCCCTCTCGGTTACACAGGTACAGTGGTCGCATGCATGCCATTTTACAGCAGCCCCACACAACACACGCCGGGTGTGCATTGCATCTGCGATAGAGGAAAGAGCACAACAACAACGCTGATGGGAAGGAAGAACGATCGGAGATGGGAAACGTCAAGTGGATATTATACAATGGCTGATGAAGGCGACGAGAAGGACTCATCCACTGGCGTAGACAATCGACGATGCTAACAAAATAGATAATGGTCTTCACGAGTGTAGAAGCAATGGATGTATTGATAAATACAAGGAGGGGGGGGGGGGTGTGAGCAGTTGATATAACTACAATATAATTTAAATAAATTATTATTCACTGCACAGACTGTCCTCCCCCCGTACCTCCACGGTAGACAATTAAGATTACTGTTATACCGATCCCGCGTCCATAAAGTATTTAATAATGCAGTTTTTTGTGTTACATCGCGTCAATATCATAAACGTGTCGTAAAACCCGCCTCCACCCGACACACATCGGCTGTGTCGAGCGCTGGCGGGTTTAACGACACATTTATAGATTTACGCGATCTCCCCCCCCCCCCCCCCCCAAAAACCTTTATCTATATTGCTCACGAAAATCTACATGTTAAACCGATAATAATTATTAATTCACTTTCACACAAAGCATGGCCCCCACCCCCACCACCCCCACGTTCCCACGCCGCCCGCACTTCTCCCACCTCGGCAGGGCCCCCCCAACCCCAGCAGATCCCTCCACGGACATCCCTGCCCCGTACACAATCAAGGCCCGCGATTGAACCCCCCACCACATCACAACTTTTGACGCCACACTATCAATTGCAACTTCTCACACAGGCGACGATCTCTTCATCATCTTCTACACAAGACACGCGCCACGCGCGAGCACTTTCCCAGCACTTGCTCCGCTCGGCTCACACCACGACCACGAGGAGCTATCACCTCCCTTCCCCCCCCCCACACACACACACAAACCCCGCACAACAAGAGAAACCCGTGTCTCTCTCTTCTCTTCTCTCTCTCTCCGGCGGTCGGGGTGGTTACCTGCTTGCCACGATAGAAGAGCCTCTGCTGGTCGGGCTCCACGCAGAACACCTCGTGGATCCTGGCGCGGAGCTCCTCGATCTTCGTCAACTTGGACAAGTTGTCGAGGCGGTGCGTCTGCTTGCCGTCCATGGTTCGCACCTGAATCCACATGCTGCTGGCTGCTGGAGGGGACGAAGTCCCGGGGTCTTGAGGCGCGGGGTGGGGGAATGTGGAAAACGATGTTCGGTTTTTTTTTTTTACGAATCCCAAGTAGCACAACGGCTCACGGGCGAGAAGCTCGCATCGACTGCTGTTGTTTTGTGCGGGGAGGAGGGGGGGGGTTGTTGTTTATGTTATTTAAAGGGCGGCTGATTAAAAAACTAAAATGTTTCGCGTCGAGCCGCCGCCGCCGCCGCTCAATGAACGCTCCGGCGCGGGCGGGAACCTCTATGCTAATGAGCGGCCTCGCGAAGTCTCGCGAGATCAGCCGCGCGAGGCAGCGCGAGACTTGGGCCGGTTATTTATTTATTTATTTTTCAAACCCGCTCCACCACCAATCACCACCACCAACCACCACCACCACCACCGATATCTTTTAAGCGGAAAAAAAACACATATAAACCGCGCCGTCTCACGCATAAACAAACGCGAAAAATAAATAGCAATTACAATATATTTATTGACGCATTTTATTATTTGTTTTTTGTACAAAATTTAACTCACGGCGAAGACGAGAAGCGGCGCCGACTCGAGCTCGCCCGGTCAGTCTTGTACGGGAGGGGGCGTGGCTAAAATAATGACGGGGCGGGGGTGTGGGTGGGTGGGGGCTACTAGTGGGTGGGGGCTACTAGTGGGCGGGGCTAACGCGTCAAGTCTCGCGCGCGCGCGGGCCCCCCCCACCCTCCCGAGGGCGCGTAATTTTTGGCGGGAACTCGCCGCTTCCGCGAAGCCGCTTTGCGCCCCTCCCCCCCTACCCCGCCCCTCCCCCCCTACCCCGCCCCTCCCCCCCCTACCCCGCCCCTCTGTCCGCGCTTTTTTTGCAGCACGTGCTAGAAAGTTTGGCGTCCCGAGCCGTTCAATGACATCGGACGAGGGTTACGTTTTTTTTTTAAGCGTTTAACGTGTCCGCGTGTGTTAACGTCACTTATTGTCGCAACGCTTTAAATTACTTTTTAAAAATGTTTTTTTTTATGCCGTCAGGGGGGGGGGGCGAAACCACCACTCCCGAGTCCAAAGTTTTCCCGCGTTCCGGCTTCGATGGTGCGCGCGCACGTGACACCACGCGCGCATGCGCACGACGCGCTCGCTTTTCCCGCCAAAAAACCCCTCCGCTTGGCAGGTGGCGGGAAAATCATCTCGGAAATCTCCAAGATAAGAAGAATAAACAACCGCTTTGGTCGGATTGCAAACAAAAAAAACCCGTCGGCACTTCAACTCACAACACTGAAAACACTTGAAATTAATTACAAAAATGTATAAACTTATTTAATGCCACACCCCCCCTCATATTCGGCTGTCGTTCTATGAAGACGAAACATTCCCCATCTTACACTGAGACCTCCTTAACCAGTGGCAAAATATAGTAATAGGTTTTTACCCTTTCAACTGGTACAAAAACTGACACCTTTGTACAAGGGATCATGTTTACAATAACCACAACACAAGCAGTCAGAATGCAAACAAAAAGAAACAACTGATGATGATATGCACTGTTCTCAACTAACCGAACCCACACGGACCAGCGTGAAGTATGGTCAAACGAACCCTGCGGCTTCGAGATGCCCTCATACAGCAGTGGATGTAGGGCTGTACATGTAGAGTAACAACAAACACATTACGCCCTACCTATACTCAGGGGAAACAACATCATCACCTTCATCCACTCATCCCCAGGGGAAACATCATCAACATCTTCAACATCATCATCAACATCACCTTCACCCACTCCTCCCCAAAGCTGTCGTCACCTCACGTCGATGCGACGCAAACAACAACAATAACAACAATAGTTTAACACGTAGGAGACTTTCGCGACCAATAATCATCCATAAGAGGTTTTTTGGGGACGGGGGTTAGATCGGGTAAAGATATAAATGTGTCGTTAAAGCCGCCACCACCCGACACAGCCAACTAGTAAGGGTTGTGTCACGTAAACAGAACGTGGCCAATTCGTCACTAGTACAGCACTAGTGGAGTGTAGTGTATAGTGTAGTGTATAGTTGTGTATAGTGTAGTGTACTAGTACAGCACTAACCGGAGAGCCAAGCTGCAACATTTACAATCTGAGTACTCTCCAACACACAGGTAGTGACGAATTGGCATGTTCTGTTTACGTGACAACCCTCACTAGTTGGCTGTGTCGGGTGGTGGCGGGTTTAACGACACATTTATAATCTAGATTTTAAGTTTTGGTGACGTATAAAATATACCTACGTGACCTTACCGACAGAACCAAAAAATATGGACACATTTAGAAATGTACGCGATCTAACCCCAAAAAAAGCCATCTATTATGAACAATAACAATCCACCCAGCAATTTGGCGATTTCATCGCTCCATCTCTGCGGACTACGTTACCCTTCCCTTGCCTAACCCTGGCTTGCAATCTTACCCCACCAGACAAGAACAGACGAGGTCTTTAACAATCCACACGTCCTCTCAAGCCAAGTATACTCTTGCTGATATACGATCGGTGTCACAAAAAAGCTGTGACACATAAGTTGTATGTTTTACTTGATTATGTAATTAACAACAACAGTAAACTTTTTAAAATTTTACCAGGTAGGCCCCATTGAGCTATATAGCTCTTTTTCAGAAGCGACCTGGTCATGAATGATAGCTCAACGAAGTGGCTTATTATTTGGAAATGTATTATAGCCAAACACTCTAAACTCACGTTGTTTCTAAATGTGGAGGGGAAAAAAAACAACGGATGTCCCAGAGACAAATCCACGCGAATTCAGGGAAAGCGAGAGACATGCAAACTGCAAATATACAGCAGGCTTCAGGGTCAAGATCGAACCCACGACCTCCTGTATACCATGCGAGGTAGTTAACATCTCATAGGCACTGTGGCGGTGATGATGAGAAAGAGAGTCATGCAGACTCCAAATATACAGCAGGCGTCAGGGTCAAGATCGAATCCACGACCTCCTGTATACCAGGCGAGGTAGTTAACATCTCCTAGGCACTGTGGCGGTGATGATGAGATAGAGAGTCATGCAGACTCCAAACATACAGCAGGCGTCAGGGTCAGGATCGAACCCACGGCATCCTGTATACCAGGCGAGGTAGTTAACATCTCCTAGCCACCGTGATGATGATGATAAGAGAGAGAGACATGCAGACTCCAAATATACAGCAGGCGTCAGGGTCAGGATGGAATCCACCACCTCTTGTATACCAGGCGAGGTAGTTAACATCTCCTAGCCACTGTGGTGGTGGTGATGATGATGAGAAAGAGAGACATTCAAACTCCAAATATACAGCAGGCGTAAGGGTCAAGATCGAACCCACGACATCTTATATACCAAACGAGGTAGTTAACATCTCCTAGCCACCGTGGTGATGGTGATGAGAAAGAGAGACATGCAGACTTCAAATATACAGCAGGTCTCATGGTCAAGATGGAACCCACGACCTCTTGTATACCAGGCGAGGTAGTTAACATCTCCTAGCCACCGTGGCGATGATGATGATGAGAAAGAGAGACATTCAAACTCCAAATATACAGCAGGCGTCAGGGTCAAGATGGAACCCACGACCTCTTGTATACCAGGCGAGGTAGTTAACATCTCCTAGCCACTGTGGTGATGATGATGATGAGAAAGAGAGACATGCAGACTTCAAATATACAGCAGGTGTCAGGGTCAAGATGGAACCCACGACCTCTTGTATACCAGGCGAGGGAGTTATAGAACATTTCCTAGCCACTGCGGCAATTTAGTGGTGCAGGGAGCTGATCACCCCTCGAACCCACCCGCCTAACGCCGCATGGCCCTTCCATGGACTTAACAATGCACAGTACTGTCCGTTTTTACACAACGTGAGTGCATAACCCAAATACAAAGTACAATTGCAAACACAGGCCGTGTGTGGACCTGTAGATTACAGGTTAACACACCAAAGGGGCACGGTTCTTTCCTCCCTGGCCCAATTCGTGTTTATGGCCATCCTACGCATTGGTCATGTTTGCTCCCTATTGATCCGTACCGTTTACGAAGACTTAATTTCCTAACTTTGGCACCACTGCGATGCGGTTAGCCTTTCAGAACTCTTTGATCCGCCCCAATGTCAGTTGTACAAATCCGGCTGCGAGTTTGTGACAAAGGCGGTCAGCGATGGAGTGAGTGCGAGGTTCTGCATACATTGGCATCATAACCTTCAATCATTATAATCACCATTAGCCATGTTTTATACACTGATGGATGAAGGCCTCCTCCCCACGTCGTTACCATCCCTCTCAGTCAAACGATGCCACAATCCAACTTCACTTTGCCTCTTTTTTTTCAAGGTAGATATGGCTGAAAGCAATACTGCAAACGTGTGTTAAAAGGCCAATAACATTGTATAAAACGTGAAATAATAAAGTACTGAAACATGAATCACTGGAGATTTTATGACACCCGACCAAGAGTTGAACTTCATCTAGCTATGTTTAATGTTGATATGACATTTATAAAGAAAAGTCAAACGCTATTATTTTACACAGGAGACGACCCTATGTGTCACAAATCATCTGTTCAGCATTCGGCTGAACAGGCCGACTAAGTACTCCCAGCGATTACACACACTCATATGGTTTTAAACGGATTTCCAAAAGCGAGCAGGGCAAGGTCACAAAACATAAGCAGACATATCCGATCCTGTGTTTTTTTCACGCAGGCAGGGCCCACATCCTCTCCATGTGCCCAACACAGTGACACGAAAGCAAGTGCCACCACCTCTAATTTACCCCCTTTCATTCTGAGATGTCGCCAGTCATGTTTCTGCTTTAAAACGTATCTTTTTCTTGCCGAGAGTGCAAAATGTGTGGGTGTCCGGTTGCGAAGGCGTCGACCACTAGTAAAACTGTTAAACACAACAGGTACAAAATAAGCGAGATATGCATAATTCTGGCCGAAAGCATAACATGCTTTGTACAACAATTAAATTAACTTTTTACATTTCCAACACGAGCTCGAATTCCCATGCCAAGATATTCCCCTTTTCACAAACGTCACTCTACACCAAGGCATGTCCATAAAAGTATGACAGTTCACTACAAATAATGTAATGTAAAAATACCAATTACAGTATTGTAATAGGTGAGCTTTGTACATCTCAAACAGCTACATAGCTGCCACAATTGGAAGGCAGACACATTTAAAACAGCATCACATGCTGAGGAACACAGGACTAAAAACATGACCACTGCGTAACTGTGCTCCATTGAACCGACAACCTGGTCTCTGTAAGCGTGTGCGCAACGCCTATATACAATAATAATTCGTTGTGTGTGCCACATGGGGCCTCTGAATGAGGCAAGCGGACAAAGAAACTGCACACAATTGCTTCAGTGTTCATACCACAAAATGTAACGAAATAATGACGTGAATATAATCATTATTGTCAGCAATTAATTCGTGAAAGTCAGTAAAAAAAATAAGTTGAATGTCTCCTCTAGAGCTCGGGGTCATTTTCCCACAATTGTCTATTCTTTTTGAGATAGCGGTCCTAGGAAAGATGCATCTTCCAGGGACATTAAAAGCCGCGTTATTTGTCTGTTGTGTCATAATACACCACTAAAAACAATGCATTCACATGTAGTTCTCCTCTCTTTCGGTATTCAGATATTCTTCTTCCCATGATTGTCCTGGTTTTTTTGTATTCCTGAGGTGGTAACTCTATCTGGAGTCTCTTGGTTTACCCCTAAGTGACAGGTTGTAATGGGCCACATGTCGGATGTAGGATATGCATACCACCTTCTGGTCTTCCTGGAAGCTCATAACATTTAAAAAAAACTCACCACCCATCCGTTTCCTGACCATGAGGCCGCCTCAACCAAAGTTCAAATGGGGAGATGGGTCACTTCTTTCTTGGCACACCCAAACGCAGAACAATGCCATGTCATCAGCAATAATAGTATGCTTCTATGCACTGCATTTTTATGTTAATGAAGATGAAAAAAATGTAACTCCAGCACAGGACAACCACAGAGCAAACCACACACAATAGAGCCCTATCAAGCACATTACCATGTGATGGCATGTAGGTGCTTTACTGTGGATACCTGTGAATGAAGCATGTACAAAGATAACTATAATAAACATTGTTCAACAGTATTTTATATTGTGTAATGAATTGATGTCTTCGGGGGTTAATTATTAATCACGAGTCATTCATATGCAATGCTTTGTACGTGATATTTTCTCTGGATTTCATTGGCAGAGAAAAGCACGTGGCATTCACTCTGTGCAAGTTGTTGCAAGATTCTTAGAAATCGTGTGGAGAAAAACACTTCCAAGAACATTTCAACGGTGGCTCAGGCCCAGATCTCGACGATTCCACAATCACAGCACTGCAAACAGTATCTTGCCATGCTCATCACACAACCACACTTACACCGACCACATAACAATATATGGCAAGTTGCTTCTATTGTGGTGTGAAATGTCCACTCTAAATTATTAAAAGAGTAAGTGCAATTCAAATGTACTTAAATGTAGATTTTTATCTTGTTAGATGTGGGAAACTAACCAGGTTTTAGCCAGGGTAGTGCTTGCACAGGCGACTGCAATACACAACAGGTGTTATAGGCTGCAAGGCGACATTATGGGCAGTTCAACAAAATCCATTGTTGTACTGTACCTCCACGCTCGAGCTATGCTCCATGCCTTCACCTCACCGTACCGAAGTGTTCTGGAATATGGCCAAATAACCCCCATGACCCGAACAGCATGGAGATGCCCTCATTCAGCAGTGGATTGCAAAAATTCTGCACATGTATCTGTACATAAATGACACAAATAAAGACAATTAAATCGCTGCTTTACAAAAGTTCAGGAAAAGAACACGGATTTTTTGTACAAAAAGTGTTTATTTTTATTTAATATTTTTTGTTATTGTGGGGGGGGGGGGGGGGTTACAGTGCAGTTGGGGGGTAGGTCAGTGGAACAGACAAAGTATGGCATTGTAGCTGCGTCACAATTTTCACTTTTTGGGAATTGCCATCGCCAGCTCACAAGTGGTGAGGGTCAAGGTTGGCGCTGGGGTTGAAGTGAAAACCTTTTATAGTTTTAGTAACAAAAAAGTGACACTCAAAACACAATTCCTCAACAGAGGATGCAAACGTTATATCATGCACCTTCAAACTGATCGTTCTGGACTCCAAGTGTAACAAAAGAAAACAAAAATGCCATGCTTAACAGCACATGTACCATTGTGTATGTGTGTGCGTGCAAGGCTCAATATGGGCCTTTTGAAGGGCCAGAGATTGATTTGACATTCTATTTCACTTGACATTCCACCAGTGGTATGGAGCTGATTCAATGAAGTGTCATCACACACGTGTTACTGCATTATCCAGTGTCTCTCTAGACTACCCAATTAAGATTTTGTCGACAGTTAATAGTTCGTCGCGGTTTAGAATGGGCATGTTTTTTTCTCCTGTTACTGGCAATGTGATATAAGGAGCGTAGTTATACTTTACAATCGCTTGATTGCCCTGATGAATATCACTGGGAATGTAAAGATATGCCCCCATGATCGGCAGTGTCGAAAGGACGGCATCCAGCAATAGATTGGGTGGGAGCTGAATGTTATCTAAATTTTTAGGGGACATAATCAGTAAATGATATCTTTAAAAACTACTTTCTTTTCTTTCCTAATCAAACCCTAAACTTAATCGCCTGTCTTTTTTGTTTGTGTAACGCTAATTTAATAATTATGCCTGTTTCAGCTTTATTTTGTCAGGCAGTGAAAAGCAAAGTTTTATCCGCCAACATCACTCAGCGATATTGTTCATGGGCGGGTAGCCTTTGAAAAATATCTTCTTAGCTTAATGCGCTTTACCGTAAATAAACGGAACACATTGGGGTAGCTTTACAAGATGTTCAATCTGCGGGCAAGTTGGTGGCAAGTTGCTCTGGGCTTGAATTGTGCCGAACGTTTGTGACAACTTTGTTATATCACTAAAATCGAAACCTGATGTAAGTCGATTAATTCCAACTGTAGAGACGTAATCGATTGTGACATGACACAGGGATAACGATCTTCATAAGTGCTTGCTAACCTACAGTCTGTTAAGGCTATACGGGGGATCTTTATATATGCAGACGGGGCCACAACAGCCGTGGAACATTTCGATTTAAAGCTTTCATGACTGCAGGGATTCATCTTCTTGGCTCTTTCGGTAAAGTCACGTAGAAGGGAAATAATAAAATAATAAAAATAAAACATAATAAAATAATTCTCACGACGTTTCGGCCACAACGCAAGCAGCCGTCCTCAGGTGAAGACCAGGTCTGTCGGGGAGACAGCGTCTGAATGACCTGGTCTTCACCTGAGGACGGCTGCTTGCATTGTGGCCGAAACGTCGTGAGAATTATTTTATGTTTTATTTTTATTTCCCTTCTACGTGACTTTACCGAAAGAACCAAGAAGATGAAGCAGTCGAAGATTTTTTAAAAGAACTAGCAGCCCAGGTTTCAGCAGCATGAAGCAGACGGTTGTGTTGGTTTCTGTTGCACTAAAGTTATTACACTTAGATGCTCTCAGCCCAGTAACCAATGACTGCACAAAAGCAATCACGTAAAATTTGGTTCTGCACTTAATTCCAGCTGAGAATAAAAAAGATTGATTTGACTGTCATATGACAAACTTTCTTGTCAGTGGCAGATGGGTTTGGAAAGTTCTGTGGATCAGATCACTTGAAGGGGATTTCAGAAGTCGCTCTGTGACATCTACACAAAGGGTTGCACTGCTCTGCAAGAGATCCGAATTGATACTTCACCCCATGATATGATGTCGATAGCATGAAATTAAACCGCTGGAATTTTCTTTACCATTATTATAAGTTATCATATTTAACTTTACAATGTGCTGGTGCAAGACTGTCATGTCCACGTGTGTACACGGCCTGTATGTAACCTTTGACATCATTGTTAACAGGCCATAGACCATTCGAAACCCAACCTGTGAACGTTCATTTATTCACCGTACAAATGTCAGACCAAGCAGGCATATTGTATCAGTAATCGGTGTTCAATTGCAGAAATGTGAACGTCCAAGTTGGGGGTGAAGCAATGGAAGTTTAAACATGAAAGTTTCAAAATGTACGAAATAAATGTCAATTACCACATTTGACAACAGCTCCATATTCCTGTGTTTGTATCGTACAGTACATTATCAAAAGTGATTTCTTGTGAAAAGTTACACCCATGCCATTGTTTAAAATAGTGACGCACCTGCTATTATTTATAGGGATGTAATTAATTAAAGTTCTTAATGTATATACAAAAACCTGTGTAAGAATGCAATCGGTGTTGCAATAAGTGCATAAAGCACTTCACTATCTAAAAATTGGATGCATACTATGCTCTAGGTAAATAAATACAATATTGCTGCTTTTCTTGCTAATGAGACATGTTCTGCATGTTCAAGTAAATTGGGATACGATTTAGATTTTGTGTAGTACAAGAGGTTAAAATACCCCTAGAGGTTGACAAAAACGGATCGTGTGATATTTACAAAAATGGCTTTGAGATTTGTCTGTTTGTTAGTTGATGTGAAAGTGATTGCATTACTTTAATTTCCACAATTTACAAACCAGATTTGTGCACACGAAACGTGGGATAAAACCTTATTTACGAAACAAGTGAAATGTAAAACATTTCCACAATAACCTGCCTCCGTTTTATGGTCTCCAAAAGCATGCTCTCTGATCAACTCCAGCTGATGCAGTACAGAGATCAGACCAGATGCTGCTGGAGTTGAGAGGCAGGTAACAGGATGCTACGTCTAATAATTCACAGTCAGAACAGCTTAACGTTCATTAAAAACTGGCAACACATGGAAGGGATTCTATGCATAAGAATTGCCGTGTGATTCAACCATCTAAGAGATAGACATTCTAACTTCGTGAAGTTTAAACTTTTTGTGTGTGTTTCTTTACATGCAATATGGTGATCCCTTAAGGCAAAAGCTTTTCTTTACATTGTTCTAATATTTCAGCATTTCCAAAGGCATTGTTTCTTGTTTATATATAATGTCTTGTTAACATTTTGTACCATAATTCAATTTACTTACCACACTGAAAATAGCTGAACCCTGTTCTGGCCTTCATCGTTTAAGATCTCTGCTGAGACAAGCCTCAACTAAGCTGCAGTTGTGAAACTACGCGCTTCTTTGCTGGTATTGATTAGCATCATCACATCGGCCTTCAAGTGTCTTAATTGCTCCTGCAGCACGTAATTGACGCAAACGTTTATTTGTTTTAAAACTAAGTTCAGCCAATATAATTACGACACAAACGACTATTTTGCACAGTCACTGACCATGGCTGGGTGGCAAACAACTAAGGGGTGTTTGATAATCTGTATATGAAAGCAGAAGTTTAAAAAATTTAGTTAGTCCAGTTCTAACCCATGTGAGCCATTGGTAGAAAGCCCATAGTGAAACATTAACAGGTACTTGTGATAATAACTCCGAGTGGAGGCAAAGATTATCCAACAGCTTTACTATAGTCCCGTCTTCAGATGCCACTTTGTATCACACCGGATGCAAATAATGTGCACTGGCTTGATAATGTAAAACAGAAAAATAAATGTATATTCCTGGAAATGTTTTAAATCCAAGTTTGATCACGTTTCACACGGTCAGGTTCAGAAATTCTGAAAGAGGTCTCACAGTCGGGGGACAGCACAAACGCTTCCCCGCAGCTCCATCAGCGAGGGCCGCACACAGGCTTCAGAAGTCAAAGCTCGAAGCTCTGGGCCTTCCCTGGCATCCTTCCCCAGCGTGCAGCAGTGGCAGGGTCACGCATTAGGGCAGGATCAGCGCTCTGACATCCTGAAGGCAGGGGAGGCTGTGAGTATGGAAGGGAGGCACAACATGGGGGAGGGGAGAGAGGCCTGCACAAGGGAGGGACTGGCACAGCGCTCTGTTGGAGCCGAGGGCCAGTGGGCACAGCCACTGGGTGGTCGGGTTCAGAGGTCAGGGAAGCGGTTGGGGTCCTCTCGGTATTCGCTTGGGATCCGGAACATGGATTCTGGAAGATCCTCAATGGAGCGGAATTCCTGGAAGGTGACGGTGGCCGTGATGGTCGGAAACACAGGGATATCTGCACACGAAACGAGCAAAACGAGACGCCATCTAAACACACACACTTGACAATATAAACATGTGTCACCTGAGGTTGAGTGCATGAGGCATAACTTCACATATTTGACGTTACGGCAGTAACCTCTCAATGGTGAATGTTTTGTCTGCTGCTTTTCAGCCTTTAGTGTAATGCTGATGTGTTGAAGTAGGAATCGCACCGTCAAAACTACAGCATGCACCGTGGTTCACTTCACAAGGCATCCAGCATTACAAACTAGGATTAGGTACGTGTCCACCATTAATAATGGCCGAGTTGTGTGGAGCGCGCTTTACGAAGGAATCTTGCAAGATAACTGGAAAGTGTTGACATTTACATTAGCCACCTTTACACAGGCACTGTCTCAACTTGCACACTACAACGGTGCTATACAATGCCCGCTGTGCCACCGCTTCATCTCATTAAGCAATGCACAAACAACAGGTTCAAACCAGCTCTTCCAGTTTCTGAATGCCAGATTCTTTGTACAAGTCTCCGTAACGAGTTTTTATTCTATGCCCACTGCCAAACACGAAACTAATATGGGAATAAACTCGCAGCGTTTGACGCAGACTTGTGTCCAACGCTAAAATACTACTGTGGCCGTCGGAACAGCCCAATCTGCCGTGTTCATCTCATCCACCCAACCACTGGTTTTAGAGCCTCCGGCTGACACAAGCGGACAGACACCCACATTGTTGGAATCAACATACACTGCAAACCCAAAGCTCGTCCCCGTAGACCCGAGCACGTTTCAACAACCTCGTTCTGTGTACGGACAGACTACAGGGAGAAAACGTTGCCTGTCGGCCCTCATTCGCTTACTGTGAGACGGCCCGTAGCCTACACCCTCCACAGTACAGGCAGCGCACACTGCATGCCAGCTGAGTGACCAATAGGGAATTGTATACAGCTTTAAACAACCAAAAAAACCCCATCCAAATGTGTCAGTGGTGAATTTGATTTAAAAACAATTTGGTTTTCAATTGAACGGCAAGGCTGGATTTAACGAATAGAAGACTGCTTTCATTAGTTTGTATTTAGTGAATAATTACTTTAGCCCTTGAGACCCACCTCTATCACAGTGCTGAAATTAAACTTATTCCTAACCTCAACAAAATAATCAATGTGCATGACCTTCAACACTATTATAACAAAATGCAACTAAAATCTCTGGATGAAGAAGAGATAACTTTCTTACAATCCTGGGATAAAAGAAATGAGCAGAGAGGAGAGATGAGTGACTCGTTCACAAGATCACATGGAGCCATGAAACAAACCACCCGGGATGCAATCAGCATGACGCGCGCGCATCTGCAAGTCTCATCTTACGACCCCGAGAAATGCCTGGTGCAAGAAGGTATACAAATACAATTATCTTTCAAATGTGAGACAACTACTGCAAATAAAAACCCTACGTGCTTCCTTGCATAACAATATAATTATATCAATCGCCAGTTCCTTGAAATGACCAAATGTGAACAAATGACAACGAGTACAATTACTGAAGTGTCATAGAATGTGCTACTTTATTTTGCGAACTCTTAAAAATTTACCGTATTGGATGACTTTGATTTCCAAAGCATCTCATTCAAAGTAATAATATACAGTCATCCCAGTCTAAGTGACAAGGCCTGTGAGCTTAGACAACACAAAGGGCCACTTGTTCCTGTGACTGCCTCTATTTTGCCAGTCACTACAAAGATTCCTTTTCCACAAACTCTTCTGAGAATTTTTTTTTTACCTCCCCACCAGTTCAGTTCCCCTAAAGGACCGCTTGCGCCAGAGAAAGCTGTTCCCACTGAGGATGCCAGCTCGGCAGGAAAGCACCTTCTAACAGTTTAACCAAACGCAGGGCGGTTGTTGAGCCAAGCTCCGTCCCTTTTGGTATGCTAAAGTTGCTTTAGCATTGGCTTACGAGACCGGATGACAAGACACAAAAGAGCAGTGATGGAAGTAGCATGGCTCGTCAGATTTTCCTCACGATGCACGCATGTGCCTTGCACTGTAAGGACTCTCTAACGCAGACTGGGTTAGCACACAAATTAATTGTGCAGCGTGCATTATGACGTTTTGACAAACGCCTACAAACACGACGTTGTCACCAAGGTTGTTACTCGAGGCTTCAACTGAAACCAGAGATGCAGATCGACATTTGTGAACGGAGGGGATCAGAGCAGGGACTCGTGTGCACATGCACGGGCAGATCAACACAATCGGCAGCGGTGTTTTAATGAGCACGGGAACGACGGGCGACGGCTGCTTTCTCTCATAAATCTCTTTGGCACGCGGTCAGAAAATCCTGATGATGGCAGGAACGCGATGTACAGACTTGCGGGTGGCCAGCTCAAAACAGGAACTGTGACTAACAGCTCTGGCACTCAGGCGTGCGCGCAAGCGCACACACACACACACAGCCGCCTGCCGCTACCTGCACTCTAAAGCGCCGGCTACCCACGTGATTTATGGACAAACTAAACACACAGCCTACAACAGACCTTTCCCTGCCAAGGCTATTTTTACTTAAACTACACAATTATATTTTTATTAATATTTCTTCGAGGAGTTCATGCAAATTGCCACCTCCACAACAACTGTGGTCACTTTAGTTAGAACAAAAACATGTAAAAGACATTTCACATTTTTAAAATCTTAATTCAGTGTGCTTGAAAAAAAAAGGAAAATGGCTGTGTTCAAGACTCACCCAGCTTCACAGGAAACCCAGGAGGAAGCTTCATCTGAACGAACTCACGCAGCTTGTTAAAGTGCTTGAACGGAGCGATGATCTCCAGGACGTTGAGCAGCCTGCAGACAGGACGAACGGTGACTTTGATGGGAACGGGAACACAGAGGCCGCACTTCTCTTCAATCCACACTGATGACAACAATTGGAAGGGCAACCTCTGGCAAAGACCACTCAGAGGCTCGCAGTTGAAATATTTTGTGAGATAACGGCACATTCTGCTATGGACGTTTGGTCTACACCATACAGGTACTACAGTGTGTCCAAGAAACACCAGGCTAATACAGGGGTGCGGTACCCCAAAATATCAATTTTCCTAAACTAAACCTTGTTATTTCGTTGAAGAGAAAATTTTTCCCATTTAGAGGTATTAATGTATTTATTCATAAAAATGAAAAGATAAAACAAAGGTAAAAAAAAGACACTGAAACTACTGAAAATCACAAACCAATACTGGAATGCACAATCCACTGTTACTGTAGTTACTGTCCAGCGCAATACTAAACTGGGACTGGCTCCCGCTTGATGTTTCTGTGCAGCGTGGAGATGTAGCTAACAACAAGGCAAGCGTTCCTTTGCTCGGTGTAACATTTTTGGGCTTCGGGAGTGCGATTTAAAAAAAAATCTAACTTTTTTAAAATTTTAGAGGGCCCATGGGAGACACGATTTATCCGCCCACATTATTTCAGGGACAAACTGTACCGTCAATGACATTACTGCAATGCAAGCTGCTCACAACCCCATTAAATGCGAAACATCTCGCACAAGGTTGTACCTAAGGCAATGCCTAAATGAACAAACACAACTCTCGTTGTTTGGCTAGTTTCGGACATAGATCAACAGCACTCGAAATACGAACGCAGCGTTTCATTATTATTTTTATTTCACGTGAAGTCACAGCTCCATCGACGGATGAACCGAGTTGCTGCTGCCTCCGCCTCCACTCACATGTCCATGCTGAGCGGAAACTCTTGGCTCATGGCGATGGTGGCCTTGAAGCTCTTGGAGCTCTCCTTGCACACCAGCTCTCGGCCAAGGTGAGGGGCCCTGCCAGGTTCCGGCCAGAGCACAACGTAGAAGAGGGAGGAGAGTAAAAGGACATGATAGAGAAGAGGGGTGTGGGGGGGGTTTGAAAGGAGCATCAATAAATATGTATGTCAGTACATCCCACCCCGTATGAGTCATGGGGGTTATTTGGCCATATTTCACCACGCTGGTTAGTGGGGGTTCGTGAAGGTAGAGGGCGGCATAGAAGTACAGTACAACAATGGATTTTGCTGCACGGCCCTCTGCGGACCACCTAGAAGCACAGCTTTGCAACCATCTATAACAACCTGGTGGTCACCCATCCAAGCATTATGCAGACTCAAACCTGAATACCTTCCCAGAACAGATGGGTATATTATAAAACGTCTAATTAATTGTGGATCTAATAATAAGATAAAAAGGTGGAAACAATACCAGGAGGCATGCACTTGTCAAAGCGACAGATGTTGGTGGTCATGTTGTAATGCTGCTCTTACTGAATGCTCAATATGTTCAGTTGCTCTGTGAATGCAACCCAGATTGCTCATGTGAGCGAGCTGGCCACCGTAAACGCACGCCTGACTCAGCCGCCATGCAACCACGCCAACGAGCACCACGGCCACAAACTAATATGTTCCTTGGACGGTGACCCATTGAATGCATTTGTGAACCGAAACATGTTTACCTCCCAAAATATTCTTCCCCGCAGCAAAAAATTAAAAATAAAGTGAAGCCACAGACACACCCCGCCACCTCCTCCCCCACCTCCCCCCCATACCAATGGCGGAGCAAGGATTTTCAGGTAGGGGGGGCAACCCCTCCAGCAATGAAAAATTATAGGAGTTGTTAGTAAATAAGGACTTGTCCCTTGCTTTTTATTCGACGCGTGTGCGGCGATGGCGCAGCCATCAATCGAGGGTCGAATTAGAACCGTGTGTGATCGGCATCGCGCTCACTGAAGGAATGCCTTCAGGGAAGTCGTGTACTGTATACGCAACAGCGCACAATTCTGTGAGTCACTTATAACTGCTTTGCCGTTATTGCCAATTATGGACTCAGACTATTGTCCTATCATCTCGTAGAGTCTCTGGCATGTAGTAATATGCTACACAGTGGCAGTGGGGGTCGCAAAATGCCGATTTATTACTAATAAACCCCAATGATCCGATCGAAATTATGGAATTCAATTAGATCATTCGGGGGGTGCGTGCCACCCCACCCCCCCCCACTGGCTCCGCCAGTGCCCCGTACCTATAAGCTTAATACGCTATGTGTCGGTGCTATGTTTAACAGCAAAGTGGGTCTTAATAGAAGCATGGTAAATTAGGGTAACCGTTTTCTGTATCAATTACAAATTTGACAAGTCAAGATCTGGTGAGTAATCAATTCCAGTGGCGTTTTAGTCACGAATGCACGCGTGAACGTAATACAAACCGCACAGCCACAGACCAAAGGATTAATAAAATGTAAGGTGCATGCAGCCCTGAAATTGCTTGCTCAAGCCACTGATTGTCAGAAGGGCCGACACTAGTCGTAGCTCGAAGAGGATATTTGGCCTACTCTTCCAACACTGGCCAGATGTGTTGGAAGAGGTGGGCTTAGCACCACTTCACCCCCACCACACGCAAGCTGCTGTTCCATGGACTAACTGACATGCCCATTTTGACTGTTGGGTGGACAGGGGGGGGGGGGTTTAAGGCTATTGCCTTTTCTTTGAGCTGTCTTATTGGGAGATTGAATGACGATTACACTATTGCAGCCATCTTAGTTTCTCAGATAACTGTTTATTTCTCGAAATTTCTGTACGTGCGAAAAACCGGTAACGGTTTTGTTACCATAATCGTTTTTTTTCGGTAAAGTCACGTAGATAGAAAAAAAAAAGACGTTTCGATGGCAACACAAGCGGTCGTCATAATTTTCAATGAGGTTAGTAGTCAAGCAAAATAAACAATTTGAACAACCCTAGTAAATATTTGTAATGAAAATTAAGCGAAATAAAAGAAAGTTGCTCTACTCGTTTCTGTGGCTGCGAATACTTCAGATAACTTTAAATTTAATTACTTGTTTTCCGCTGGCCACCGGCCTCCCGCCCCCCCTGTCTGGCGGCGTTTCCTCAGCGGTGCGGCCACCCCAGAGGGGGCCAGTCAGCTGGCTCCGAGGGCCAGCTGCACTCGGGGAAGACACCGTCGAGGAGCTCGCCATCGCATCACACAAGTCGCCACCAACACCACCGGAACGGTGTGGGGTTGCTGCCGCCCTCCAACCTTTAAAGTTTGTTCCTCCCAATGGCTTCGAAGTTAAATGCGGCGCAGTGGAAAATAGTTCGGTTAAAATGCAACCATGAAGAAGTAAGGATGGAGGGTAAGAGTTCTAGCAACGGGTTTGGTTCAAATATTTTTAAATGTTACTTATTAAGAAGTCATTCTGAAAAGTTGTACATGCAGATTTGCCTTTGTTAGTATCTCTTACACTTACAAACCGTGAGGACATCACCAAGACGGCTTGTCCCATTCGCACTAAGGCCATGTGCACATTTTTGTTTCCGTTTAATGGCCTCTTTAAGAAGCCCAGGCCACGGCATTTCCAGCAAGTAGGAGCCCTCCTTTCCACCCGCCTCTCACAACCCCAACCCCCACAGTTCCTCTCCCTTTAACCCCCCACTCCCTACCCCTGCCCCCAACACCCCATCCGAACTGCCAACCCAACCCCCATCCACCACCTCCATTCATCCGCGTTCTTACACACTCGGCTTTCCCGCGCTGGCAAGCACCACCGATTTCTCCCGCCAAACCTCCCACGGTCTGGTCCCCGCCCCTCCTCATCGTCGTGACTCATGATTCTCTCAACGCCGCCGCTTGCAAGCAGCAAAACCTCACTGATGCTTAAAACTCGGCGAAAGTAAAAAAAAAAATTCCCGCGCAAGAACACCCCAGTTATAGATCAGTACCGATACCTATACGGAACCCGGTCCTTGTAGCTGCTACTCAAAAATAGCTACGTACGAATGATTAATTTCAGAATTGTTATTACTTGCAACAATTATGTTGAATATGAATCGCATGGATGGTTGTGCAACAGTGGTTAGTTAGCGCACTGCACTGTGAATCCAGAAATCAGAGTGTGATTGCGTGCTATATCACCAACGTCAGCGGTGGGTGATATCTGAAGTGGTCTTGGTTCATCCACCCCATCCACTTCACCAACCCACGCTGAGCTCTACGGCGAAGTATGGTCAAATAGCTTAAATTAACCGACCCCGACATGACGAGGCATTCATCCAGCAGTGGATTGTGACAAAAGGTTGTATTTTATTATTTAATTCAATATGAAATACACATGCTGTTTAATCTATTTACATAAGCAGCAACGGTTTTAAATATCGTGTGCAAACCCGATTAAAACGAATCCATCCTGTTCCTTTGTGAAGGTAAGCTTGGCGACCTGAATATCACGTCTTTTGCGGAACTGATCTTGGCTACGGAGAGCAAATAAAACACGGTAGAGACTTGGCGATGGTGAACGTCTCAAGTAGCAGCCTCAACCCAAGTCACTGCGGCTCCTCGCCATTTCACCAAACCGTTTTGGACGATTCCAGAACATGCAAAACCACAAGTCAACATTTGCAAGATCACCGACGTTTTTTTACGTCGCAAAGTAATTTTTTTCTTGCAGTCACTCAAGTGCAAAGTCCAACGCGCGAAAACTGCAACCTGCCTGGCCACTCGCAAAGACACGAATGCAAAGGGGCCTCTTTATGATTCTATTGATGTATCAACAGTGCTCGTAGCGGACGGGATGTCGCTCTCAGCGGTACGACACCCGACCACGACGACACGTAAGCGCTGCTAACGGAGAATTATGCACGCAACCCCCATGCCGTCCCAAAATGGCCGACAGCCCAATCATACAGCCGTTGTGCAATGTCGGGAGAGATCGGCAGGCACAAGGCGCCCCCCCCCCGCACTGAAGGACGGCTCACTCCTGTGCACCGCGCCCATGGTCGAAAACCGCGGCGTTTGGGACGGCGGTGGCGACGTCGGCGGCGAGAAGCTGTCACCATTGCGGATGCGTTTCCCGCGCTTTCACGCGAGAGCCTGTTTCTGCGACCGCGCCTACGGGCCGTCCAAAGCTCGGGGCGAATGGTCGACGGAGCACACTTCAGGCAGAGACGGGTTGCAACGAGTTCAATTACTCGGGAGCGTGATGCTCTCATTTCCCATTTCTCAATTACGTTTAGGTTTTAAAAAATAATGTATTCGGAAATCGCAGTGCCAGAACGGCAGCTTTCTGCACGACGCGATTGTCATTTTTATTTTCTATCACTGGTGAAAAAAATCCCCGTGGTTACTTGTATAGCTTCAGGGTGGTAACGAAACACGAGCACACAAACACACATGCGTGTGTGAATATAAGTAGACTGGTCATAATATTCCAACAATGGAGATCCGCCCTTTGATTGGCCGCCACTTTCCTAAAGTATGTACAGTATAAGTGTATATACCAGCAAGAAGGATATGGGAACGGAAGACAGAACGTGGGCTATCCTTCTGTGGAAGAACAGATTAATTAAAAAAAGGCAGGCGAAAGGTATTAAATGGAGTGTTTGGTGCTTTAATTTTGGCTAGACTCCCCCCTGACGCCCCCACCTTCCCTCCAGCCCCCACCTCCACCCCCCGGCTGCTGTTGGACAGCTGCCCGAGGCGGTTGCACATCATGCCCCGCTTCCCACCATGCTCGCTGCCATACCCATGCAAAAAAACCAAGGATCCCTCGCGGACGAATGCGCGCGTACATTCACACATACACACACCACGCACGGCACGCACACCACATACACACCGACACACGCATGTACAGCGCATATGCAAAATTGGATTCAATGCCAAACAGCTTTTTTTTATTTTGGTTATGGGCCGGAAGCGGCCGGCACCCAGTGACTTATGAAAATCCCAATTGGAAAGGACTCGGAGAAACCGATAAAATGATGTTCGAAGCTCAAGAGTGCTCGACAGCTGGCGTTACGACGCACAAAGGCATGGCACGGCCTCGCACATAATGATTCCAATCCGTTGCAAAACCTGCCGCAGGCAGTAAAATAACCTTAAAACATCTCAAAATGTCAACAAAACCATTGTTGCTTCGGTTTTCCTTCTTAGCTACAGAAGTGTAAAACGTCACAGCGAGAAACAAAAAACCCAAAATGGCTTACTTTCCCGGCTCTGACGAGATGTATTCCTCCCACGTGATGGTGTTGGGAGGCGGGGGTGACAGAGACTCCCGCCTCACGGGCTGCATGGGGCCAAGGGAGAGAGAAGAAGAGGGATGTTCACCGTTACCGGGACGTGATGGTGAGCACGCACGAACGAACAAGCAAAGGAATTTTAAATTTCGATTTAAAGCTTTCGTGACTGTAGGGATTCATCTTCTTGGTTCTTTCGGTAAAGTCACGTAAAAGGGAAATAATAAAATAATAAAAATAAAACATAATAAAATAATTCTCACGACGTTTCGGCCACAATGCAAGCAGCCGTCCTCAGGTGAAGAACAGGTCTGTCGGTGTTGGTCTGACGCTGTTTTTCCGACAGACCTGTTTTTTACCTGAGGACGGCTGCTTGCGTTGTGGCCGAAACGTCGTGAGAATTATTTTATGTTTTATTTTAATTATTTTATTATTTCCCTTTTACGTGACTTTACCGAAAGAACCAAGAAGATGAACAAGCAAAGGATCGGGAGACGTTTGCAAAGTGCCGAGCCGTTGGAACTACCTGTGTGAACGCAGCGTCAAATAAAGCTCAAAGAGGCAACACTGAGCATCCAGTGACTACTGTGCCCCCTTTCACGAGGAACTGATTGTCCTCAATGGCCTCCAAGGGCCACCATGGACATCTTCCACTGCAGCACCTGGGTGTGAAGTCCCGGGCCACGATAGATTACCCTAATGTCCTCCACATGATGCACTGCACTGTTTCTACATCAACGTTGATTGGAAGCCAGTCGTACTGCAGCAGATATTCACGCATTGGCGTTTACATTGAAAGCAGATTTTCGCGATGAAAAATAGTTTGCCAATTTTTTTAACATTCCAGTTTTAGAAAACACTTGGATGAACATTTTGTGGTCTCGGGAATTGGAGGCTCTCTTTAAAACATTCTTCTCAGCTTAGTCATTGTATTGCAGACCAGAGCCAAAGCCACATGAAGAGTAATACAAAATATTCCACGTGAGCATGTGTGGCATCCACAGTGCCTCTTGCTCCCACGGTGACACAGCAGTAAACAAAGTAGGGCACCATCACAATATTAACACTTGCGTCCACTAAATTACAATGGAAAGTATAACAATTACTTCAAAAGATATCAGATTAAAGACACTATTCTCACTTACAAAAAGTAAGTGGGCTTGGGCACCCACATGTTGCCAGAGGTCGAATATAATGACAAAGTTGCAAGCCAAGGGTGGGTTACGCGCTCCCGAGTGTACATCAACCACAGAGATGGAGCGATTAAATCATCTTGTGCACAGGTATTAGATGGATTGTTACATCGCAGGAACGCGAGAGATGGCGACAATACAAATGCCGCATGAGGCCTTCATGCGGCATTAGTATTGATCACTGTGAATAGAATCTCATCCCACAAGATACCTAAAATGCAAACGTCTTTCAAGGAATCCTGTTTAATGGGGCGGTTGGCAGGAACCACAATTAAGAGAAGTAATCAAGAAGGGGGAATAAGTGCAGAAGCATGAAAGTGTGATGCGGTGCTCGGTGTATGTGTGGTGGCAGACGCTTTGCTACAAGCAGTGATTGCTCAGTGCAGACAGGAGCCAGATGCTGTCCACCACCCTCCCCTAAGCTTCCTCCTGAATTAGACTTACCTGGGCATGAGTGATGCATGCTTGCTGTGATGCGTGCAACATAAAAAAGGAATTATTGTAATGCCATACGAAGGCTTTCACGACCAAAATTATGATTCATAATTGGTTTATTTTGGATTAGCTCGTGTAAAAATGTGTGTTCTAAACCCTCATCTACCCAACACGGCCAATTTGTAAAATGGTCACGTGAATCAAACATGGCGATTTTATTCCTGCTTCATCAGCAGCACCATCGGTGTTGTTGTGGGAGACTAATCTCACGACATTAACATGGGTGCGACGTTTCACTGGAGATTACAAAAACATCTGTGCAAAAGGGCTTAATAGCTCATCGGATTCCTCCAGTATGAATAAATATTCTGATTCTGACATCCAACATCACCAGGTTGTTAAGAGGAGCTCAGATCTCGACATCTCGAGATCTGACCCAAAATAAACCAATTATGAATAATAATAAACCCTCACTACTTCACACAGCCTGTGTAATGTATTGTGCATGTAAATATGTTCAATACAGCACTGGGGTGGCAGCTGATGATTGGCATTGAAGTGGGGAAGACTTCCTGTTGTACAAGTGTGTAAGATATTGCTCTGGCGATGTAGATACTTTCTCCGAGCTAGGTAGGGGGTGCTGTATTGTACATGTGCATGTCCACGTCCTGCCATTTGCGAATCCAATGCTGGATGCAGGCTGGGTAATGGGGGTTATCGGACCATACCTCAACACGCTGGTCGGCGCGAGCTGTGTAGATGCGAGAGCACAGAAGTAAAGCAAAAGCTTCAAATCTAGATTCAAATCTAGATTAAAGCAAAACAATGGATTTTGTCGAACTGTCCACTTGTTGTCCACCACGCAGCTCCCACGGCCTGCTGTGCTTGGTGGTCACCCCTCCAAGTACAATAAAATCTCCTCCCTGCTTAACTTCTAAGACCTGACGGGATCTAGGGGATGCTCCGAGTGATTTGGTCATGGCCTACATTTAGAGTTAACAATGTTATTTCACAATCAGAATCAAAATCTTTACATATCCTGGAGAAATCTTTTTCACAGATGTCCAGTAGTTTTCACAGATGTCCAGTTTGGTTGTGCACTACGTCCACCCTGTGCGAAGCTGGACTTTTATTTTGTTTAACGCAGAGAACTCACTTTGTCTGCCATCAACAACTTGTAGCCTAGGCTCTCCCAGGACACTTGGCTTGGTTCCAAAGCAGTTGCACATGATGGAAATATTTGCATATGTTTAAACCGCTACATGTCAGTTGAGCTCCATCGTTTGTAACCAATGTTAATGCAGACTTCCACCAGGCCTCCATTGTCATTAATATTGAGGGCTTAAGGCAGTAATGTTGACAGTATCTCAGTAAAAATGCTCCTAGGAGGAGCAAGGAGGCTGCTGAGCAAAGTTCAGCAGAATGAGACAATAGGACACAGGGCGGCTGGCCATGGGGCGCTGTTGGCAAGGGGTGGGATGGGTGGGCCCAGGTGGAATGAAGCTAATTATGAAGTGGATATCTTCAGACACTTTTGGTACAGCTAGTAAACACTTGGGACAAATTACACCCAAAACACAAAGCAGAATCAGCATTGGAGGGAAGCTTCGTGTAGATACCCAGAGTTGTAATTATACAATTGTACATCTTGTTCGTTCTGCATTTCAGTCGAGCTGTACCGTATTTGATCAAGTTTCTTTGACGATGTATTTATTTATAAATAAATTATGAAGCCAAGGCCTTTTGGTTTGTGCGTGCATCGATTGGTTTAATTTGTCTCTATGTAATTAAATGCCTTTTTATAGTCGAGAAAGGTATGCGATATTAACTTTACTTTTTACATTCAATTTGTTTGATAGTATACACATCGTCAATGGGAAATTTTAAAAAATCTTCTAAAACCATTTTGCTACCTTTGTTGGATGGCCTATACATTCGCCATTGTTGCGTTTTCTGAGCATTAAAGACACGTGATATGAGGTTAACAGGGATGACATTCTTCAAATCAGATGTTCCCTTTTTTAATAGAAGAATGGTCATTCCGCAAAGTATTTAATTACTGTGTAAACATATTGTAAATAGGTCTGTAAATTTTGATCACACTTCTTTGATGATGTCCCCAGCGATTCCATATGGTCAGGGAGCTTTCCCCTTTTTCATACCACGAATGGCAGTGGTTGTTCACCTTCAGGTGTAACATATGGAAAATCCTCCTCGTTTGAACAATTCTTTGTTTCATGGTCTATTTGTTTTTGCTATAAATATCTGCACCGGATATCTCTAGGTTTAAGGTTGTGTCCCTATCATGCGTTTTGGCTCTGCGGGCTATTTGCAATTTACCAACAAACTTGCTTGTTGCTGTATGTTGAACTCCTTTCGCACCGTATGTAAGCAACCGTGCTAATCGGAGGTGCGATTAGCAAGGGGGATGATTATTCGTACCCAACGCCGTGGAACTCTTGCCGTCGCCGGGCGTCATACCTCGAAAGCCGGGTCTGCCATGACGGTGCCGCCCTTGCTGATGCTCTCCATCAGGGCCTTGTTGCGCTGGATGTCCTCCTCGGACAGATGCTCGCGCCGCTTGCGCGACTCCAACACCAGCCCCGCGATGGTGTAGAAGTCCGCCAGAAATGTGCCCACGCGCTCCTGTGCACGTGTGTACGCAGCGTGCGGTGAGTTGCAGACGAACGCAGCTGTGCTTACAGCACCCAAAGAAAGCCACTGGCACACTCACTATGACTCACAGCCCTTGCCATATTAACTTACAGGAATAGAAAAATAAAAACTTTTTTTTACTTAAATATTCTGTTACTCTTCCAAATGTCGTGTGTGCACGCCATCGATGAATACGCCGAACCAAACAGCGATGACTTGGCCTCGAAAAATGCAGTCACTAGGTCCGAGAAACAACAGCCAGGAATTTTGACGAGCTAATGAAGAACACATCTTGCGTCTTAAGCTTATTACTGTAAATGCAAATTGTGGAGTTTCATACTTTCGAGACTATTTCAGCATTTTCAAAAGCGAGTTGCTAGCTTTTTAATTCTTTGTAATCATCGATTAGTCATAACTATTTGTGGTTAAAATCCGAGCGAAATTTTCCATTAACCAACCCCCCCCACCCTCGCACAATGCATGACCAGAGCAACAATGCCGTATTTAAGATCAATCTCGCAAACACTTTGCAGCCTTCATCAAAGGATAGAAAATAGCTGACACTGTCCGTAAACAATACAACCAAACGGACGTCATGGCGACCGTTTGTTTCCACGGAGCAGTTATTTAATTACAAAACTCTAAGACTATCCCTACCACGATATGCCATCGCCTTGAAGCAGGGGGGCATATGCGTCAAATAACAGCAAGTGTGGGTCACACAGCAGGGTGTATGGATCTCATAGCGGGGCGTGTGGGTCTTCTGTGGACTTATGGATCTTGTAGTAGGCATTGCGCATATTGTATGAGGGAGTGCGAATTTTGTAGCAGGAGCTTGGGTCACATAGCAGAGAGCGTGGGTCTCGTAGCATTGAGTGAGTCTTATAGCAGGATGTGTGGGTGTCGTGACAAGGTGGGTGGGTCACACAGCAACGAAGATGGATTTTGTAGCTGGGGGCGTGAGTTTCAGCAGACTAATGGTTCTTGTAGCGAGGAGTGTGGGCCTCGCACACAGCAGGGTATGTGTGTGGGTCATATAGGATGTACGGATTATTTTAGCGGGGTGATGTGTGGGTTTCGGTGGGCTTGGGGGTCTTGCAGCAGGATGTTGTGAGTCTCGTAGGGAGTGTGATGTAACTTCGAAGACCTGGTGTGAAACAACGACAGGTGTGTGACGGCCGTACCGTTTTGTCCTCCTTGAAGAGCCAGCCGGTTTGCGCACGGGAGAAGCCGATGGACTTGGTGGACATTGTGGCCGACACGATGTCGCTGCTCATCAGTATGTCCACCTCCTCCTCTGTCTCGGCCTCCGACTCCTGTGGGATGAATGGCACACAAAGCCACAGATTACCCATATAGCCATTATGGTGCATCTATCGTGATGTATATTGGGTCACTACGGCGTTTAGCGCCAGCTACTGATAGAAGAGTGGAACTGTGAGTGTTAGAGCCTCTCTCTGACACCAGAGTATGTTATGGCATGGACGGGGGCCCTAGAGAACATGACTTTGGTGACTCAGAGAGAGGGTAGTTGAGGACGTGACAGCCTGGTTGAACCCGAGAGGGCACGTGACCAGGACAGGGTAAGAATGTGGGCAAAAAGTGGCGAGAGGGACACCTGGTGTATGGCCCAGAACCTTCTGGGAGGATCCAGAAGGGGGCGTGGCCGAGGGCGGAGCCAGACCACGCTCAGGGGTATAAAAGGGAGTTCCCAAGAGCCGATCAGGGCTGTCTACTGGAGTGGAACCCGCCGTGCTAGGTCTCTTCACTCTTCACGCTCGGCATCGTGGGTCAGGCAGTGTATTAATTGACCTGATCTGGTTATGTAGTTACCCCAAAACTTCAAATCTAGATTACCCCATGGTGGTTACCACTATATAGTTACCCCATTGTGGTCATAGAATAAACGTGTTGCCTCCGAAGTCAAATGTTTCTCAAATGAACCCACTACACATCTATTAAAGCAGGAACTAGATGGTCTGACCCACACCATGCATGGTTACCTTTGTTACCCGAGTGCTGACATTTACACACTTCACCAGGTACTCATAGGAGGCTCAGGACCAGTTCAGATATTCATTACCAGCGTTGGCTCTGAGTGGGAATCCAACTCGGGTCGCCGATTTTTTGGAGCGCATTGCACTATCCGCTACACCGCTGCTCCAAAGACAAAGACACCCCACATATGCTCATGCACACAGACACATGGACACGTAGACTGGAGAAAGCCGCATTCGACCGACACTTGCCATTCTTCTCGGTCGCTGCCAAGCATACAAGTCAGTCTCACCAAAAAAGCCTTCCCCCCCCCCCTCACCTCGTGGGATATCCTTTGGTAGACCTTCTGCTCATTGTCGAGGACGGTGAGGGAGTGCGATGGCGGCAAGTCGCCAATGAAAATGAAGCTCATGTCGCCGCGCTGCCATTTCATGTCGTTGAAGTCAATGAGCGTCGTGTCCAGCCTGGCGACGCAGCGGGGCCACACTTTTAGCAATGTTCGTTAAGCTCAAGCGGCCCGCGCTTTACACGCAGGTTCTTGCGATAACGTTACACGGGTGTGCATGTGCCGCAACTCGTGAAACGTTGGCGTGCACTGTGCGTACATTTTGTCTCGAATACTCATGACAGCGAGTTGTATGAAACCCGCAACACGTTTCGTGTGACGTGCGCAACACGTTGCTTGCAAAAACAACTCCGACTCTCAATCTGCACCCCGGTGCTGCTCTTAATACCCATCTAAGCCTCACAATTACTAATCCACAAACGTCATCTGCAAATTGATGGAAAATGTGGTGGGTTTCTGGATCGAATTTAACTGAATATATGTAACAAATTTTACATGTAGGCTTTCACGACCAATATTGTGATCATAATTGGTTCCTTTTGTGTTAGGTCATATAATCAATGTGTCCCAAACCCTCCTCATGGGCATCTTCTAGGTCGCCTCAGCCTTGATAATTTTAAAGCCCCATGTAAAACTAATGCACACTGGCAAATATTAATTCCATAATCAAGAGACTGAAAAAAAAATAATGTGGCCTGGAAACAAATAGAAACGAAATAATGATGTATTTAATCCAAAAATGTAATTGACTATTAAATAGCAGAAGAAAACTTAAAGTCGTAAGAACTCACTAAAGCTCATCAATAAGCCCTTATGATTAAATCCTGTTAATGCTCAACTAGAATCACACAAAAATGAAATGCCATCTTCATGACGAACACTATACACATTAACATAATTAAGGCGAGCCTTTTGTACCCAATTTCTAGATTCGCGTTATTACACAAACCTGATCTGCCAGTCACTACCAATCAACGAGCAATTAACAAACAAGATCACAGCCACGATTGTTCCGAGGTCGTCATGGCATCTACATTAAGACCCAGATCAGGAAGAGCTTTCACTCGAGATCTGAGCTCCTGTTAACAACCTGGATGATGCTGTATGTAATCTCCAGCGATGCGTCACGCTCATGTAAACGTTTGCAAGATCGCTCTCCAGACTGATAAGGAATAAAATATCATTACTGCACTGAAAAAAACCTCTAGCTTGCTAAATACAATTGTGGTTTGCCAACTCTTTGTATTATGTATTCATATTCTCAGCCAGCTAACCCCATGTGTATACATTTTCTGGGCATCACTTTTAATAAATGGCCATCTGCAATAGCCAAATAAGGTTAAATATTTTAAAAACAGTTCCAAGTTGAGGCATCACATTTAATAAATGACCATCTCCAATAGTCCAATGAAGTTAAATATTTAAAACACATCGCGTGCCTGTCAGTGACAGTGGCAACATTGTATTAATTGGAGCTGGGAAGAGGATGAGTGGGTGAATTTTAGTGTCAGTGACCCAAGTTCCATGGATGAGACCACCCGGTCAGGTCCTTGCCAAAGCTGACACGTCCTATTAACATCTACTCAGAGCTGCAAGCGAGATACGGATGATTCAGCAACTCCGCCCCTCCTCTATCCCCAACCCCACCCACAGGAATTTTATTCATAATATAAGTTTTGGGTTAAATCGCGTAAATATATAAATGTGTCGTTGAAACCCACCACCACCCTACTAGTAAGAGTTGTCACGTAAACAGAAGCAATTATATTCATTGTTAGAATTCAGAATCACAATTAGAATAAAGAATCACTTATATGTTGATCTCATGATTAAGGTTTTGCTCACACTTTCATTATTTGTCCATGACGTTTATAGTTTTCCTGAATCCGTGACCTGCAGTGTAAAATTAGCATACAATTTCCATAAATGATAACCAACACTGACTTGACGTTTGATTTGATGCATATATACGCGAGCGTGGAGGGTTTAATTATTACGAACAGAAGCGTCATTAAATGCAAGCGTAGGAGCCCGGCGACAGTTCTCAACGGAGGCCGCTTCACGTGGTGCTAACTGTTCACCTCCTCTGGATCAATCCGGAGTGGCCACCGCGTTCTTGACCGTGGCCCTTTGGCGCATGTCTAACGGCGCACTGCCATCTAGTGGCCACAGATGCGTGAGTGCATCCCAAGCCCCAATGAGGCCCTAATCGGAGGAGTGATTATAAGTCGCTTCTGAATCGCTCGCATGCCCTTCAGGCATGTGTGGGTCGCAGCCCCCACCCACCGCCGCTTCGACGACTGCCACGCTGCACGTGACCACCTCACCTGATGTTGGTGCCGTGCTTGTAGATCTTGCACGTGTCAGAGGGGAGCATCCGTGACACCAGGGGGACTGCACGACACACGCCACAGCGGCACATCAGCGCGGCACACTCAACGGGCCCATCACCAGCTCCACTATTGATATTTTTTTTATTTTACCAGGTAAGGCCCACTGAGCTATATTGCACTTTTTCAGAAGTGACCTGGCCACAAATAATAGATCAGCGAAGTTGGTTATCACGTGAAAATGTATATCAGCCAAATACTCTAAACCCATGTTGATTCTGAATTTGGAGGGGAAAAAAAACCAGAGGACACAGAGAAAAATCTACATGACCACAGGGAGAAGATGCAAACTCCAAATATACAGTACAGGGGTCAGGGTCGGGTTCGAACCCACGACCTCCTGTATACCAGGCGAGGTAGGCAACATCTCGCCACTGTGGCACCCTGAGGTAGTTAACTACAGGCCGTCACCGGCCCAGTGTTGGCCACAACTGTGCGGCACCCATGACAGCGAGGGTTTGGCACACTCGATCTGGGGCTGTCAGCCAACACACCTGGCGCACACGTCACCTTATATCTGGATTGCGTCACCGTTTTTGTGTACGTGCTGTGCACAACGTGTAATAATTTCCAGTCTGGTTTCCGTCATTAAAAGGGTTGGTGAAATTCACGGGTGATGCAGTGGTTCATGAACTGCACTATAAACCCAAACAGCCGAGTCCGATTCCTAGCTATGGGTAATTCCCAAACACATTAAACGCCGGGTTATTGGAGATTTCAGTACCTCTCCCTACTTTCTGGTTCTTTCAGGTAAAGTCACGTCGATAGAAAAAATAAAAGAACACGACGTTTCGGTCGCAAGACAAGCGTCCATCATGGATTCAAGACAAGGTGGTACAAATGCTGGGTTTGTCATGGGTTTGAACCTTGCTCCTCTAGGATTGCAAACGCCACAGCCACTCGGTGGAATGCCATTGACCGAAAACGGGCAAAATGGCTCGATCCAATCACCGCACACCAGCACGCAACGCGCATGCCCCCGCACTTGGCTGATAAATACAGGCTCCTATTGGAAATTCTGATGGCAAAAGTCTCCAATGTACTCCCTCGGTGCTTGGCTGCATATGCGGTTATTGCGCGAGACTCAAGATTACAGATGTTTGCCAACACGCTGCACACAAAGTGCAACAAACAATACAAAAAAATACCAGACTTAACATTCCTCCATAACGAGCCAATAGCCACAACAACATGTGAAAACCAACACACTCCAATGCTACCACATTTGCAAGTTTTCCCATTCCCTATTGTTAAAGAGATTAGGACATTCCAAAAGATCCCTATGGATTACCAATCCAGCCTACCAACATGATCCGCCACAAAAAGCACTCCAAACAAATCATGGCACTTCCGACCCCATGCCTAGTGTGTAGCAATCTTTTGAGAATAATGAGATTTAATTATTGAAACATGCGCATGGGGTTACTGAACAGAAAAAAAATACAAAAGACTCGTTCGAAAATAAAGCTTTGAGATGCTTGTGAACTATGAAAAGAACACACCAAGGCCAGGCAAAGCAGTGAGAATGCTTGTGGGTCACGTGTGTCATGATTTCAGGATTGTGTTTACAATGGTTCTGTGTGTGTCTCTTTCACACAAACACAGCGCACCGGTCCGACCCAACGGCAAAGCTTTATTCTCATTTTTATCGTTTTTGCCCAATGAATCCCGATTGTGCGATCGGAATTTCACGAGATGAAAATTCCATTCAGATCTTTTGTAGAGCAGAGCAATCCTTGGTATAAGAGAACAGCCCATAGAAGCGGTTATCACAGTTACCTTTGACATCTGATTCTGACATTCCTTCCAGTGACCTCTGTTCTACACATTAGGGGGCAGCACATTCCCATGCACTCTGCCATGGAGGACTGTGTTTGCTGCATGACAGTTGACCGATGTTTTTCATTCTCACAGCTGTAATTTGACCAAATTAAGTGTGAGAACCAAATTTATTGTGAATGCGTTTTTCCGTGTGCGCAATCATTGGTGACCAGGATGAGACCATCAACTCAATGGACTTGGATTAATTTGGTTTCATAACATTTCTAAAGGCAAATATACAATATTTACTAAACATAAAGGTGACATTATATCTCAGGTTTGTTAAAAAATATATAGTTTTAGAGATTGAAGTAAAAAGATCTCATTCCGTTTTTTGTAAGCAGTAAGTGCAATTTGTAAAGCAGTAACAAGGAAATTAGTACTCCGCTTGATTACCCGAGTGAGCCAGTGGTTTACAGTAATTGTTAACTAATAGCAGGACATGACGATTTATAGCAAGCAGTAATAGCTATCCAGTCAGGAGCTTTTCACTGCCCATTCATCAGCGGACGCAAGCATGGCATTCAGGTCGCGTCGTTAGCCTCATTACCGCAACAGCCTCGGCCAAACAAGCACCTTATCTCCATTTAGTCGACCTTCGACGAAACGTTTTTGTCAGTCTCATTATTGCTTAAATCAAGGGCCACTCAGCCAAGGCCACACTTGCAATGGTAGGCCTCCAGTTACCAGCTCTTGCTGGATCCACCAGAGTGAACGGCGTTATATTGAGCATACGTTACGGCGCATATAACAATTAACTCGATGCCCCATAATAATTGTATGAATGTTTATTATTGGGTGGGAGGGGGGAGCTCATGATTTGATTCAAGATTTTTAATTTCATCTCGTTTTTATGTCTCGTTTGTATAATTAGGTTCACATGATTCGCATAAATATAACATCATCTAATTGCATACATTGTAAATATTAAATTCCAGCATGCAGGATAAGTTGCATGTATTGTGAGCATAAGAATCGATTTTAGTTGAAAAATCAATGCAATGTTGCGCAGTGAGCGTTGCAGACTTGACGTAAATGACAGAAACCCACCCAACTTTCCCACAGCTCTACATTATGCCGTAGCAGCTGCACAAATTAAACCAGCTCGCATTACAGTAATATTATTTTACATGTTACATTAATTCGATTCTACTTTACATGGCCCATTGGACAGTGCAATTTGAATTAAGTTATATCTTGTTTAAACTTATATCCACTCTGTTCTATTTATAGCCGGGTCGTTTTGCCAAGCTGCCCGTTGCCGATGACCTATAACCCTCAAAACCCATGCGGTGGACAGAACTCACCCCAGCTCTGGAAGTCCCAGTGCAGCTCCAGGTAGAAATTTCCAAGCTGCAAATACAAGGAGCAGGTTACATGCCATGGGTGAGGTCAGCTCTTTCATCAATGCCAAGGCAAGCATTCTTTCTTGCCACAAAGGCACTTTTTGTACTTCAGTTTATGAAACAATCCATGACGTCTCACCTGCTGATAGTATAATCCAACCCTTCTGAGAGTGGAGTTGTAACGTGTGGCAGTGTGGACTCGCCCTGAAGAAAGGAGAGTTGAGTAAAATCTCTCCCCGAAACTGGTTGGTGGTGTTTGGCGCCCGAAGATCCAAGCCGGCACTTAGTGCCAAGTAGTGTTTGAAACAATGAATACTGCATCATCATAAGACCTACTTTGCCAGTACCAAAATAAAATAATAGGATTTTTACCCTTTTTTCTGGCAACAAAACTGAAACCTTTTTACAAGGAATCATGTGTGCATTAACCACAATACTTGTGGTCAAAATGCAAACAAAAAACACTCTGATAATATGTGCATTGTCCTTGAAACTGATTGGTCCACACCAGACATAGCTTTCTTTTGAGCCTGCACACATGATTCCTTGTATAAAAGGTTTCAATTTTGTTGCCAGAAAAAAAGGGGAAAAACCCTATTATTATATTTTGGTACTGGCAAAGGAGGTCTTATGATGTAGATGCTTACCCTAAGCCCTCATTACTTTGATAGTGCATTGTCTTTAAGCTGTACGCCTTTTGGCGTTATCTGGTCTAGCACCAATTGAGACGAGGCTCAAAAGAAAGCCGTAATTAATACTGCATCGCATCCACGCAAGTTTCATAATTTAAAATGTTTAACCTTTCACGAGAACTTTCAAACGTGTTTAACATTACAACTAGAACAAGAGAAATATCCCTTATTCTAATAACGTTGAACGATAACAGATGAGCGTTGTAACGATTCACCCCCACCACCTTCCCTCCCCACTATGAACTTCCAGTGGCTGCAGCTGTCAAGTCAAACCATTACATAATTTGTATGTATGCGTAATATACATGCAAACATTAAGCCCCCCCAGCCTCCTCTGGCCTTCACACCAGCTTGGTTCACAAGTGACGACGTCACATTTATCATTCTATTTAATAACGAAACAGTAGGAGGATTTCTCCACAAATCTGGCTGTCCGTCTGATGATGCTAGTTGTAATTACTGGCGAAACGTCGTAATCGAATTGTAAATGTTGTGGGTTTACTCTCCAACACACCGATCGGTGTGCTGTACGAGTAACGAATTGCCATATTTTGTTTATGTGACAAACCTTACTAATTGGTTATGTCGGGTGGTGGCGAGTTTAACGACACATGTATATTAAACGCGATCTAACCAAAAAAATCTCTATTATGAACCCATTATATACAACATATACAAATGAACAACATTGATTCTTACCCACAAAATTTGATGCATGTAATATGAGATAAAGAACTGATTTACATCGATAAACCAATGCATCATTACACCCGTAATGCTTATCAATTATATATATGGAGTGGGGTGAAAAGCAATAAGGAAACAAAAAATCATGAGGATTTTATTTCAGGGAAAATAAGTCAGCAGGAATGTAATGAATCACTTGTTACAACAACGTTAACCTCACCTCAATATACCAGTGTCAGTATATAACAATAAATTATTTACATCTGATGCAAATTTTAAACAAATGTTCCCTAAAGATAATTTAATGAAAAGGAACAAACTAAACAGGAACAATGGGACAAAAAATAAACCTTGGATTAAAGTGTGACCCTTCATCTCAGTGTGTCGGAGGGGTGCCTCACTCACCATGTGTGGCCCTTTTGTCAGTTTACTGCTCGATAACCGCCTCTCCATGCAGTGAAGATTTTACGACCATACTTCACTACCCTGGTCAGTGCGGGTTGGTGAAGAGCATACGACAGTAAAATTCGAGATTTTGCTCCACTGCCCTCGACTGCCCACTAGCTAACTCCACAGCCCTATGATGACCTGGTTTGTGCATGGTGGTCACCCATCCAAGAACCAAACACGCTCAACGCCGCTTAAATTCCGATATCCGAGAAGATCAGGTGCATTGGTGGGCAATTCGGTCACAGGCATTGAGTGAATCGTTACCCTCCACAGTAATCACGTGTTCACAATCTGTAGGACGTGAACATCTCGGCAAGACCAGGGCTACGACACTCGTGTCTTCCGTCTCGTCACATCCACCTTTGACGAGGACAAAGCGCCACTCACCTCCCGGAGCGCTTTCAGCAGGCGAGGCCGCTTCTCTTCCACGTGCTCACGCGACTGCTGCTTCAACTTCCTCAGCAGCGTCGTGACTGTGGGCGCACGCAAGCGTCGCACAAACATGCGCATCAGTTCGCAAGCGAGCGGCCCGCCACCTTGCCTAAAAAACCTCAGCCACCCATGTCGATGTGTCATGACAGTCAGGGCTTCATTTCTTGCTGAATATTTTTCCGGGTCGCTGGTAAAAACCAGAAGATGTCACGTGACTAGTTTTGTTGTTGTTGTTGCTGCTTGAATAATCCCTTGACATGGAACATCTCGTTTGCAAGGGTGTCAATTGTAGTAGCCACAGCCATACCAAGAGGATTACTACTGGTAGGAGCCACCTGGTTACACCAGCCCACAGGGGATTATTGTGTCCGTCCGTCGTGCATTCAAAAATGGGAGGTTGGAGAGGGGAGCGTGGGGAGGGGCTGGGTGGGGAGGGTGGGGAGGGGCTGGGCTGGGTGGGGAGGGGAGGGTGGGGAGGGGTTGGGTGGGGAGGGTGGGGCGTGGGGCTGGGTAGGGAGGGGCTGGTCACCCCGTGGTGCCCTTATAAAACTCAACGTTTAACCTACTCATGCCGGCTTGTTGCCGCCCTCACAGTCGGCCATATTTGCGAAATACACCATGCCGCCGTTGACCCTGGCCATTGACCGAGCAACCCAACGTGCCTACCAGCTCCCTCCGCAGGAATGTGTTAAATGTGGTGTGCCGGGTGCGGAAACATTTTCTGGATTGCTGTCTCAGAGAGACCTGGCTAAATTTAAACCTGAGACATGGATCCCAAGGATAAAGGTCAATTATACCTACCGCAATCAAATAATGACATAGAACGAACAGAAGGATTTCTTAAGATTCATAACAAGGTGAGAGGTTGTTCAAATGTCAACTTTCTCTTTAAAAAGGGAGACCTGTGTAAAAAGAACTGTTAGCAACTTCTTCGGAAAAAAATTGCAAATTGTTAGGAAAAAAGTAGAAATGCTTATAAATGAATAATTATATTTACATGAATCACTAGACCCATTAACACCACGGTAATTAAGACATACTTACAGCAATGATAGCTGGCTAAGTGGTGCTGTGGAAAAAGCACTTGATTTGCAATCAGAGTTCAAATCCAGGCCAGAGGTTTTGACTCGGCTCATTTTACCTCTGGGAATGATGAAAAGACTACCACTGTGGTATAAACAAAAGTCACCCTAATGAAAGACTGGACACCGTCGTAGAAATGTGAAATGTTCACCAATGGCACAGGGATGACAACACAGCTAAGCATAGAACCACATTCATTTTAGCAAGAAATCGTTTTGCGTGACCTTTTGAATGATAAAATACGAACGCTTTATCTTTAAACGGTGTAAATGCTAGCAATAGGTTTGATTTTATGTGCCCTGCTTTTATAAATACATATTTGGTCTAAACATGGGCATTCCAACGAAACGCAGAAAGATGAACACACGCATTAGATAACACACACAACATAGCTACATCAAATTTATGGTTAAGAAAAGTTACATTGAAAAGCTTGGCCAGAACACGTGGCTAAAAGGGAGGATAGCAAATGGACAATACCGATGACAGACAGCAAAGGTTGGAAAGCGCCAGAGAGATCGACCACAACGGAGATGGGGCCACAGGATTAGGTCGTGTGCAGCAGCAAGATAGACTGTTGCATCGCAGGACTGTGACAGATGGCGATAACATGGGGAGACCTACATACAGCAGTTGATAGAATAACAGTTGATGATGATGATGGTGAAATAACAGCACGCACAAAAATAACCATTGGCACCGGGGGACTGTTCAAAGAGGGGCGCTTACTCATCTGCCGGTCTCCGTAGCTGATTGCCTCGGCGAGGGGGCTCCATCCCTGGGCATTCTTCACCTTCACGGGGGCATTGTGGGCTAGCAGCAGGTGAGCACATTCTGTGGAACAAGTACAGGAGGTTATGGGCACAAAAGACAAATATCCCCCATACAGCTGTCACATACTGTTGGGGCAAGTGTTGTTAGCGAGCACCTATGAAGGCCAGTACGGCACACGAGGGGGTTGGTGGCCAGCAGCACGACCTACATCCTTTGTCTCCCTGGTTGCGATGTTTACACACCGCACCAGGTACTCATTTGAGGCTGAGTCGACCTAGGGGAGGCTCAGGACTGGTTGAAATAATTGTCACTGGTGTTGGCCGTGAGTGGGAATTGAACTTAGGTGCCCGGGTTCAGAGAGCAGCACGCAAACCGCTACACTACTTGCCCTCTCTTAAGAGCACAGACACTTGGCTACACGCAGTACGGAGGCTTGAGTTTCTTCGATCCGACAAAATCATCCTCAGATGCCTCAATACAATCAAATACTCCTTGAATGTATCCAGAAGCTAAGCAAAGTACAATCCTGTTTAGTAGATTGATGGGAAAAGGATTGGAGATTAACACTAGGCATAGTGGCTCACACCTGTAATCCAATGATCAATGTCAGTGACAACTGCCATCAAGTGTATTTTGTATCGTAGCTTTTACGGTGATGGCAGCCTGTGTTCCAGTGTATGATCGTGTGGACATAAAGCAAAGGGTTGTGCTCCAGCACTTTACAGACAAGTATTGGTGGTATAATGTATATTTCTGAAACTCCAAAACTCTCTGGGCTGTGAGGTGGCCAGGAGCTAGCAGTCCAGGAATGGACCATCGAATCGTGCAGAGCTCTATAAGTTATGCTGTCACATGTATGTTTTCTCCAGGCACTCTGATTACGTTTCATATATAAACACAATAATTTATAAAATTGGCCAAGCATTCCGATGCAGGGCCCTACTGAAAAAAAACGGTCTCAAGTCTAGGCGAGGCTTTCCTGGGTAAAGACCATTATTATAGACAATACGCATTTGTGGTTTAACACCGTGCACCATACTAGCTACTCCACGTCTTAATTACAACCTTGAAGTTTTTTTAATTGAATCTAATTATAAAGAGAACAAGGAACTCTATAAAATTGGTCAATTACATGTGCTCAACAAAATCACTCTCCTTCGATTAAACAACCTAATTTGAAGGTAAAACATGGTTTTGTGCTAACTGCAGGACAACTTAAAATAGATCTCAGGGCAAATCTATACTTAAATGTACACTATTGAAGTATAGAAAGTTATTAATTGGCTGTTCACTGCATGCGCGGCCTAACGCTATACATCTCCCCGGAAGAACTGTTTATTATTATTTATGTTTTATTCCTCAGCAAGGCAAAGCCAAGCTTCTAGTGACAGAATTATTCTGACATCAAGTTGACCCCAACCAGACAGGGTTATTTGCAGGGCACGTCCACTGCCATAAAATTAATTCAGAGAAACTGGAGACACTTGCAAAACACAATGTCTCAATTTCACTGCTCTTGGCACACTGGAGTAAGAAAAACATCTTAAACATAACATTTAACACAGAAATAATTTAAGGGGACTTGAGTATGACTGCAGTACAATGTTTTTTAACGCACTTTAATACAATTAGGATTTGTAAATGTTTGTATTTTTCGTGAAACCATAAAACAGAAATCTACTGCAGCACTATCTATTAAAAACATGACAATATTTTATTCGAATAGAAATCTACACTTCCTAAATTACTTATTTATTTCCATCGTATTTTGCAGCCTGATAGCAACAAAACAAATGCATTAACACTTCACTGCACGCGTGAATGACGCTACCTAACACTGCCTGCAGCTGAATTACACGGAACTTGAAACAGATGGGAATCCTGGTGCAGACATCAAGCCGTTTTCAGGATATCAACAAAACATGACGCACGCTGGACTGCAGTTAAGAGATAAGAGGGGTAAGCCACCTCCTCCGTTATCTAAGCAGAGCCCACAAGGCTTCAAGACACTTGTCAAAGCCTTGGCACTTCACATGCAAAAAGCAACCACTCACTTGGTGCACTATAACATATCTAAGTTGTATTAATGAACCACCCTGTTAATTAGAAACGTAATACCAAATGATGAAACCTAAAGATGCAATGAATGGTTAGATATTTGAACAGATTAAAGTTAAATTGCTGCCGATGGAGAATTATACACTTGCAAGGGTATGCACATTCCACTGGTATTTAACCACTGAGTGGTCTCGGCACTGCCTTATAATTATACGAGCATGCATTTCGTGGTCTGCACTGTGTGTGAAATAAAGATCAGCATGAGTCATCCTGCCAGGATAGATATTTAAAAGCAGACAAAATAAAATACAGGTGGTTTCCAGTTTACTATGGTCCAATTTACAACGATCCTCATTTACGATGTCTATATAATGCCACAATGCGATTGCTTTGACAGAAACTTGGTTTATGACGCATCTTCCGACACGACTCTCGAACACACATGAATAGAGTCAGTCTGTCTTCTTGGTTCTTTCGGTAAAGTCACGTAGAAGGGAAGTAATAAAATAATAAAAATAAAACATAATAAAATAATTCTCACGACGTTTCGGCCACAACGCAAGCAGCCGTCCTCAGGTGAAACCAGGTCTGTCGAGGCGACAGCGTCTGAATGTGGCCGAAACGTCGTGAGAATTATTTTATTGTTTTATTTTTATTATTTTATTACTTCCCTTCTACGTGACTTTACCGAAAGAACCAAGAAGATGAATCCCTGCAGTCACGAAAGCTTTAAATCGAGAGTCAGTCTGGTTTCCGATGTGACTTGGCGTGGAGTGTTTGCTATTCTCAAGTGTTTTTGTGGATATTTACCTACTAAACCCTGTCAAAAATGGCCGATAAAAGGAAACACACATCGGCAAGTAATGTTTCGACTGTTTCTACTGTCTATGGGATAACACGGTCCGATTTACGATTTATGACAGGGTTTCCAGGAACGAATTGTGTCGAAAAAAGTCGGGACCGCCGTATATGGTAAACGAGAACGTGCGATTGGTTACCAATGGCATCATTGTTTGCAGTAACGCACGCTTTCATCAATCCACTCTCAAATGCGAGGTTAGCAGGGGCGAATTAAATTGTGTGGCTTTAACGCCAATTTCTGAGCATTCACCATGTTTCCCAGAGCACGTCTAAAACTGCACCAGTGGCGCGATTGAATTCCTTGGGAGATGGGTATTGATCTCAGGAGAAAGAGGAACTGGTAAGGCGGTAATGGAAAAGAAGAATTTGGGACATGGGCTGCAAAAAAGATTAGGCCTCATTTTAAATTCACACCCCACATTAAAAATGTAATGAAGTTTTTTTTATTCTAATATTTAAATCCATTTGTAGGCAGCGCATTAGGGGTTGAGCAAAGTGTCTGTTGCACTACATGCATGACCTTTGCATTGCAGGTATAATCAATTCAAAATGCTACACCAAAAAGTCTAAATATATATTTTTTAAAGATATACACGATCATTGCATAAATGTTTGCAATGTAATGTAGACAGACCATTTTTGTTAATTTACTGAAAAATAATAGAATATTCGTTTAGGAAGGCAATTGTTATCTTTTACCAATGCATATAATATAATTATTTAAATAAATAGTGCATCTAAATATAGAAGCACCTGCAGATACAGAACGATCCACACGTTTTCGGTTATAGATGCAATAAAAAATACAACAAAATAACAAAAAGAAAATCCTAAATTGTAAGTATCACTTTGCGGGCAATCGACTATTGTTGTCCTATGGATATAATTCCCTATGCAATAGGAATGTGGAATTTCAATCACTAATGCAGGACTGCGCATTGGGATCCTAGGATGGAATGCGCATTATCAATTTGAATTATTATTAATGCAAATGAGTACTACCTCATGCACTTGGTAAAGGTGTTTAACTGAAGGGCACATGCCATCGAGCAAGTGAATGTCCTTCTTAAAGGTGGTTTTACTCATTAAACAAGCAGTACTGAAAATCTTACCAGTGCCATACAACTGCATATTTTATTAGTTTAGAAATCAATATGACTGCAAGGGTTTACGGGTGTACAGAAACGGACGTTTGTGGGCACTTATTGAGGCCCACATCATAAACTGAAGTGAATCAGGAAAGAGACCAGCTATTAACACAATACAATGTCACGGGGCATTATGCACTTACCTTTATGTCCAAGCATCACAGCTAAATGCAGGGGGGTGTTACCTGTGGAAATGACAAAATGCATACATTTAAAAGCATATCAAACAATGAGCACACGTGAAAAAAGTTGATGCAACGATTGGCAATGACTTCCACACAGCGTTGCACTTAAAGGGCTAAATAATATGTACTAAGAGCCAGCTGTTTTGTGTTCTTGCTCATTAACTATATATAAGTACAATTCACATTTCCAGAGTAACATAAATAAACCACAAAGCAGTTAGCAATAAAACACTATGCTTTATGAAATATACTTCTGATCAATTATGTCATGAAATGTATTTAAAGTACTATAAACCACATTGCTGGAGCATGGCGTGAACTGTTTTGTGTTCCTTGGTCATGATGAAACCATGGCCAAAGTAATAAATCTTAATTTTCTACGGTCTACCTCCACAATTCGATACCTGGAGTACCCTAACAACCAATTGTGTGTACTGTGGAACCTCTTAATCTGGTTGGTACAATTCCAAAAAAACATTACAATTCTGGCACACTGCTGCTAAAGCATGCCTGGACAGGACGTCAACTGAGAGAATATTAAATCTTGCATTAAGTCAACTAGTCACAAGTATTTAAAACAAAATGGAAATCGGATTACTCCTCAAAGGCTGTTTTAATAATCATGTTCTGAAGCTGCACGCAGACTAACACTTACTGCCAGCCAGAACAAGAAGCCATTTCACAAGTTGAGTCATTTTTAGTGGAGTCACATGGCTCCAATTAAGTCATCATCACCTGAGCACGGCAGCTGTACGGCCAAGGGTAGTCACTCTTCGCTGACCCTCACACTGAAATGGTTTGAAAATGCGACTTCACCATTAAAAATGCACGGTTTGTTAATATTTACCAAGAGCCTCTTGTGTGATCGATTTAAATTAAATGTTCAAGGGCATGGTCCTGTTACCGGCTGGCATTAAAGCCAAGACGTCTCACGTGGCCCGAATGAGAATACCACACCTCTTCCTCTGCTCATCATCTCAGCGTTACGTACGGCACGTCGGACGCAGAGTACGTATATGGCATTACCTCATCGCAGCCGCCCAATCCATTAACCCTACACGAGCGCAGCAAGCACCAGGGGAGCCATTCATCTGACTTTTGGTGATAATGTGCCAACGTCTCCATCACTAACAATGCGGCAAATTGCCAAGGCGATGTGTTTCATCCGTTTTTTCGAAGATGTTTGACACGGCCAGAGAGATTAAAACGTGCAAAGCCAAAACACAGCATTGGGGAGGAATCACAACATGAATAATGATTGTTTCTGATAGAGTATAGTGCCCTTAAAACTGGGCATCTCAGTGCTTCAAACACGATAAGCGACTTTACCGCACATCTCATACATTTCAAAGGGCATCCCCAGTGGCAGCTGTCCCTGGTATGCCAGCAGGCATTAGTCTGCCAAAAGGGCACAACGCTTGCTAAGTGTAATACCAATTACATTATTTGTATGGAAATTTCTAACTGGCCTAAATTGGACATGAAACCAAACCACAATGGCCTACTCATCTTCTTGGTTCTTTCGGTAAAGTCACGTAGAAGGAAAATAATAAAATAATAAAAATAAAACATAATAAAATACAATTCTCAGTGAGAACATAATAAAATACAATTCTCAGTGAGAATTGTATTTTATTATGTTTTATTTTTATTATTTTTATTATTTCCCTTATACGTGACTTTACCGAAAGAACCAAGAAGATTAATCCCTGCAATCACGAAAGCTTTAAATCGAAAAATGGCCTACTCGTTTCGGATTAATGTACACTGTGAAGCACACAATGCATTTTATGCGATCCTAACCAGGGTGACCCTGCCACATTTGAATCGCAAACATCTGCAGCAAGAGGTCAACACGTGACTGTTGGGCCATGTCACAACCCCAAGTGGTAGTGAAGTACACAAACCCACCAAACTCGAGCCCTGCTATCCCTAATCAACTAGCCAAGGAGGCATGACTTGCCCTAGTGCTGCCCCTTCGCCTACCCCAAAACCCAAATTGTTCTGCATTACGAGGACCCCATTTCACTTTTTGTTGTCCACAGTACCATACAGAAAACAATAAAACATATTATATCTACATGCACCAGAAAGACCCACTCATCTGCAAGCGGAGGAATCTTCACACTGCAATTACCTCATGCTGTTGGCTAGGTGTAATGGCTAGGCAGGCACAGGCTGCCCTTTGAATCATGTGACAATTAACTTGTATGAAAACATCTTGAATGTGGCCGAGTTAAGTATTGTGTGTAGGGCTTATTTTCTTTTTTTTCTGGGCGCATTACATAATACTGGTCGCGAAAGCCTACGTGTTAAACCGCATTACATGTGTCTCAACATGTGCTGACTTTCTGAGCTCTGCTTTAGCCCCCCTCCCAGGGGCAATCTTGGACCATGCGAAGGGCAGCAGAGCTACAGGGAAGTGGTGTGCTTTGCTATAACAGGAACAGCCTTTTGATAACTAACAATGCACATACAGCATCATCGCGTTAATTAAACACGGTCACTGTGGAAGGATGACAGCATCGATCGTGATGCACATTGCTTTGTTGCGGTGCTGATTTACGCCCATGCCAACAGGCCAGACACAGCTAGTGTTAGGGTTAAAGGTTATTCCTAACCCTAATTTCTTGACTCTCGAAATTCTGTTATCATCCAAACTCCCTTAATGTAACACCATGACCCCAAACTCCTAATTTAAAACGTATTACCCCGACCCTAACTCTACTCTCTGACCTCTGCCCTATCCCTTATCATGCTTTCTCAAGCCTGATTCCATAACCCTAATCACATTTCCCAGCCCTGAATCTATTTACTCAATTACCGCAATCTTGGCCCTATAACCATAACCACAAGGCCCTAGGCCCGAGCTCCTAATCCTAAATCACTGTTCTCAACTCTGACCCCATAACCCTAAACCCCACTGCTGCATCCCTAAATGTACCCCACTGATCTCATCCCTGACCCTATAACTATAACCACAAAACCCAAAGTGCTCTCAATGCCGATTCCACAACCGTAACCGCAGCTCTGAACCCTTAGCCCACGTATCTCAATCCTCGTCCTATAACCACAATCAGAAGACTCAAGTTACGAACTCCAAAACCTTACGGGGCTGATCACAACCAGTCACCCTATAACCATAACCACAAGACATTGATCCCAAAGTCCTTACCATAACGGACTGATCTCAACTCTGCCCCTATAACCACACCGACCCCGGCTGATGCCAAACCACGACCGCCTCGACCCGTGGCCCCAGGCCCCGCTGCTCACCGTGGGCATCCTTCTGCGCGATGTTGTGCGTGCGGATGAGCATCGAGAGACGACGAAGATCCCCGCGGAAGACGCTCTCGTGGACCGGGCAGGGGCCCCCCGGCAGGGCCACCCCGTGCGCCGAGGGCACGCGGGCCTCCCAACGACCCACCACTCCTCCTCCTCCACCACCACCTCCACCACCAACAACACCGCCCGCATGCTGATCCTGCTGGTGGTTGTATTGCTGCTGGTGATTCTGTTGTTGCTGGTCAAGATGTTCGAGGTGGTTGTGCTGCTGCTGCTGGTTGTTGTGCTGTTGTTGCTGCTGCTGATTGTTGTGCTGTTGCTGCTGCTGCAGCAGCAGCAGCTGTTGTTGTTGTTGCTGGTGATTGTTGTGCTGCTGCTGCTGCAGCTGCAACTGCTGCTGCTGCTTGGCAGCCAGGACCTGCAGCTGGAGCTGGGCCGGAGCGCGGCCCTCCGCCTCGGCCTGCGCCCGCGCCCCGTTTGGAAGCGCCGAGCGCCGCAGGACGCAGTGGCCCGCGGGGCCCCCTGGCTTCTCGCCGGTCATGGCATCGTCGAGACCCAGGGCTCCCACCAGCAGCAGCAGCAACAGCACCGCGGGCAAGCGAGCGAGCTCAGCTAAAGCGGGAGGGAATTAGTTTCGGGAACAGCGGCGCGGTGAGCGGCGTGCGGAACGCGCGGGTCGCCGTCTTCTGCTTCTTCTTCTCCCCGCGAGCGCCTCCAGCATCACGACCCCCGGTGCGGGAGACGCGAGATTCGGGACCCTTCGCTCGACATCGTCGAAATTAACAAAACGCCCTGGAGGCGCCCGAGCCGAACGCGGGATGTTGTTGATGTCCTCGGAGATCCACCCTGAGGGCAAATTGTTGATTTGAAAGTCAAGGGAGAGAGTGCGAGGCGGCGTTTGCGCATGCGCAGTGAGGTGCACCGGAGTGTGGCGCGCGCGCGCGCGCGTTTGCGCCTCCACGCGGTGCAGTTCGGAGAGGGTGGGCGAGGAGGGGCGGGGCGAGGAGGGTAGGGGCGGGGCGATGGGGGGAGGGGCAAGAAGAGGTTGGGGTGGGGCGAGAAGGGGCGGGGCGAAGAGAATAGAGGCGGGGCGAGGAGGGTAGGGGCGGGGCGATGGGGGGTTGATGAGGGGCGGGGTGAGGAGAATAGGGACGGGGCGAGGAGAATAGAGGCGGGGCGAGGAGGATAGGGGCGCGGCGAGGAGGATAGGGGCGGGGCGAGGAGGATAGGGGCGGGGCGAGGAGGGTAGGGGCGGGGCGATGGGGGGTTGATGAGGGGCGGGGCGAGGAGAATAGAGGCGGGGCGAGGAGGATATGGGCGTGGCCAGGAGGGGCGGAGCGAGGATAGGGGCGGGGCTGTGTGAGAGGGGAGCTGTTGGAATGGGTGGGGGTGTAACGATCCCGCTTGGCAATTCGATTGCAAGAATCGATTCTCCTGCCTCCGTTTTACCATCTCGTTTCTATTGTTTGTCATATATTTAACAATAGACTATACAGCTGTGTGCGATCCATTCGTGAGCGAGCACAGCAGAGGAAGTGGCTTCATGAACACCAGCATCCTTAGAGAAAGAAGCGCTATATAATATAATCATATATGTAAATACACGTTATCAATTGTTTTGAGGTGTGTAATTTAGATTCCAATTCATAATTTAATGCAATTCCAAGTTTAAAAAATGTCACGTCATTTAGATATTGCCCGTATTCATAATCAGGCATGCAAGTTTCAGACGTCGCACAAACACATGGAAACAAGCACTCCGTTTTTGTCTATTACACACAAACCACCAGTTCCTGAAGAACTGCATTGTGATCCTTTTTTCTTAGGCCATCCCACAATATAAATTTGTGCAATTATGGTCCCCCCGCCCGCACTATATTTCTGTTGAGATGGGTGTTTCTCGTCATTTACAAGTTTTAACAATCGTGCGTCACTCGTGTTTTATGTTGTGGTGATTTGCTGCCTCTCGTGGCCCCATGGGTCACTTGAACCCATTGCATCTCCAGAATATCTAAATCACCTCAAGCCTCCCATTGGTCACGTGACTTGCGTGTGGCCACCCCCACTCTGAGCCCCGCCCCTCTCCCCGCCCCCTTTGAAAACAGCCGCCGCTTCATCCAGCTCACTTCCTTCTCTATCTTGTTCATCCCCTCTCATCATCACCACCCTCTCATCCACAACATCTGGGCACGATCATTCCTTCACCCCCCACCTCCTCTTTCCTGCCTGAGGCTCCTTTATTCCTGCTGCTCATCTTGAGCCGTGGCCTCTTTGTCCGTCCTGTGGACCTCTGTCCTGGCATCTCTTTCCTGTTCCTTTGTCCCTTTTCCGTACAATACATCCTTGATTCTCTTGCCCGTGGTGTGCCACAGGGAGAAAAAAAAGTTTATTCATACACGAAACAAAAAACAAACAATCGACGTTCACGCTATTCGATGCAGGCAACGTCAGGGAATGTTCACAGTTTAACCTCAGATTATGAATGCGATGTAAAAGTTTTAAGAGTGCCAAGCATCCAACAAAGTTCCATATGTTGAGTGAGTGTATCTGTTGGTAGACCTTATTTTATCGGGTGAAACCCCATTGGGACTTCAAGCCTCTTTCAATGAACATCTCTGTCTAAAAGTGACAACCCATATGTAGTATAGTAAACAAAATTACATACAATATAAGACAAATTATCGACATGTAATTAAGACCTTCCTATTCACGCCTGTTGGTTATGGGGGTTGTACGACAATCATTCACGGTAGTCAGCGTAGGATCCTTCGACAATGATTTTAACCGTGGCCAAGAATTGAGTTCAGGGGGCAGAATTCATTGCGCAATCAATACGCTAACCGCTGCACCACCGTTCCATTCCAGCACAAAGTAACGGGGAGAAAAGTCAATTGTGTGCGTAGAGTGTAATATAATTCACGCAAGGGCTTTAGGGTGGGTTCGCATTTGCATGGTGTGAGCAGCTTACACACAAAGCACATCTCCACAATAAACAGTCTATGTGTCCCATCAGGGGATCTTCATTCCACTGTGCTCTCAGAGCCACAGCCCTTGCCAGAGAATTCTAAAAACTCCCACATTGCTGCTTCGTGCACATTGTGCTTACTGGGGCTTTACGCTCGCATCCCCGAAGCCATGGAGACCGATGACCTCATTCCATTCCCAGACCACTCATGGTTGAAAGTTTTCCCCCTTTGATGATGTCTCAATGAAAATCAAATTAAGAAATTAAGTTGGGGGGCGGGGGGGGTGGTGGAAATCCACGATATTAAGTTTCATTCACTGTACTCCAAAACATTCGAGGGCTTTTCACTTGACTACGGCTTCACACACACACAGATGATTGTGGCCACACAAAAGGGGCCCCCCCTCTCTCTCTTTCTTGGCTGTGAACTTTGCATCGCGTCCGTATCCCGGCACGATGTTGTACAAATATTTACCGGTACACTACATACAGCCCACACTTGCCCAGACAGCGGGACAAGTGTACAGAACGCTGCAAGTTTGTACGGTGTGTTGGGCAGAAGGATCGGTGTGGAGATATAACAAGCTTGGGCCACAGAAAGCATACACCACCCAACACGCAAGTCCATGACCAAATGTAAGTTTTGTCTTGCTTGGGTAGAAATGTTGTACTGTCGAGTGCTTTAAAAAAATATATATGTTCTGATCTAATTTGTGTATGTTAATAAAACCAGTATTCTCTTTATGATTGCGAAAGATCTTTGGACGGGGACGGCGAGTGATTAGAGTGGTGAAATATATACTTTTCTACAAAGTATGCATATCATGACCAGAGGAAGTTGTGGCTTTCCCGCAAAGAGCATTCAAACTATGCTACATCGTTTTCATTTTATCTTATATATAGTTTGTAGCGATAATGCCGTATGAGCGAAGTGCAAAACACTACTATTCCGTGAAGTGAATAGTGTATTTGAATTTTATTGTTTCAATTCTAACCCTTGTGTCACACGAGTGCGCGTGTTCCTGTCATACGTTCATTTAGCCTTCTACAAGTCCCATGTCCACCTTCCTAGCAGCGTGCCAACTCGCACGACTTAGTTTGTCTTATACTGTAAACATACTTTTCTTTTTTAAAGACACTCATTGTGTTAACTGTTCCAGGAAATTGCACGCTTTGAGGGAGTCCTGTTTCCACGATGCGTCTCTTGGACAAGGTAATTTGAAGTGGCCCCCCTTTCTTACACGCTCAATGCACATCACGTGAGGCAGAGTACATTGATCCGTCCATGGTGACCTCAGTTTATCCTAAAAGCAGCGAGTTTTTTTTTTACACACTGATGTAAAGACTTTTGAAAAACCTGGAATCTATTACTTTTGCTGGAGGGTAGTAGCTGCTGCATAAATACTACCAGTAGATTTCCTGGATTTTTTTGTTGTGCATAGTCACTTTAAGATGTTTCTTGTTCATGTTTTTGTTTATTGCGGTTGCACCCGATTCAAGAGCCGAATGGCTCACAGGGCTATACTGTACCTAATAAATGAACTGAACAAGAGCTGCATAAGAATGCTGTTGAAAGTGCTACATTGCAAACCGGTAAACATTTTCCATCGCATTGGCAAGTTAGCTTTCCATGGTTGTGCTGTATAGATCTGATGTGTTTTTCGGGTTATGCCGCATCTTGCTCGGCATTGTGGCCGATGTTTCGCTCCACGTGCTGGGAGCTTTTTCAGTTTGGGAGCCTCTTCAGGAACTAAAGGAGGTCTCAGCACTTGGAGCAAAACGTCGGACATCACGCGGAATAACACGCCGCACAGTCCGAAAACACACTGTAGAGAGATATTTTCCATTAACATTGAATTGTCCTGCCATGTATTTCTAGCCTTTTTAATTACCATGTTATGTTACATTTTGGAAACTGTTTACGAATGAAGAATTCTTTCCAGGGATGCATGCACGCCCATGAAATGCACTAGCATGGAATCCCAAAGGCCAAACTGCCAAAGGGCATAAAAGCTAATTTTGCTTCATGACAAGATCAGAGGCACACCCGAGGCGGGGGTGAGGGGGATAACAAATTACCCGTAAAAACAAAGTTTTTCACTATAAATCCTTTATATGCGTGGCGGCTAGAGTCCTCTCGACCTCTGGCTTGAGATGGCTGCCACCTATGGGTCAGATGAATGGCTGCCACCATTAAGCAATTGGTAATTAAAATAATTTATTTTTTCCTAAAAAGTGTAAAAAATAAATAACGAAAATACATTGTCACGTACAACGAGTCTGTGTGCAAAATGTCAGCTCGATTGGATCACGGGAAGTGGGTTAAAAAACGACCGAAAGATTTGCACGGTTGTAAGCAAGCAAGCAAGTGAATCTTCTTGGTTCTTTCGGTAAAGTCACGTAGAAGGGAAGTAATAAAATAATAAAAATAAAACATAATAAAATAAAATAATTCTCACGACGTTTCGGCTACAACGCAAGCAGCCGTCTTCAGGTGAAGAATGAGACACTACCAAGCTAGGAGCTTAAGCTAGGAACCAAGAAGATGGATCCCTGCAGTCACGAAAGCTTTAAATCGAAATCAAGCAAGTGAACTTAACATAAAGGATTTAAAAACGACAGTTGCCTCGGCCCACCTGACATTTTTAAACAACCATTGTTTACATAATGTAAAATTAAAAAAAAAGATAATTCTCGATGTACATCTCATTTTATAACATTTAATAACTTTGGGAAATGTACTTATAATTTGGTGCTCTTCGTAGAAAAAAATGTTCTGCCTCTGAAACGTTTAGCTGGGTGCGCCACTGACAACGGTGATGATGACGACGATAATGGTAATGTGTGATGATGATGGTTGTGGTGTCCCATTTCACCGCAACCGCCACAGCTTTTGCAGGCGAGGGTGCAGGCCCCGCTGGAGGAGCTGGAGTACCTGGACGTATCTGACGCACACGTGGGCAAGTGTCAGCACTGCGTACTCGCCACGGTCACACAGCTCCCGACACAAACTCAACGACGCAAGGACCGGCCTCGAGCCACCGTAACCATCCACGCGCCACAGGCCCTCAGACAGGTTGCGTGCGGCTTATAACTGCCGCGAATGCCACAAAGAGCCTCTTGTGTGGTTCACATTAAGTCTGTTGACCCACATTTGATGTAAGCAATATGAGAATATAAAAAAAGAACAATCATACAATGGCATATTTTGAGAATTAACGTGCCAGTTGAGGTTAATTCCCTGCATTTAATAAGCCTCAATCAAAGCAAGGCTCGATGCTACGTGAAGCCACCGTTGGCTGCATGCTTAAATTTCCTGGTGAGTTGGACAGATTCCAGTTGACGAGTATTGAGCCAGAGCACACTGGCAGCATAGCATAAACCTAATGCCACCAACGTTGTGGTAATTATTCAGCTGGGCAGGACGTTGGCAGAGCTTTCGACTTACCATTGGAAAGTTGAGAGTTGAAATTCTGGTGGGGTGGGGGGTTGGAGTCAATTCAGCCTGTCGTACCCGATAACCACAGTACATCGTAGTGGGAATGTCAGCAGTGGTTTAACTTTCCTGGGTATAATCTTAGCCCCCGTCATGGGAATGTGCAATTTTCACGACTGGTTTTGGAGCCCGCAATGGATATGAGCATCGTGAAATGGTTGTTTGAGTGGGATTCATACAATATCGACGGAAATATCGTGTGGGGTTTCGAGTCACCTGTGCACTCATCAATATCAGGGCCCTCAAATAGCGTTAGACTTCCAGGGAGGATATTTTAAGGTTGCATTCTAATATATTATCAGTACTATAAAGGGCTCTATATACACAAACCTACAACTATGATTTCAGTTTCATAGCGACTACATGCAACGACACCTCTCGATACTTTACAAGATTAAAGAATTACATTAGGGGCAGAAGACGGGGGGGGGGGGGGGGGGTCCAGGCAGGGAAACATGGAATATGGGAGGGCAACACTGTGTTACATCCCAGGATTGAAAAAAACGATTACATATTTTTTTATTTTACCAAGTAAGGCCCACTGAGCCATATAGTTCTTTTTCAGAAGCGACCTGGACACAAATGATAGCTCAACCAAGTGGCTTATCATGTGGAAATGTATAGCAGTCAAATACTAGATAAGCATGTTTCTAAATATAGAGGGCAAAGCCGGAAGAGCCGGAGAAAAATCCACACGACCCCTGTGAGAACATGCAAACTCCAAATATACAGGTGTTAGGGTAGGGATGCGAACCCACAACCTCCTGTATACCAGGTGAGGTAGTTAACATCTCGCCACCGTGGCAACTGGGGCTCAACGTCAACAACAACGACGAGCTCTAACAACAGCCTTGGAGAGCACCAATACGTCCCAGGCCATTCTTGGGGGCCGGGGCCCCGAATTAATGAGTCCCAGGTCAGTTTCAGGTGAGAGGCGTGGTGCCAGATATAACAAAGACTTTATAGTTAACTCCCACGCAGGTGACATCACTCGTGCGCGTTTTATAACAGAGACGCATGAGAACCAGACACTTGCCGAAAATAATTGTATACATGCTGTTCGGGAGTGTCTTTGATATCTCTGTGCCCTTGAGCAATCGTCTTGGAATTTTAGCCAGTAAGATTACGCTTTCCTACCACAAAACGAGGATGACCTAATGCATGTTTACTTTACAAAAAACATTAGATAAGGCATTCCTTGAACTTAGGAATCCTGTTCTGGAAAATCTGACATTGATTTATAATGGCAGCATTTTGGCCACTCATTGACATAGTTCACGTCACAGATTTCTGAAGCGGCATTTTTGTTTCACCGACTTCTGTAAATTCTTCTGTCAAATCTAGATTTTGCAGACAGTTGGTCGTGCAATATATATACAGGCATAAAGAGGCATCGCCACTCATGCATATGATGCAAATGTACAAAATACAAATTGCATTTATAAGTCGCATAATTGTGGTCACATATGAAGTCGGGGGTAAGGGAGGGGGGCATACACATCAAAGGGACCAAGACATTAGAAAGCTTAACATAATTTATTCAAATGGAACTGTTGTAGGAGAGTGGTACAGAGCAATGCGGGGGGGGGGGGGGGTGATGGTATTGCTGAAAACACCGACCAGAGACCGGCGATATCAGAATTAAAATATTTATCCTGGAGGAATCTGCTGAGCTATGCTATGAAGCTCTTTATCACAGATGTCCAGGAGGGCTGGGGTCAGCAGCTTACCACCTCGCTTTGCATTGTGGGGGTGGGTGGCGTGCAGGTTGGCTGGAGGAGCTGGGTAAGTGTCCCAACGTGCAAGTGCTGCTTGCGAGAGGCAATGCCCTGCGGGACCTCGACTCGCTGAGTCGCTGCTCACGGCTGTGGCACCTGGACCTGCAAAACAACCAGGCACGTGACAGCCAAGCCTCGCACTGAGCTGCACGGCTCAATATTATGATTTCTTCCATTGCGTCTCATTGCAATTCCCGGAAATTAATGTGCGTCTTCCAGTTTTTAATAATAATAATGTAATTTAATAATAATGGTTTTGACAAGTAAATACCATTTTTGTCAATGCACGGATGTATGAGAGCCTCAATGCACCGTTCGGGTCATGGTGGTTATTTTACTGCACGGTGTCCGTGCCCTTTCAGCTCCCGTACTCTCCCCACTGGATGTCATCACTGGATTATAATTGTGAACCACCACACCCAGCTTTCATCCCACCGACGCGTCTACGTGTGTGTACGTGTGTGTACGTGCAGCTTGAGTGCGTGGCCGGCCTGGGCGTGTTCGTGGCGCTGGGAAGCCTCGACTTGTCCGGAAACCTTCTGCAGTGGCAGAGTCTGCATGACCTCCGACCTCTGCACGTCCTGAACTTGCGGCTCCACGGGAACCCGGCTCTGCAGCGCGACCCTCACTGTGGGTTCACGCGGTGGCGGGCAGCCCCACAATTTCAGAGCAATCGCCGCCAGCTATAAATTAAACTTGAGCAACTGTGGTAACTTAGCACGGCAATGACCAAGAGCCACAGAGTCTGCTGAAAGGTGTGTTTGAGGACGATGGTTGATCGATACAGAGTGCTGCGCGCAATCTTGGGTACTTTGAAATCTCTGTGATCTGATTGAAGGTTGCCGCCCGAGTTACCCATTGCTGCAGATTTGAGAAAACTTTTATTGTTATTGTAAGGCAACCACAGGCAACTTAGAAAAGTTGGGCTCAACTCATGAAACAAAAGTCACGTACAATCATATCGCCAAATCAAACATGTGCTGGATGGACATCCCTTGAAAACACAACATAGTATTTGTACAGTTATGCATTTACGCCTCTACGACAATTATTGAAGGCAGATCCGTAACAAAATGTAGAACCGTGAGGTTGATCGTGCAGAGCTGCGTTCCCCGCAGACCGTGTCCACGCCGTGGACTCCCTGCCGCGCGTCTGGTCTCTGGACGGCCTCCTCGCGACGTCGACCGAGCGCCTACGCGTGGAGCAGTACGTTCAGGACGCAGCCCTGAGCCCGCGGCCCATCGTGAGTCCGCTGCCACCCATCGTCGGCGAGTCGAACCTCGCAGGGGTCGAATGCTCGCGGTCTCGAGGTGCCCTCGGAGCCTCGATTTCCCCAAAACGATGTCGCCGTCGCCCACAAGGCCCTTCCCACACGCCAGCCAGCTGCTGCTGTGGTCGCCAATGGCCTCAAGTCGCCCTTGATTTGGAAAGTTACATCTTAGTTTGCATGGATCCTTCACAAGCTGGCCCATGAATTGTTAGCGACAAGACACCGAAACAGAGCCTGGCAGCGAGGTGGTCGTCTCGCATGCGTAAGGTGACGCCGTATGTCGTGTTGGATATTCGTCACTGCCGCTGCGTTCCGATGGCTTTGCCGTGCCTCTGTAGTTTTGACTGATGTGGAGAATGAAAGCCTCTAGACCAGTGGTTATTAACCTTTACTGCAGCCTTGCACCCCTTTGGTTCTCAATCGTAAAACAAAGTATATTGTTAGTAAATACACAGGGTTTGATGAAACAGAGTAGTTGTACTTACGTGCCCGTGTTTAATTTGTGTTTCTACGATTTACCTTCTAAAAAAATCTGTCCATGTCTCGCACCCCCAGAAAGGGCATCTCGCACACCCAGGGGGTTCGTGCACCCCAGGTTAAGAACCACTGCTCTAGACTCTATGGGCAAACACCTCTGCATTTATCAACTAAAGCTGAACAATTTACAACAACAAACAAAAAACCCTCTAGATTTAACAAGACAAAAAAACGTACAAAAAACATGTACATCTTTTAAAACTGAAGAGTTTGAAAACAAACCATCTGTAAACTTCTCAGACCTCTTAATGAGGAGACACTGCATGTCATGTGTGATGCCGCCCTCCTAGAGACGGAAGTTTTCCAGGATGGAGATCTTTGTACCATCGTCCCGTCACAACCTCATGCAGACGTGCAGCTATGGCGAACGGGTACGCGAGAGATTTGGAGATACGTGAAAATTGTTGCTAGAGTATTTCACATTTCACAAATGACGCTATTTCAAATGTGACCGACTATCCGTCCGTCCGTCTTAAAAGCTGATGACGTACAGCATGTAGGTAACAGCCTTTCACACCGAGGGGAATGTTTTATATTCTTAGGTTTTTTCGGTAAAGTCACGTAGGTAAAAATTAAAATTAAATTACTTGATACAGCTATCGTGCTGTGACGGTTCCACCTGAAGACGGAAGCTTGTGTTGCCTTCGAAACGTCGTGATTTTTATTTTATTTTAATTTTACTTTTATTAATTTAAATTTAAATTTTTTACCTACGTGACTTTACCGAAAAAAACCTAAGAATATGAATCCTTGCAGTCACGAAAGCTTCAAATCGGGAATGTTTTAATCTGCCGTTGTGTTTGTGCAGGAGGATGTGCGAGGCTTGGCCATTGATGAGAGTGCCATGCTCATGCCACTCGACGAACACGTGTTTGTCCAGGCAAATTATTGACACATGATCAAACACGCCTGTAGAGAGACACCCACCTACGTCCTTCGCTCAGCACACACACTCCCCAATTCGTCTTAGCCTGTCACTCTTTTACACAGCTCTTAGTTGGGCTTTGACGTTTACCTTTGGTGCGATGTCTTTTTTTATACCAAGATTTAACCTTCACCGTACGGCGGATACCGGTGATTATTGCCTTTTTGAAGTTCACTAGATTTTTTCTTTCAGACGCTTCACTTCATGCGAAGATTTCCCTTGGAGGAGCCACACAACGTGGGTGAGACTCCATCCCTTGGTTTGTGCCGCGAAATTACAGCCCTAAATCCACTTGACGGCCCAAATGGGCCGTGAATTTATAAGAAAAATATAATTATGGGTACGTACTGTATGTTGAACTTCTTTCGCACCGTACGTAGCCAGCCGTGCTAATCGGAGATGCAGGGGGAAGAACAACAAACTAAACACACACAGACGCTGTCTCCCCGACAGACCTGTCTTCACCTGAGGACGGCTGCTTGCGTTGTGGCCGAAACGTCGTGAGAATAATATTATTATGTTGTATTTTTATTATTTTATTATTTCCATTCTACGTGACTTTACCGAAAGAACCAAGAAGACACACAAAACAATACACTGCTAGATGAAGGCCTCCCCAATGCGCCGCCACCTCCCACGATGTAATAATATAATCCACCGGGCCCCTGAAATTATTTAATTGCTACATATCCTCGGTAGACATTCACAAATATTGAGCTCAGATCATTACAACAAATATATAAAAGAACGCATCAGCGTCATTGACGCTATTTATATACATGTAATTGTAACGAGTCTATTAAATTAAGTGCTTCATTCGCGCAAGGGTGAATGCAATTAGGTTATTGCGGGTTTGTTCATCGCATCATGTTTGTGGGCACGTGACGCACCCAAAAATAGTTTCGGTTTGCGGGCTCATCGCGGGCTGCCACCGCAACCACTGCCAAGGTGTTTCGCTGTGATGTGACCACCAACTTAGCGTTTAGTTCAGAACAAAAAAACGATTTACGGTGGGTGGTTTGTTGCTCATTTTGAAGGGAAAAAAACTTGACTGGGAATACACGTTTCATGTTTTGAGACAAAAGCGGCGGGGAGGGGAAATAGAGGGCTTGGGTTTGGAAAATATTTGGAGTAGGCTTTGACCGATAATTGCAACAAATTCAAGGGAAATGGTGGGCGGTGGAGGGGGGGGGGCCTTCAACACGGAGGCCGTGACAGCCAGGGCCAGAAGAGAAAGAGTACCCGACGGTGCAGTAAGTTCCATTTACGGCACCGTTAAATCCTCGCGGATTTAGAATTTTAACGTTGGTTCTAAACATAATAAATATAGAAAGTTAAGTGACTCTGCTGGCAATGGTGTAACCAATACAAGTACAACAAGAATTCACAAACTTCAACGTAGGTGCTTGCCCTATAATTGAAATAAATGTAAAATGCCAATGTTTTCGGCCGAAATATATAATCGGGCAACGTTTTGAGCAGTAGCAGTAGGTGTCCCGAGAGAGGAACAATATCCGAAACAATTGCCTCAAGTATATTCGTCTGTTTTCGTGAAATGTTCATCGTGAAGGGGTGGTATTTTTAATTAGTTAAATGGGTGGAAAAATAAGTGTGGCAGGCGTGCGGATGTGTGTTCATCCGTATGTGAGTGCGTGTGTGTGTGGAGCGGTGTGCCCTCGTGGTTCGGACACTGTACTACCAACCCGACGACCCGGGTTTGATTCCCAAACATGAATGAGCCCCATTGGCAAGTCCTATCAAAACATGTGTTGGGCCTCCCCTAGGTGAACCTAGCCATAAATGAGTACTTGGTAGAGTTCATAAATATCGCCAGTCGTCAGGGGCCAGGCACGGTGCTGGCCACACCACAGAGGTCGCAACCGGGTACCCGATACCCGTACCCTACCCGATACCCGGCTACCCGTACCCGGCCGGGTACAGGTACCCGTTTGCGACCCTGGTGCGGCCGGGTACGGATAAGGAATCAAAACCCGTTTGCGACCTCTGCCACACCACTCCTCGTATGCTATGCTGGCCTTAGTAGTATATGCATGCTGACAGCACTTATCTGAATAATCTGTATGTGGGATATTTATCTTCTGTGTGTGTGCGTCTGTGCCGGCTTTTGATGTCCCAAAGGTCTGGATCAACGCCGTCTCTCCTATCTGGCCTACACGGCGCAGGGGCAGACGCAGCTCGAGTGGCGCAGCGTGCAGGGGTGAGACCTCTGGACATTGAAGGAGCGAGACCTCGGTGCTGGAGGTGTCCTTCCCGCAAGCTGCAGTGCCCCAGTGATCGATGCTCGCCTAACAAAACCTTAATTTCGCCCTGGGTAAAAGCCGCTGCGGCATGGGAAAAACCATCCACGGTTGGACAAAGCGTGCGTGTGATAGGTGGGGAGCGGTAGCGTAGCGCGCTGCGCTATAAACCCGGCGATCCGGGTTTGATTCCCGCTCACGGCCAACACCGCCAGTGACGATTATCTGAACTGATCCCGGGCCTCCTCTAGGTCGACTCATGCCTCAAATGAGTACCTGGTGCGGTGTGTAAACATAGCCACTGGGAAGATAAAGGCGGTCGGGTGTGGTGCTGGCCACCCACCCCCTCGTGTACCGTTCCGGCCTTCATAGGTGCTCGCTAACAGCACTTGCCCCTACAGTCTGTTAATGCTATACGGGAGATCTTTGCCTTGTGTCATAGGTGACTGCAAGATGATCATCCACTCGGTAATGATTACCTACAACGCAAGATGGAAATGTGTAATGGGAATAATGCATTTGTGGAATAATAGCGATACCACTGGACTGACGAGGAGAGCCGTGGCCAGACAAGTCTCGGTCGAAAACTAAACACCACGATAAGAGGCACAGATGTCCTCACAGAGAAGATCCACAGGACACACACGTGCGCGCGCGCTCCCAAAACGGAGGGCCCAGTGAGCGATGTCGTGCAACGTGCCGACACACACCGAAGCATGCCCATCGGACCTTCCCATTGTAACATTTGCACGATCCCCGTAATTGTATACAAGCTCTAAATCGGCTTGAACTTATCACAAAGCGGGAGTCTGAGATTGTGTCGTAAGAACAAAGGTCCACAGTGACCGTCCCTCCTGCCCCTCATCGCCCCCCCCCCACCAGCTCCCCACCGGCTCACTTGACGTGCCCCCTTCTTCCCCACAGTCACAGTGAATGCCGCCCCCCCCCCCCCCGCCGACGCCGCCGCCTTCCACAACCCCACTTGTCTCAGGGGCACCCTGGCTAATCATGCGTGCTGCGCTGGGCAGTAGAGCGTGCACGCGCTGTTGTGGCCGTTTGCTGACACAGCTGGTAAAAGTGCTCTCTTTTTTTCTCTCTCTCTCTTTCGCCCACCCCCACCACCCACCACCACCCCCCCAAAAAGTGGCTTTTGTTAGCCACAAATCTGTTGCAGTGCAAAGTTCAAAGGTCAATCTTTTGCATTCGTTAAAAAAAGCCACAAGAATGTAGTACGCGCGTATAAAATAACGAGTTAGTTTTTTTTTTACATTTTCCGAAATTACAAAAAGCTCGCAGAAGCCGACGTGTGCAGTCCGCTGTGTCCTCGGCAAAACTGGGAGCGGGCAAGCGCTGCCTGGCTCTGTCTTTGATTTCCTCTAATTATTCCCCGGCCACGGACTCGCACGCTGTCGCTCATCGTTCTGGGAGGAGCGGGGCGTCTCGGTTTCACTTCGGTGAACGTGACATGCTCGTCCGTGCCAGCGCCGCCCCGTCCTTGAGCGCCAACCTGCGCAGGACAACTTCCCGAATTGCTCTTCCCGTATTCGTTGCAGGGAACGCTTGGGCATCGACGTGACCGGCGCGCTCGAAAGCCTGGTCCACGAGGGACACAAGGAGCAGGAGAGACGCGGCACGCTGCTGGTGCTGCTCACGGTGAGGCTTGCTGAGCCTCGTGTAGGAATGCACCAGCAGGGACGTGTCCCACAAGCTACCTGGTCTGGTCACACCTGCTGTGGGACATTGTCAGAAAAGGAGCTGGACCAGAGAGAATCTTAGCTGCGTGCACATTTGGCAGCACAAAGGGGCCTCTATAAACATTACGTCTTCACTTGTGGATTTAAACATGCCTGTGTCCTTCGGTAGTAGAGAAAACAAAAACACAATGCACAAAAGCCTGCGTGTGAGGGTAATTCATGCATTACAAACGCAGGTCGCACGCCACACTAAGCAGGAAAAATCCCCTACCCACTGTCATTACTCCCCGAGTGACAAAGTAACAACATCACTATTAGCTGGTTTAACACGTAGTAGGCTTTCGCGACCAATATTATTCACAATAAAGGTTTTGGGTTCGATCGCATTATTTATAAATGTGTCGCAACCCCCCACCACCCGACACGGCCAATCAGTAAAAAAAAGTGTCACGTTGACAAAAGACAACTAGTTCACTACGATTCGATTTAAAGCTTTCGTGACTGCAGGGATTCATCTTCTTGATTCTTTCGGTAAAGTCACGTAGAAGGGAAGTAATAAAATAATAAAAATAAATATAAATTATGTTTTATTTTTATTATTTTATTACTTCCCTTCTACGTGACTTTACCGAAAGAACCAAGAAGATAGTTAACTACGATTAGCCATTCTCTACCCACTGTTGAGTGACAGCATCCCTCCCCGGTCAATTCTAGACACGTACAGCTGTATTTCATCTCTCCCCCCCCCACGCACACTCCCCCCCCACCCCGTTCCACTAACGTGTCCCCAAGAGGCAATAATGCAATTCACGCCGTGCACTGTGTTTAATGTGCAGGCTGCCCTGGAGTTCCGTCTGCCGTGCACTCTGGTCCAGCAGGCCCTCCGGGCCACGGGGCTCAGCCACATCAGGTCAGGAACTCGTGGTTTTGTAAGATGCGAGCCTGGGCGACTTGCAACCTCACCATGAGACCCAAGGGCTCCTGGAATTTACACCGAGAACATTGCGAGTGTCGTAAAAAAAATAAGCAGGCACATGTTTTACACCGATCATAAGTCACACGCACGAGGAGGATAATAATAACAATAGTTCTTTATTTATCCAGCAAAGCCTCAATGAGCCTCCAGATTATTTTTTCAGGGTGTTCCTGAACTGGGATGTTTGGCCAACCCCCTAAATAAATGCTTTGCACGCGGAGGAAACTGAAGTGCCTCGAGAAAAACCCACCGTGCGCGTACGAGGAGACGCGTGTTCTGAAACCAAATGCGTGAGATGTCTCAGCCCTGTTGCACAGGCGCCACTCTTGCGGGGGAGGGGGTGGGGGATGTGGTGTTCAGTTGTCACCTGTCCTGGTTTTATATAATCATCATGAGGTAGCAGCTCTCTTGGGAAATCTGTAAGTGGGGCAATAACATTCCCAATTTTTTTTAAAAATCAGTTGCTGAATGATAACAATACACCACTCAAAATGATACATTTATCTTCTTGCTTCTTTCGGTAAAGTCACATAGAAGGGAAATAATAAAATAATAAAAATAAAACATAATAAAATAATTCTCACGACGTTTCGGCCACAACGCAAGCAGCCGTCCTCAGGTGAAGACCAGGTCTGTTGGGGAGACAGCGTCTGAAGACAGCGTCTGAAATTTCAGATGCTGTCTCCCCGACAGACCTGGTCTTCACCTGAGGACGGCTGCTTGCGTTGTGGCCGAAACGTCGTGAGAATTATTTTATTATGTTTTATTTTTATTATTTTATTACTTCCCTTCTACGTGACTTTACCGAAAGAACCAAGAAGATGAATCCCTGCAGTCACGAAAGCTTTAAATCGAAAAATGATACATTTACATGCAGTTCTGCCCGCTTCAAGTTTTGTGACGTATTCCTCTCTCTATAATTTGACCCGAGCGTGGCAACACCTGCGTGGCACACCTGCGTGCGTTTGCTTCTGATGGCGCAGGGAAATGGACACGAGCGAACTGCTGCGACTTCCACGCAAGGTCCAGTTGCGGGTGGCCAGTCTGCTGCTCAGCGCCGTCCATCTGGGCCGCGACGCTGGCCAGGTAGAGCGGCGACTCGGCTGCTTCTGCGCTAAAAGCGGCGAACGACGAGATGGGTTTGCGCCACTGCCTGTTGCGTTCGCCTCCTTTCGCGTGTGGCAGACGACGGTGGGACCACGTGACGACATGCTGCACCTCGCCCTCTACTACGTACTCGCTGGAATCGCGTGCCCCAAAGCTGTCGGCTCGAGGAACGGGCGGCGGTCTGATGCGCGGTATGCGGCGCCGCTCACCACGCGCCAGCTGGTGTCTTATTCTTGTTGCCGAACTCCGTGCCTCTGCCAAAAGAGTGTCCTTTCGTAAGCTGCGCAGTTTAGGAGCGTAGCCTGCTGAGCAGCTGCAAGTTGCTCTTGTGCAATCATGTCAGGAAATGTATTGCGGCAAAACAAATAGTAAACATCTTCTGTCGTCCAGTAACAACTTCAACATTTGCTCCTTTATTGCTGCCGTCTAATGGATTTCATGTTGCCCCCCTAATTGCGTGCGGGCAACAAACGATGGGGAATATTATTTTGTTTTGTGCAACGTACTTGTTTGACAGCGTGGCGATGGCGCAACACCTGGCCATCCTGGCAGCGGAGGCCTGCCCCCTGCTCTGCACGGCCCCCGTCTTCTTCACCCTCCTGGGGCTTGGCACCGGTGGGAGCGGCGGCGACGCCGGATTGGAGCGGCTGCTGCGTGTGGCCACAGGAGACCCGGCCGTGTTCACCACCCTGGCTCAGCTCCTCTGCCAAACGTGGGCTGACCATGATCGGGTGGGTGGGTGCGGTGGTGTAGCTATTGATCACGCAAGGTGTTGTTACACTTTGGAACCACGGGCCGGTAGGGCCCAGGCACCAGACTACGAAAAAAAATTATCGGTGGGGGGGGGGGGGGCATTTCATTCCTTGCACCGGGGCCCATACCAACCACGCTTCACAACTGGGTGGGTGGCTCAGGCTGGAAGCTATCGCTCCATTCCCATAGGAATGCGGATTTTCTAACTGCCAACGTGCGCTACCAGCTTGGTGAGCACTGCACGCGACTCGTTTGACCATGGGGACACTTTTATTTGAGGCCATCGTCGTTCGTTGAGCTAGAAATAAAAGAAGGCCCTGGAGGACCCAGTAGAATGGCGGTGGCCGTGTCAACGAGCACAGCCGGAACCACGCATGGAAAAATTGGACGGATAAAGGTGGGGTGAATGAGAGTAAGTGAGTGATGGTGCTGGGGTTAGGGCTGTCGATGGCTGCAGCACTGTTAGATCAGTAGTCAATACTCTCCAGCAGCGGAACTGCTGAACCATCAGCAGTTCCACTGCTGGTTAATTTTTTCCACCTGAGGACGACCGTTTGTGTTGCGATCGAAACGTCGTGATATATTCTTTTTTGTTTTAATTTTTGTTTACCTACGTGACTTTACTGAAAGAACCAAAGAGTATGGATTCCTGCAATCAAGATAGATCGGTAGCGTTTTACACTACATTGCCTGGCAAGGTCCAGCGAGCATTGTTCACACTGTAATTCACATCCCTTTGTAAAGGCACTTCTTGGCGAAGGCCTTCCGATGCTAAGTCAGTCAGGGTGCTTGTTTGACCATACTTCATCAAACCGATCAGCGCAGGTTGGTGAAGGGGGTTCCCAGGGTCCAGTTTCAATATCGCTCGGTCCTGATTTTCGCCGTGGCCGAGAATTCCACTCATGTCGCCAGGTTTATATGGCATGGGAACCGAACCACGGTGCCACCATTCCACCCTCTCCGATCATCGCTACGCGTCCGCTAATCGGCGGTTTCACCCTTCTCCCCCGGCAGGCCGACTCCGCAGATCCTCACGTCCGTGCGTCGAACTTCCTCCTCGGGAAGCTGTGGAGTGGCTGCCTCCCGCGCTGTTCCAACCCGGGCGCTCGACACATCAACCCGCACTGCGTGCTGGTGGTGCGTCCCACAGCAGCGTGCACGCTCAGTTGTTACGTGTGTACGCTGTATGTTACGTAAGAATACTTAGCAGTTGGACCAAACATCATCATGTAGAAACGCTTACGATAAGACAGCCTTGCCTCCATGGTGACCGCATGTTGACCGCCGCAGTGAGTGTACAGCGAGAGAGCCAACCTTATAAACATGAACATCGCCACGTGCACACAAGCAGAATGTTGAGGTAAGAACTGTGAGCGGTCGCCAAGGTGCACGAGGAGGTGGTGTGGACAGCACGATGTCTTTCCCTGCCCAGTGCCGCTCTTTACGCATCCAGGCACTCATTTGGGGCTTGGCTGAGGGCAGGTGCAGGTACCAATTGCTGCTGACGACGCCATCCGTTTCCCAAATCGCAGCACTCGTACCACCGCGCCACTACTTTATTCACTCATTGCATTGTCACACAAAAATGTCAGGTACAGGCATATACGCGGACAAAGTCTGGCATCTGCAAAGAGTCCTGGATAGGTGACACGATAAAAATGCCACGCGCGCGTGCGTGTGTGTGTGCGCGTGTGTGTGTGTGCGTGTGTGTGCGTGCGTGTGCGTGCGTGTGTGTGCGCGCGTGTGTGTGTGTGCGTGTGTGTGCGTGTGTGTGTGCGCGTGTGTGTGCGTGTGTGTGTGTGAGTGTGTGCGTGCGTGTGTGTGTGCGCGCGTGTGTGTGTGCGCGTGCGTGTGTGTGTGCGTGTGTGTGCGTGCGTGTGCGTGCGTGTGTGTGCGCGCGTGTGTGTGCGTGTGTGTGTGTGAGTGTGTGCGTGCGTGTGTGTGCGCGTGCGTGTGTGTGCGTGCGTGTGTGTGCGTGTGTGTGTGCGCGTGTGTGTGTGCGCGTGTGTGCGTGTGTGTGCGTGCGTGTGTGTGCGTGTGTGTGTGCGTGTGTGTGTGCGCGTGCGTGTGCGTGTGTGTACGTGCGTGTGTGTGTGTGCGCGCGTGTGTGTGCGTGTGGCACATTCGCCCCTGGCACCTGCGTCTGCGTCGCATCATCCGCTACGTTTTTTGTCTCCAGACGGGGAAAGCTCTGCCCAGGAGGCCACTATCCGGCGTCCTTCGCTCCACCGAGACGCTGCACATGGGGTGAGCTGCTGCTCCTCGCCGTATCGAGTTCAGCTCGGTAGTTGATGCTGCACCGCGTTGCAGAGGGTTGATGATTGTACCGATGAGACCTCACACGGATGAAACTGGTGCACAGTTCTGGCACTGTCTTGCTGCTGCCGCTGCTGCCTAAAATAATACGGCCACGATTTTTGACTTTTCGTCTCAAACAAGGCTGTGTGCATTACACATGGAGTATGATAATGTCATGTGACGTGCAAAGTATGATGCCAGCACCGAGTCAGTGGTCACGAGTCTGGATGCCGCCTTTTGCGTGGAATATTATTGCTCGCGTTTGTCTTCCAGGCCACACACACTTTTTTGTCGGATGAGTTTCTCATCAGTTACAGAAAGTTGTCGGGATTGGTGTAATGGTGCAAGGGGCTATCCATTTAGTAGGTCCGCAAAAATCTGCCAAAACTTAACCCCTCCCTCCTCCTTGTACGCACGCGGACTTTTTACACCCCCCCCCCCCCACCTGCGTACGTACGCCTAACGCACCCCCCCCCCCTCCAAATCCTATAGAACGGCCGATATTTAATCCACGCAGAAACGATCAAGGATGAATAATATTAACGTGTTGAAACAAACAAATAGTCCACCGCCGGACGATCTAACTCATTTGAAGGCCAATGCAGACAAATTATTATCGAGGCTTTACCCCCCCCGCCCCCGTTTCTTATGCGTACATTGTCAGTAGACCCCCCCATACGCAAGCGTACGCATTTGGGTTAACCCTCCCTACGTACTAAATGTATGGCCCCTAAGGCTGTACACTGCACTCTGCCCTCACGACTACACACAACCAAGCCACAAGGTGGCAGTGCACACCAGATCCCAAAAGGGAAGCCCTCCTGGGTTTGCGGAGCAACCTCAGCCCCTGTGAATACCTAAAGTGAAACGTGAACCAGAAATAAAAAAGGGCACCAGGGCAAAGCCCCCAGGGTTAGGATTAGGTCCAGTGAAAGGGTTAATACTCGTTGGATAGTTAATTCGTGTTAGGGGTTGTCACGCAGCGACGCGTCAATTAAGCGATAGAAATTATTTCTTGCGCTCGCTTTCATGCATCAAAAAGTGCATGGGAGAATCGATATATTTAGGCAAATTATATTCAAATGACACGACGGAGTGTACAAAACCGTACAAAAATATGTAATTTTGTTGGACATTATACAAACAAAAAAGTCAAAATAAGCGTTTGGATGCTGAGTGAGGGGTCTGGTCAATGCTGGGCTAGCCAGTGAGGCCCTGCCTCCAAACCATTGCTCCTCTTCATTGCCCTCTCAGTCTTTGGCTACTTCTTGTCTCTGGTTTTCATAGCCAGCACCTTTCTTAAGTGCTCCACTGATGCCGCAGGGCTACTTTACCGTAGGCCATGGATTACCACGTGCAACTTGGCGATGTTGGTGGGGGCGGTGAGGAGTCCAGTCCACTCGCCCAACTAAACATCTCATCCCCAGGCGCAATGCCAATGTTTCAACTTCGCTAAGTACCCCACCCCCTACCCCCTACCTCGGTCGCTCATTCTAAAGACACCGTCGCCGTTCCCTTATTAGACTGGTCTATGCCTCCCTGATCTATTGAGGCATAACGCTGCGGGGCAGAGACTGCAAAGTAACTATTCCAGGCCATGAGATCGCGTCTCTGAAAGCTCGCGACACCGATTTTTTTTTTATATTTACCCACACAAAGCCGCGGCGGCGATTAGGCACGGAATCTCACGATGAATCAAGGACCAGTAAATGCCGGCTACTGGACAAATAAGACAGAAAATGGCATCAAGATTGCTCCTGTCCAGAAAACGAGACCGCACTTAGAGTCATTAAAAGATTAAAAGGAAATGTCGCAGAGGGCGGACATGCATTTGCGCACACACACACACCCATCATCGTCTAACACCCATGTTCCACTGTGGAAATACACCGCCGCATGCACATGCCGCATAGACACTGGGGATAGTGAGAAACTGGTCAGTATTAAAGTCTCATAAATCACCAACCACATCACCTTTTTATCATTCTGTTTGTTTAGTTATAAATTGTTGTTGAACAAAACAAAAACAAACTACTGCCAGTGAAAGTTTACGTAACTAAAAATGCAAAACCATGGTACTTAAGTGATGAAGAAAACAAAATATTTCAGCGTTATGACTTCTACCCATTGACTGGCATGGCTCAAACTTGCAGAGCCAGCCTAAGGCACCGAGGATAATGTCTGGGAAAGAGGAGGGAAAACAAACTGCCCCGTTGTGGCACAATAAACAAGGTGCATTTCAGAATTGCCAGGCCGATCCTTGTGGAACAGTTTTCTGTTTGTATGAATGGTGAGTTGGTGGTTCAGTGTAGACCATTTCTCCTCTCCTCTTGTGAGTGGCTAAATAAAATAAAATAAAAACGGCTAAAGTTTGTGCCTCCGCGGATTTCTAATGGCCGCGTTAATCGGGTCGTGCAATCTTGCCTTGCCCATGTGTGTTCTCTGATGTAACGGGTTACTCTGGCTGATCCCCAGCCATGGCAGGACATATGCTCTCAATTCTTAAAGTCAACACGCACACACCAGCACAGGGGACCAACAGCTGCATACAAAACCCAAAAAAAAAATCATGGCCCAAGTTTCAGGCCCAGTTTTCGGCGTGGCCACCACCGACCGCGAACCACATTTAGGCGACGGTGGTACCGCGATCGAGCTGCTAAGGCGGCCTCGGCGAGGCTCCTCGTCTGCACCGCTGAGAAAACGGGCCCGGCAGTCAACCTTCTGGGACTGTTCAGCTATGCATTGGGTCCAGGATTTCCGAACAAATCTCACAACATATCCCTTTCATCCGCCGGCGCATGACGCAGACCTCTCAGAACAGGGTTCGGCAAAGGGCGTAGGGAAAAGAAAGACAACCGTGGCAACAACAAAAAAAGGTTGCTGTTTTTTTACTGTAAGGAAATCCACTGGGCCACTCATGGCGCCGTTTTAAAACGCAATTGCCCACTCCGCATGCCGCCAATGGCGTATTTGAGCAGTTTGCAGATCATGAAGATTGAATATGATTCAAACAAAACATGGAAATTATATATTTTCTTTGGTTTTATCCACTTTTATGCAGGCTATTTTTAAAAGAGTAGTACCAATGATTGTTATCGTTCTAATATCACGATTATGTATTTCAAGTGACTTTTGTTCACGACCGCTAAAGCCGCTGCATGCCGCCGCAAGCACTGCGGATGAATTCTCGATAATGAATCTTCTCTGTTTTTATTTCTTTTGTTATTTTAATTCCATGATAAGCTCATTCTGGGTGCATGACCTTGACAGCTGGTGAGGCTTAATCTGCCTCGGCAAGGTCACGTGACCTGGCCTCCCAGATTCCTGGTCCGAGCTCTCTTATTTGGCCGCCCTGTCCCAGCATCCGTGGCCAGGCAGCCAGGAGTCGTAGTCGCTGCACATTCCCCTTATTCAGCAACTGGCTCATGAAGGTCTCCACGCGCTCATGATCATATTTCGCCACATTGGTCAGTGCGGGTTGGTTAAGGGGGGGGGGGGGTACCCAGCGTGTTTCAGATATATTACTCACCACTGATGTTAGCCATGACCGGGAATTTAACTCAGGTTGCCGTGTTTATAGCACGGTGCATTAACCACTCCACTACCTTTCCAACCCCCATGGCCGGGCATGTCACTGTTATTCAATTCAAGAATAGATTCATTGTTGTGTTAAGTTTTCTCCACCTTGCAAGTTTTTCTTCTGCCAAGTTTTTACTCACTCCATTAGCCCACATGTAACATTCACATGTCATACATCGTAAATAATAGATTCTCAAGAGCACGATTCGATGTCTGTATCATCAGCGTAAAGAATGTGCGTTTTTTAAAATAAATTCAACGAATCGATGCATCGTTATACGGCACCTCCCAGTTCTCCTAGTCCAGCGGGAATCCATCTTTGCTGAGCGGCGAGATGATCACTCACCAGGCTCGCAGCCACTTGTGCCGTCCAATCCCCCCACGCCCACCCATAACCCCGTTATCTCGAGTCATCGGCGCAGACGAGGTGATGTACAACAGAACATGTCAGCTCATCAGCATCTTCGGGACCAACGCAGTAGCCACCTTTGTTATGGCCATCATTGTTATCATCATGGCCCCGGTGATCTGACCTCCAATGACATTGTAGGTGACACTTCGTGAAACACTCCGTTGGTGTCCCTCCTGTTACATTAATTCGGTTATCCGCTTTTCTTTGAACATCACTTCAACACAACTGGGATTCATATAGCATTCTAAATATACGCTTCTCAAGTATATAAAACTGCCCCTTTTGTAAGTCCACTGCTAGATGAGTTTGTTTGACCGTACGTCACCATGCTGATCAGTGAAGGTCGGTGAAGTTGGAAGAGGGAGCAGGACCCATTCATATATCACCACTGCAGTCTGCAATGCTTGCGAATCGAACTCAGTTGACCAGGTTCGCTATATGATACGTATGAGTCGCCCATAGGCACCAGAGAAGTGACAGGTCTTGAGCCTGGACTTGAACAGGGGCACGGATTCAGCAGCACGGGCGGCTGGGGTAACGGAGCCATAAAACGCGGCACCCTGCACAGCCGGGGGGGTGGGGGGGGGTCGCTGGGCTCTGCTTGGCGAGCAGCTGATCGGCGTCAGCGAGTGCCGTCACCCCCGGGCCCGAGAGTCGCGGAGCAGGAGGTGAAGTCATTGTTTTAGTTGGGAGCTCAACGCACGCCGATCCGATTTCCTCCGGGATCATCCCCGTGCAGACGCTGCCTTCCCAGCTGCCGCACGGCCAGCTCACGCACAGGCTCGGAGCGGGAAAGAGCAGTCCTGCCTCCGTTTCCGTCCCTCGCAACCGGACGGGATAATTGTCTCGAGGTTGAAGAAGAACAACACCGGTGGCGTGTGTTTACCCACGGATTGAAGTCACACATTTTTGGGTCAAACAACTCGCAGGCAGTGGGGCCTCCTCTTTAAAAAGATGCCACGGTGTATTTGACGCAGATGCTTTTGGAAATGCACCCCCCCCCCGCACAAGCCGCCACTGGCCCCACCGCCAATCCCACAACATTGCCAAACCCCTTTAGAAAAACAAATGATACTTAACAAAAATATAAATTAATTGGAGTTGGGTGCTGTTAGTCGGCCCACTGTAAGGAATTGCGCACATCTTGAAGTCACATTTTTTTGGCCCAACGCCGTGGCCAGCAAGTAACCCTGCCCCTGGTGACCCCTCCGTTCCCCTTCCCTCAGCCTGCGGAGCCCCCTCCGCGGAAAGCCGCGCGCACGGAGCGCAATTCCGGGCCTCGCTCAGTCCCGGGAGCGAAGGCGTCCTGGTGAGTGAGCACGGCCCACGCCGCCTGCACACTTTCGAAATCTCGTTCGGTGGCATCGGTGGTAGCGTGTTTGGCACGGGGGCCCCTTGTCCCAATATAACCTGCCCCCCCCCCCCGCTCTCCCTCTTTACATGGGCCCTGCCAGAACGTGAGCCCCAGTGGAGTTGCACCGCCTGTGCACTTTATAGTTATTCAACTCATGGTAGATCATAAACCTACTGGGCGGCATGGTTGCCAGGATATGGCATATACCCGTCTGTGTTAGTCTTTCAGAGTTGTCTCCGTAGAAGAAGTTTTTTTTCTTTCTGGATACTATAATTTCCTCTCGCATGTATAAACAGCCTTTAACACAGAAATGGTCAAACGTTAAGCACGTAACGATGCACCATTGATCCTGGGCCTGGTGCAAGGGTTGAATAGGGCCCCTTTTCCATTTCAACCCCATTTCTAGCCCACGCCTGGTCCTTTCTTGCCTGTGGGCCTCGGTGCAGTTGCACCGCCTACGCACTCAAATATCTATGCCACTGATATGACAATCGTACACTTTTTTTGTGACCCATGAGGTTTCGCAGCTGACGGTGGTAACCGCAACAAGTGTGGCTCTATCTCGCAACCCTCTCCTTCCTCTCGGCAGCATTGGGGGACCTCGTGCTGATGGGCCCTCAGCTATTGGGGCGGATTGTGGCACTGCCCAGGCCTGGCGTGGGACTCGTGCTTCTGCAGACACCTGCAGGTGAGCACGTCACCACCACGACTAAGGCCACCTAAGACAAAGATCCCCTGTGTATCCCTTAACGGACTGTTGGGGCAAGTGCTGTTAGGAGGCGGCACCTATTAAGGCCGGCACGGCCCACGAGGGTTTGGGTGGCCAACACCGCTTCCGGCCACCTTTGTCACCCCAATGCTGATGTTTACACACCGCATCAGGTAAACATTCAGGCTGAGTGGACCTAGGGGAGGTCCAGGACCAGTTCAGATATTAATTACCGATGTTTGTTGTGAGTAGGAAGAGACTCCGGTCGCCAGGTTCATAGCACAGTGCGTCACCACCACTATGACCAACTTTACAACCACCACTGCCACAACATGACTGCTGCCACCATCACGACCACGATCATCGCCGTCACCGCCACTACAATCACCACCAACATCACTGCCGTTGCCACCACAACTACCTCTACTACTACTACGACAACTCCCACAACCACCACCACCACCACAACCATCACTACTGCCCCTCCCCCTCCACCACCTCCTTACCCACATAACTGTTGATTCTGAATTGAGTTGAGAACAGATTTACAGAGAGGGTAAAGTGATTGGGTTTAAGCGCGCCTTGCACAGCTTGTTAGGAATGTCAGCCATTTATCCACGAATGAATTAGAAACTATATTTTTTATAAAACTGTTTTAATATTACGTGTTGTAACACGATAAAATCATAACATAAAGTAGGTGATTTGTTTTTCTTAAACCATTTTTCGTCAAATGTTTGCACCGTACCAATTACATTTTCTTTGATCCAAAAAGTGCCATCGTATCTGTCTTCTATTCTTTTAAAATATTTGAAGCAATCTTTACGAGATTGTCAACAAAAAACATATGCTCTCATTACGGAAATATTCTGAACACGCGAATAGATTGCTCAAACACCCCATGAGATAACAACCTAATTCAGCTGATTGTCCGTTGCAGCACGTGTGGGCGGCTGCTATCGTGGGCTGCGCCTGGCCGACATGACCTGGGACGCTCACGTTGGCCAGTGGAGGCCTTCAGCCGCGACTGGGGACAGGCATGTGGCTCACTCAGACGAATCGAACTCAGGTCGCTAGGTTCCGCTGGAACGTTTGTTCGACCAGGCCGCAGTCCGCTGCCTTTTTTGACGGTGGAGTCTTGCAAAAGGAAGGTCTGGGATTAAATGTTGGCACGAATAACAACGCCCTTTGTTTTTACCCCGAGAAATCTCATTTTAGTATCAAGACAAATATTCAGGACGGTCCTGTATTTAGTAAGTTTGGCCATTTCTATCCATGAGTTTTGGCACGTGGAATGAAACCAAAGTACCCAGAGAAAACCAATGCATACAAGGGAGTGACACTCAAAGCTCCATAATGATAGATTCAAAAATCCAATGCTTTCAGCCACTCAAGCTCAAGCCTGCAACACCTGGTATTTTTAATAAGGCTCTCATCCAAGCACTAACCAGGCTTAATCACCTTTACTTCTGAGTTAGGATGAAAACTGGGTGTATTCAGGAGGATTTGATTGAATGCAAGAACACATCAACAACAGTGCAAAAACTAACATGAAGCCTGAGGAACTGGTCGTTTTTCACTCCTTCATATTGCTCTATAACATTGGCGAGACCCTCAGTTGGCGAGCGTCATGACTCTACGCAGAACAGTGGCCGATTGTAAGAATCAACCAAAGTGTAAATTCCACTCGAGGACATTTACGCCCGCCGGCCACAGAGCGGCACTCGGGGACAAACCTGTGATCAAGAGGAAACATTTTTTTCCTGAAGCCGAACAACAACAAAAAAAAACCTGGAAACCGCACAGGCCCTCAGTGGTGGTATCAGTGGCGGTGATGGCTTTCCTTTTCTTCCTGGTGGGAAGTTTACGCCTTGCGCCACAACCACCACGATTCCCAGAGGCCCTCTGCATGGATGCGGCATTCCGATCACAGACCACTTGGCGGCAGGGAAAGCCAAACAAACGCCCCGCTTCGGCCGGCGTGGTTTAACTCATGTGCCCACTCTGACCCCTGACCCCTTTCCGCTTCCTCCGTGTGGAGGAGCACAAGTAAGCGAGCACGGGTGGCCCTGCCCAGGCAGTGGGGCCCAGCACCCTGACGGCTCTACTGCGGGTGTAAGGGGGGGGGGGCGATGTGGTTGGGGCCAGTGGGGGCAGGGTGGAGGGGGAATGGTTGTTAGTGACCTGTTTCTTTCAACCCTTTCAAAATGTTTCGGCTCCCAGATGAAACAAGGCCGTAAAAAAGTCAGCACCACGCCTCCAGCTTATTTTTCTATCAGCCAATCAATCACCCGGGCCACAGCAGACGTGTTTATTCTGGGCCCCTTTTGAAGGTCACCCTGGCCACCGTTGGGCTTTTCATTTGGAAAAATGCAGCTTTCGAGCTCCAACTACCACGGCCTAGCACGTCCGACGCAAAAACCTAACGGGGCCCACGCTGCAATTCTGTAGCCAATCGCGACGGCGCATGCAGGCGCTCAGACGTGCTGCCACTTTGTACCGTAGCTTGTTTCCGCTGACAGCATGTACACGGTGCACCGTGCTGGGTGGGTGGCTCAGGGTCCGGAAGACATGGTCAGAGTACTGAGCCAGTAACACAGACCCTGAATTCTCGAATCAAAGAGGCAAACCCGTGATTAAATTGGGTTTTCTTTTGTATTGAGTTCATGGTCTCTGCTCGGTTTACCGATAACTGCACAAAAACAAATGTTTTTTTCTTGTTCACTTGATTCAGCTTCTCGGGACTTTGGGAATTCAACATTTTGTTTGTATTGACATGCAATGAATACACTTTGGAGGGCATATAACATATTTGCCCCGAGTGTACAGTATATAATATATACATGTTTTGAAGTGTGACATTTTCTGGGTATTTTCTCCACTGTAAGGTGGTGCACACACAGCTGTAAGTGTTCACAAATGGAAATGTCTTCATATTATGTATGACATTTGACCCTGAGCACAATTGCAGCATAGAAGGGCCAAAAACACAGCCTTTTAAAATTGTACTTCAGCAATCTCTAAATACACCAAGTACCCTATCCCATGTGACATCATTGACTTTCGAAACCTCAGCGTCATTTGATTTTGACGTTGTTGCGATGCTGAGTGAGCACGTTGCATCCCTCGACAGGGTTACCCTGAGCATCGCCACACCTTGGGAGGACTGCTCCGTCACCCGGACCGGAACGGACTCGCCCAGAAGCTTCGCGTCTGCAGGCGAGGGTGGCCTCACGAAGCCACAATCACACCCCCCCCCCCACTCTCTCTCTCTCCGAGGAGATGTCACCATGGTTAGAGTTTGGGAGGGCCTGCACCACGTAGGTCCTCTCACCGCTTCGCCAAACCGCCCCCTGGGCCTCCCACAACCGCTGTTGCCCCCTCCCCGCAACCCCTCCCATCCTTCCATCGCTGAGCTTGGAAGGTCAAAAGGTCACTTAAACAAACCGGGTCTCTGCAGCTTTAGGTTTCCTGTTCAAAGTTGGGCGCAATGAAAATGTGAAGGCGTTTAAAAAAAATAATCTAAAAGAAAACAAAAAAGAAAAGCCGTGTGTTTAAAAGACGATGCACATGGCACAATAATTGTGACTCGGAGAAAACTGTCTAAACTAAACAGCGCCGGAGAAAGAAAATAAATCGGAGTAAAACGTAGGGAACGGAAAAATACTAAAAGATGTTCAGCATCCATATCGTAAACAACACCGTGGAGGACGAACAACTACAGAGGAGGCTCCTGTAGTCCGGCAGGTGGCCGTCAGCAGATGGGGCTGCACGCTCACCGTGCCAGGCCACGCGTTCACAAGCATTGAGCCCATGTGTTAATGAACTCTCCAATGTATTTTCAGGTTTTACAGCGTGTTGTTTGGCATGATGTCCGACGTTTTACTCCACGCTCCTAAATAATCTCCCAGCACGTGGAACGAAATGCCAGGCAATGCTCCGAACAACTTGCGCTGCAACCTGAAAACGCATCGGAGAGAGCCGTACAGAAACAACTACGGGCAGCCTCTGCTTTCTAAGCACACCATGCAATAGGCAACTTGAGGGACAGTGGTGGAGCATGGCTGACATGGGCATTTGTGCAAAGAATGACATGGCCCCCCCCCCTCACCTTGTTAAATTTCCCCCTATTTATTGCCCACCGCCTGGGCCGCTCTAGCTCATGAGTCCCTGATGCGGTTGCCACTGCCTGCACATCCGAAAGCTACGCGACTGTTGAAGGAGTCACAACGCAAGCAGCGCCTTTAAACGTTGAAGCCACTCAAGGAGCGCGAGTGACCACCTCCCCCTTTTAGTTTTTTTATACGCGTCAGACGGGGGCTACGTGCGTTTGATTAGCGCTGCCCAAGCACGCACGCTCGTGGGTTCTGCCCCGGGCATCAGGTGGCTATTGTGAGCTAATTGAGCACTTAGTTGAATGGAGCATGAATCCGTTTGTGTAAAAGTGGAATTTTAATGCGCAATTTAATAAATGACGGCTCGTGGTTTCCATGCAGATGATGGAGCGAGCCGGAGGAGCCTAACGGCAAGGAGCGGAGGTCTTGAGTCTGGGTCAGAGACTGGATCTGGGTCAGCGGTGAGGTCGGGGTCAGCGACCGGAGCGACGGAACTAAATTACGCGCAGCTCGTCATGGAGGTGCGCTCCTCGGTGCCGTTAGTACCAAGCCATGCCGCGCTCTTGTGCGCTCGCAAACGTGTGCCGTGCATTCGAGACGACAGCTGCCACCAAAAAACAGCAATGGCCTTGCAAGGGCCTGGTCTTGCATAAGCACGAGGCTGGGTCTGTGCTTGGGCCCTGCCGCATCGGCAGGGCGAGTCTTTGATCCGCGCGCGTCGTCCAGGGATCATTAAACCCGGGCTTCAGTTTCCTGCGTGGTTACAGCTAAATTAAAGTGAGAGCTTGAAGGGGAAAGAAGCCGGTTCAAACAGCATAATTGCAGGTGGTGCACATCGTCTCCGAGCAGGAAGTCTTTTTAAATGCATCCTTTTGTTTCTCAAATCTCCCAGAAAATGCCTTCCGAGCGGTGTGCAGTCTTCCACCCTCCACCATCGCTCGGCGGTAGAGCCCGTGGGTTTTTTCTCTCTCCTTCCTTCACTCTTTTTTTCTCCCCTTCGCTCTGCTCCGAGACGGTAGCCGCAGTCTGTCACGAATGTCTGAAGTGATTCGGGAGCCCCGTAATTGCCGGCTTCGCGTGAGATGGATGTTCCCGAGGCCACCCCCAGCGAGAACGCAGGCCACCCGCCATGACTGGGGGGGGGGGGGGGGGGGGGGGGGGCTCGGCTCCTCCTTTAAACCGCGCACCGGGGCAGAGCGGCAGCTCACGTTACGCAAGAGAGTTATTCGCAAAGCCAATGTCTTTCCGTCAGGATGAGAGGATGCATTTAAATGTACGGCACGTGTTGGTCCCCCCCCCCCCCACTATTGTTAAAATGAGCAGTGACATTGCCGCAGATGGCTGCAGCCCAGACGGTTTATTGTAAAATTGCCGTGGCATATAAAAAAAATAATGAAAAATATGAAAAGGTTTAAATAGTTCCATACAGAGTTAATGCAGAATGAAAAAAAAAATCTTTTTTTTTGGTGCAGATATATTTTCGTAGGAACATGGAATATGAGAAACTCTATATTTCCGCACCAGGCCCGGCCAAGTGTGCGGTGGCTGGGAACGCAATACGGCGCGACGGGCCGGGACATTCCCGTGCGGGATGCGCTGCGGTGGGATGTGACGGTCTGGGGGCCGTGCGACGGTCTGGGGCCACGCGTGACCTTTAAGGGTTCCCCGTCTTGTGGCACGGGAACGAAAACCCCCACAGAGCCACTCCGACTCCAGAGGAAGCAGAAAGGCAGCCCCCATCTCGGATGCCTTTGTTTTCTTTCTCTGCTTTATTATTGCTTGTCAGAGAGCCTGACGAGGTGGTATTAATATCGCGTGCAAGCGGGCCTTCCTTGCAGCGCTGCGCAGCGCTCGCGAGACGTAACCGCGTGAGGGGCGGTGAACCAGCAACGGCCGATTGTTTCGGCAACTTATCAATGTCTCAGCAGCGCACAGCCCCTCTCTGTTATTCCTTTTGTATTTTTAAAAAAGGTTTTGAAGGCTCTTAATTAAAATATTTAATCGTATTTCCCCAAAAAAGAATGGCAGATTTTTTTCGCTCGCTGTTTTCAAAGGTTTTTGTTCATTATTATTGAAATTTAAACTGTGAAAAAAAAAGGTTTGGCCTCATTTACAGAAGTAATTCACATCTGCTGCGATGCTGGTGAATCGATTTGCGCCGCCACGGACCGCCGCGTAGATGCCGGCGCGTTGTTTAAGCGTGCTTCCGTTTCTGCCTCGCGTACCGGTCCCTACCCGCAGCAGCAACAGCAGCAGCAACAACAACAGCAGAAGCAACAGCAGGAGGAGCAGCAGCAGCAGCAGCCCTCAAACTCGCGCGGAGACACGACCCCGCGACCCCGTGGCATACGACCTTCCACCTCCCGACTGCTCTCTTCTTCCCGGCCAAACACGGCGAGGCGTGGGACCTCCAAACCAATACCAACACTCCCGGCTCATGTACGGCCACCCTGGCTGAGTCACGGCACACGGACCCAAACCACGACAGAGGCAAAGGGGGAAATCTAAACTGTGGGAAAGGCCGAGCTGGTGCTTTTTTGTTTGCGCAGTTACACGATCGAATAGTTATCGTGTCGGGCCCAACGCGGTATTTACCAACTCATTGCACATGTAGAGTCGTTTTGTCGATCTGCTGCTGGATGAGGGCCTCACCGTGGCGTGCGAAATTGCGGTGGGTAATTTGACCAACGTCACCACGTTGGTCAGTGAAGGGTCGTTGGAGGCGGGGTGCATAGACGATGCAGCATCATACAATTCAATGGAAATTGCTGCACTACCCCTCTGCTGGCAATAAAGCCCACTGGCTTAATATTTGAGTTTTGTTTTGTTTTGTTTTTTACCAGGACTCAGCTGACTCCTCCTCGGTCCCAAGCATCTTGCCTGACCGATCTCATCCGGAGGCATGTGCACCAGGAGGGCCTCCCAGGTAGGATGAGCTTTCACTCAACGTAAAAAATAATAACATCCTTTATTTACCCAGGAAGTTTTCACTGCGTCTTAAGACTTCTTTGTCAGGAAGGTGCTGTTTTTGGAAGTTTGGCCAATTCTATTCGTGAGCGATTGGCAAGTGGAAAAGGAAATCGGAAATTCCTGAAGAAAATGCACGCATGCAAGGGGGTAACGCTCAAGGCTCCGCCACAGATGGATTCAAGAAGCGATTGTTGAACTGACATCTTCTGGCCACCTCACAGGGGCCAGGCGTGTACTACACCCACCCAACCAGCTTCACGAGAGGCTGGCCGGGACATTACTGGAACATTTGTTTCACCAGTCCAGAATCCACTGCCACTTTTGGCAGTGACTCCTGCAAGAGAGAGACGTGGGATGAAATATTGGAACAAATAATAATTCTAGTTGTTTACCCAGAAATACCTCACTGAGTACCAAGACTGGTTTTAAGAGGCCCAAGCCCAAGTCTACAGTCTCTCATCCAAATACTAATCAGGCAAGAACTCTGCTTAGCTTCCAAGATCCACTGGGATTGGCCGCATGGTCATAGACGCCGTTGCATCGACGCTGGCGCGATTTCTGCATCCAGGCCGTGGCGGTTCCTTGAACGGAGCAACGAAAAGAAATCCGCCCACCCACGGGAGGCTGCGCTCCATCCGCCGCGCGCTCATAAATAGTGGAGATTCTTGGGGTGCGTTCCCCCGTCGGTGCATCGCGAGGCTGCCGTGCACGTGGGCCAATAGGCCCGCGTTGTGGAGGCTCCACGTGAAGCCGAGGCCAAGCCTCGACGCTTTCGTTTTGTCGGGAGTCACGCCGAGATGTCCCCTGTTAAGGGGGCGGCGGCGCTGTGGAATTTTAAAAGGCGGCTTGCAGCTGAAACGCGCGGGGCCAGCCTCTCGTGTCGGAACGCACTATTCCTGGGTACGGGAACACCGTTTAGGAACAGAGGTTAATGGAATAATAGATTTGACTGGAATATGAGCCCTCCCATGGGCACGCTAGGATTCGTGCACGCTACTAAAGGGGCCAAGAGGTACACCGAGGAAAAGATGGATAGGGGGAAATTAGTTCAACCGCTAAAAACAACGGGCTTAACTCGCGCTGAGAACAATGGCCAAATCAAACAGTGCCGAGCTTGGACGAAATTCATAAACAAAAACAAACAACAGCCGCAAGTGACACGACTGATTGTTATTTATTGGAGGAATATATTACAACAGAAACGAGGCGATGGTTAAATCCGTCTTTAAAATAGGATTTGGGAGTAATGGTCAGCCTTGTGTTCTCTAGGCAGGCAAAGATGCATTCATTCATCAATTCAAATCGATTCTGATGCTCACGATACGGGAACCGAATAGTGCATTTAAGAGTTTATTATTAAAATGTATATATTTTTTATTCCTGCACTGTATGTTGCTTGTAATGAGTTCATGTGACCCCTGCAGCCACTAGAGGCACTGCAAGGTTGCCAGGAAGTGGCAGTGCTGATATGCTCTAAGAAGCGTGACTTTTCTCTGACTTCTCCGATTTCCTTCCAAATGCTGCACTTATGCACGGAATAGGCCAAACACCCATATACAGTACGCTCTTGAAAAGATTTGAGAGTCGGTGAGGCTTTCTTGCGTAAGTAACTGGCACACTATATTGTTTTTTCCCCCCGCAATTTTCTCCAAATTGTGCTTTTACCATGTCACGAGTCAAAGAAAATTCAGAAGTCTCAGTGCAGTGGACCACCCCTTGTCAGAGAACGGCCTGTGGAAGCAGATACTTCAGAACTACTTCTGACATCTCAAGTGACCTATCAAAACTAGGGGGCAGCGCTTTCACACCCCACTGCGACAAAGAGAGGTGTTTGTCACATGATGGTGAAACTGATAGTTTAATTCTTAGGGCTGAAATGTTGTCAAAGCAAGTTGTAAAAAACTAAACTAATTTGATGGTTATTATGCAGTCATCGGTGACCAGACTAAGACCACTAACTCGCCACACCTGAGAATGTGGTTGAATCACAGGTGGCTGCCTGGATTTAATTCCATGAATTGAGAGGCACCAGCTCAGCGCTCCGACCTCTAAGCCACTCGGCAAACAACAAAAAAATATGATTCTTGACTCAATCGAACTGCGATCCTGAATCGTGACTAATTAATCAAATCAAGAGGGAGTTGTATCGTTGTGCTGTCCGGTTGTTGTGGAATTTTGCGATGCTGCCGAGGGCCTCGTGTTCAATGTCGTTTACTCTCCCCGCCCGCCTGACAGCGTGGTCACCCTGCCCGCTGTGGAAGAAGAAGAGTCGGGCCAAACGAACCGCAAACCTGACGGACGAGAGGAACAACGTGGAACGGCGCCAGTGGACAATGCTTCTGGAGGCCCCAGATCAGTGAATAGCGGTGGTGGTGGTGGTTCAGGAGATGTTGATCCAGTGCAAAGCTGTTTAGGAGACCTTGAGCAAGTGGGGAATGGGTCAGGAGACCGAGGGCAATTACACAGCGTTTCAGGAGATGCAAGTCCAGTAGAGAATAGTCCAGTAGATAGTGTTTTAGTGGGGAGTGGTTCAGGAGACCCTCAGCAAATGGAGAGTCATTCAAGAGATACCATACTGGTGGAGAACGGTTTACAGAACCCTGGACTGGTGGAGAGTGGTTCAGGCACCATTGGTCCAGTGGACCGTTTGTCAGGACACCCTGTTCAAGTAGAAAGTGGATCAGGACAGCACGAGACGGATGAAAGTGGAAAACCACCCCTAGGGCCAAGAGAAAGTGAGTCACAGCCGCGTAGCCCCGACAGGACAGAGGCAGACCAGATCACACATGGCTATCCAGGAGGCAGTGCCAATTACAGCGATGGGGGTGACCGGCCAAACCGCAACAACACCAAAGAGATGGCCCCAGGGCGATCAGACAGTGCCTCATCGTATCAAGCCCGCCGTGTCGCGATCTGGAGGCACAGCGACTGCACGCCGCCCGACAGCGAACGGCTTTCGGCTCAACAGCGCGCACTCACTCGCAGAGGCAAGCATGGGGTTCGACCAGCGAACATCTTCTAGCAATAGGTTTGCATCTGTCACCGTGAGATCAACGGCATGCGGGGAGCGTCGTGACATTACAACTCGGGTGACGTCACGGCTCTCGCCAAATTGCCCTGAATGTGCCAGATTTCGGAGGCTAAGCAGGTTGGAGTCTGAATAGTGCTTGGATGGGTAACCACCATGCATGTTGTTCTAGGCTGTGGGGCAGCAAAATTCATTGCTGCGCGGTACTACTATGGGGCCGTCCATAAATGACGTCACGCACCTGGAGGGGAGGGTCAGACATTTGTGACGATGTGTGACGAGAGGGGGGGTTTGAGAAATGTGACGTCACATCAAAAGGTGCAACTTTAAATAAATATAGACAACACGTTCTACTTCATATACATCAGAGTGCAGCGCCACATTGAATACGCACTACAATGACAATAGTTTAAAGCGATTTGAAGCATTTTTTTATTTTCAAAATGGAAATATGGTTTTGGGGGGGGGGGGCAGAGCTTTGTGACGTCATATTTGAGGGGGGGGGGTCTGACTTTGTGACGCCGCGTGACGAGGGGGGGTGGTAAAAAATCGTCCAAAATCGCGTGATGTCATTTATGGACGGCCCCTAAGCCAGAGTACAATATTATCGTTCTATAGCACAACAGAAAATAAAAAAAAAACATTTACTCCTAGCACCGCTCTACTCTCGGCTTAATATTCAAGCCTTCACAAACCACACTGACCGGCGTGGTGAACTCTGGCCAAATTAACCGCTGCTGCTACATGTCACCACAGGTGCTCACGCGCCGGTCTGGAGCCGACTGCTGCCAGAGGCTCGGAGTGCCGATCGCGGCGCGAGATCGGCGTCCGTGCAGATGGCCAACCAGTGGCTGGAGGGCGGCTTGCGATCACTTCGCTCGGCCGCCGAACGGAGGCCGGGTCACGTCCCGCGGACTGTCCAGGAGAGCGGGGCTCCGTCCGCTGCCGTGCGTCGTGGTGGAGAGGCGGGAGACTCGATTCGCGGTCGGACAGTCGTGAGTTCGTATCCGGGTCGAGGATCGACTCGGCCGATCATCCCGCCGGGGTCGATGCGGGAGGTGGAATTATTTTACTCGATAGTGGAAGAATAAATGTGCCACAGAATCAAACAATCCGTTTTGTTTTCTTTCCAAAGAGAGAAATTGAGCACTTTGATGCGGGTTGTAATGACATCGATAAAAATAAGGTAATTGTTTGTCATGAAATTGTTTAAATAAATCTTGATTAACAGATGAGGAATGCTGCTCAGACACACGAAATAATGAGCACGGTACATAAATTAATTAAAATAGTTTTATTTAAAAAGTGATTTTTTTTACACGCTTTCATTGAACTCACTCTGTTGTTGTTGTCGTTGTTGTATCCTCAAATCTTGTAACTCAATCTTAACCCACTTTCCGATGTGGTATCGACTGCAAACTTGGTATACTTCTTGTCATACTGATCACAATACTATATTCTATCATGAAAAATAGATATTTTTAAACATTCTTTTTTATATTTTATGTTTCGGCTTGGGTCTAATTGTCCACGGTCAACTTACGTTGGCTGTAATTAGCCACGGTCCCTTACGTTATGGCAAGCTTCGGGGCCACATCCCGGAGTCGTGGAGTTCTTCCATTACTAGTACATTTCATAAAAGCGTGTTTTTAAAAAAGTTTTTTTAAATACTACTTATTGACTGGTTACATAAAAATTATTACCTCTAAAACGTCATTTAGGTGTACACCACATTATTTCTAGAAACATTTTAAAACGTAGCATGTATGGTGTTCAATGCAGTAATTAAGCTAGACTGTTGTTCTTTTTCAAGATTATTTATTTTACATTTAAATTTTTTATTCTAAGAGGGCAATTAAAATTAAGAATACTACTGAAGTCACGTGGTGTATATCTTGTGTGCAAGCTTGGAGGCGCGTTCCGGTGCTTTTGCACCACCAGCACCCACGGTACCTGGGCTACAGCATGCTGGGATTTAGGCCCAAACTAAGCTTGGATTTTTCCTGGCATCAACCACCTGCCTTGGCAAACGAAGTGATAAATGCGCAATCCATCGTTGATTCTTGGGCCAGATCGTCGTGCGAGTAAAATGCCAATGTGAAATGTAGGCTCGCCTCTACCCGCCAAATAAGGCGGTCACGTGAACAAACGGGCCACATTTTATTGCTCCAGCACAGCGGTATGTTGGTGAGCAAACAACCTTCAACAATTTGGATTGCACCTGAACATACCGGTGAGCTGAAGTATTAAATAACGGTGTGTTTGTTCACTTGACAATTGTATTTACTTGGCTGTCGGGTCGAGGAGGGTGCACAACACACATTAGAAATGGACTCATGCGATCCAACCCCCCAAAAAAATTCTGAATCATAACATTGGTCATGGAGCGTACGAGTTAAACGCACAGCAACTTCACCGAGCGATGTGCATTTCATTAGCTATTCGAAAAATGCATGCTGCTGGGTGGCAAAGAATGTTTAACATGCCTGCTTAATTATTACACTTTAAATCCCATTATATATTATTACTCACCATAAGCCACAGGCAAGTTCATTACAAAAGCACTCATTTCATATTTGCTGGACCTGAGCCACAAACCTCAATGCCGTGCTTAAGCCGCGACCTAAACCTCGGCTCCCTGTTGCTAAGTAAAGTCACAACTGCAGGTTTTTTTTTCTCTGTGGCCATCATGAAAATCGACACGTGTAGCTTTCAGGAATCTCCACGCTTCAGGAAGAAACTCTCATTCTTCTTCCACAGCGCCGTGTCCCAGGGGTCATAGCACTCCCCCCGCCCCCCGGCGGTGGCCTTGTTTCGGTGGAGGAGGCCGGGTCGTGTCATGGCTTCCACCCTGGATGGGTCCATCAACTGCTCCACACTGTCAGCGCCACCATCGCCACTCAGGATCTCATCCAGGAAGTCCCTCCGCTTTGCACGCACCTTCACTACTGGGCCCGGCTCCAGTGCAGCTGTGGATGCCCGCTTCCCCTCACCCCCGCCGGGCCGCCCTCTGCTTCTCCCACAACCCCTACCTCTGGCGTCCCCCTTGCCCCGCCTGTGCCCGAAAAAATCAGCCAGGATTGACGTGTCCCCGAGTAATTCGGAGAGGTCGTCCGTGGAACTTCTGGCTGCTGCTGCTCCTGTCTCAACAGTAGCGTCACTCGATAACGAAGTCAAACCTTGCCTGCCGCTGCTGCAGAAAACACGGCTGTTGCGAAGCTGTTGTTTTGACCCGGTCAGGTCAGCTGATGAGCAAATCAGACCTCGTTCCTGCTCAGGGGCCTCCTTTGTTGTCACAGAACTCGGAACAAATTTGGGCTTGTTATCACCAAGAACACATGTGTACGCTTTTCGGGTTGCTTGGACCTCGTCCTCAAAACCCCGGGCAACTGCCACCCTGTGACGAGTTCGGCAACTTGTTTCTTGCACATCGTCCGAGTCCGAGCTGCTGTCGTAGGTCAGCGGAGCGCCGTGCCTTGGTTTGCGTGCTCGAGGGGGTTTGCCTCTCGGAGGCTTCTCGCCACGAGGATCCACGCCTGTGGCGTACAGCTCGGTGAGGACGTCGCACAGCTCGGGGTGGCGAGAGGTGTAGAAGTCCTGCATGATTTTCACACGTCCCTCCCTGTCGCTGTGCAGAATCAGCGTGGCCAGATCCTGCACGGAATCCAGGCCACGGTGTCTGGCCATTGCCTCGAAATGCTCCCTGCAACAAGGAAAATCAATAAAGCACAGCAAGCCTCTTACATCCATCCATAACGATGCTGAAATGGACAAGTTTGCATAGTGGCATTCTTTGTCATAATGTATTGTGAATGTAGCTGGAGTCTCACCTACGCATGGTGTCTGGTGTTTGTCCGATCGTCACAGGAACGCCCTTCCATTTGAGGGTTCTTGACTCAGAGTCCGCAATGGGGGCTCCCCCTGCGGCAGCCACCGCCTCCTGCTGTGTCCGGCGGTCGCTGTGCGGAAGTAGGGGCTCAGTGCGTTGCCGCACGTCGTCCGGGGTGGCGTCTGTGCCGAGTGGGTTGTCACTTCGGACATCCGCCCGAACCGCCGTGGTGACGCCACCTTCATCAGATGACAAACTGAAGGCTTTGATCTCCGGGGTTTCCCCTTCAAACACGATCCTCTTTGCTTGTCTGGGTGCAACCCATGCCCCGGCTTGAACGGAAACTCCTCCAGTCCTCCTCGCAGCTGCCGGCATAACAAGCTCGTCTGACGAGGAGATGCCGATGTTGTCCGACTCCTCGCTGACCTCCCCAGCCACAGAGCTCCGCTGCCTGTGCCTCGCGATCTTCAGTTTGGATGGACTTCCTTCTGAAGTTTTGCGTTGACATCTTGGTCTGTCGACACTCTGTTTTAGCGCTGCGGCATTGTGCGCAGGGTTACGTTGAAATGCGCAATTTTCCTTTGCCGGTGACGCACGCTCCCTCTCACTGTTACTGGATGTATCGCCCGTGTCTGGTACAGCAGAAATAATGTCCCGCTCTTTGCTCTGCTGTTCTAAACTGCTGCTGCCACCTTCATGGCTGCTTTTCGTTTCAGCGACACATGAAACCGGACTCTCGGGGACTAGATTCTCTGTGAGCTTCGAGGTGGAAGTAACGCAGATTCCGTCAACACGCCGGCTCAAACGTTGCGGCCAACCAACTCCACGTGGCTCGTCCGGGTCACTCTGGCGGGCACCCGTTTCCTTGTCGGAATCGCTACACGAATTATCGGAGGATGCACTTCCCGCGATTTCGCCACTCATTTCGAAAAACTCGGCAAACTCTTCAAGGAAGGATGTGAATCGGCCCGAGCCCGGCAGGCTGGGCTGCTGCAGTCGATCTGAGAGATGAACCTGCGCGGTTACGATTGAGTGGGTGACCCCTTTGTCACTGCTGGTGCTGTCACAGCAAGGGTCTGCCACTGCCGCGAGCACCGCCACCACCGGCGCCCGTCGCGCCCACTGCTCCCCGCCGATAGCCCTGCCGCACGCCACCGTCTCCCCAGCGTCCCCAGCTCGTTCTTCGTCCTGTTCCGCAGAATAAAACACGAGCAATTGTGGCCACGAGTAAGGCTGTCGCCCGAGGAAACAATGCAACCACATGCTTTACATTTTACAATGGAAACTAAAAAATGAGCAGATGTAAATTGGGGCACGCACGTGGGTTAGAATTAGACCACACCTGGCGCAGGGCCAATGCTGCACCCTGAAAGCTGTAATGTGAACTTTACAAACCGGGAAAATTGGCACCTGTTGTGTGCGTGTAAAAAACAGGTTTCGGCCAAATAAAAATACCGTAACGATACGGCTTGCACAAGCAGCCATGCCTTTCACATTCTTTTATTGCGTGCACAAATTTGAGAAATTCTGGTTCCCTCCGGGAAAGAATGCCAAACAGGACCCTCCTGAAAATGTGTCTTGAGACTCGGTAAAGTTTTTTTCTGGCCAGAGCACACTGATATAAATATAATTGAACCGTACAGCCGAGTCGAGTGAGCGGTGGACTTAAGATCATAAAATGAGTACCACATTGTGAGAAGCGACACTGGTCACTGCCATGAGAACATGACGTTTTCAACACTGGCTCAGGGTCTTTGCTCTTGTGAGCAAAGACCCTTAGAAATACTGGCCACTGCTACATCAAAGAAAAACATTTCAAAACTGGCTCAGGGCTGCCAGTGCTGCCCCTTTACTTGTTTGAGCAGGAAGACACGTTGACTTTTGATTCCTGTTATAGAGTCAATGCTCCACTGCTGGGCGCGACCACCCTGGGGGACCGCAATGTCCTTTTAACAACAGCGCAACTCCCCAGGGCACGTTGAGCGGTCACACGGAGCGTGACCGCCACGCGCGCTTGTCCAGGACGTCATCGTGAGCAGAAAAAAAAAATCTCAGTGAATCCGACTGCCCTTTACCAGGAGCAACGTTGGATTAAATGACAGCAGTGAGTGATGGGGGGGAAAGAGAGAAAACCAAACTTTTCGTCACAAAGTGAAGTCGCTCCGAGCCAGGACAACAAAAGGAAATGCTGTTAAAGTGAAGAGAGAGAGAAAAAAAGAAAAATATGCTCGTTGAAAAGTATGAGTCTGACATTTCATTGTTGTGTTTTCTAATTAATGGCGCAGGCAGCCTTTGCTCGACTGTGATTAAAAGCACTTGTGGGAGAAGGGGAGAAATAAACGGAGTCCAGCATGGATCCCCAGCCTCGGCACAGCGGGCGTTTAATCACACAGCCCGCGCCGCTCCTCAGCTCGCCCATCCCCAGTCGCCCTCCACGCGCCACCTGGGCCCGACGATGTGGGTCTGTGCCCAGCATCTTCTTCCCATCTCCCAACCGTTTGCCCCACCAGATGCCCCACCTTTTGCCCCACCATGGCTCCCGGCTGTCCCACCGGCTGCTGGATTTATTAGCTCAGGAAGTGCACTTGGTAAACCTGGCTCTGAGCTGGTGGGGGATGTGGTGGGTGGGGGGGGGGGAGGGTGGGAGGGAGTCGGTGGAGAGTGTGGGGGCAGGCTGGGTGGCTCGGCAGCGGGAGAATGCCTGGGTGGTCTCCTTTCTTCCCAACACAACACACGCGCGCACACACACGTGCACACGCACAGCCACCACCGCCTGTGCCCACTACACGTGCATGTGCGAGCGAGCTGGGAGAGACTGCCCCAGTGCGTGCGGGGCCGCACTGTGTTTATGTTACCGTCCTTGTTTATGGTGTGAGCATCGCAAACTCTCCCGTTCGCCGCCGCTCTTTTGGGCCACGGCGCTTTTTGTGCACCTAAATGCGACGAGCAGCCAAAACAAACTTCTCGTTGTTAAAGCCCTCGCTGATTAAAACAAGCAATTCAAGTTGTTTTTGTGGAAGGGTAAATTTGCTGGCTTCTCCTACACATCGTGTGGCCCATTTACCCCCCAAGTGGAGAAGAATCCACGGTTAACTGCACTCGGAAATGACCGCTCTGTATTAATCACCGAGAACCACGCCGATTTAAATTCGTGTGCGAGAGCGCCGCGAGCGAGATGCCTTTGTGCTGCCGCCACTCATGGCTAACACTGGTAGCGGGGGCAGGGAATCCCACTACTCGGAGCGGACAGGAGATGCACCGGGATTACCGAGACAGAAACACGCGCCGGGAAACACTGCCTCCACTAGCTGGCCTGGAGGGCGCAGACTTCAGCAAGAACCTAGCCTCGTAGCTTGAGACTCGTCTGCTCACCTACTCGGAAGAACTACTCTTATGTGGAAGTCAGTTTTCTGTTCTCACTTGATGGATATCGCGTTTGATGCATCTTACATTAGATTCGTTGACGCAATTTGTTTTTCTTTCAACTGTGCCACATGACTCTGGAGCCGTGTTCCCAGCCTTGGAGGCTGTGCCTGTGATTGACCGCACCCCAGACTACGTGCGTAGCACAAACCATCACTTACGAAGCCAGAGTTTGTGAGCAAAGAGGATGGCAGGTGTAGATTTCCCATGAAACGCGTGGGAATCGGGTCACCTGGCTGCTGTGGTGCCGCGTGGCGGTGGTGGCTTCGGTGGAAGTCCACCGGCGGCGGCAGTAGGGGAGGAGGAGGTGTGGGAACAGACGGCGAGCAAGAGCCCGCAGTGGCCACTTGGGCACGGCGTCGCTCGCGCCCGGTGGCCGAATGCCGGCGTGCCGTCTCGATGGGCGACGCGAACTCCTCGCGGAACTCTCCAATGCTGCCCAGGCTACCGGGCACCGCCCTGAAAGGCAACGCCAACCGCTACAGCTGCGCCAACGCCACGCTAAACGAATAAATATCACCGTTGTAATTGCAGCTTTGCCGGTGGCCTCTCCAAACCACGTCTTAAAGGATTTAGGAACAAAGGAATCCACTTAAAATTTTCCAACGTTATCAATCCAGGTGTGGTTAATACAGATTATGTGAATCGCACTGGTTTATTGTCACATTTTTCCCTTTAACTTTATTAGCCACACCTGGCCCGAAGGCTTTGAAAAAAGCCGAGATGGATTCCTTTCACATGCTCTGCTGGGAAGACGGTCGCCTCGCAACGATAAGTGCCACCACCAGCGATCAACACTTTGTGCGGGCAGCCACGTGCCACCCAGGCCATTACCAGTCCACGATGCTCCACAGATCCACTAGACTGCTCCTCAGGGTGGTGGCCGCTAGTCCGATGCGGACGGGGCACCGTATAGCACGCAGCGTGCGCCAGTCCCGTATCCAGGGGTTGTGGAAGTTGGAGGTGGCGCTGGCACCGACGGGGCACGGGGGGACGGCGTGATGCCCGGACTGCGCTGGCCAGGGGCCCTCACGTGGGGCAAGGGGCCCTGAGTCGCAGTGCTGCTCCTGTCCCTTTGGGGGCCACGGCTCGGCTTCCCCATCCTGGTCCCCCGGCTGCTGAGGTTCCTCCACAATCACCATCGACCACTGCACACTGCACGAGCACCAACAGCCGTTACCGAGCGCCTACTAAGGCTGGGGCAGCACACGTGGGCCTTGCAATGTTCTTCATTGTTTTTCATTGCAAGCCCCTGCGGGCCACGGGCAGCCTCTGGTGGCCATTAGTGCGAACCCTGACGTGCGGCCTCCGACAATACGCAAATGTGAAAACACTCCATGGTGCTGTCAAACCCAATGGTTTGAAATGTGTGGCTAACCTCACACTGATGTTATCTTATCGGCGAAAGTGGCCCCGCTCTGAAAATGAGTGAAGAACACTGCAAAAGGGAGGATAACTGTGAACCGCAACTCCGGCGAGTCGATGAGTTGTCACGAATTCAGGAGCACAATTCAATTCAAGAAATTTGTGTATTTTGAATATTATCATGAATTTAGTGACCTTTTGCAGCTGCAGGGGCCACGAGAGCGCATCACATACGAATGGAAAAACAATGATTCTTAAATATGCGATTCAATGCTCGTATCGTTTAGCTTCCGAATTGATATTAATCAACGACACAATACAATTTTATACCCCGAGCTGCAAGCACCAAGCAGAGCTGCATTATATACATTGGTACTAATAATGACACATTATTCCAGACTTTCATTTTATGCTCAGCTGTCTTAGAGGAGACCGAGACCAAATCCAGAAATAATTTGCCACTAGTATTGATGTATATTGCAACGGGAAACAAACCCAGGAAACCATAATTGTTGTGCAATATGTGAACCACTACAACCACTCTCTACTTCCAATAGAAACACACAAGAGACAAAGATTCCCCATATACCCAAATACATTGATGACAAAAGAGCTGTGAACACCTATTCGGGTTGGAAAGATGTACAATTGGGTAAATTGCCTAAAGCCACACCTGACTGCCTTTGTCTCCTCCATGCTGATATTTACACACCGCACCAGGTGCATTGCTCATTTCATGCTTAGTCGACCTAGGGTGGTCCCAGGGGCTGGTCCAAAAATCCCTTGCCGTTGATGTTAGCCGAAGCTGGGACTGCCGGGTTTATAGAGCAGTGCGATAACCACTGCACCACCACTCACCCCACAGCATACACACACACACACACGGTATATAAACACACAACCACACGCACACAGTCTCTCACGCATAGCCTAACATATGGCAAATGACAAGCGGACGGATGAAAATGACTGGCACAATTAAACAAAAATAAAACGAATCCAAAAGGGAACACGCTAAGACTATAAACACAAACTGCCGTTTGCAAAAAAATGTAAGCACGCACAAAAAAAAAGAGGTTGTTTTTGCTTCTCTCAGAATTGATGGGCGAGGGGCAGCCGAGGCTTTGTTAGGCTAAGCTGCACATGAAGAACAAGGAGCACGGTCAACCCACCCTTGAGCTGAGAGATACGTGTCGGTATCATCCAAAGAGCACCGCTCCCGCCGCCTCTCAAGCCTCCCGATAATGTCTGTCCCTTTTAGCCCAGGGGTGGCAACCTACAGCCCGCGGCTTCACTTCGAGTGGCGCGTAGCCACACATGGCCCACCGCTTTGAAATGGCGTGCAAAACGATATTCGCGCGTCACTGCAAGCAATCAGCTTCACGAATCGGGTACGAAGAGGGGAAATATTTTCCACCTGGTGACAATATGTTTCTAAATATAGCGCGATAATTGAAGGTGAGCCCTCGTTATTTTTCACGTTATTATTGGACTAGCCTTTTGCCCGCCAAGGACGGGTGTATTGCAGTAAATCTGAAACTTGCAAGCGAAAAGCAGACCGCGACGTGATATTAATTGCATCAATGCGTGTGCAATTTGTAAGGGCGCGGTGACACAGACCTATTTCATTTAAAGGTTATAATCCCTTATTCATCGTGACGTCCTTTTTACTTTGATGTCTCAACAGCGTTACAGAGATCGCGTGACGTGAGGGTTCTGCCTTTGTAGTGAGGGTTGTAAGTTGACACCGAGGAGGGGGGAAGGAGGCGCCTCTACCCCCATGTGGAGTGACGTCAGCCGCTAATTATTATGAATGGGGGGAGTGTCCATTTGGAGGACGTCACCTGCTCATGATTATTAATGAGGGGAGCTGTTCAATGTGGAGTGACGCCACTTGTGCATGATTATTAGTGAGAGGGGGGGGGGGAGTACTCCATATTGAGTGACGTCACCCGCTCATGATTATTAATGAGGGGTGGGGGGGGGTCCATTTGGAGGACGTCACCTGCTCATGAATATGAATGAGGGGGACTGGTCGATGTGGAGTGACTGTCACGAGCATTAAGGACAGACATTCCTGGGTGATTACAGTAGGTACAACACGAGAGTGTGCGCAGTTGAAAGTCCTGTTCAGCCCTCAATAAGGAAGAGGAATCCTAGCCATGTTTTAGTTTGCCATCTGATGCACTTTGAACCGCTACAGAGGTGTCTCAGCTGCTGAATCAACACTCAGCTTAAAAAGCGTAAAGTGGGGAAGGCTTTCAGCCAGCACTCGTTTGACAAAGTACCGTAAATGATATTAACGATAATAACTGTCGTTACATTTTTCCTACAATCAAGCACGTTATTATTGCACATTACTAGAACGCGCTTTGGCGGGCGTGCATTACCGTAATTGTAAAGTATTTTTTTCTTATTGATGAAGTGTCAAACTTGGGTCACGTGGCCCAGGATATAGAACACAGGTGTCTATCCCATCTACGAGACTGTGTGTGTTTTCGGGCTTCAACTTCCTTCTGCAAGAAAACCCTTGCGGACGTTTCTACGTCGGCACCACCGAGTGGAGTGAAACCGACAGTGGCATCGGCAATGCGAAACAAGCGCTAAGGCGCCACCGGCCAGGGGACTCCGAAGCTAGCGCGCTGGCTGCGGCCGAGGCCACGGTTCTTGTCGTGGCTTTCTGGCACACACGTGCGCCGCGTGTAAACGCAGTCCTCCACTGGTCTGTGCAGATGCGTAAAAGAGTGGTGAATGCACCCATTGTAAAAAATATATATATGCACACACACACACACGTGCGGTTCGTGTACTGTGCATGTGTGTGTGTATATGTATAGATATACATAAATATATATATAAAAATTCCTAGCTCAAACAGAAAGCCAAACAGCTTTGCACACACCTGGCAAAACATTTACGACCTTGCCGAGCAGTCATGCAACACTGGCAGGCAGAGAGAGAGAGAGAGAGAGCCCTTTCTGTCTCCCTTCACTCTTTAATGACAATTGGAGCAATGAGGCACAAAGCCCTGACTATTTCAAAATGTGGCCTGCCATTCTTGGCCACCGGTTTAAGTCTCCCATTAGGGTCCGAGAAGCCACTGACCCCCCTTTTTATTGCCGAATTTCCTCCCCAGCGCAGTAAGAGTTCAAATCGAGGCTCCCGAGTCTATTACGTTTATACACAGGGGTCTGTGCTTGCACAGGCCCATGCACAGAAATGGAAAAAATATAAAAATGATCGGGCCCAGGCTTAAGTCCTATTCACCAATTAAAAAGCACACGGTAAGGGCACATGTCCTCGTATTTTCACGTTCACCAATTTTGAAGTCACGTAACAAACGAAGAGAGGACACGTATAGTATGAGGCAGAGATTATTGGAGAGTGAATGCCTGCACCTGGTACCACCTGCGCCTGGTACCACCTTGCACCTGGTGGCACACGCCCCCGAGCCCTAACGCGCACAGCACCTGTTCATCTCATGCAGGTGAAGTCGTGCCGTCGCGTACGTAGCGACAGCGACCTCGTGGTGGCGGCCGCCGTGAAGCAGTCCGGCCAGGGCCCCAGCGCTCTCGGCACCATCCACGACCACCGCCCGGCAGCCGGCGCCGCGCCTCTCCAGCGCTTCGGCCCAGGCGAGAAGCCGCGGCGGGGAGCATAGCACCAGCGCGGGCTGCAAGCGACGGACGGCAATAGGGCGGCGAGATTTAGAGAGCAGCGGGCGTGCGCAGGGGGTGGCGAGAGTGTCTGGGTTGCGGGCGACTAGTGCCGTGGAAATGCGGGCGTTAATGAGTGCGCGTTAAAGAGGTTCGTTTTATTTTGTTCTGTTATGGAGTTTTACGTTGACCGAACGGGAGGACATATGAAAGTCTTGTCATAAAGATGGATGAGAATTCTCGATCTGTGTTTAGAACTGCGCGGGGAGTTTAGCGGGAACGAAGGCCCCGCTTGCACATTCAGCCCCGCCACACGCGTACCGGCCTTGGAAAAGAATGTCTTGTATATTTTTGAATGTGACCCACGCAGCGCAGGAGAGTTCGTGCGATCGGCCTTAAACAAAGCATCACTTCACGTGATGTTTACCCTGTCTCTCAGACATTTACAGTTTCCATTGCTTCATACCTCAGCCTGCACCAGACTGTTTAGGCTACATGTGCCGAAAAACAGACCTCCAGGGGACAACGTCTGGCACAAAGATGTGAAATCGAACAAACACCAGTAGGCCGTCCTTAACCAGCCCCCCCACAAAGCACACGCCGGCTCTGTCACAAAATGCCGCGTGCCTGGAATAGCTGTTTGCGGAATTTCAGTAGGCTGCACGGGAACCATCCGACACGGCCAACAGCGACACCTCGGACCTGCTCGGAAGGGCGCCAGCGTGCGCACGCTGGCGCCGTCGAGCCCCACTGGCAAGTCTACATTTGGGTAATACGATCCTCGCCGGGCCGCTGAGTGCGAGTTCAGTACCAGACTACGTGGCCGCGTGTGCACGAGATGACCCCCTGCTTCTTCCTCGCTGGCTCCCGTGACGATTTCTCGCGCCACGCGACTGAGATCGCCCCCGGTAACTGTAACCTCTTGTAAGCCACACACGTCGCTACAAGCGGACTCGACTCGGGAAGTCACCAAAGTGGTTGCTTGTGATCTGTGGTGGACGTACGAGTCATTGAAGGTGTAATTTAAACAAAGCATCACTTAAAGTGAGAAAGATTATGAAAGAATTCGAGTCAAAATGTGTTTCCTCGACGTCATTTAAATGAGATTTACTACAAACAAGCTGCACTTAAAGAGGATCACACCTCAAATTGTCGAGGTTCAATCGAACCTTTAAGGAAAAGGTGCTCACTAGGTGTATTTTGTGTGTTTTTTTCTTCTCTAAATAATATTCTAATTGTCCTATTTGTGTCAGACACAAGATATTTCCATTTGGAACTCTCATTTGGCCCAAGAAGATAACATCATCTACTTTTTAAGTCCCTTGAAAAAGGCCTCTCACACACAACCAGCTGGCACGTTTTTAATGCAACACATAGGGCATTCATCGCATGGGCATCAAACAGATATATTCAGTTTTCATAGCTGGAATATGGAAAACTAAATTAAAAACCACATTTAATGATCGTATTTTTGTTGTGCAGTCATTGGTGACCGAGCTGAGACCATCAACTTGGAAAGCCGGTTTAATCACGGGTGGATGGAATCCGGAATTGAACCCAGGCTCTCAGGCGGTGTCGGCTCAGTGCTCCGACACGGTATTATCCCCCCCGAGCTACCCAGCCACCTCCAAAGCGATAGGCTGCGTTTTAGCGAATTGCCAAAAGCGGGTCGGCAGAGAAAATAAAACCCCTCTAGCCGGGCGCATTCCAGCATTTTTCCACTCGTGGCTCTGAGGGCTGCACGTATAATTAAGAGCTAACCATGCATTTAGGCCACGTGCATAAATCAGCTGATTGTTGTCATATGTGCGTTGGTCGAGAACAGCTCGCACTGAAGTTGCCACTCTTGAGGAGGTTACAGCCTCTCGCGGTAGTCTGAAACCAATTAAAAGTATACTTCCTAAATCTACTTCATCGCTGGGATTACACTCCGTAAGGTTTCCCCCGCTGCAAATTCCCAATTAGCAATAAAATGAAACTACAGCTTTACGATGCAAATATTCTTCTGGCTTACGCACAAGTAAGCAGCGATGCACCACTGGTACCAGCAAGACAGAGACCATGGGCAGGTGGATAGCCACATCTGTGCCAAACTCTGCATGGGTTAAGGTTGTAAATTTGGATTGGAAGATAAATAGCAAATACAGCAAGTTCTCTAAATAATGTCATATATATATCAGAAGAACACTACTAAAAAAGACAGCAGAATGTGTACTTTAGTTGTTAAAATTCCGAAAAAAGAGGAAAACTTCTATATCCTCAGATCAAGTTTCTCCCAGCCCAAACAAGTGTTGGGGCAGTGTTCATCTCCATCGGTGGCTCTAAGTCAGCATTGGAAATTCCACATTTTCACGGCAAATGCCCTGTCTCTCCATCGGATGATGACCGTTTACTCTTCACGAAGCAGCAAATCAACTTTTCGATCCAGAAGAGATGAAGTGCCGACTTGACCATGAACTGAAATTCAATCTCACAACCCTTCCGATAATAAATCCAGCACTCTGCCCAACCATGCCACAGGTCAGATTGCGCACAAACGAGCGCGTGCAATAACGGTAAACTCTTATCCATACCTGCGGTAAAGCGCCGGCAGTCGCAGTAAAAAAAAATCACTGAATTGGCAAAAGACCCACATTGTTTCTTTAATGTGCCACGATTATATTTTAATGGTAGGGCAGCTAAATTTCACCTCCATGCGGGTCCTCACTGCTGCGGGGATGTGTTTTCTGTTCTAAGTAAATTGTATACCAGGCCGAGGCTGTAATTTCTGGAAGGCGGGTATCTCACACTGGCAGCGCTTGCACCTCGCGTCGTGTGGGATTCAATCAGGGGCGCTGGGAGCGCGAGCGGTGACGGGAATGGGTAAAACACAACCTCACGGCAGCAGTAGCCGCGCTCGTCCTGCACTCGGGTATATACACCCCTGCTGCTACGTAATAAGACGAGCAGACTCGCGTTGTAAAAAGAAACTCTCGCTGAGCATTCTCACAGCTGTCACGGTTTTATGATGTTATCCCCATTGAATTACTCTGAATCGCGCTCAATCACCAAAGCGCCAATCGCGTTTGTTTGCTGCTATAACTTAAACTGTCGACCAGCAAGCCGGGCCTGTAAAAATTCAAACACATGGCCTCGCTGGCGATCGCAACTTGGGAGCCAGCGCCAGACCCTGGCCCCAGCGACGCCCAGCACGACTTCGCCGACGGGCGTCGCCAGTGTCAGTGATGCTAACAAAACACCAGGGTGCAGCAGCCATCCTGGAAGTGACAGGAGCCCAGCAAGCGGCGGGTGGAGGGGGCAGAGGGCGGCAGGGGCTGGGGGGGGGGTCACTCCCCGTGGCTCCCCTAAAAGGGGTTATTCTGTAAAAGCGGAGCAAGTCCAAACAAGAGGGGATTGTTCCCCTCTCCAAAGGCGGGAAAAGGCGTCGGTTTGTATCGCCCTGAATAATACTCTGCTGCGGGTACATTTTCTCCCCGATGTACTGATTCAGTATTTAGTAAAAAAAAAAAACTTGGGAATAATGTCTAATGTATTCTTTACAACCTCTTAATTCGTTGGATTTTTTCCTTCGCGATTCTCGTTTTCACGTTTTGTGAAGCCTTATCGACAGCCACTGTTCCCCACGCACAACCGTTCCTGTTAAGTATGCAGAGAACAAATGGACCCCCTTTGTTGTGCGATTCATGTTGCTGTGCTGTACACACCGAAAGTGAATAGCAAATACGAATTAAAAAGCGGGCTCGGTTAAGCGCCAGGGGTAGCGCTAGGGTCAAGGGTAGGGGCTGGCGTTAGTGGTATTGGCTAGTTTGAATTCACCAACCTTTGTGGTTTGAAGGATTGTTCATGATTTGGGATTACGATTCAATGCAAGGCTGGACTAAATTTTATCTGGTTTTTACCATTCTCATTTGTATTTTCTCATTTCTTTTCTGTTTTGTTTGTATAGTTAGGCTCACACCATTTGTCTATATATAATATTAGCATATCATCTGCATAAAATGTTAATTCAACGTAATTGATTCATGTATGCACAGCTCAATGTATGTATCGTGTGCATGATAATTTATTTGTAATTGGTGCACCTACCATACCTACTACTGGTCGTGGTAAGGCAAGCATTTGGCAGGATGTGCTGCACCCCCGAGCAAAGTGCCCCTCCCTCGCATGACCAGGTGTTGGATTTTCACATCCTGTTTGCCATTTTCGCAAGCTACCAGAAGGCTGGTGGCAACACAGCAGTAGACTGTTTACTTGCCCATGTCCACACCCATGTGACCGCTATCCCTGCCCGCTGTAGGTGGTACCTTCACATCTTGAGAATTTGTCGAGGTGAATGCCATCTCCCGGAGCTCGGTCTGCATGGGTTGGTGCGGTCCGTGGCCCATTCTGCCCAGCACACCTGCCAAGAACATCACCACCTGCACAAAGGGAGTGAAAAAATGAGCAGTGCTATCGTGCGAAATACTGAAGGCATGAAGAATAGTTCTGCAAACAATCAGTAATCATAGCCCTATCCCTAAACACAACCCAATACCTATCCCTAAACCCAACCATAAACCCAACAATATCTCTAATTCAAATCAAAACCATAGCCCCAACCTAAACATCATTTCAATCTTAACATAATCCTCATCTTTACCCTATCCCTAAAACACCCCACTCTAACCCTAACTCCAACCCCAACCCTAAATCCAACCATATTCCTAACCTCGACCTATCTTTAACCCTAATCCAAGCCCTATCCCCTAACAATGGGCCTTTCCTTTAGATTAATCCTACCAGTTACAATGTCCTTGGGACCCGAGCCAAATTTAGTTGTGGCGGCCAATTAAAAAGAAAAATCTGAATTGTTTCACACGGCAGTGGGCAAAGTAAACAAAGTGAAATTCAATGGACTTAGTAACAACTTCTGATGTGCAGGTGTGCAAGAGCACCATCATAGTTGCCATGTTTGCCATCTAATGGTAAAATCTGGAATAAATACTGCATGAGCGCTTATTTCACTATCCAATTTCTGTAAAAAAAATCTCAATGGCAGACCCATACTTGATAAATGGTGGCATTATGGCCTCGTTTATACATTACGTCAATTCTGACAGCCAAAAAGAGTAATACCTCTTTTTTGTCAATAATTTATTTTTAACTGGGAAAAATATGACTTTCATTCATGAGAATGTCATGTCATGAACATTTCCAAGATAGCAGAAGTCCTTCCCGAGACCACACACGACCCTGATAACAGTATAACATCAGAGGCGATTGCACAGTTTGGGTGGATCGTGCTACCCCATCCACCACACAGTCCACATCTGACAGCCTCGCAACTTTCATCCGTTCAGCCCTTTGGATCTCGCAAATACTCTATTGGAAAATTACACTTTTCTGCACAGGATTCCAGTCGTAAACGGTCAACGATGATATTCATAACGGAATGCTGACCATGATCTCACGTTGGCGCCAGTAACAGCCAAATTTACGTGACATTTTCATTTATGAATAACACATTGTAATGGGTTCCGTCTGAGCCAAGCAGGGGACAGCTCAGTCCATCATGCCTCCGAGTTCAATCAAGTACCACAATATTGAACCTCAACATTGGTCCTTACATGGATATTCTAGCCTCCGCTATGGGAATGTTGAATTTCTACCACTGGCTCAAGACCACCAGCAGAGTTGATCGTAGCCTTTGAACACGGGGCTACTTGGTGATAGAAGCAATGATTCATCACGGACATTTATCACACAGACTCGTGCCAGTGTTTGACCCCTGACCCTGGCGAGGACCTGATCTTCGCTCTCTGGCCCCGCGTCTCCCATCACGCAGCCCTCGCCGCGGGCGAAGTGACGGCACAGGAAGCGCTCGCCCAGTCCCTGGCAGTCTCGTCCTCCTCCACCGTCATCTTCACCACATGGTCCTCCTCGTCTTCTCTCTCCTTGCCGTGGTTCTTCTCGCCTTCCCTCTCCTTTCTCTTCATCCGCTCCGATTCTCTCTCTGTCATCGCTTCCGAACCCTCCTTCCTTGTTTCCACCTCGTACCGTTGCATCGTCTGCTGTCGTTTCGCCCGTTGTTTTCTCCTCTGTGGTCGGGACGGACCTGCGGCCAGCCAGCAGTGACATCCCACGCTTCTTCTCTCAAGGCCTCGGCTCCCCCGGCTCGGGGTCGCGGTCATCACCTCACATCCCAGAGGGATCAACCTGCGGGGTTAAATAAAGGAGACTCTGACCCCAGCACAACCTTAAATCGACCCCAGTTATTACGCTTAACCTTACCCTTTATACTACCGCTGACCCGAATCCTACCCCCGTTCCTAGCCTCTGACCCAACCACCGACTCTAATCAAACCCCTAAACCTATTCCAATCCATAACCCTATCCCTTCCATGAATCCCTAACAAACCCCTGAAACTGCCCCTAACACTACACCTACCCGTCTCCAATACCTGACCGTATCTCTATCCCAACTCTACTCCTGTCCCTCTCTCATCTCTAACCCTTCCTACCCCTCTGACCATAACACTGACCTTACTACTTACTATTAATTCTGACCCCTGTCCCAACTCTACCCCTGCCCCATACTCGCTAACTGCTTCAAACCCTACCCCTGCCCCCTAATCCCTGACACTGCGCTTACCACTGCCCCCTAATCCCCTGCCCTTACTCCTGCCCCCTACTCCCCTGACACTGCCCTTACCCCTGCCCCCTAATCCCTGACACTGCCCTTACCTCTGCCCCCTAATCCCCTGCCCTTACCCCTGCCCCCTAATCCCCTGCCCTTACTCCTGCCCCCTACTCCCCTGACACTGCCCTTACCCCTGCCCCCTGATCCCTGACACAGCCCCTACCCCTGCCCCCTAACACTGCCCTCTAATCCCCTGACACTGACCTTACCCCTGCCCCTAATCCCTGACACTGCCCTTACCCCTGCCCCCTAATCCCTGCCCTTACCCTGCCCCCTAATCCCTGACACTGCCCCCTAATCCCCGAACACTGCCCCCCAATCCCCTGACACTGCCCCTCACCTCACCCGGGGCCCCCACTCACAGCAGACGAGGTTCGTGCCGAGCCCGCGGTCACAACCCCGCCGTGAATAGCAAAGCCGACGTCCACGTTAACCAATTGAAACCTACGAGCGTCGTGTGTGTGTGTGTTTAAAATTCTTCTGTGGATAATCGATAATAATAATTATTCTAAAACAACAAAATATTAAATGACAATCAGCTGAGGACAGCCCCCGCGGGGTTTGCTTCGGGACGGCGTCAACATTTTGCGACATTCGCTGCCGTAAAGGTCGATGACCCAAAGCCACTGGGAGTCGTACGGCTGTCGTAAAATTACCGTACCGAAAACGGCGGTCGGTCGCTGTCGTGAAGCTGTCATCGTAGACGTCGTAAAGTGTGCCGTAAAGCAGTTGCTGTGTGTATGTGAGAGACACGTGGTTGTGAGTACACGTGCGCGCGTGTGTGTGTGTACTCGCCTGTGTGTGTGTGTGATCACCTGTGTGTGTGTGTGTGGGGGCGCGCGTGTGTTCTTTGTACACGCGTGTCGCGCGTGCGTCTTCTCACGTGCTCAAGAACTCTGCTCAGTGGCGAGGAAAATCCGCTGAGACCCAGAGCCTAGACTGGGCCGCCTTGTTCAACCGGTATGGCCTGCAGTGTCATGCCACCATTAACACAAAACACTGTATCGCACACACACACATTCTATGTCAATCCACGGCTGGATGAGGGTCACCCGTCGCCGTGTCGGTCGTGCGGGTTTGTCACCACGCTGGCCTGTTGCTGGTTGGTGAAGTCGGAGGCCCTGTACCGGTTTAAATGTCACCCGCCGCTGATGTTTATAGCCTTGGCCCGGAGTTGAACTGAAGTTGCCGGGTTCATCGCGCACAGCGCGAAAACAAACGCGCCACCACTGCACCCCAATCGGTGCCTCGATCCGGTCGTTATTCACTTGTGTTTATTAAGTAGAAGAACTGGATTGACACTTTGCATTCAAAAACATTGCCGGCCAATCACCATTGAGGTGACTGCTCAATCCAGTTCAAGGGAGGGTCAACAAGGAATACAAATCATGCACACTCTTGGAATCAATTTGTTCCCAACATAATAAAAATGCATAATGCGGCATTATATCCTAGAAACCCATTGCGCTCTGCATGGAATGCATGAAACAAAAACAGAATCGGGGGCAACCGACCAAACTAAAGAGGCAATGCGACTTTAAGGAGATGGGGTTTCTAAGCAGACTTAACCATATCTACCCACTCCGATTGCCTGATGTCAAGTGGCAAGGCGTTCCATAGCTTGGGAGCCACGCTAACATGCGTTCCAAAAGAGGAAGTAATTCAGTTTAATTCGATACGTTTTTACCGGCTATGACATACGGAGCAGGTATGTGGACACTCACGAAGACGATGGAATCAAACACTGAAAAATATCCACAGAAGCTCGGATAGATGCACGTCTGGAATGACATTAAGAGCCACTGAAGCTATGAAATTTTTTATCTAGATTGAAAATTAATTTCTTTAAAACTGCTTTTTGTGTTTAGTTTGTTGTCCTTCCCCCGCACCTGCGATCAGCACGGTTGGCTACGTACGGTGCGAAAGAAGCTCAACATACAGGACATACATACGAACAAAAATTAGAGAAAATACGCAGGTTAATGATACCATATTTACTGTTCACAAAAGGAAGTGGGGCTGGCAAGGATTCGTTCCTAGAAGGGATGAGGATGAGCCGTGGCCAGGAACAACGACGAAGAGGCGGAAGGGATGGCAACGGCTTGGGAAGGCATTCATCCAGCAGTGGATCGACCATGGCTGATGTTTTTGTGATGGGTTCTCGTCAACTCTGGAGACACTAGTGGCCTACATTGCAGACAGACAGATGGACATAGCTAATGTATTTACAAACTCAAACCGAGACAAAACACAATCACCCACAATGTTGTGTGGCCACTTGAGTTGCATTCCCAACCCGGGCTAACGGTGGCGAATATCTGAACCAGTCCTGTGCCTTCCCTAGGTCGACTCAGCCTGAAATCATTACTGGACCTGATACAGTACATTTTCAAAAAGTCAGCACTGGAGGGACAATGGTGGTGGCTATGCCGGATTGAGTAGATGTTCGCTTACACCACTTTTCACAACAGTGGTGCACGTGTGCGTGTGTGCGTGGCTTTGTGGGCGCGCACATGGCCGCAGAATCCTCATCCGTCCATCGCCTGTGGGCGCAGTGCGGCAGGGACGACCACGCATGCGTGTGGACGCGCCGTTGCCCGTCATGGAGTTCCAGGCGGTGGTGATGGCCGCGGGTCAAGGCTCACGCATGACGGACCTCACCACCAGCGTTCCCAAGCCGCTGCTGCCCATTGGCAACAAGCCGATGATCTGGTATCCACTCAACTTGCTCGAGAGGACTGGCTTCGAAGGTACTCTTCCCCTGGTTGTGTTGTTCACGTGCGTGGCTACTTGGGAGCTGTGCACGAATATTCCTGCATTCGTATACACGGTGTCTGGGCTGTGTTTGTACTGTGCAGTATCAGTGTACGTAATGCAATGTACAGCCCTTAACAATTCATTGTTGGATGAATTGATAAGGGCTGTACATTGCATATCAGTCTTTGGGGCTGTTTGACCAAACTTCGCCACACTTGTCGGTGAGGGTTAATGAAGGGGCTGCCCAAGAGCAGTGCAGACATCAATCACTCAACAGTGATTTTAGCTGTGGCCAGGAATCGAACTTGGGTTGCCGGGCTTGAAGGGCAGTATGCTAACATGGCACCACTGCTCCCCACACATGCACGGGCAGCACACACACTCACATGCGTACACACACGTGCATGCACACGCACACAGACGTGCACACACGTTTGCGTGCGCTCTCTGTTGCAGAGGTGATCGTGGTGACGACGAAGGACGTGAAAGCGCAGCTGCTGGGGCAGGCGTCGCTGAACACGCGCCTCCGCCTCGACATTGTGTGCATCCCTGAGGAGGCCGACATGGGCACAGCCGACTCCCTGCGTTTCATCCATAGCCGCATCAAGGTGCCTGCCACACTGGGGAGGTCACCACCGCTCGCCTGCCCGCCCGCTTGCATGCCCTGGCAGCTGGAGGTGGTGCTCAGCGGTGGTGGGACATTTTTATTAAATCACAGTGAGCCTGTTTATTTCATTGAGGTGCAGCGGTTGGCGAGTCTGCGTCCTCTCTGAGTCTATGGGTCTAAAGATCCTGATGTGTGTCTGTGGGTCCTTATGTAAGTCTTTTCTTTAAAATACCGAATGACACCATGCGAGGGAAGGAGCAGAAAGGGAGGTGTTGTGACCTGCAGTGATGTGAGTGGGTGAGTGTCAGAATGAATGAAGAAGTGGGTGGGTGAGTGAGTGAGTTGTTGTGACCTGCAGTACGGTGGTTGAACACGACGGCGTGTGGATTAGACGATGAAACCGTGGGTCTCGTAGATGTGGGTGGAGGTGGTGGCGCAGCGCGCACATTAGCCTCTGTATCCGAGCGTGGCCGGGAATGTAAATGGCGCTCCCGGTGGCCACGCCGTGTTTACACGCGGCACGACCGCCCGCCTGGCGTTGGCGTAAACTGTTTATTCGCAGCGACTCGCACACATCGCGGCCCAGGCACGGTCCGCGGTGGGAATCCGGCGATGTTTGCTCCGGGACGAGGCCGAGCTTCGTGAGTTTGTACACGTTCCCGGCCACCTGGTCGCAAAACTCCGAGCTCGTTTGCTTTTGTGTCTGAAGCGATGAAATTCGTGGCCTCCCTCGTTCCATCTTTGCATTTTACTTTTTAGTATTTTTTAGAAATGCATCCTTCCGCACATGGCGTATGTCATGGTAGGTTTGCAAGGGCCCCGGTGTATGGAAGTAAATTGGGCCCCCTGTCCAAATTCCCATCCCATTTAATAGCCCAGTACCTGGCCTCTGGTAAAGTTGCACTGGCTGCTTACTCAATAGCTATACCACTGACTCTCACCTGAACTCTACTACAGGTTAAGAAATGTTATCCGGTAGTGCTGACACTCTGTGATGACCAGACATTTAAAAAATCACTGCTGCTGCATCTTAAGCCTGAAATGGTTCTTGATAAAGAGCGGTACGGTAGTGGTGAGCGCATCACGTTCTGAAACTGGCCACCAAAGTTCGATTTTCAGCCATGGCTAACATCAGTTGGAAAGTGATATCTGAGCCAGCTCTTGAGGCACCACCTTCACCAACTATCACAGACCAGCATGGTAAAGTATGGACGGACAACCCCTATGATTGAGATAAATCAGTGGATCGACAGAAGGACTGTTTATTTATTTCTATTATATAAAGAAGTGACCTCACTGAGCAAAAAACGTTGAGAGGAGCCGCTAGTCCCTTTGATGCGTGTGCAGCATTGCAACACGTTCTCACTGTGGTGTAAACTGCATGGGACTCGTGAATGAATTGCGCTGCCAAGTTAGACCTCTTGTTCTCGTGCTGCACACGTGTTTTTGTGTGCACACTTACGCACTGTGCGTGTGCTGTGACAGCGATACAGCGTGTCACTGTGTGGTGTGCCACCGCATTGTATGTAAGTGCGTTGAACTTCTTCCGCACCGTACGTAGCCAACCGTGATAATCGGAGTTGCGGGGGAAGGACAGCAACTGGCAACAGCGTTGTTCGGCTCGGCACCGATGGTGTCGCACAGCCCTGTGGAATTGCGTGGCGCAGCGGATTGTGGTGAGACGCGGTACGACGAGACACGGCGTGCTCTGCGCTGCCTCTGCAGAGGGACGTCATCGTCTTGAGCTGCGACCTAATCACGGACGTCTCCCTGCACCAACTCTTCGATCTCTTCCGCCTGCGCGACGCCGCCGTGGTGATGATGGCGCGCCGCGCTCAAGACTCGGGCGAGCCCGTGCCGGGACAGAAGGGCAAACGCAAGCCCGGTGAGGGGGGGCGCGGGGGGGGGGGTGGGGGGGAGACCGTGCGGTGCACGCACGGCAAGAGGGTGGCTCTGTACTACCACGTGCGTTACAACCGCACGGTTTTAAACGGCACGGGCTGCAAGACCCATATTGCGCCAAACCATGCCGCGTCACGCCGTACATTACCACACTGCACTGCGGCACATCGCGCTGTGCTACACCCATCCCCGTACACCAGCGTAGGGACCCCGAGGCTGATGGATTCCTCTGGCCGTCTCTGTTTACCATAATTATGCCCGGTGTTTTCTGTACGTACGTATGTATGTATCGCACCGTATGTAACCAACCGTGCTAATCAGAGTTGCGGGCAGCACCTCGGTGCTTGCAGTCACACTTAGGCTCCGAGTAAAACCGTGGTGCAGCGTGTGCGTGCACCCCGCGTTTGATAATGCGGCGGCGATTCTCGTCTGCTGCCGCTCGTAACCCAGCGCCGCTCGTCCCTGTTTGTGGCGAAGCTTTGGTGGTGCCTCGGAGTGCCTGGCTGCAAGCCTCCGTGCTTACATTAGGGGGAAACATTGCCTTACATGGAACGGCATTAATTTATACGTCAATGTAAACAGGACACGGAAGCCTCGCGTATGGGGCATAGGCCATAGAACACAACTGCAGGCTCTGGGTTTATAGTAAATGTTTACTTTGGAGCAACACTACATTTGTGGCGACTTGTGAAAGTATGCTGCAGTCTATATCAGGGTTTTTCTGCATTCTTCTTTTGCTGCCCTTTTATAACTACATGACAGCACGTGTGCTTGACATAATCCAATATCCACCCTCTTTCCCTAATCAAGGCCAAGTCTGTATATGTCTGACTCCGGCCGTGTCTCCGTGCATCTCCCCGAGTCACGTGGTGTCGCCCTATGTCTCTCTGTGTCTCTGAGTCAGACCACGTCTACCTGCGTCTCCTTAACCTAGTTTACATCGTCTTGTTTTTCACTTTGTCTCTCTGACCGAGGGCCAAATCTCCCCTTTGTGTCTCGAACACAGAGCCATGGCACCCTGCGTCTCTAACCTAGACCATGGCTACCCATGTCTCCCTGTGTCTCTCTGACCCACGCGATCTCTCTCTGTGTGTGTCCCTCTGTTTCTGATCCTGGCCACATTTACCTTGAGTCTCCCTTTGTCATCCCACATCACGCGGGCTCGTCAGACCCACGTCTACCCTCGCCTCTCCTCATATCGCTCTGACCACGCCGTCTCTCCACCGTGTCCACCACCCCCCGCCGCCCCGCCGGCCCCCCATGCCCCCGTGTGTCCACCCTCTCAGAGCAGCGGGACTTGATTGCCGTGGATGAGTCGGGCGAGCGGCTGCTGCTCGTCTCCCACGAGGCCGACCTGGAGGAGGAGCTGCTCATCCCCAGAGCGGTCGCGCGCCGGTTAGTCGCCCCTCTATGTACCCAACTCGCGATCATTCGCTCGTTTGTCCACCTTTACCACTCGCTCGCTGTCCATCGCTCCGTTATAGCTCTCGCCCAAATCACCTCTCTGTCCGTTTCTCCCTCGGATATCACTCGCTCGCACCCAGTGATCACTCGCCTACAACTCTGTTCCTGCTCTAAACTCCTCCCTTGTGTCGTGCACCTTTCCCGTCATTATCAGAATCAGAATCATCATTTATACTGCAGGAGGAATCCGATGAGTTATAAAGCTATTTTAAACAGATGTCCAGTAGGGGCGCGTCTGAAAGTTACAACAACAAACAATACAAAAAGACAATATGAGTCCAAAGTATAGGAAAGGTAGGTTTTAAAAAATATATATATGTGTTTAGTTTACCAGGTAAAGCCCACTTAGATATTCGCTTCTTCTTCAGAAGCAACCTGGCCACAAATGATAGCTTAACGAAGTGGCTTATCACGTGGACATTTCTAGCAGTCAAATAATTGATATGATCTCAACACATGTTTCTAAATTACCTACCGCCCCCCCCCCCCCCCCAGCTTTGCGCGAATCCACATCAAGTGGGAGCTGGAGGACGTCCACGCGTACTGCTTGCGCAAGTGGGTGCTCGACTTCTTGGAGGACAACAAGCCAGTTCCCCCATCGACTCGCTCGTAAGCGCGCAAGTGAGATGGATGCTCGCAGCCCTGCTCCGCGAAGGATGATGATGATGATATTAACATTAATAATCGCTGATGCCTCTCGGAGCGCTTCGCACCTCCGATTGGCACGATTGGCTACGCACGGCGCGAAAGACGTTGAACGTACATACACGCGACGAGTCGCATCACACTTCAGTTGCAGGTTTCCCTCGCTGTACGCAGCGGTAGTCGTAGTCGTCGATGCCTTCCAAGAAAAGGGCGCAACAAAGTGACACTGCATGGGGAGACAGCTGCCTGCCGAGTAGCGCACACAGTACACAAATACACAGTACACAAACACACAGTACAAACACAATACACACAGTACACACAAACAGCACACACACAGTAAACACAGTAGAAACACAATATATACACAGTACACACACACAGTACACACACAGTACACACACACAGTACACACACAGTACACACACACAGTACACACACAGTCCACACACACAGTACACACACACAGTACAAACACAGTACACGCACAGTACACGCACAGTACACACAGTACAAAAAACATACACAGTACACACAGTAAACACAGTACACACACACAGTACAAACACAGTACATACACAGTAAACACACAGTATATACACACACAATGTTTCGATTTAAAGCTTTCGTGACTGCAGGGATTCATCTTCTTGGTTCTTTCGGTAAAGTCACGTAGAAGGGAAGTAATAAAATAATAAAAATAAAACATAATAAGCAGCCGTCCTCAGGCGAAGAACTTCTTCGCCTGAGGACGGCTGCTTGCGTTGTGGCCGAAACGTCGTGAGAATTGTTTTATTATGTTTTATTTTTATTATTTTATTACTTCCCTTCTACGTGACTTTACCGAAAGAACCAAGAAGACACACAATGTTGTCCCACATCTGAGTGGATTCAAACCGCGTCTAGCAAACTTTGGGTAGAAAGTTGCCCGTGCCGCATGGCGACTCAATACCTGGCCCACAAACAAATGTGTCTGCCAGTACCTCCGATCATCACAGGTTGGCTACGTATGGTGCGAAAGAAGTTAAATTTACAACATTAGAGTAGCGGATGATGATTGAGAAATAATTTTTAGCGGTTTATTTTTTTTGAACGGCGATGGCGTGGGGAAGCCTTCACCCAGCAGTGGGTACACCGTTTTCAATTTACAGTTTCTGAGCACCAGCCAGAAAAAACGCCAAGCGTCCAGCGACAAACGGGCACTTGCGAAGTTGTAACAGATACGGAGTTAACGCGTTTCTTGACTTGAGCGGGGTTATTTTCTGTGACGACGGGGATAAAGAGATGATGGAAGGGAATTTTCAAGCCCCTGCAAGGCAAGAAGCGGAAAGAAAACTGTTTTGACCGGTAGTGTGGTGGTTGAGCCTTCACTCAAGACGCTTGGCAAAGTAAAAAATAAACGGTGAGCGACTAGAGTGATTTGGATGACAGGGGCATGCTACCGAGGATTGAGGAATGAGTGACCGCGATTGAGGGCCACCGAGGAGATCACGACTCGGTAGGAAGGTGACGGGAAGGAGTGGAGGGCCGAGGGGAGGAAAGAGAATGTGCAAGAGAGAAGAGGTGAGGATTTGGAGCGGTCAAGTCTGATGGACCGAGTCCTCAACATGGGTGGCCCGGGAATGTAAATGGAGATGATGTTGATGAACAATGGAGGACCTAATACTAGATTTGAAGCTTTCTTGACTGCAAGGATTCATACTCTTAGGTTTTTTCGGGAAAAAGTAACGTAGGTAAAAAATATAATTAAAATTTATAAAAGTAATAATAGAAATAAAATAATGTGAAATAATATAATAATATGCTTTTTTTATTGATATTATTACTTTTATTAATTTAAATTTTATTTTTTACCTACGTGACTTTACTGAAAAGACCTAAGATAATGGAGGACCTCCCCAGCAACCTCCATGCTGCTGTATCTGTGGGACATCTTTGCCAGTATCAAAATAATGAAAAAAGAAGACTTGGCTTTGACCTTTCTGGCACACTGCTCATATCGTGGATTTGGGTTATGGGTTGAGGGGTCTCTCAACTCCGGCGACTTGCGTAGGATTTGAATTTGAATCAATTTTTATTTTTATCATGCACAATGCACGAGTTGACGGAGTGAATCAGAGGCCAAAGGGGCACCTGAGATTTCTCTCCTAGAGTGGCTCACACACGGGGCTGTGCGTGGGCTCCTCTGCGCCCTGCGTGAGTGACGGTTGAACTGTTGAGGGGACCTGACAAGGGAGAGAGAAAGATTGGGGTACATGAGCGAGCACCCCCCTAGAGATGAGTGTACAGATCATCGCACAAACACACCACCACACACAAACAAACACATTTGGATGGGTCGATTGCAAATCAGAGAGCTAAATTGGCACCGCTGAGATCCCGAGTTCGAATCCAGATATAAACCACCCGTGATTAACGTAGGTTCTCGCGTGAAGTGAGTTGGCAGTAACTTTCTGACCTGCCCTTCTTGGGCATCTGTGAAAAATTAGCTTTATAACTCATCGGATTCCTCCACTATAAACAGAGATTCTGATTCTGCCGGTCACAGCCAGGTGACAAATCGCTTCACAACGACAGCCATCGCCATTAATTTTGTCTTCTACTTGATTTGTATGCATCTCAGCTCGGAGAATCAAATATATCGGTTTTGACAGTAGTGCAAGAAACATTTCCCTTTAGCTGGACATCCGTGAAAAATGTCCCGCCGCCCCCCTCCCGGCGTGAATAAGATGAGAACGGGACGTCATGAGTCCAGTAGTTGTCTTTAAAGGATATTAAAAGTTAGTTTGATGTCTCCTTCCGCGGGCAGCTCTCGGACACACGGGGTCATGCACCGCTCTGCGAGACTTCCGAGCCCACACGTTGTCCCGTGACACAATTGGAATACAATTCCAACACTTAGACCTTCCTGTTTTTTTCACGTGTATTTTTCTGTTGCGCTCGCGAGCCACGAGGCCTGGCGATGCATGGCGATGCACGGTGATGCACGGCCGCGTTGGGCATTTGCAATATTTGCGCTGATCGCGTGACTTGCGTCTGACCTGGCGTTGAGGGAGGCTTGGGGCCTGCTGAGGTCACCCTTCCGTTTGGCTGAGAGATGAACTAAACGCCAAGCGTAACGGTAAAGAGAGAGTATTAATCGGGCCCCAGTGGCTCGGAGACGGGGGCCGGGGGGGGGGGGGGGAGTTGGGGGTGGGTGAAGAGATCCTGCATGGCTCTCACCCCGTGCTTTTACCGGTAGTCCCTTCCGGCTGCAGGCACCACAGGGCCGCATAAAGCGAGGGGTGGACCCGGACTTGGGGGAAAAAAAACAGAGGGATCGGTCGGTCGTGCGAAGAGACAGCAGTACTAGCCACAGCGGTAAAAGCCACAGTGGGAGCAGCCCCAACGGTACAGAGCAGATGTGGGTTCGCAGAGCCCTGCTCGCTCTCAGGGCGGGTTTGGGCGCAGTGTGGTGATGAATTTATTGTTGCTGCGTTGCCTGCGAGCTGATGGACAACCCCGCGAGGGGGCCCCGTCGTGTCTGTAGCTGCCAGGAGTCGGGGATGTGATTTCACCTGCGTCAACGGAGTTGTCTCCGCGGCCGCGTGAGTGACGAAGAAATAACGGCACTCGCTCGCCCACGCCTCCCCCCCCCCCCCCCCCCAATTTCTGCGGCGGAAGCCTGCAGTGTGCGGTGTCGCTCTCGCGCGTCGCGCTTCTCTTAAAATTCTAACAAATCGGCCTTTTTTCATTCGCAGCTGGTCACTTGGTATTGAAGGGATGTGTGGCTGCTCTCTCTGCAGCCCTCCCTGTGGCCTAGCACTCGCCGTCCTCACACCGAGGGTTTAGCCCAGGGGCTTGCAGCTCCGCTTGTTGCAGACTTATTTCTAACCCGGCCAAGCTTCCGGCACAACTTACAGGTTCAGTTTTTTTGTTGTTGGGGGAATCGAAGAGGCCGACATGTGTTCCACTCTCCAAAAGCATAACAGAACCCAAAACGTAACATAACCCAAAACGTAACAAAACAAGCACTAAATTAAAACCCGAGGCGCCGCATCGGCGGTCGTCATTTTTGCGCTGGTGATTGCTCGCGGTGCCTTTTCGAGTGAGGGATGCGGCCTCTGGTGCAGAGGCCGTGCCACTTTCCCGTGACTGCCGAGGAGTGAGTTTTACGAGGCTTGGGAATTTAGAGAGGCTGGCTGAGAGGAGGACAGGCCCTGGCGGTGGGAGCATGGGGGGAGGGGGGGGGCAGGGAGGGCGGAGAGTGCGCGAAAGAGCAAGAGAGAGCAGGAGAGAGGGAGGGAGGGAGGGCGAGCGTAGGGAGGGGTGCAGGGATCGAGGTGGCTTGGGTTAGTGTAGTGTTTTGAGCGGCTGTGGGTGGGCTGCTGCTTTCTGAACTAACCCCAACTACGCGGACAGCCAGACCGCCAGCAGCGATCCACGCACGCACGCACGGACACACGCACACCCGCGCGTGCGCGCGCACGTTGGATCACACGCGCGCACATACACGCGAACGCTTGGGCCAGGTTGGCTCGCGACGCCGCCAGATGTGCTGGCGCGGCGCGGCGGGGGCCTCCGTGCCGACGCGCGCTAGCGAGCCTGCACGCACGCACGCACGCGTTAGCGAGCCTGTCCCTTTAAAAGTTTTTACCCGCTCGTAAGCGTGAACAGACGTGCGCGTTTCGGCTCGCGTGCGCGCGCATGCTTGTCAGCTCGCGCCCGATTTCACGTGTGTACGCGCGTGCTCGTGTGCGAGTGGGCTCGCGTGCTCGTGTGCGAGTGGGCACACGTGAAATTGAAGTATGCGCACGTTCGTTTCTCCATTTCCTTCTGCGCTCGCGTGAGACGCGGCGCTGCCAACGAAAATACGGAGCGAGACCGTGCGTCGCGCATGCCGTTTTCATAACGAGAAACCCGCGGGGCAGCGACGCGAAAGCCGCCCCCCTCCCCCCCCCCTGGTCTTAGGCCCATAACCGCGG